TGGCATTGCAATAAGTCACAGTTGATGAAATGGTGTTGTGCCAACGTTTGATTAGAGATCAGCATGTTTTTCTTGGTGATCATTTCTGGTTTGAAAGGTTCGTCGTTTGACATCATTGGTCATTTTTTTTTAGTGTTTTTCAAATCGACGTTGGCTTGCAAAAAATTTGATTCCGTTCGAACATCAATCTCTAAAAACAACACGTTATTCTTGATTTCACAACCCACACATTCAGAGCGAGAAGGTACTACCAAATATTCTGAGGGGAAAGGAGAATTCATGATCTCCCAGTTCCGTTCAGTTGATTCACTTGGTTCTTCAGCTCTCGCAAGATTTCAGTTTATACATTTCTGTTATTCCAAATAGAGTTGTTGCATTTTGCAATTTCTTTGATGATGCTTTTGTGAACGTTTGGTTTAATTTGAAAAGACTCTAAATTGGTTAGTCCAGTGGCGTATTTAGATGGCAAAGGTGTTTTCAGAACTCCTCTAAAGTCTTGAGTGCATTTGAATTTGTCTTGAGATACTTCAGCAATAACTCTTTGTAAATAAAGAGTGAGATTTGAGTCGGCTAGAGGGCCCTGACAAATCCGCAGCCAGAGCCCACGTAGTGGCACCGGATCCAGCGGCTCTCATTTTTCAAACTACTGCAGGGTATTTATTAGAATGCGTTGATGATTATTTGGAGGACAAGGAAACAATGAAACGTAAAAACAATGCCTTAACGGTATCTCCGGATGATCCTAGCGCTTGTTGACACATGGAAATCAATATCGAGTAATCTGGTCTTTGGTTTGGATGCCGTTGATCTTGATTCAACAACGTCTCAAATAAATATTGCCAAATATCCTTAAACTTCCAATAGCGTCGAATTGACTCTTTGATGTGATATTGATCTTGTTTTGTCAACACTTCCATGTTATTCTTGAATAATAATTGATGTAGAATGGAGCAAACACTCCATGTATCTGCGGAATATTTCCACGAGGAAGGATGTCTAGAAACGTTTGTAAATACTTGAGGAAGAGTTTTTGGGTCGGCTGCACACGAGAATTTCACATGACTTGGAAATAGGTCAAGATTGAGTGCTTTGGAAAAGTCTGTTAACATTAAACCTTTCGTGTTCCATCCTTTTCCGTTGATTGTCCAATCTGATAATTCTGCTCCATCTTCGTTCAATAATAGTAAATTGTTGGGCAGAATGGAGTTATGAACCATGTTTGCCTTATTGTGTAAACTTTGTAAAATATTTAAAAGTTCCAAAGTATAATACAGTATAATTGTTTCTTCCAATTTTGTTCCAGATTCCATTGCACGCTGCAGAGTAATGTTATTTACAAGTTTTTCCATTAAAAGTGTGTTCTTATCAAACACATAAACACGTTGAATGTTTGGGAATCTGTGAGAATCTACTTCGGGTATTCGCCTCATTAACTCTTCAACCATGTAATATTCATAAAAATCATTGGGAGGTCTAAACTTGAGAGCAAATGATCGATGATTAATTCCATTGTTATTTCTCAAATCTTGGATTTGTATCACGTGACAAGACAGCTTATCCTCGATGAGATATGTCTTTGTGTTCAGTTTTAAGCTTAACATTTGAGAATTGTAACTGTCCTTGTTCTTTTTCTTTTGAGCTAGTTCATTGAGAATAGAGTTTAGATCTGTTAGACTTGATCCTTTGCAATTTGAAACTCGAGAATCATTAAAGCAATTAGAAATATTGACAATATTTGAGCAAATCTTTCGAACATCTTCTGAAAATGGATTGACAACTCCATTCGCAATGAACTTTTTCAATTGTTCTGGAATATTCTTGACATCATATTTGTATGTCTCATCTCTGCTAATAATAATGGTTTTAGAAAGGTTATGTTCGTCCTCTTCAAAATACATAATTCCTGACTCATCATTCTCCTTGTTGAATTGATGAAAAGCACTCAGAGATCGATTTCTATGAACTTGAATTTGTTTCTCTGTAGGTTGTTTGCTTATTGGTTTTGGAAGTAATTGCCTAGTGTTATTCATGGTACTAATAGATTTAGCTTTTTTCAAAGTGTCATTCACACCATGCTCGTCGTCATCTTGAGAAGAGTGATGAAAATCATCTCGTTTTCTTTTCTTGTCATCCAAAGTTCCCTCTTGAGCTTTTCGAAGCTTTCGCTGTTCAAAGTAATTGTTTTCTAATTCACTATCTATTTCACCTCTGAACATACTATCAATAGTCCTGTAAGCATACGAAGTTGGAGTTGCTTCTACAATGGACTTTCTTGTTGGAATTTGTCGTGTTATATCACTTGCAAAATCAAATGAAAATTCATCTGCCTCTTCAGCTTTGTGTTGTGAAATTGCCTGACTTGGTCGTTTTGAAATTTCTGTCGTACTCGAGTATGGAATGGTTGTATTGAGATTCTTTTTTTCTTCAGAAACAAATGTCTCTGTATGATGATTCACAATGAGTGAGGTGGTTTGTAAATAATGCATGGCACGTAATTCTTCAAATGTGTACTCGGTCACACCATTAAAAACTAGATTCTTGTCATATCCTGCACAACTCAAAGTTGGTGATGCTTGTACCATCATCTTTCGATGAGATGATGATTCTGGTGTTTCTACAACGATTGTGCCCCTATGTTGCGATTGTAATTGTGATGGAATTTGATGCAATGAAGATTGTTGGCTTGACATGTGTTCCATATATTCCTTTTCCATATTACTTAATAGCTCTGTATAGACGACTTCTCTGGCCCTAGCTTCTTCATAAACAGTAGCTTCTTCTTCAAGAAGACCACTTTTTCTGCACAGTAATGCCCATGTTTCATATAATTTTGGATAACTTGGTGCAAACCGAAGTAAAGCTTGCAAATTAGTGATGGGATCATCAGTGTAGCACTCGGAAAAGATGAGCCACATATCCCAAATCATTTGATTGCTGTACAGCTCTTGAGGAAATTCTCCCGTTCCATCACAGATATGAGCATCATAGTGTTTAATTAGAAAATCCCGAATCAAGTTTCCTCGTGAGTCAAAAGCAAGTTTGTTCTCCTCAAAACGAGTTAAAAATTTGGTTAAATCAAAGAGAGCTTTTGCTTCTTTATCGATGTCTAATTGTTGAGTCTTGAGAGAAGTTTGATATTTATCAATTGCGTCTTGAATTTGTTTTTGCCTTCGTTTCTGTTCGAGATGTTGGCTCATTTTTTTAAATGTGATGTTAAATTAACGGAATTTTTGAGCGGCAATATTTGGCGGGGTGAAGGGGTGAAGAAAAATTTATTTCGACATGACTGTACGGCTTTATCGTTTTTCAATCTTATCGTCAATGATGAGACCCCAATTACCAGAGTGACAAATCCAAGTAATTTTCTTGCCTTCAAGAGCCATCTTGGCATACTTGGTCTTCTTTTCCTTATTTTGCTCAATATAGACCACACCATCCACTCGTATGTATCTGCATGAACTGTCATTCATTTGAATTTGGAATGACATGTTGTTGATACAGACATGATCTTGATCAGTATCATGAATGGCATTGTGAATTTTCAAAATATCATCATCGGTGACAATATATCCATCGGTAAATGAAGATGAATCATGAATTTGAGGAGCAGTTGAAGATGAAGCATGATGCTCGTCTTCCATCCTCATCGTTGGTTTCACAACTGTAATTTCACCAGAAGCAGCACCAGCAATGTGAGCTTGCATGGTTGGATCCATCATGTTGTGTTCTGTTGCTTCTCTATAAATTAAACCACAGAACATTTCAATTGTCTTTTCAAAGTTATCTAATTTGTAACAAGTACCACCTGTTTCTTGAGCGACCAATTCATAGAATTCATGTCCTGGTTTTTGTTTTTCACCACATTTCACAGCATGAATTTTAACATGATAATTATCAAACAAATTTTGAGCTTCTTCTTTCCAGTCAATTTTGAAACAGTCATCTTTCTTGTGAGGGAATGCATCTCCAATGACGACTAATGAACGAATAGTATAACTATTGTCCACTGAGACCCAAGAAAGTGATTGGGCTTCTTTGATAATACCTTCATACATTTCAGCATAATCGTGACCATTGGTCTTGTCTAGAGATTGAATGAAGGAAATGATTTGTTCAATATCTGTTGTGAAATCTAACTTGTACATGACATAGGAACCAGCATCGCGGCATGATTCGTAATCTCCGTGTGCAATCAATGCAATTTCCAAACCTCGAATATCATTCATCAATTGTTGACAAATCGTTTGCAACTTGAACTTCATATTATTAATGTAAGAAGTCATGGATATGGTTGTATCGAATGAGAAGCAAATTTGTACAGATGGAACTCGATCACTCGTGGCAGTATCTAATTTATGATTATTGCCAGGAACATAATAACAAGCATTCAAAATGTCAGTAATAGTAAATCCCTTGTAGATGCATGAAGATGGAATTGAAGAAAGAGCCCACTTGGTAGCATCATCGGAACCCTTCAATATCTTATTACCTGGAGTCTTTTCAATGAGTTTGTTTCTTGCTTCAGTTGTGGATGTGAAAACTTTGAATTTTGGATTAGAGAAATCATTGTATGGATTGACTGTTTTCACTGCTGAAGAAGAAGAAGAAGGCTTTGCTGCGTTTCTAATAGAATTTTTCAGTTGTTCCTTCTTTTGTTTCTTTACAGTATTCGATTGTTTGGTTCTCTTTTGTGTCGATTGACTTGCAGAAACTTTGCTTGTTTGTTTGATGGAAGCACCACGTGTTGATCTTTTCGGAGTAGAATTGGTGGATTTGGGGACTGAGGATGATGATGACGATTTGGGAGGAGAGTAATTTTTTCGCAGATCAAAGTTTCCGACAATATAATCTGATAAATAGCTTGGCAATTTGATGTTTCTTTTGGTCATGTTGTTGTTGTTTTTTCTTGTTGTGTGTTCTTCGTCTTCTCACAGCCAAATTTATGTGTTTTCGAAACATGAATTTTCAAGTTATTAGTTTTCGACAAATTACTTGAAAATTCATGTTTCGGGTTTTTGGTGGAAAAATCATGAAGAAGGCTAGAATTTCAACATTGCTCCCTCGATGGGGATTCGAATCATTCTCACAAGAACTGATTAAAATGTAAAATGCTTTTGTTTCAATAATTGACTGTGGTGGTGATGTGAATGACTACATTTCTTTGGTATTTTTTTGATTGGTTTCGGAATGATTGTGACATTATTATTGTTTAATGTTTTGCAATCCAATCGTCTCAAAAGTTGCATTTCCGAACAGTTGTCTATTGTTCAGTGCTTGAATGAGCATACCATCGTACATGGGTGAAGGATCAGTAGAGACAACACCTTTCATAATTCCTTCATAATTACAAATTGGAGCATAAACCACATCTGGTACAAGTGTTTTTGTTAAGCCCAAAATTTCACCATCTTCCATTGATGAGATAACTCTTGCCTTCTCCTTGACAAGTTGTTTGACCAATTTAGGAGACATCAAGTCGTGTGTTAAGAAATAGGTAGAGTTTTTCTCAATTAAACCAAGTACAAACAAGTGAAGCTGTTTTTGAAGAATTTGTTTGGTCTGCTTGTGTGGACAATCCTTCACTTTGTTGTGGAATATTTGAAGAATTTCATTTTCAACATATGCAATTGATGTTTCTAATAGTTGAGTTTGAACTAAATTCCATGCATTGAATTTGTTGACTTCTTTTCTTTCATCTTTTGGTATGCTTTCCTTATTTGAAAGTTGAAGCTCATTTAAAATGTCTCTGAAACGAGTGGCAACTGATTGTACTTGCTTTTCGAGCTTGGTTTCAAAAAGTGTTAGATAAAAGTTTGAATCTAATAAATCGGTGGCATTTCTTAAATGTCGACCTTTCACATTACTGTTTAAAGAATCTAATACATAATAGCCAACAGAGGAGAAAACATTGGAGTACTTTTGGGACATGATGTTTTTAAAATTTGCGAGTAAATATTTAGACACTTCTTGCTACAGGGGTGTTAAACCAATACATCATTCAGTCAAGTACTTACGAATAACACAGTATTGTCGCCTTCGAATGTTTTGAAAATGTCATGATTTGCAATTGTAAGACCAATTCGATTAAGTTGTGAATAACCCAATCCACCACACTTTTCTCTAAGTTTGAGTATGCTGGATTGATTACGATCGGTCAAGTAAGCTTTGAACCCTGCACTCAGGACATGTAGAGTTTGAGAAGTTTCTGGCGTTCTGTTGACATACAAATGATGAAGATGGTTTGATGCAAATCTGAATGCAAAATATTCTGCCAACATTGGATAAATAGTATGTTTTTGTGCTTGGAAATTGATCACTGGATTTTCTGGCTTGTTGGAAATTCCAAATTGTCTTCTTTCAAAAGAAAATCCGATAGTAGTTGCTGTGTAAAGTAATAGATTCATCCTTAACACCATCCAAAAATAATTAACACATACCAAGAGTTTTAGCCAAAGAAACAGTAGAACTACCACAAATGGAATATCTACCCATTGTGAGAGTAGACAACATTGCTCCAAATCTTTGTGATGCATTTTTGTATGGACTTTGATATTTTCCAGCTTCTGTCACATCTCCGTGCTTGTTCAACAAATTTTCTCTTGGAATGTGAACGTTGTTAAACAATAAAAATCCATTATCCAAGTTGTCTAAGCCTTCTTTTACAGTACAATCTCCAATTATGACTCCAGGTAATATTTCATTTGAAGTAGAATCTCTCACTGGAACCACAAAACAGTGAACTCCATGATTTTCCTTTCCAACAATTAATTGAGCAAAAACAAGACACATGTGACAATGTCTTGAATTTCCAATCCACCATTTGCATGCCTCTCTGCTTGGTGTATGGATTTCAAATGTGTCACTATCAGCACAATAAGTAGCTGTTGTTTGAATTCCTCTTACGTTTGACCCGTGAGCCAATTCTGTAATGGCACTAGCGTAAAAGAAAATGCCCATGTTAATACATCATCGTCACTATGCATCAAAAAACTTACTAACTTCCCATGAGCTCTAAACTGTCAATCTTGTCAAAATATTTTCTGTGCCTTTGTGTACCAAGGCTCAACAGTGTGCCTGCCCAAAAGTTGAACTATTTCATAACATAGTATTAATGGACCATTGCATTTAAATGAAACAAACCTGAAGCATAGTTTTTACAGAAAGAGCAGGATCAAAATAAGCTACAGCCGACATGGCAGCAAAATGAGTGGCAGGTTCATGCTCCAATGTATCTACAGAAAAGCATTTCTTTTCCTTCACCAAATACTTCATCTAATATTCCATCATTAGGTTGGTCACCGCTGGTTGTTGATATGTGTCGTGTAATCAAAAATACTCACTCTTTCATAATTTAAATCTAATTTCTCAATTCTTGAAAGATCAATGTCATATGGATGAAACAAGTCAGGCCGATCTCTCATTGCTTGAACAACTTTCTCTCTTGCCTTATTTTCTTTGGGAGAAAAAGGCGAAAGATATGCAGTCAATTCATCGGTTGGAAATACATTTTGTTGCTTTTGTGGTTCTGGTGATGATGATTTTGTAGATGATTTGACACCTTTTTCTGAAGTTGTTACATGTGACGATTTTTCTTGTTTCTGAGTATCGGGATTCAAATGACTTCTCAACATATCCATTCTTCTTTGTCCATTCTTATCTTCAATCTTTATCTTTCCTTGATCGGAAGCCTCCTGTAGTGCTTTCTGAATGCGAGAGCTTCGTTGCAGGTTGCTTGTGGTAGGTGACTTGTCCGATGGCAGGTCTTGATCTTTGGGCATTTTTTTTCCTAAATTCCTTTTTAACAAAATCAAACCTCAAGTTCTGGGCAAGCAGGTCAAAAAGTTTGGTGCCTATAATTTATTAATGATTTGTTGGCACCACTCTCCAGCTTTACCTTGAAGAATAGCCACACAATTTTTATCGAACGGTGTTGCCTCCATGTTGATGATCACCACAGGAATTCCTCTTCTAGAAGCTAGTTTTGGAAGGGTATTCACTGGTTCGACCAGTAACCTTGTTCCCATAACGATCAGTAGATCACATTCACGACACATTTGTCTAGCATCCACAAGCTCAGAGTGACGAAGGGCCTCCCCGAACGAAACAGTGTTTGGTTTCAAAATACCTCCACATGTTGAGCATGTAGTGAGCTCGTTAGGAATTTCTTCACCTCTCTTGACATGTTCCTTCACTTTCTCATACAATTCATTGGGATTTTCAATTAACTGATGACACTTGGTACAAACAACTGTTTTAGAGGAACCATGAATCTCAATAACTTTAGACTCTGGCAAACCAGCTCGTTGATGCATACCATCAATATTTTGAGTAATGACTCGTAGAAGTTTTCCTTGATCGTTCAATACAGAAAAAAGTTGATGAGATGGATTTGGAAAAGCTTTGGAAATTTGTTCCTTGAGGTACGCATGCATTTCGAAATAATCATCCCGTATCTTTTTTCTACCCAAAATGTTTTGATAAGTCATTTCGTCTTGATTCCACTTATCCCAAATGTTTTGTAAGTTAGAGGAGCCACTATTTCTAAATGCTGAAATGCCACTCTCAACACTGACACCAGCCCCAGTCAATCCAACGATTTTTTGAGAGTGTGACAAGAGTTCTAACACCTTGTCAAAAGCTTCTTCACCATAAAGAGTGTGAGGTCTTTGCTCATTGTCTAAAATCAAGTCAAACTCAACACATTCTCCTTCTGATCGATGGAATAAGTCAACACTAACATGGGGATCATTCTTGAAATAATCAACAAATGTTAAATTACCATTCTCATCTGTTCCAATGTCAAACTTTTTACATTGAATTCTTGAATTTCCGAGTGGATCTTCAATGATTAATTTAAACCAATCAGGAACAAAATCTTCATTTTCAACAATCTCTTTAAAGACACCGATTTTTGGAGAGAGTTGTTCTTTGATGGCAGATGGCATGTTATCCAATGAGTACAACAAGGATTTCAAAAATTCACGAACGGTACCAAACTTTGCATTACCCTTTGGAATTTCAAGATCAAAATTCGGGCACAAGATGGTCACATTGGAGCTATCGGTTCTTAATATCAAACGATCCATCAATTCCGAGAACAATTCACGTTGAGCTTCTTCATCCATATTGATATCCTTCTTGAATATCAATTGACAAATAATTCCCATGTCATAATATTCTTCCATTTGAACTGCATCAATGGAATCAAAATGTTCAGGAAGTGTTTCAATTTCGAAAGGTGGTTTTGCGTGTTGTTGGAAAGTTTTCATTTTTTTTTTGTCGAGTTCATCCACAGCGGCGCACTTGGGTGCATTTGCGAAATGAATACCACCAGCACGTGACCACTGAGAAAAAGAAAATATTAAGGTTTTGGATGTTTTTGTTGGAAATTTTCAACTGTCTCTCCAGTGTTGAGTGAACTCGAAGAATAAGGATCTTCAAACCCAAGTGGACTTTACGAATTTGATTGTCCATTTTTATTCTTTCTTTTGCCATGTCTATCTCTAACAGATTTTGGAAGGGTGTTGCGAAACAAGTCCCAATTTGACGCTCGTTGTGATTGAATCTAACCACAAAACAAAATAGCCTTACATTGATCAGCCGTGTTCGTTTGATACTTCTGCACCATCTTGAGAACGATCATTTGCGATCGCCAACTCATAACTCGTGAGGTTGTAGTACTTTTCCGTGCTGAAGCGAACGTTAATCGATAATACCTTGTTCTGCATTCTATCCTAATGTTTTAGCGTTTTTCTTTTCCGAATCCAATCATCTTTTGTAAATATACAGTCATCGCTCGATCAACTCTTAACCGACACTTATTGTTTGTACAAACACTCAACGCTCTCCCTGTTGTAAATAATCATCACCTTGAAATGAGCGAAGAATTATTAACTGATCAACCCCTTGCTCAACAAAAAACTAACATGTTAGAGGATGAATCAAGCACCACAACCGCACAGGGTGCAGAGTCCTCAGCTTTATCCATTCCTTCTGCCAATAAGAAGAAGGCTACTCTACCATTTTGGAATCATCCAATCATGTATCTTGTTAATATTCATATTCTCGTGTGTTTGCATGCTTTCTCTTGGTGGGCTTTACTTCAAACTGCAAATCATCCTTTGAGAAAGCATATCATCTCTCAACCGCTATCTTTTATTCAGAAAACTATGACTTACATTCCAGATACTGTAGTTCCTCATGTCAACCAAAACATTTCTGTGATTCTCTCAGAGTACTTCCCTTCTGAGGAAACAGTCATTTCAACTTCATTCTTGTCAAGCCCATTATTTGGCTTTGTTATATTGCCAATTGCTGAGATTGTACTACCATTCAAAGGAGTTCAATACTTGTATGAGAATAAGGTATATGACAAGAAGGACATTGACGATCAAACGAACAAGTACAAATTATTCTACAGAGTAATTCCTCTCATTTACACAGTGACTCTGAGCGCATTATTTTGGTTCTCTCTCACTCGTGTTCATTTATTGACCATAGAACAATTTCTCATGCATTCATTCTCTCTCGCTGTGGTTATTGCTCAGAGCGGTGCTATCTCACATGAAATGCTTCACAAAAGAACTTGGCTCGAGAAAATATGCTCCAGAATTATTCTAAGCTATCATAGCTATTTGCATTTCCCTTTGGAGCATGTATATTCACATCACAAAAAACTTGCCACCTATGAAGATGCAGCCACTGCAAGATATGGAGAGACTGTTTACACTTTTGTGTTTAGATCAAGTTTTACAGGATATATGAATGCATGGAAAATAGATATGGAGAACGTTAAAAAGAAAAAAGGAAAGTTAAGATGGTTGAAATCTGAAATGCTATGGAGTACTGCAGCTACAATTGCTCTCCCAATAATTATATATCAGTTCATTGGAGTAGCTGCCTTGGCCTCATTTATAATCACATGCATAGTCGCAATATTCCTTGTAGAGGTAAGTTGAACATGTTACAGTGAAAAATTGAGGTTCAACCTTACGAAGTCTGTCAATTATGTGGAGCATTATGGCCTTATGAGAAGAAAGAGGGATGATGGAACTTACGAACCAGTGAATGAAACTCACAGTTACGATGCACTTTTCAGAGTGAGCAGTTACAGTTACTTTAATATCATTTTCCATGCTGATCATCACTTTTATGGTCAACGAGAGTACTACAAATTGAGAGTCTATGACAACTCTCCCAAGCTTCCTTATGGCTATGGAACAATGATCCTGTTATCTTTCGTTCCTCCTCTTTTTTTCAGTGTTATGCATCCTATTTTGTTTGATTTTTATGAGAAACGAGGAATAGACTACAATAAGATGTTACAGCAAGAATAAAACATGTAACACATGATCACAGCACTTGATTACCAAACAGGCACTCGAATTTCCTGCACTGTCAGTCGTCGCCAGTTTTGGGACCTTTCATTCTTCAACCATTTTTTTAATGATGTTGATCAATGGCCACCTAAAATAGTGTACACCTCACTGTTTGTGCTCGCTTTGCTTTTAGACAACCACAAGAAAAAGCGTCCCTTCTCCCCGATTATCTCTGTCAAAATCAACAGACATAATTTATCTTTGGCCTTGTTGAGCGAGTCTATCATCATTGGATTTGTTTCAAGACATCACTGACTTTAAAATATTCAAATCCAGACTTCTGAAACACCACCACTACAACATCGTTTGTTTCATCGGTATCATTTCAGCAAGCAACACTATCTACCTTCCTTCTTTAATTTCATCATCAAAAGGCTTGTCTGCTTTCAACTTGGAAAGTTTTGTACATAAAATAATTGGCAACAACAAGAATCTCGAGGCACAGTCGATCATCACAAGCCTACTGCTTCTCCAATTCCTTTTCCTCTACAAAATAATATCATCCAGAACAACAACAGTTTCCTGACTGACTTTATCCACCAATTTATTAAAAATGTCTTCTCAACCTCCTTCCTATCACCACCATCAATATTCAGACTCATCTCAAATGACCGACGAGATGGTCAATCAAGTCGTTGCTTCTACATCATCGGTTGAAGATCGTATGAGTGTAGATCAAATCACTGGACAACCACAACCACCACAATACAACCAAGACGAGTCATCAACCATGATGAATCAGGATGGGGATCAACAACCAAACAACTCAATTGCTTCCTCTAAAATATCTGCTTCTTCCTTCTCAAAGTTGGCAAAATTGCAACAACAACAAGAACCAGAGTATGACGAATTGGAAGTTAAAGAATTAGAAGGAGAAATATTCGATATTCAAAGGAAATATCAATTAGAAGCAATTAGAGGACAGGTAAGTTTCTTTTTTCCAATCTTTGTGGAATTGCATCCTATTGATTCTTTGACTTATTCAGGGAAGTTATGGTGTTGTCGCAAGTGCTGTCAACACAAGAAATGGGCAAAAATGTGCTGTTAAAAAGAACAAGAATGTATTCCCAAGAGTGTCAAAGAATAACGAAGCAACAGTTCCTCACCGATCTAAAATGTCACAAAAGAGAATTTTGCGTGAATTGAAGATTCTGCAACATTTATACCATCCAAACATTGTAAGATTGATGGATGTCGTTCCTCCAAGAGACTATGACAGTTTTGGAGACGTTTATTTTGTCACAGAATTGATGGAGGCAGATTTGAGAGACATCCTTTCAAGTGATCAACCATTGACTGACCAACATGTGAAATACTTTATTTACCAGATTTTGTTAGCTGTTCACTATACACAAAGTGCTAACATTCTCCACAGGTATGTGCTATTATTCGGAATTTGACATCTGACATTGTGCTTTTTTATACAGAGATTTAAAACCAGAAAATATTTTGTTGAACAGTAATTGTGAGCTGAAAATTTGTGACTTTGGTTTAGCAAGAGGTATTGATTTTGATCAGGATCCTCGAATGAGTACAAATTACGTTCAAACTCGTTGGTATAGAGCTCCTGAATTGATTTTGAACAATGATTTTGTTTCTAAGGAAACTGACATGTGGTCTATTGGATGTATTATGGCAGAATTGATGGGCAGAAAAGTCTTGTTTAGAGGAACCTGTGCTGTGGATCAAATGAGACGTATTGTCACTACTCTAGGAACACCAAATTTGGAAGATATCAAAGGCTCCGATCAAGGAGTTGAGTTTATGGCTACTTTACCTAAATCTGAAGGAAAAGACTTTTCTAAATTATTTCCAAGTGCTAATCCTCTAGCCATTGATTTGTTGAAACGAATGCTTGAATTCAACTATGAAAAGAGAATCACAACAGAAGAAGCAATTCGTCATCAATATTTTGCTGATTTATTTGAAGAGAGTGATATTGTGAATTGTGACACTCTCTTTGATTTTGCATGGGAAGACAAATTAGTAGATTCTGAAGATATCAAACGTGAATGTTATGACTCAATCATCAAGTATAGAAAAGAAAAGAGAAACAACAGAAACTCGTATCGTTATCCAAACGTATCACTCATCGAACAAAAGAAAAAGATGATCAGAGAGAGAAGACAAAAAGAACAATTGCTTAGACAACAGCAAGAAGAAGCTCAAAGAAGACAGAAAGAAGATCAATTAAAACAACAACAAGAAGAAGAGGAAAAGAATAGACAAGAAGCTAGCAATTCTACATCCACAAGCTCACAAGGACATGCGGGTGTTCGAAAATCTTCTACCAATGGAAAATTCAAACTGTTCAAGAAAGTTAGAGAGCTTCTTCAATAACATCTTAACTGTCAATTGTACAAAAAACAATAAATCAATGTGATGACAGATTGGTTTCAAAATACGTTGCAAGCTACGACAATGAACACAAAAAAATGTTTGATTTTATCTATTCCCTATGGGCTGGCAAATATGTTTCACCACAACAAATTGAGCCTCACAAGCTAATAGCAACCGGAACCGAGCCTTGGGCTTCGGCTTTTGTTTACCCCAATAAGTAGTGTATTATTTTCATTTTCATCATTTCGTATCAACACGTAATTAGTTGGAGAATGAATAACGCTTCTAAACGAGTACTTTTAAAAGAAAATCGGAAGTGGAGATTACTGGTAGATGTTTTGATACATAGCCATGCTTTTCTATTGTCTGTTCTTGTACTCGTTCTATTTGTCATCATTTCTTGGTTTAAAATGTTTTAGAGAGCAGTGTTATTGGCCTCTATGTTTTATTCAACTGTACTATTCGTGCTGCATTGGAAGTATTTACGTTGCTTTTCGAAAAATTCGTCTTGAGAATTTGTTGCAATACATGAGGAAGGTAACAAGACACTTAAAATTGAAAGCTTTAAAACATCATCATCCGAAAGTGCTTGACTCTCTTGAATTTGTAGAAAATTGCAAGACAGACTCTGAAGAAATAATTTAAGAGCTATTCGATTCAGATAATACAGCACTCCCATGTCATTGGAATACTCATGTTTCATCACTCCATTGAAACTTATTGAATTTTCTGTGTAAATCTCTGGTGCAATTGGCATTTCAAAATGATTATTGTTGAAGAAAGGTGATCGGAAAGTAATAGATAAATGATTGTTGTTTGTTGAATCATCACCGCTCTTCAGTATCACTTTACAATTGGAACACTTGAGAAAGAAGTGTTGATCACTATTCTCTATTTCCGATTCAACAATGTCATCAATGACTTCAATCAGCTTGTTTTTTGAATGAGCCAAGTTTTTGGATATTAATGCTTTATGTGTTGCTTTCTGTAGCTTTCTCAACTTCTTTTTGATGTGATCTTCCAAATTGGTTGCTGGCATGATAATGTAAAGGATTTTTGTTTTGTTCCTGTTCTCACCTGCAGTGCGTTTGTGAAGCTGAAGGCATTGTACTCTGGAATTTTGTGTTTGGATTAAAAAAAATATTCAAGCAAAATCAAAGGTCCACAATCATCGATTTATTTGTTGTAATTCTTTTTGGCCACCAATTAGAAACTCCTATTCGTGTTTTTGCTTGTACCCAATTTTAGAATCTTGATTGCTGTATAAAAGTACAGTAAATATTGCCTCAGAGCACATCGGAACACATATTCATCATCAATGGACGAGCAATTCAAGCAGTCGTTTGAGAGGGCCATTTTGTCCCAAGCTGATGCTTTTGCAAGCCAATCGGTGAAGAAAGATGCCTATGAGTATTGTGAACAGCTAAAACTCAGAGATGATATTTGGAAAATTTGTCTTCAATTTGTTTTAGAGTCAACACATGATCAAGTCAAGTTTTGGTGCTTCGGAACGTTATCATCGTTTTTAGCTGAAAGGTAGGTTCAGATTATCGAACAGCTATTTTCTTACAATTTTGGTGATTGAAGAGCAAGTATTCTTTCCGATCAAGACAAGGACACCATTAAGAATGCTTTGATGCACTGGTTTTTGAATGTAATGAATAACAGGACTCCTGCATTTCTAAAGAACAAGTTCTGTGAAACATTAGTTGCTATCTTTAGGATTGAGTACTATTCTCGTTGGCCATCATTTTTTAAAGACCTATTCTCTATTCTTTCAAACTCTCCAAGTGAGCTCATGATTGAAATGTATCTAAATATTCTTGATACAATCGACTTTGAATTTGTTGCAAGATATATTGAAAGGTCACCAGAAAGCCACAAAAGAGCTGTAGACATTGTAAGTAATTTCGAAACCGCTTTTCATTTATTGACACCTCCTAAACAGAAAGATGCTATGCGTGAAGACTGTATTCCTCAGGTGGTGAGCACTTTTTACACAATTCTTTCTGCAAAGCATTTAGCTCTCTCGAATCATTGCCTTACAACAATGTCAAACTATATTGATTGGATCGATATAAATTTAGTGACAACAGAACAATTTGTTCAGCTATTCTATCAGTTCTTGACAATGAACGAATTTAGAACTAATACCTGTAAATGCTTATGTGTCATGGTGGAAAAAGGAATGAACGATAATGATAAGCTCAAATTAATAACTTCCCTTCAAATTCCTCAAATATTGTTAAATACAGTGGTTGATGTAAGTTTTGGAGCTATTTCAATGGGTGTGAAATTAATCGCAATTTAGAGTAATAATGATGAGCAATTTGCTGAATCAGTTTCTGAACTTGCTGCTGGTGTTTCTAATCAACTTTTAGAGATTTCTTCTAGAGTAAGTTGAGCAAGCATTAATTTTTCTTCCAGTTATTAACTTTCTTTAGCCAAACCAAGATTATCAATTACAGTCCAGTGCCAGCAAAATTCTTCAAGATATTTTCCCATTTGTCCTTGCGTTGTTTGCTGATGCAGACGACCAAGTCTCTTCATCAGTTATCAAATTTTTAAATGATTTTGTTTCTGTGGTATGTTTTCACATTATTTGTTATTGAATTTAGTACTAACCTTTTATCAGATTAAGAAGTCTAAAACTTTACAATTTGAGACTCTCCAAACACAACTCCATGAAATGTTGACAACCATTCAAAAGAAGGCAAAATTTACAGAGGATTTCAAATTCGACCCTTCCCAGCAGGATGATTATGAGACTGGATTTTTAGAATATAGACGAGAGTTGTTTGTTCTATACAAGAACATAGGAATCATTGCTCCTGATTTGATGAAGCACTTCATACACGCATTAACAAACCACACCATTGGCAATCTTAATGTACTTGGATTTGCTGACGCAGAAATTTGTTTAACACTGTTGTACATTACTGCTGAAGTTTTTCCAGACATGATTAACAGACCAAACATCAATCAGCAAGAAAATATTTTCTTTAATCTATTATTACAAATTGTTGGAAGCAGTAAGTTTGACGAAATTTCAACACTGATAATTTATTTTAATTCATTTTGTCAATTTAGACATTTCATCTTTTCCTCATTCGTCTATTCAATTGGCGTATTTTGAGGTTCTCTCTAGATATGCATCATTGGTTCCCAAGTTTCCAGATGACGTTATTTCCTCAATGTTGCAATCATTTGTTGATGAGCGAGGACTTAGGAACACCAATCCTCAGGTACAAGGTAGAGCAAAATTTTTATTTTCCAAATTTTCTAAACCTCTTAGGGAGAGATTGAGTGGATTTATTGAACCTTTATTTGTTTCACTGAAAGAAATTATGTCCATAAGCCTACCTTCTGACCAAGATTTATCAGTTGAGGATTATGGAGGAGACAGATTCTTCTTGTATGAAGCTATTGGTTACTTATGTGCTTCGGAAAAAGTTACTTCTGAGATAAGGCAAAAGGTGTTTCAAGAAATTCTCATTCCATTTAATTCAGCAATTGAAGAAATTTTGAATCAAAAACTTTTTATGACAGATACTGCCGAAAGACCAAGATTTACGAAATATATCAGTAGTATGATTCGTGCGTCAGCCTTTTTGAGCAAGGGCTTTGACGATAGTGCTGCTAAAAAAGTTTATTTTAAGGACTCGGTAGAATTTTTCAAACATTTCCTGATGACTGTGACCAGGGTTCATTCAGAAGTACCCAAGAGCAAAGATATTCAAACATGCGTCATTCTTTATTATCACAGGATGATTGAGCTCATGAACGAAGAGATTTTGGAAGTCATTCCGTCCACACTTTCAAATCTTTATCAATCCTGTACAGAGATTTATCAAATGAAAGATTTGTTGATACTATTGGGTCAAGTTATGCAAAAGTATAAGGACAAGGTCTTCAATTTGGTTAATGAAATGTTTGGCCCTCTAGTGACTAAAATTTACCCAATGATGAATAATGGTGTGTATGATTACTCGCTCATTTCCACAAGTGAAGAAACTAGAGAAAAATCAGAATTGCACAAGTCGTACTTTGTTTTTCTTCACACCATTTTCTTAACAGGACTACAACAAGTTCTAGTTTCTGACAGTAAGTATTTACATAAGCATAGTAATTTGTATGGATTGATACAATGGAATGGATATTCAATAGAAAATCGTGCCTTGTTCAATGGAGTATTGGAAACGGTTTTGAAAGGATGCCAACATGCCTCAGTGTATCACATCAAAACTGCATTGCTATGTTTGGAAAATATTGTGAATTGCTATTCTCCTCAACTGGGAGCAGAATTTAATGATTTTGTAATGAAAAACATAACTGTTGAAACTTTCACCATGTTGTTTCGCCCAGATTTTGATATCAACGATGGTGCCTCTTTCAATGTTGTCTCAAATGTGACCCAAGTATTTGCGGCCTTAGTGGACAAATGTGGCCCTGCCTTCCTCAATTATTTAGCCAACTCTTTCCTACCACAATTGGGAATGGATAATAATGATATTCAAGGCTTCTGTCTAACACTGCAAGACATTAACAACAAGAAGAACAATGGACTGGAAAGATTCAAACAATTATTCGTTACCTTCCTACAGGCAAGAAAGAAGAAATAAATATTTATGAGCATGTTTACACACTTTGAAATTCTTGCACAAATTTAAGGTACTTGTCCACCTCATTTCCTGAAACACTTGGTTTCATGTTTTTAATGGATTCTGAAAAGTCCTCCATTTTCAAATTCAGCCTTAATTTTCCCTCTTCTTTTAACTTCATAATTTCATCTGTTGATTTGTTTTCCAGCTCTTTTCTTAATGGACGAAGCGCAGCTTCTTTACAGATTAAATGAATATCAGCTCCACTGTAACCTTCTGTCATGGCTCCTAAACCTTCCATGGAAACATCGTTATCAAGATCTTGGTCTTTGAGGAAATTTTTGAACAAGGCTAGTCTAGTTTTTTCATCTGGAAGAGGTATATAAATTCGTTTTTCAAGACGTCTTCTCATTGCTTCATCCAAATCCCAAGGTTTGTTGGTGGTGGCCAACACCATCACCCTGCTATTTTGACTGTTAATTCCGTCGATTTGAGAAAGTAATTCGCTCTTTAGTCTCCTCGACGCTTCATGCTGTGATAAATGTTAGGATTGTACTTTGTTTCTCACACTTGACACTTACCTCAGAAGCACTACCTCTTGTCATCATTAAAGCGTCAATTTCGTCAAAGAAAACGGTACTTGGACTATACAACCGAGCAAGTTGAAATAGTGTCTTGACCAATCGTTCTGACTCTCCATGATATTTTGAAACCAGTGTCGAAGCACTACAGTTGAAAAATGTGGTTTTTCCTTCAGTGGCTACAGCTCGAGCGACCATAGTTTTTCCGGTTCCAGGGGGACCAAACAGTAAAACACCTTTCCACGGTGACCTTAACCCGGCAAATATGTCAGGCATTAACAATGGGAGAACAACTGCTTCTTTCAGCAATCGTTTGGCATCATGAAGCTCAGCAATGTCGTCCCACTTTACGTTGGGGTTGAATTCTATGATATCTCGTTTGATCATTTCTGCCAGTGATTTGTCGACATATTCTGGAAACGGCCTCTCTATAAGGGGCAGCTCTTCTATTGATTTTTGCTCTTCTTTAGGGTCAAACACCTTCCATGAATACACGGTTGCTTTGGACGAAAATACTCCCATCCCAACTCGTCGTTCTTTGCTCCCTTCTGTTGAAAGAGGTAAAATTACGTCATTGAAAACTTCAGCACCATTACTTTTTAAGGTCAGCTTTCGGTCTGTTAATGAAATTTGAATGTCCATTAATTTTAAAGGTGCCAATGTCTTATCAATTGCTTGCTGTACAGGTGTTGTCTTCTTGCTTTCAACTTTGTCTATTTTCCAATATTTTTGACCGCAATTCATGATGACTGCAATGTACTCGTCTTTAAACCTTTTGCTGATCCCATAGTCAATAACGATGGCAAATTGAGAGTTCTCGTAAGGTTTTTGGATTTTAAGGAATGTATGGATGGTAAAGTCTTCACTTTCCAAGTCCACAAACGCCTTTTCTTCATATGTTAATATATACCAATGAAGAGAGCTTGATTCAATATTAATTGTTGGTTTTCCGTTCAGATCACAAACTGATGTGCATTTGCCCCTTCCTAGTCTTTCAGTCCAATTAAATGTATTACTTTCAATGTCACCAGATTTTGGGACTTGTATTCTCTGTGGTAAGACATTTTCAAGTTTTTCCTCTTCAAACTCTATATCCCACTGATCTCTGCCAAATGCACCAGTTACTTGTTTTGAGACCTTCGGATTGGTTGACAGGTCCTTTGCCGATGATTGTACTCCCAGCTTTTTTGCAATGGTTCCTCGAACAGCGTCAGATTTTTCAATGTGCTTCGTAGGCATGATCCCTTCCTTTGCGAGAATATCTTTCCTCCCAGTTACAGTTCGAATAGGATCTTTGACGACTTTTTCCGATTTCTTCGGAGCAGAAAATGTTTTTTCATAGGTTGATCCAATCCTTTTGCTTGTTGTTTTTGTTGCAGCTGATTTTGATGATGAAGCAACAGAGCCATTCCGAGATGAATGAGCATTATTATTTGATGATGTCGTGTTATGTTTCAAAGCAGAAGCCACTCCTGATGAGTTGTTTTTGAATTCATGCATTTTTTACATGTAAATTCAGAAAGCGGGAAATTTTGCTGCACTAAAATTAGTAGTTTGAAGAACAGAAGAAATGGTAAAGGAGCAACATGTTGCTCAAATAATAGTCATTTGTTTTTATTTAAATGAAACTTGAATATTGAACTGTTTTTGCAATTTCAATGATTGAATATTTGTCTTTCTTTCTTTTTTGGTTGATCACCCGCAACAACCGTTCTATTCAGAGTGGGACTTACAAAAAATGTCTTCACTCTCTCTTCTCAAGAATGCCCTGAATCAAGTCAAAAATGAAAAGAAGGCACTGTTAACGGCTGCTGCTTCATCGGAACCACAGCAAGAAAATACCGATCATGCTAATAATAATAACAATTCAGCATCCTCATCATCAAAACGATGGGTGAAGAAGAGTGAAATTGAGGAGTTGCGATATAAGAAAGTTTTAGAGGAGAGTAAAAAAGGAGTTAAAAGAAAGCAAGAGGTATCCATAAATTCTGAAAATAATCGTGATGGAGAATCAACAAGTTTAGATCCGAATCAAAAGAAAACAAAAATTGATAATGATGATGACGATGATAATTTGGAAACAATCCCAAGAATTGAAGTATTCAGATTATTGCGTTCCTATGGAGAACCAATAACGTTATTCGGAGAGACAGATAAACTCAGATTAAAACGTTTGAAAAACATTCAGACAACTTTAGGAGAATTTAAAGGACAACAAAACGACTTTGCTAAAGCTTTGAAGGAACGAGAGCAAGAGGTGGCCGATGAAGTCAATACGAGTGGTATCGAACACTCATCCAATGCCGAAAGCTCAACACGTCAAGATGGTACTAAGAAGGAGAAAATTAAATACAAAGGTGTTCATCACAAAAAAGAATCAGAGGACGCTTATGAGTTTGTATTGAGAGTTTTAAAGAGATTAATGAAAGAATGGCAATATTCCCTTGACGAATTACCAGAGCATGTTAAAAAGTCCTCTCAAGGAAAGCATGACGCAACAATTTTCAAACAAACCAAAACATATATCAAACCCCTCTTTAAATTGCTGAAAAAGAAACAATTGTCAGACGAAATTCTCAAGTTTTTAGAACCAATTTGTACATTTATGGCGGATAGAGAATACGTAAAAGCAAATGATGTATATATGGAGTTGGCTATTGGAGATCAGCCTTGGCCAATTGGTGTAACCATGGTTGGTATCCACGCAAGAACTGCGCGTGAAAGAATTGGTTCTGACAAAATCAAACACATTCTCAACGACGAAGAACAGCGAAGGTACGTCCAAAGCGTGAAGCGATTGCTGACTCTGGCACAAAAACTTTATCCAACTGTGCCAAGTAAGATGGTCGAATAAAGCTGTATTGAGCATAAATAATTGTATTTATCGTTTTCTGGCTTGTACATGCAAATAATAAGGAGCATACTTTGTAGTTTCGTCATCGTATTTCTTTTGTACTGAAATGTCACAAAAGCCGCTGTTCCATAAATTTTTCTCAAACTCATACTTCCTTGCAAAAAGGGGTTCAATAGCACTCTGATCGACATGCTCTGTTTTAAAATCAAGAATGCCATTACTTCTTAAAATTCGAAAATATTGCATGATTACAGGCTTGTTCAATAAAATGTTATGGCCAATAAAGTTGAAAATAACTTTTGAAAATCTATGTGTTGGAAATGGCAGTAGATTATCCTCGTTAAAAGCATCTCCCACTACATCTGGTTCCTCTGCAATGTCAATATCCAAGGTAAAGTTCATCTCAGGTGTATTTGTGGTTTCATTATGCTTGTCACCGATCACTAAATTTTCCCCTCGAAATTGGCTAATCATTCTCTTGCTAAAGTGCAAAGGAGCTTTCTTAATATTCATTCGTCCATTACCACTACTAGTAAATGACACAATATTTAACCCCTTCTCCAACCACAAATCAGAAATTTTCAGCTTTCCAGAATCAATTAAAACACAAATATAAGGCTCATATTCTGGAATAGATCGAGGAAATATCACATTCACCCACGCAAATGAAAATCCAACACATTTTGCTAATTTTGACTCATCCACAGCGTCAGGAATATATTTTCTTTCAGTCTTCTCTGCTTGTTCGTCATCACTGTCCTCATAATAAAACTGCAAGCTCCAAAACTTGGCAACAAATAAAAATGCTTTAGATAACATGTACAATTTGCCATGAAATCGTCTATCCTTTCCATATTTGAAATCAGAAAGTAATTCAATAAGAATATCTTGAGGAGTTTGACTCTCTATGGCTTTCTCAATCACTACTTCAACTGGTGTTGAGGCTTCTACATGATCTTCTGATGTAACAAGGTTATGCTCGTCATGAACCAAATGCTGGCACTCCTCCGGAAATAGTGCAGCCATAATGGAGTAAAAGGCTTGCTCTTCTTCATCATCCCGATAGGTGATTTTTTCTAATTTTGAAAATATAGAATTTACTTTTCCAAATAATTCAATGATTTGTGGATCTTTTTCTTCGTAATCTTCGTGATGATGATGATGGCAACATGAATGATCATCATGATCGGAGCATGAGCCATTCTCATCGTCATGGACTGTTTCGATCATTTTTTTTTAACAACAAGGATTTCTAGTTCCAAGTTCCGACAGGATGTATCGCTATTCCAAGCTTTAAAAAAGTGTTCAAACAATAGAAAATCTCGACTTATTTTATTGCTACTTCTTTTTAATGAGAGATTGCAGACCTGTTGTCCAATATTTCAATTCTTGATCGCTGGTACATTGTAATTCATACACTCTTCCAGTAGTGGTTGAAATATTAAATCCATATTGAGTAGCACCTGGAAGAACATCCAGAATATCATCCACTCCAATAGCTCCCTTAGATTTTCCCTGTTTTTTGAAATGAAAAAATTCACCATTTGTTTCACATGTGATCGCATTCACATGATTCAATCGTTTCAAAAAATTCACATCATATTATATTTCAGTTTCACTATACTTACTCCTTCTTTTTCATAATAACACAAATAATTTCCTTCCAAATTAAACCAACGTTTTCGCCATAACTTGACAAAACCTTTTTCTCCCTTCTTTTGTAAATATCCATGAAGTTCTTTTACGGGAGTCGAAGTTTTTGATTTTTGTGTCGTGCCAGTTGTTTTTGTGGGCGTTGGTGATGAAGATGTTGCTGGAGAGTTCGTTTGGGATGAAGTGACTTGAGATTTCTTGGTATTCGTGTCATTCTCGTCGTCAGCATCTTCATCTTCGCTGTCATTGCCACGAGTGGTCGTTTTAACACCAGTCGTTGTAGTGGTCATTTGTGAATGGGTCACATTCTTCTTTTGAGAAGTTGTATCTGTCACCATAGTAGTACCAGCACTTGTTGTCAATGTAGTAGAATTCGTAGTATTCGTTGAGGGTTTCTTTTCACCCTTATTCATAAAATCTTCATCCTCTTGTGAATCCTTTCCTTCATCATCATCGTCATCGTCGTCATCTGATTCTGAATCGTATTCTTCTTCCACAATTTTTGAAGTTTCCTTTTTCGTTTGATTCGATTGGGAGGATGCATTCGTGGCAGCCAAATGAGTTTCTCCCTTTTCAAATTTCTCCAAAGTCAATTCTGGATTTGGATTCTTATCGGATGGATGTGGTTTCAAAATTGCTGCAGTGTGTGTCTCTCCACAGCACATGTAAAAACATTCACGAGTCGTGGTTGGAAATGGAAACTTTTTAGGATACAACAGAGAAGCTTCATCAATACTCAAACTTTCATCATTAAGCTCTGCAATTCCTAATTTGTTATCTTCATTATTTCCCCAAATGTACAATTCATCACGTCCACCCTTGTTCATGGAAGTATCATCGTCTGAATTATTCAACACAATGCAACCTGTGTGAGTAGCAAATGAACTCTTGGCAATGGATTTCACACGCTTTCCTTCCAATGCATTTTGAATGACACATAAAAGAGTTCTTGGAGCTTCACCATGTCCTCCTCCGTCACATCCGCCTTTACCACAACTAAACAAACGTCCATCTGAAGTCAATGCCAAAGTATTATATTTGAGACATTCGATCGCCACAAAATCAACTTCATCACTTTGTTTAAGATTTTCCTCTGTTACGAGATCTCCAACTTGAACCAAATCGACGAGACGAGGATAAAAATCAGATTCTTGTTTCATGTCGAGAATTCTTCCCAATGGACCTAAAAAGTTGTTGCCCCATGTGAAAATTTCGTTTTTTGCAGTAATACAAGCCATGTGAGATTGTCCACAAGCAACATGAATAATTTCTTCCTTTTCAAGAGATTCATAATCATTGACATCATCTTCCAAGTCATCCACTCCATCATTCTCAAGATTGTCTTCAGAATCATTGAATTTTTTTCCAGTGCTTGTCACTCCAATGACACGTTTGGGTTCAAAGACATCCTTCTCATCTCCGTGACCTAACATTCCACAAAAATTCTTACCCCAAGTATATAAATGTTTATCACGTGTGATGCAAGCCATACATTCTTCACCAGCAGCAATAAAAATACAATTTGAAAAGTGATCGATTCGTGTGGGTTTGGGAACTTTAAATTCCTCAAAAGAATTCACAATTTCTTCTCGATGTCCCAATTGACCATACATTCCACTTCCCCATGTGTAAATATCTCCAGATCGTGTCAGGCAAGCACAAAAATTCAATCCACAAACTATTTGAATGACATCCTTGTTGGAAAGTTCTCGCCAATGAACCAATGAGTTTTTAGTGTCATCCACGTCTTCATGTTCATAATCAGTCATGTACCAACTTCGAGAACCAAGTGTGTAGACTTCTCTCTTTTCTATTTGAAGATTGTTTTGATAATTGGTTGATAATTTGAACCACAAATGTTGGTGAAAGGTTTGTTTGTTGTTGTTGTTGAGAGATTTCGAGATGAATTAAAATGATTGTGAATATATGGTTGGTTCATCATGATAAATTGTTGTTGATCGGAACGATATTAGTAGAAGGTGAGTGTGGGTGTGTGTGAGAATGACCACAGTTGTATTCGTTCATTCAATGTTGTTGAAGTTTGGGATTTTTCGCCAGTCATGTCGGATCGAAGTAACATTAAACAATGACAAGTATGCATCATGAAGAACACAAATGTCAAAGATTTTCTCTCAAACGCACATACCTGTCAAAATTGCAGTAAAACCCAATCCACAAGCAGCCATCAAAACTGGAACATCAAAAAAGTATGGAACAGCAGTGGGCTCTTTGAGAGTGCCTTCGGTTTCATTGCGAGTGGTTTTACCCCACACAAAAACGCGTCCTGGTTTCAAGTCTTCCATTTTTTTACAGGGTGCAGTGACAACTGATAGGTGATTTTTCTGAACAAACCACAGCGAAAGCTTTCCGAAACGCTGAGATTTTTGGAGTCACATTGTTTCCTTGTAATACTAATATTATTTTATGGAATCTGTAGTAATGCCACTGTTTGGCCTTGGAGACAATACGGTTGCAAGAGAACTTTTTTTCGTTGGGTCCAGTTTGGTCATTGATAAGGCATCTTGAATGCTTTTTTCCAGCTCTGAAATTTCAATATCAATTTCGTTGGTAAATGATATGAGCTCATTGAGGTTCTTGTTATCAATTAACTCTTCTGTGATGTCTCTACATTCAGAGCAATGGTAATGATATGAATTAGTAGCTTCATCTAACCTTTTGATCCTGTCGCTATTGCAACATTTCACACAAAATGCATGTCCACAACATAGGATTTTTGGTTTCAGTGTTGGTTCTTTACAGCTTGTACATTTGGTATACTTTTCCACGCCCTCGTATAAGGTCTTAATGCGAAGAGCCACCCTATCAGCAAGAATAACCTTTTGTGACAACACTTCATAACACTTTTTCAAGTATTCATTCCTTTGCCTGAGCTCATACACAACGTTTGGATCAGGAGGTTGTGGTGGTTGGTATGGTTCATCGAATTGAGCCTGACTAAGACCTTGCATGACTTGCTTTTCTTGTTGCGACTTGATAAGCGAAGCATCGAAAAATGGAATCTGTGCTTTTTGATTAGCAGCTCCCCCAGCTTTTTGTTTTTCATAAAGTTGATCTCGTAACTGGACAAGCAAGGAATGTAAAATATACTCTTTAGATCCAATACAATACTTACAAATGAAACTGTGTCTCTAGTTCTAGACAAGTTTTCATGAAGCTCCTTGTTAACAACAAACATGTCGAATATTGCTTTCTCGTTTAAGGTTCCATCTTCGTTGTAAAAGTGTTTTAAAAAGTCAGACATGACATCTTGCTTCTCCTTTAAAGTCATTTTATCATTCTCTGCCATAATCGTGGTAATAGTATTCTCTGCTCGCTTAGACGGCCGATCATTGTAATACTTTTCAAATTCTCGTCTTGAATTTTCATATTTCTGCTTGTATGAGTTCATTTCACTCAGCAATTCCATAGCTTCGTCATACCTCTTCTTCATTTCGGCCATTTGCTCTTTCAATTTCTTGAAAACGTTGTCAAGAATAAGAAATGGCCTCAAACATTGTACATACCTGGTTTTGTTTTCGTATGGTTACATCTCTAATAAACTCTTTAACAATGCTGTTTGATCTTTTTTCTTCAATGTGATTAATTCGTTTTGAATGATGTTTTGTTAGGTTTTCAAACTCTTTCTTCACTGACTGCTCTATTTTTCGCACCTTTTCTTTGAAAGAAGAAGTGATCTTAAAAATTAGGTCATTCGTAATCTTTACATGCTCCTCTATAGAAATATGATCTTTACCCTTTCTCTTGTTCTTTTCATCTTTTACGTTAAGGTAATAAGACGACTTTAGCGAATCGTAAATTTCATTTTCTGATTCTGAGGTTTTGAAAATTGACTCGACGTTATGTTCATACTGGCTGAGATCAGAGTCTTTTAAAAAGTGCCCTTCTTCCATCTCGTATTCTTCCTCAATGTCTTCTTCTTCTTGTTCTACTTGTGACGAAGGAGATTCAGACCGTCTCTTCCGCTGTGATGTGGAGGGAAGGGATTTGGAGCCACCTTGTTTTACAGGTTGATATCTTCGACCTGTTCCAGCACTTGCTGCTCTACTTGTCAATGGCTGTCTTTCCAGTAACACTGAGTCAGCCCTAGATGTAAGAGAAATAGATCGCTCAGTTATATCATCACTCTTTATCCAATTAACACGGACTGAATTGAGACTATTACCAAAAGAGTCAGGTCGTAACATGTCAAGAGTATCCAGTGGTAATTGAGGAATGTGCAGTTTGGTATGCATTCCATCTTTTGCAAAAGGTGCTTGAACACTCCTTGGCAACACGTCAAATGCTGCAGAAGGCTCAACCACAGTGGTCACAATAGGTTGATTAAATATTTGTTGCTCTTCTCTTGTTATTGGAGTCAACATCTTGTCCGTTACACTTTCCCAAGTTCTGGGTGAGGGTGCAATAAAACCTCCTCCTTTGACATTTTTAGGATCTACTTGATGTTTTAAAATTGGAAACTTTTTAAGGAAAAATTTTGAATAAGAGGATGATGGTACATTCATTGGGGTGGTAAGTGAAATCATTTCTTCGTTGGTGTTTGTTTTTAAAACTTTATCAGAAGGAGTCAATGAAGGAGCGTATAAATCAAATAAAGCAATCTTGTCTTTGACACCAATAGACTTGGCTCTTCTCGTGGAAGATGTATTGGGTCGCTGCACCGATGGCTTTTTGTCATCGATAGTTTGTTGTGTTGATGATGTGTCAAGGTTATTCATGCTTTGAGCGTGTTGAAGAAGAATCGTTGATCCCGAAGTTGCAGTAGGAATGATGGTCGTACTGCTTCTCACTCTGGCGTTTTTACTGAGGTGAGTGTTTCGATTGTTATTATTAAAATTTGATGATGATGGGTTTATATTTTCCTTGCTTTCCTCTCGGAGCAGCTTTTTGTTTACATCATGGTTTGATGCTCCGAAATGTTGCCGCCCGTGTGGGAGTGATTGATCAGCAACACTGGATGATGGAGATAGCAACGAGGTCATTTTCTTGTTCAATATTTACGATTTTTCCAACATAGTGAGCGTTGAGTTTGGAATTGAAACGTCTGAAATTACTCTTGCACTTATGAAACCCGATCAAGGCGTTTTGTCAACAAGAGGTTCATGAAGGACGAATTTATTGTAATTATCAAAAAGTGATTTTCGTGAAGAAAAAATGTCTCATCAACAAACAACGGTGTCAATGCTGATCGCAGCCAACTATCAGCAATATGTTGATTATGTTGTGTATTACATTTCCGAGCATCCATTCTTTAAAAACAATCCTAAATTCCCTCCAGAAAGTATTAAACAAATTGCAATCTTTTTTATTCATGAAGCCCAAAAGACTTGTTCTACTCCAGAAGAATTAAATAGCTATTTGCAAATCATCCCAAAGAAAGCAGAAGAATATTATAGGCCTCAACTGGATGCAAGTACTCATCGACAACAGCCTAAAACAACACCGACATCTCAACCACAGCAACAACAAGCACAACCTGAACTCAAACAGGAGACTTCTACTACTCATGTACAGCCTTCTACTGCTCCTCCTGATCAAAAGCAACAAGTTAAAACATCTACTACACCACAATCATCACCCCAACCAGCTCAAAGCCCTTCACAACAACCCAATGTCGCCGAATCCATCTCATACGAATCATTAACCAGTCCAGAACTGATCAAGAAAGAGTTTTGGAGAGTTTTTTTTACTTTAAAAAAAAGGAAAGTTGGAAATGTGGATTTAATAGTTCATTTATATGAAGAATTTAAGAAACTTTCGCCTCAAATACAGTCATGGATCCATAAAGTAACAGAAGTAAGTATTTGGTCAACATACACGGTGCATTTCAACGCAACTAAGACGCCTGACAATGGAGATCTATTAGCAGAGTTACAAGACATTGACAACAAGTTTAAGAGGCTGATAAAATTTGTGAAAGATTGTTTTTTAAGCATTCATGAGCATTATCATAAATACATGGAAGTTCTCAAGGAGCTGGACCCAAAGGAACGAGAGAGCAAAGCTTTCAATAATCTAGTTGAAAAATCTCCGGTGGAAACATCAAAGGAAAAAATCAAACTTTTAACACAAATGGAGGTAATTTTGACTACAGAAAAAGACAAACTCACTAAATTTTCTGGAAAATACGAAAAGAAGCTGGAGGAAATTCAAAGAGTTAAACAAGAGGCTCAAGAATTTTTAAAATCACTTTCAGACCCAAAGAAGAAATTGGAAAACGACCAACGTCTGAGCCAAATATTTGACAAAGTTAAGAAACATATACATGTACCCACATTTGATGATTTACTTGAAGAAAGTTCTGAAAAACGTAAAATGGACCAAATAGAGGAGGAGTTACCATCGAAGAGTAGAAAATTCGAGAATGGGTCTTTGGAGAACGAAGTGCGTAGAACTCGACTTTTCAGCGCTTTTCTTAAATCATTACTTCACCGGCAATATTATGATTCACTCTCATTTATGAACTTTATTTCTCAATTTACTAATTCCCTTAAACAGCATCTGAAGATCGAAAACGGATCAAACTTAGATGCCTCCATTGACTTGGATATTAGACATTACACCAAACAAGAATTAGAAGCAACTAACCAAGCAGAAGAAGAATCCTCTACTGGTGTTGTATCATCACCGGCATCACTTTCATCAATGAGATCAACATCAGAATCATCCATGGCAACGAATCTTACTGATTTACAATCTCTATCCATATTTCAAAGTGAAGGCTTTGTTGAAAATTCTGTAAATTATGTCATTGAGGTCGCTATCAGCATTCACCTTTCTAGACGCTTTAACCAGAAAGAAACGGAAAGAACCTCAGCTCAATCCTCGTCATCAGTTGACCTTTTACTTTGCCCACCCTTGAGAATATTTGTAAACTTCCATCCAGAATCTAACTCAATTCAAATCATGGATCCTGGAGTTGATTTTAACTTGGACAATGCAAGCATATTTCCTTCGAAACAAAACTCCTTGATCATTCCAACAACAGAATTTCTGCCAACTGCTCATTATTCCCTTCTCTCAAATACTCTTTTTCAAGCTGTGAAACAAGCAATCATCAAAACATGTATGAATGGCACTGTACAGCCTTCTGAAAACCAAATTCTCTCCCTTATTCATGCATACGTACAAACAAGCACTCAAGCTCTTGATGCCATTAATGTTGGTATCTAGATGGCGGCTGAGTAGCAGATGCATAGTACTGTGTTTTATGGACATACCCATCTTTCACAAACAATTAATAAATGACAAGTCTATTCTAAATGAACACAACGTCACTCATGTAGCAATTCTTAAAACTGCAAATCTAGAGCAAATCTCTCTGTTGTTGCGAAGTGTTGCATTTGTCTTCCTCGCACCAAATAGAAAACCAAAATCGATCCCCACGAAATCTTTTGACATTTGGCAACAAACAAAAATCCGATTGAGCCTTCACCGCAAGCACTGCTGAAAACATCCAGACATTGTTTTTCCTTTTCTCATATGAACTTGTCATTCACAATAATACAAACACTTCATCAACCCACACATGATCACTACTTCAACAACACCAACCAAAGAAGAAGACTCTTCAACAACCAACAATGATGGGCGTGATGATGAAGGAAAAATTCATCATCCTCCATCTATCACGACCACAACACCCAATGATGAACAACAGCTGTTCTCTCTGAATGATGATGGAACCACGAACGCTCCTTCCTTCTCACTGACGACGGAAATTATTTCAACAACGAGTTCAAAGCCACAACAACCATCTCCTCTTCTTCTTTTCAATTCAGTGGAGCCTTCTCCAACGCTCTCTCCTCGGATACAAGTTGGAATGAATCATCAATCCGTACCATCGTCATCGACAACAACAACATCTACAACACCCACCCATCATACAGCAACATCATCGTCTTCTTCCTCCTTGTCCAACCAAGATCATTCTTCGCCATCATCATCTCCACATTTACTCTTTCAACAATCTCCATTATTGAATCATGAAGAATTGGAGGATCTACTTCGTCCCTCATCATTCGGAAAGCGTACGGATTTGAATGAATTACTCTCCAAGTCAGCACCAAGCTTGAATCCAACCATTAGTACAAACAATCAAAATAGTAATATTAGCAACAGCGCCAATGAGCTCTCAGGTTTGGAAAGCAACACGAGTATGATCCTCTCGATAGGATCCAAACTTTCAGAGGTCTCGTCTTCCTCCAAAAAGACAACACCCAAATCTCCAAAATCACCCAGTTCTGCCAACTATACCATACAACCATTACATTCAAAAACAGTCATGACTCCAAAACATTCTCCAGTTGCTTCATCTTCCTCCAATACTGACAGGGACTATCCATCCATGATCTCCATTACAACTCCTCCTCCCCACGTTGTACAGACATCGGCATTCTCCTCTTCGGAAGATCATCTCATTCAAGAGCTTCTCTTTCAACCACACATCGGAGGTGATTCCAAAATTATAAACTCGAGTTCTTCTGGTAGTGGTCGATTCCGAAGTAAATCCTCATTGACTCCTTATTCCCCTTCCATTGGACCCACCCTTCTAGAAGGAAATTCCATTCCACTGAATCCCATCACGCCCACCAAATTGGCATTTTTAAGGAATGCAACCTCCAACTCGATCAAGGGTTCTTCTTCTCCCCATGTGGAGAGTCCTGGAGGAGTGAGTGTGGAGAGCGTCATTTCATGTAAAACAGTGGATTCTCCAAATGATGCAAGTTCTGCAAGTTTGAAAGGTTCGAGTCAATTAAGGGAAACTCTAACACAAAGTTTGAAACGAAAATATTCAAGAGCTGGTTCTAAATCAAAATTATCAAGTCGATCAACGCTCGGCGATGAGAGAAGGCTTTCTTTGAGTTTGGAAGCACTTGGAAGTGTATTGGAGCATCATGGAGTGTTAATTACAGAAGCATCGATGCGTGGCTCAGAGTTGTTACAGGCAGTACTTCAAATTCAGTCCATGAAAGAAATTGAAATTCCAAAATCAACAACACCCACAGAAGAAAATGAATCAAATTTGGAATTGGAAAGAAAAAAGAATGAATTGCGAGAAATTCTCAAACAATGTGACAAAATGCAATGCAATTCCAAATTATATACTGCATGCAAAGAGAATGACGTTGTTACAGCAACTTTAATTTTGGAAGAATTTATCTCAAATTGTGACGTGAATTTTAGAAATGGGCAAGATATGGACAAGAGTTACTTGCATATTTGTGCTAAAGATAATTATACTGAAATTTTAGAATTACTGCTTGACAGTGGAGCAGATCCTAATGTGAAGGATAAGATATCTAGGACTCCTCTCCATGTTGCTTGTGCTGCTGGTTCTCATTTTGCAATGGTCTTGTTATTAGGACATGAAGCAATGGTAGGTTTTTTTTAACACCATTTGATACGAATCAATGACGTTTTTTGCGCCATTCATCATCTATTGGATGTAAATCAATGTAGCCAAATGTAAGAGATGAATATGGATTTTCACCTCTCAGTCTCGCTCTCAAGCAACATTATTTTGACATGGCAAAAGATTTACTCTTGTTTGGAGCAGACGTGAATTTGAAACAATTTGATGGAAGCACTCTTTTGCATGACTTTTTTGGAAATGGTGATCTTGATGTAAGTTAATGAGTGTGTGTGTATGTGAATCCAATATCAAACGATTTATTTCTTCCATGTTTCAAATATTATTACTTTCTGAAATTTACGAATTTACTTTCACGCATTTGAAACAACACTAAAACAATTGCAAATTCATCCAATTTCACACAACCCTAAAATTAGGTGGTAAAATTTTTAGTGAGTGATCTTCCTGATTCTCACACCTTATTAACCATGGTTAGAAATGAACATGGTTGGTCAGCACTTTTCTGTGCCATCCAAAATTCCCAAATTGATGTCATTCGATACCTTCTCAATTCAAAATATCAAGCTCAAATATTTTCCTCACTTTCAAACTCTTCAAACAGTGGAGAAAACGTGTTTCACATTGTGGCACGAAGTGGTGATGTAGACATGCTCTCAGAATTAATTAACATTTTCAATGAACGAGAATCTCAAGAACACAAAATGCTTCTTCAACAGACCATGAGCAATGTACCCAATTACATGAAGAATATTGTCAGTCATAGAATTCAAACCATGTTAAACTCTCCAGATAACATGAGAAAGATGACACCGTTACATCTTGCCGCGAAAACGAAAAAAGCAGTCATGGTACGAGAATTGTTAAAATTGACCACTACGAGTAGTGCATCTGGAGAATTACTGGATAAGAAAAAGAAATTATATCGAGCAGTCGAGGTGAATGTCATGGACAAGAAGGGAAATACACCACTTCATTATTGTTTATTCGATATGAAGGAGAAGATGGATTTCACCTCATCCGCCATTTTAACATTCCTCGTTTCATGTAAAAATTGCAAAATTGATATCAAGAATGAGAAGGGAGTTACGGTAAAATCCCTTGCCAAACAATATGGTATCATGTTAAAGGAATAAACCGTAATTCCTAACTGTTGAGAGTGTGTTGAGGTAATGACTTCTAATTCTCTTCCTTCATTTTAAATGTTTCCAATACCAATGAATAAAAAAGGCTACAGCACTGCAGGTTCCCAAGTTGTCTCCAACCTCAGTACTGATGCAGCTCGACGATGCTTAACTTCTCAAATCGGACGGGATGAGGTGCATTCATCGTGATATGGCCGTAGCCATTCATTATCAAAAGTTCATTGTTTAATCCAGAACCACCATGAACAGGACTTTCTCTTCTATTGTAAGTGAGCATTTTGAATTTCTCTCGTGTTTCAAATCATGATTGTGTGATTATAGTATTCGGACCCAGGAATTTGATTGAATTGACAAATTTATTTCTAACGGGCTGATATAACACTTTCACTTTTTCATCTTTCTTGATTCTGTAATTTTAGAGTTGGATAATTGTTTTCACTACCCAACAACACAAAAATGTTTTTACAACAAGCCAACGAGTACTATGGGGGCCAAATTTACACCATATGCCAAACGAGATCCATCGCTCTCAACAAGAAGAAGAAGAAGGCACTCATCATACATAGCAAGACTGGCCAGCGAAAGTGAACTCCGGGCTTCAGGGACACGATTTATGTCCCTCGAAAAAAAAAAATTTCTGTAGTGTGAACTTGAGTCTTCAATTTCAGTTTTGAGCCATGTCATCATCCCAGTCGATTACATAGCAAGACTGGCCAGCGAAAGTGAACTCCGGGCTTCAGGGACACGATTTATGTCCCTCGAAAAAAAAAAAGTTTCTGTAGAGAACCGGCTTAACGCTGGCAAAGAAAAATCTTGAAATTGAAGCTTCCAAGTTCACTGTTCTGTCAATAGAGAGCCCAGCGACAGGAGTTGGCGACCAAATCCATCCAGCAACCCGCTCTGTTGGCTTGTCTTGCTATGAAAATGTTTTATTCATCAAAAAATGTGTGAAGTTTTGGAGATCAAACACCAATTACCTCCATTCCACTCTTTGAAATCATATGAATACAATGGACAGCAATACTTTGCAGCAGATGAAATTATTGATTCTTTTTTTGTTGGAAAAAACGAAAAAACATCAAGATTACTTCTCACCATTAAAGATGGCAAAGATACACTCAATCATCAGCAGCAACAGGCTATCGGATTGCCATCTCCCTTCCGCAATGGAGTCATCATCACGAATTTGGTAGCTTCATTACAAACAATTCTTAAATTATCTACAGGCAAAAAAGATCAAGAAAAACTAATACGCCACATATTCACCACTTTTTCAAAAGAAACGAGCTTGGTTGATGTTATGGATTTTGATAACGAGATCGATAGTGAAATATGGAATGATTGTGATCAATGTTATAGTAATTGTGAAGACAACAACAACTTAATCAACGAAGCCGCTCTTTATTTTGATGACGTAGACAATGACGAAACAGAAGAAAACGATGAAGAATTTAGTGATGATTTATTTCAGTTCACAAATTTCTCCTCAATAGGTGAACAAAATCAAACCGATCAAAGTGAAGATAACACCATCAATACCATCTTGAATTTAATCTCTGAAAATGAAATGAACACGCAACATCAACCACCAATTTCAGATTTTCCATCTCCACCAAGCCAGGACCAGACTCAACAATTCAATCCATCTCAAAACACTCACCCACACAGCCCGCAATTAAATCATATGGATCCGTTTGTGCATACTAATGAGCTATTTCATCAACAACTCTCTCAACATTGGCTTTGGCATTACTTGAATACTCATTTACACTCTCATGGGAATGGATTGACTAATAATTCACAACAACTTACAAATGAACATCAACAACATTCGCATCCTATTTTCACAAACCATGCTTGTTCACATCATCCTATATCAAGCAATAAAGATACCAATACCGTCAACATGAAATTTTGGGAATGTTCACATTGTGGATGTCATGATATCCAAGCACATGACCATAAATATTCAAGTATGCAGTTAGGACAAGATTCTTTTACTCGCAATAACAAAGATCGAGCTAGAGAAATGGTATCAGTATTTGAGAAAATGTTAGGGACTCTTGGACACAATATTCACGCCTGGTTTGAAACATTCTTGCAAACAAAAGAAGGCATTCAAAAAACAATTAATATTATAGAAAAAAACTTGAAAGAAAACATTCGGTACAAACAACTGAAACAATATCTTATCGAAAAAAGAGATCCTACAATAGTTCAGTATTGGAGAGACAATAATTTAATTTCTGATAATACTTATCACAACCTTCGAAAAGAAGTTTCCTTAATGAAGGAGTTGCCTTGTAAGAAAGAAATGAGTAATTTAAAAAAACAATTGAATGAGAGAGTGGAAGAAATATTCAAATTAAGATGCCCAAGTGCTGAATTCATTGGTCACATCATAGATTTAGATGAAGCTATTTATTATATTCTAAAGTTATATCGATCTCTAGGAGGAAAACTTAAAAAGAAAATATTTTTCAAAATTTCTGTGGATGGACGTGAAATTAACAAAGTGAAACAAGTAGCCGTTGCATTAGTTCCTCTTAATTTAAGAGATGTGTTTCCTTCTCAAGCTGTATCCTCTGTCTTTTATATTGGATTATTTCAAATGTCTGAAACAAAAGAGAGTATTAAGGAAACCATTGGAACATTGACAGACGAAATCAAAGCTGTGTCACAAAAAACATATTTTGAAAAATCTGAGGTTCATTTGTTCTATGTTTCAGACATGCACAATGTTGGATTTACATTTGAATTTGATATTTGTCCATACTGCATGGCAAAAACTGTTGAAGAATTTGGAGCAAACAATCGAACAACCCTTGGAGGTTCCTTGCCATTCAGTCCTAAAGATTTAATTATGTGTGCTCTTCATGTTAAACAGCGATTAGTTGAAAATACAATTGCTTATATGGCTTCAAGTGGGCAATACAATAATACCATATTGCAGAATTTGCAAAAATTAAAAGGATTAGAGCATTTTAATTGGAGAGAGTTGAAACAACGAGTGACTGAATATGGTATTTCACAATCGTCAGAAAGAGTTACTGCCAAATCGAGCATGCTGTCTGGGGATCAATGCAACACAATTTTAAGTAATGTTGAAGTGATAGTGAATGACATCGAACAGCACACTAAGGAGAAATATTTGAATATTTTGAAATTATTAAGGAATATTATAATTATCGTTGAGGCTAAACAAGATGATCCCAATACTAAACAAATACTTACACCAGACAGAATCTTTAAATTGGACAAGATGATCATGGAGTTTTTATGTGCTTGTTATCGAATATGGAGCAAAGGTATCAAAGCTCATTATTTTCATTTTCTTACACATCTTCCATCTATGATGACAGAATTGCTCGACGATGACTTGTCCTTATCTATTTTAAGTAATCAAGGGTTCGAACGTTCTCATTTGTTTCACCATGCCGTGTTTAATAGAGTGATTAATAACGGTGGTGGTCGTCACAAAATTCATGTAACCAAACAATTGCTGTTATGGCAATGGCGAAAAGTCCTGACTGCGATTGATATAGGAGAGAAATTTGGAAGTACTTATTGGAATGAAAAACGGCTCAAACAAATTTATTCATGGAATTCAATTCACCTCAAAGAAGCACCTCAAGAATTACACGATTTGTATTACGATTTGGATGAGTCGAATGTGGATCTTGCTACTTTGCAGCAAACTATTTCTACAAGCTTTCAAGAACAAGAGCAACAATCACAAAACACAGAAAAACAATCAGAGAAAACGACAACCAAGCGAAAACAAGCAAAGAATACACGACAAAGCGACCAGGCGACCAGTTTTAGTGGAACAATGAGTACACAAGTTTCTCAAAAGAAACGAAAATTTTAATCGAAAATTTTCAAAAGCTCTCAATCCAATATTTTCCATCCTTCGCTTGAACCCAATGACACAAGTAGGCATAATATAATTCCAATCTGGTGTCGTAAGAGATCACCAACTTTGATACAATGCAACGGTAAGCAATATTGTCGAAATCTTCACTTAAATCAACTTGGAATCTTTTTCTAAGATTATCACCAACGTTCTTTTGATTTACGGTCATATAATTTTTGGCCCATTCACCATCTCCAAAGGAAGGAAAATTTGGATATTCAAATTCATATATTATGTGACGATTGATTTCAGTGTCTCCTGTTCGATTGATCCAAGGAGAATATTGTTCTATTCTTGTGTACATATGTGGTTTCATTGTACGACACATATACATATCAAAGGTTTGTTCCTCACACTCACCAACTGGTAAACGACATCTTGCTTGTCCGTTGCATGGTGAATTAAAATCCCACAGAAAGTTTACGAGCTTCATTTCCATTCTAGATGCTTGTTTGTGATGGTCTTCATGTTCATAGTTGATGATGGACAAAGGACTTGGGTGCATATTTATGGGTACCTCATCGACCTTCACAAAGGCCTCCAATGGATGGCATTTGTAACGTCTCTTCCGTTTCCCTTCAGATTTACCTTCATCTGACTTTGTGTTGGTTGATGGTAGTCTCTTTGTTGATGGTTCCTTAGGCATGTTGTTGATGATGTGGTGGTAAAGCACAACGATGATGATTACTAGATTGTTGTTGTGAATTTGTTTTTCGATGAGTTGTTCAACCAACCGACATGGCCGCTTCCCAAGTCATTTATTTTTTTTTCAACTCCTGAATCCAAATCCATCCTGCAACACGGAGGGCTGGCAGTCTTGCTATGCATGGTACTGAACCCGATCTTTTCTTTCAATGTGCTTGCGAGAAATTTGCTGGATTTGTTCAAGACCCACAAGTATTTGTGTGGCCTCCAAAGAATTTAACGTTTCAGCCACACCGACCCGATGATGATTTTGCTTTTTTAAGTGGTGTCGATGTGGTTCATCATTTGGACCTCCAACCGCAAGTGCATGCCGACCGTTTGAGGACACAATATTCATTGATTGTTTTTCCACTCTATTCGGGTTGTGCCGTTCCATCCACTCAAGAGCAATGTTTTTCAGAAGTGATGGATCTGATCCGAGATTTGATTGTGCAAAAACAAATTGCAGTATTGTTTTTGAGAGGAAGTGAAAATAGTGCTCCGTATCGTCTTGGTTATGTTTGTGATGGAGTAGAAGATGGCTTTGTAGGATACACAACACAAAATGAACTTGAAATGGATATGAATGAATTGAGCGAGTTGGCAATGAGGAGTCGAGTATTGACCGAATTTCAAAATTCAAAATTGTTTTTGGATAGTATTGTGCGAGTGGATGAAATTCACAAAAATAGTACAATTCCAAACACATCGTTCATTTGTGGCATACCGAGAATGCATTTGAAGAATAGTTCAGAATGGCATTTGGTTATTGGTACAGCTCGAATGCATCCAAATGAGGCGACCGAGTGTTTACTCATTCACAAGGAGCATCGATGCTTTTTCACTCCATGGTACGGTATGCCAACGAATGAAGAACTATCTCATCACATTGTAAAATATTTTTGTAAATTCATGGTGGAGGAATATTTTGTGAAAACTGGTGCTGATTTTCAAACCAAGCTTAGAAGCAGATATCAAAATCAGCAAGTAACAGACATTGTCATTATTTGTTAGCACGTAATACGTGAAATTTCCTAGGAAAGACAAGTCTTGATTAGGTCACCATTCTTTATTAGAAATTCGTTCTTTTATTTCATTGTGCTGACCCTACAAGAATGACTTTAGGCCATTCTTTTCGAGGAAACAATTCAAAGTTAAAACAAATTCAATTACATTAATAAATTATTATTTATTTCTTTTTCAATGCTGAACTGAAAGCAGAAGTCATGGCAGCCTTTTTCTTGTTCATGTAGACAGCTTGTGTGTTACTTGATTCACAGGATGTGGCTCTTTGACACATTTGAGCGGACCAATAATTGTTGAGCATTTTCGATCCAACATTGGAATATGTGGTTCTGTCCACCATATTATTCTTACAATCTGTCAAATCCTTAACTAGACCCACACAGAATTCATCTTTTCCACTCACTGATTCTTCAATCTTTGCAATTGCTTCAGTAAGTAACTTTCTTCCTTCTTCGAGCTTTCCTTGATCAGAGAGAGTCTTTGCTTGCTCCATAGCTTCACCAGATTCAACTCTGTTTCGTTGAATATCTAATTGATAGTTTGCAGTCTTCTTATCTGGGTCTTGACTGCTTTGTCTGTTGACAATAATTTCAAATTCAAATCCTTCATTATCTGTATTGATGACGTTGAAGTATTGTAATTGCAATTTAGCCAATTCTTGCATAGCGACAGGACCGTTCAATGCTGGAACTGTGAGTACAAAGACCAAATCCTTCTTCTCTTCAGAATAAATGTCACCCACAGCAATTTCACAACCTGTACCTCCTGTTAAATCTGTCTTTCTAAATGTAGTAAAGACCTTTTTCAATTTCACGTTAGAGTTTGGCATAATCTTAACTTTGATGTTTTGTGCCACGACACTCACGAGACCACCAATCACGTTACCAAATGCCTTTGGAATGTCATCGACATTATTCAAAAAGTAATAGAGTCCATTTCCTGCTTGAGCAATGGAGGTCAACATGTTTGCATCTGTATCAGATCCAAACCCAAAGGTAAAACATGTAATTTGCTTTCTAATTTCTTCATGAATGGTCGTATTCATTTTCGACACAATTTCTGTCGTATTGGTGATTCCTTCATTGGCCAATCCGTCCGTAAATAGTAAAATTGAAGTGACTTCATTACAAGCTGTTCTTTGTTTGATCAATCTCAATCCTTCAAAAAGACCACCACTCAAATTAGTACATGTTCCTGCGTGGATGTTATTGGCAACTTGTTTAGCTTTTTGTTTACCATCTTCATTCATGTTGGTGAAGGCTAGAGTGGTGATGACGGAACTATCAAATTCAACTAAAGCTACACGATCAGTTGGTTTCAATTGATCAAACATGAAGGCGAGAGTTGATTTGACCAATTCAATCTTGCTACCGGACATGGAACCTGATTTATCAATCACGCAAACGAGATCAATTCCTGCTCGTTCTTTTCGTTCATCGGCTTCATATTCAGGAGCTTGGATCGAGGCAACACAATAGAGATCGGTTTCCTTGGGATAGGCTAATCCAGGATACTCGCAACATCCAGTGAAGGTAAGTTGAGTGGACATGTTGTTGTTGTTGAATAATTGTTAGTAGAAGTAGTTAAATGATTGTTTGAATTTTTTTTGTTGTTGTGAAGTTAAAAATTTTGGGAGACCTTTTTATAGCCTGCAAAATTGCTACAGCATGAAATTAGAGTTCATTGTTCGAAGGAAACGTTGGAAATGGTGAAACGTGAACATTGGGTTTCAAAACGTGATGTACTAGATTGCGTACGTTGTTGTGAGGTGGCAGGTATAGAGATTTTTGAACCAGCAGTGATTGGTTGTGGATGCAAAACAATGGAAACCTAATTACATTTTTACAAGGAAGGTCCATACTTCTGCCCCTCACGACTTGTTTTTGGGTAGTCCCTTATTCTCAAGTTTCATCGGTTGTTGTTGTTGCTGCCATTTATCGGTCCCTTATTATCATGTTTCATCCAAATGTTATTATTGTTCTCAAGAGTTGCAAATGTTTTGCCAAAAATCGTTATGCAATTACGGGCGGACCTGCCTAAAGCTTTACAAGGCATACACCCTCTCGGTTGGAATTGAGGAAGAGTTGTTGTGTAATAAAGTACAATATAAAGTACAATGTAAAGTAATGAAATAAGTATTAACTCATTCCATTATGACATACAAAAGCACTCAAATGATGCATCAAGAAACGTCTTCCACATTACCACTGTCGGTACTGTCACTGCAACCAGGGTTGTTTGTTATTGATGGCTTTTGGTGCACGCAAAGTCATAGTGTGGTTCAACACAACTCCCCTTTTGTGTGATAATCCTCTGTGGCCAACAAGTCAACAAACTCGCTGGAGTATTTTGGCTAGGGTTAAACTGTGTGTCACTCTTAATTTCGTAAAGTCATGCTCAAGAATTGTTAGAAAAAATGCACAAATTCAATACGCTTTCTCTCCTTCGAAATTCTTCTTCGGCTGTTGTTCCATCCAATCTTGTGGCTTTACCTTCCTCTCGCGCCTACTCCACTTACCGAGTTAAAATTAAGAGACATAGAGCCCCTAAAGGTCTCGGAGCCAAACAACATCATCAGAAATCTTTTCTCACCGCAGAGAATATTCCTGAATCCACCCAACATCTCTTTGAACACCCAGATTTTAAAAGAGAGAATAGATATTTCGTTTCTAGAATTGATATGCTAAGCATGGGAAAGGCTCCCACAAATTTGCCCAAAGTAACACAATTATCAAATAGCGAATGGCAACAACAAATGAAGGAAAAGGTGAGTATATATTCTTCTTCATCTATTGCTAAATGAATCATCATATATTTATTGCTTTTGGACCCGACAATGTATCTGTGTTCCCTTCATCATCATGTACTTTCAAAAATGATTTTCATCATCACACGAACAAAAACATCAGACCATCAAAGCCTTTGAGCAATTGGATCTTCATGTCGATTTATTCCCAAAGCAAGTTGAGGAACCAACTTTTAGAGATGAAATTTCTGCCAATCTCACCACCCAACTTTCCGTAACATTTGCAAAGGCAAAGGAGGAACAAACTTTCTCAAATACTTCCTTGTTAGGCAATTTCATTGAATCCAAGACTACTGAGCAATTGCCAACAGTAAAATTTGAAGGAGAGAAAGATGCTTTATACACTCTTGTCATGTTGACACCAGACTACCCATTCAGATTAATTCCTGACAGGGGAAGCTTCATTCATTGGATGGTTGCAAATATTCCAGGAAGTGGAGACGTTTCGCAAGGCAATACAATTTGTTCATACATTCCTCCATTGCCAACAGAGTGTGCAGGAACTTTCCGCTACATTTTCCTCTTGTACAAACAAAGTGAAAAGATGGACAATGTTGAAAAAGTCAAGGAAATTTTGTTGACAACTGAACAATACAAACAGCCACAACAATACGAAATTTTGAAGCAAGACCAAGACCTTAACAGGAAAATGAAAGAAAAGATGAGAAGACATGCTTATGAGTATGAATATGAATATATTGATCAGATGATTGACAAAAAGTTTAAAGCTCACAGCAACTTGGTTACGATAGATGGGCAAAATGAATTTGATATTAAGGGAAGTGATTACAGACCAGTTCAAACACCAGAACAAACAGCAAAGACATTTGAACTTAATCAAAGAAGATATTTCGATTTGAGCAAATTGATAAATGAAAGCAAGAAGCCAGCAGGAATGTGCTTCTTTAGAACTGAATACGATTTCAATGTCACAGAGCTCTATCAAAAGAATCAATGGAAAGAACCATTCTACATTCCACCAGACATTATCCATAATGAAATTGTTAAGAAACACAAAGTTTATCAAGGTCTAAGCATTAAGAAGCAAAATTACATGAACACACTTAACTGGGTTTAAATGAAGACGCACAACAAGTAAATAGTTTGATGATTTACAACCACAAAGGCAATCCAAAGTTGCGATTTGCCTTCAAACTTGTCAGCTTGCGTCCGCAGAAACTTGGCTAAACGAAATTTCTTGCAATCATTTTCCTCTATCAAAAAAATGTTGAGCGCGCCTTCAACAACTACAACAAGTGTTGGGCAAAATGCAAACACAGTCACGACTACAACACCGAATACAATAACGAGACCACCCTCCGGGCAGGTGAATACTGTCAGTTCGAGAAGCAATGCTTCCATTCCTTCGGAAGCATCGAGTTCAGAGGCAACGACTCCTAATGCTAGACCAACCATGACTGCTAATCGACCAGGATCTGCTTCCCGAAGACCAGGTTCAAATCCGAACGGAAGACCTCCAAGTTCTGCAGCCTCATCCGTTCAGCAAAGAAGAGCAGGAATGCCAACAAGTAATGCATCCAATAGTGGTGGATCTCCCTCAACAAACTCTTCTTCGTCATCAACTCAAGCGAGTCGCAATGTAAAAACGTTATGGGATATCATTTTGGATACTAAGAAGGATGCAATATCATCCAATAATGAACCTGTTGAAACTAATGTATTTATAATTGGAGGAGAGCAATCCGGAAAGAGTTGCCTTGTACATAGAATTTTGAAAAGAGATTATTTAAAAGACCCACCAGAAAAGAGCACTGCCTTAGATTTTACCTTTGGAAAGAAAGATGAAGGGCTGAAAACATACATTGCCAATATGTGGGAGCTGGCTGGAGGAAGATCGCTGATCAAATTATTGAAAGAAACTATCACTGCTGACAATATTCACACTGTGATGGCTGTTATTGTTTTAGATTTAACAAAACCGTTACAATTATTTGAGGACTTTATTTACTACCAATATGTGCTTACAAAAATATCGGATGAATTGTACGACATGTTGAGGAAGAAAGGTTCTGATGTTCCAGATAAGATGATTGGACGAGCAAAGAAAAGAATTGGTGAAACACATGAAGACATGTAAGTTATTAAATGTCAACGAATTGAAGGCACTGACTATTAATTGCTTAAGCGATAAATTAAAACTTCATGGATTTCAAACCATTTTCGTGGGAACTTACTTTGATCAAGCCACTCAAAAGTACAATCCGTAAGTTTTAAGATACATGAGCGAACAACAGGTTAAAAACACGTGATTCAACAGACTTCAACTGAAGCAGCTCAACCAAACCATGAGATTTTTATGCCATACTTTTGGAACAAGCCCAATGTTTATGGGAATTTATGCAGACTCGAAAGCCAACGAAAACAACGACTCGTCTTTTCGTAATTTCATTAATTATTTCGTGCTAGGCGGCAAATTATCAACAACTGATTTCAACCTTAAAGACCCAGTGAAACCCCTCAAAGTTATTGCTGGAAAAGACTCGTTTAAAAACATTGGAACTCCACCAGTGCAAGCTAAAACTCAGCAAATCATTAGTGAGAGGGCAAAGAAGATTAAAGAAAAGATTTCCAAAATGTTTGACAACAAGGAAATTGAAAAATGGTTTGACTCATTTCAATTCACATTCTCAGAAATTGATGAAGGAGCAGAAGATGAAGGAAATAAGGAAGTAATGGATTTGAATTTTTCAGAGTATGCTGAAGAAGTTGTGGACGAAATGAAAGCGAAAAAGGAGTAAGTATATCATTTATTCCGCCATTTTAATGATTTTAATTCCAATTATTTAAATTTCCAATGTTTGTCAATGATGTGATTGAATAGTTTTGAGTTTGATCAATACTTGAAAATGGTTGAGAGAGACAAGAAGCAAAAATTGCTTTTAAAGCAGCAACAAGATGCAAAACAGCAGCAGAAGAAGTAAATGAAAATTATGTTAACATTATTCCTTCTTTTCTGTGTTGCTAGTGGGAGGTGATGATGTATTATTTGGTTGTGATGATGCTTGTTGTGTGTTATTTGATGATGACGGATCATAGTGAGTAGCAAGTGGTTCCGATGGATTTGTAAAGTTATATGAAGAAGGTGGCTTCTCCGTTGGATTTTGTCCCTGTGTAGGAGCTTTCAATTCATTCATGAACACTTCTTTTGTTTCTCTGATATGTCGTGCAGCACTTTGTACATTTCGAGAGCTGAAAAGCTTCTTCCAACCTCCAGCTGCAGAAACCAGAACAGCAGTACCAATAACCACTGCCAATAATTTGCTCATTTTTAAATTTTGTTTTAATAATTTTGATTGTGATCGACCTTTTGTTCAAACGAAGGTCATTGTTGTGGTTGAAGTGTGCAACCCATTAAATTACTATGCTTCGTCATTGTTTGAAAATTCAAATTAAGGTGGCCCTATGTTTATTCACTGTTCAAAAGCCCATTTACAAAAATTTTTCTTCGAGTTGCTTGATGGCAGCAGTATATTTAGTTTGATCCTTCCAGGCCTTATTTTCAATGCTAGAATGAGAAAGAATTGAGAAAACAGAGTTTGGTTGCTCTTCCTTGAGTGTTGAAGCTTCACCAGAAGAAATTAATGAAATAGCTTGTTGGATCTTGGCTTCGTCATATGATCCGTTGACAATATACACATTGGATGCCTTGTTGATTTTAGCAAAAGCTTCAGCAACTTGTTGAGCGTCAGCATAGGCTCTTTGTGCTCCGAAAACTGTGAAGGACTTGTTGAATGTTGGCTCTTTTCCAATGCTTGTCAATCCTCTTTGGAAGAATTGTTGTGGATTTTTCACTTTACCCAAAAGAGGCACAATAAAGTTATTATCTTCAACCACGAATACAATATTCTTTGGAGTGTGAACAATGTTTGGATAAACGCCTTGTTTAAGAGAGGTGATAACTCTTGCTTTCTTTCCATCGGTTGACTCTTCGACCAAATCACCACTCTTCAGTTTGTTCAAGAATGCAGATCCAGATTCAACTTCAAGTAAAAGACCACCAACACATCTGCTCAAGCCCAATTCTGAAAGGAGATTATAGTGAGCTCCATAAAGTGTCAAATTGTTGGAATTGGCCAATGCGGAGCGAACTGTATTGTTGGAATTAATAAAGAGTGTTGAAGACCAATTGTCCTTGTTGATGATGGAATCTGAAGGTAAAACAACAGCAGAAGTCTTTGAGAAAATGGCTCTAGCACCAAAGTAAGCCATATTGTCCAATAGAATTGAAGAAGAAAATAGGCCACCAATTACTGAAGTATTAGTTTGGTCGTTTTCAAACACAAAGTGTTCATTAGAAAGTCCCAAATCTTTTGGTGTTGGTCCACTGAATTCCTCAACAACCTGAGGTGGAATAAATTGGAATCCTGGAGCATGAAGAATAAGAGAGTCGTAGCTAAATGCAGATGGGGCAGTTTTTCTAATTGGTAATATCATATTCTTCAAAAACAATCCAGAGACGCTATTGTCAGTGACGACACGAATAAGACAACTATGTTGATTGGAAGAACCAAAAGCGCCGTCCTGAGTGAATGAATTTGGTGTGTGTGATAAATACCATCCAGTTTCACGTTGAGTACGTCTATGGAACTTTTCATCTTTTGAAGTGTATGATCCAGTTGAAATTTGCTTGTTTTCTTGACTGACAAGCTTTTGATAATCATTGATATCATTGATTTGTTTGACTCTTAAGAATTGTTTCTCTCCATCAACTTGTCCGAAAGACTTTTTCACCAAAGTTTCAACATCAGCATTACGGTAGGCATCAAATTGAGGATATATTTGTGCTTTACCGAGACTCCAGTTGTGTTGAGCATCATCCCCATTTCTATCTTCCATCAAATCGACTTGATGTTGTACAACCCTTTCAAGATATTTGTCTTGAGCCTTATGCATAATTTTTGTTTGAGAAGCAAGATGCTGTTGGAGAACATTTGTTGCTGGGGCTGCTTTTGCCGAAGTAGAATAATTACAACATGATTGTTTGGTACCGGATTGAACAAGAGCAGCAAGAAGCTGACGAGTATTTCTTGGTGTCTTCATGATGATGAAAATGTTCGTTGCAATGATGAGAAGCCAATAATACTACTGATGAATATAATATCAACCGCGATGAATCTTTTCACCACACAAGCCACGAACAATATTTTTTTCAATAATTTACAATCATTTCAATTTTCGAACTCTTGCATAAGTCATTCGGCGATCTTCATTTCCATTGAACGACCTTTTGAAAAAGGAAAAACACAAACGAACGCATGTTCTTTAATGATGAATAGTTACATGATTTTCACTTTGAACTTGCTGGTTCATCAAAAATTGGCAGAAAGATTTTTTCATTGAAACCAGTGTGTTAAGGAATCCATGGCATCCAACCTCATAGAAGAGCAAGTCACAGTGGAGGACATGAAAAGAGTTGAACTAGCTCAAATATGTACGTATTTATGTATCCTTTTCTCATTACACGATCGGTAATTACTTTTCTGTAATTTCTAGTTTACCATCTTTCTCTTCAAGAATGAGTTTTGTAAAGTTTGTGTTGGTATAAATACAAATTTCTCCAGCAATAAGCATGGCTTTTTGTGCAATAGATTCAGCATCAAAGCCATCGACATCCAGTAAGGCCTTAGCTGCAGAAATTGCATAATGGCCACCACTTCCAATACCTACCACACTATCGTTGGATCCGCCCTCTGTTGGTTCTAAAACGTCTCCGTTACCAGTAATAATGAGTGTAATATTTTTATCGGCCACAATCATCACAGCCTCCAATTTCCTCAAGTATTTATCAGTTCTCCACAATTTAGCCATTTCCACACAAGCTCTCATCAATTGTCCTGGATACTCTTCAAGCTTAGATTCGAGTCGTTCGAACAAAGTAATGGCGTCAGCAGTAGATCCAGCAAAACCAGCAATTGCATCTTGTCCAATTTGTCTCAATTTACGAGCATTTCCTTTCATTACAACATTACCAAGGGTAACTTGTCCATCGGCTTGAAGACAAACTTTACCACCTTTACGAACACATAATACAGTGGTTCCATGCATATCTCTAGATCCGTCCATTGTACTCTTATCTTCTGCGGTAGTTTTCAAACAAGTATGATACAAAGAGGTACAATTCCTATCAAAATTGCTGTAATTGGCTCCCATAAAATTCAAAGATGATCGGAGTGAGACTCTGTGTCCAATCATTGCTGATGAAGCTGCAGTGAATGGAGAAGGAAAACTTTTGCTTGCTTGATGACGGGCAGCAAGTGATGATGACGATTGAACAAGGCGATGAGCAACTCTTTTCATTTTTTGTGTTTTGAACATTCGCAAAAATAGACTCACAATCCCAGAAGCCTCATCAACAACACAAATCGATTTTGTTTTGATACCCTCGAAAGCTTTACTACTCAGAAGCACAATACATACAGGGATCAAACTAAAGCGTTGCTATAATTGCATAGTAATTGTTCCCTAGAATGATACACAACTTAATCATTGCTTCCGAGTCCGGGGTAAAATTGTTTGAGAAGCAATTCATGACACCCGTAGGAAATAGTTCCAATTTGCTTACTTCCTTATTAACAGCTGTTTTAGTAAAAGGGAAAAGAGAGCTGTATCATACCATTCAGTATTTTGAGATGCAACGACTGGCTCTCACCATAGTCAATGATGGCTCCAGGCGAATATTTTGTGCCGTCATTACCGATACCGATGTCGGTGTTGAATTTCCAAAGCTTGTAGCAACGCAAACACTTCAAAAGTACATTGAGGAAGCAACCTCTCTCAACAAACGATCCAAACAACCTTCACTGTATCAATCGACTCTTTCCAATTCCATACCTCACTCTTCCAATTTAACCAAATATTATGTACCATCATCACCGACCACTGTCAATGGAATTCCTTCCGAATCAACCTCATTTTCTTCATCATCCAGTATTGTATCCTATTTATCAAATGAAAACAGAAGTCCAGACATTTCTCAAAACAATTTTAAGGGACAAAGAATATTTCCTTCGCTCAAAAACCCACAAAAAGAAAAAAGCTTTTCTGCTGTTGGGTTTAACGGAATGGTCTCTGAAGAGGAAATGAAAACAGAGGATATTCAAATTATGAGGATTGATCCCTATTTATTTCAGACCAAGCTTCGTGAAACCTTTCTTTCAATGGTTCACATTATTTTGCACGAATGTAAGTGCGTTCTTTCTTGTCAACCAAAACCTTCTTTTGAATCAACAACTGTGACATTACTGAAGTACGAAACGAAATTGGTATCGTCAGCGCCGATCTAATAAGCAAGGACAAGGATGTTCTCTGTTCCACCACTCAAAGCCTGGATTTACAAGCTTATTCTGACTTTCTAATGTCTAATGCAGCCGATATTAGTAAGTAATGATTTTGGTTCTTACAATTCCTCTAGACCTAACAATTTCTTTTTATTTAGTGAACGCTGTCAATGACAAACCACGTTCCATGGAGATTGTACTTTCTACGGCAACAGTTGTGAAGATTGTTCAAGTAGAAGTGAGTTGTAATTTAATAGTCATGTTTCAAGTGCCACAATCAGCCATTCTACTGTCAAGCGAGCAAGACTGTGCCACCGAGGAAGATGTAAACTCAGTCGTGGAAAACATTCATTCTGTCATTGACTGGGCTGTTGCTCTGCTCAAAAAGGTGCAATATCTGCAGAAAATGACTTAATATAATTTATTATTTACTCAGTTTCGTCCATCTTATTTTCTTCCTTTTGAGCAACAACTTTCAAACCAGACTTAATGGTGGCAAGAAGATTTTCATCTTGAATGCTCTTATCAGATTGGAAGGCTTGGAGTGGCAAACCGGTTACTTTTTGGACTTGTTTCTTAGTAATAAGAACTGTAGACTTGAGTTGAGCGACAAATTCTCCCTTCTTTGCACACAAAACTGGATATGGATCAATCATTCTGTAGTTCAACAATTCTAAAACACCCATTCTTCCCATCTTTGGATCTAAATGTTTAACAGAGAATGGAACAGCTCCAAACTTTTCCTTGATTTCTTCGTAAATCTTTCTTGAAGCATGAACCTTCAAATCAACGAGTACTGATGGTTCTCTCTTATAGATTGTAGCTCTTGCAGTACCTTCACGTAACTTTCCTTCCTCACCAGTTGTAGCTACCAAATCCAAACAATAAACTTGATTTGCTTCAAATTTGAATTCCTCCACAGTTTGGTCAACATCAAAGTGTGGTAAAATAACATTCTTTCCATCAATTACGTCTCTCTTCATTTCATGTGACAAAACACCATTGGCCCATTTCACACCAAAGGTTTCAGCGACCTTTTGAAGAGCTTTCATGAGTTCAATGTTTGTCTTTCCAGGTTTCATCATACGTTGAGCAACTTCCATTCCTTGTTGAACAGCAGCAAGACAGTCAGCCTCTCTTCCTGTAACAACATTACTAGTCAAAACATAGGTTTGTGCACCCAATGAAATGTATCCGTCAATTTGAACACCCAAATCAACTCGAAGAACATCTCCTTCATTCAATGTGAGGTTAGCTTCTGGTGTATTTTCAAGTGGTGAAAAGTGGCAAACAGTCTCATTGACGTTGATGCAAGTTGGGAAAGCAATGCCCTTCTTTAATCCTTTTGACTTTTTGAAGGCATGCTTGATCTTATCATCCATAAAAGCATCACCAGCAGCACACAATTCAATGACTTTAGCTCCAGGCTTCAACAAGCTTTGAATATGTTTGATGGCCTCTGTTGTGAGTCATAGGATTATATTGTCATTCCATATTATGAAGAAGGTGCCATGAAAATTCATATTTATGATGATGAATTATAGTAAAATGTAGGTGATGAAATAGGATGATGGTTGTTTGAGAGCATTATTTTGATATTCATATTATTGTTGTTAAGCGACGATTGAAGACCAATTTTGGGATCCATCATACAATATTCATGAATCATCACAATTATTCAACAATTCATGAAAATTCCAATCACCATACATACCATTAACAATTTCAGCACCAAGCTTGTACTTTTTGATGACCTCTGGATTATCAATGGTTTCATCAACAGTTTGTTGTTGTTCAGATTGTTCGGCAACGTTTTCAGCTGGCATTTCTTGGGGCAGTGAGAGGGTATTTTTATTTTCAACAAAAAATTTGAGAGCAATTTGCCTTTTACAAAAAACTCTGGTTTTGGAGTTGTTGAAAGTAGTCAAAGTAGTAATAAACAAAGCAAACAAGATTTTAGTGCTGTTAAAACTAGGGGAGGTAATTGGTATTTGTACCTAATTAAAAAAAGTTCTCTCGTTTGGTCGAAGAAAAAATGTCAAAACGGCAATCCTTGATATTTAGGACTGTCAACCCGGGTTCGTCGTCGAATGAACCATCATCAGGAAACAACAACAATACAAACACTACGATCGGATCGAAACTGTATAAACGTACTCTCAATTTCTCCACTGCAAGATCTGGGGAGGGCACTTCTTCTTCCGATACCTCTTCTAACCGATCGATCAGTACTAACAATTCAGCTAGTAATAACATTGATGAGATTGCAATTGATGATGATGAATTGGATTTGATTTTAAAAAAACATGAAGAGGAAAAGAAAAATAGATTAAAACGATTAAAGTACAACAAGAGGGATTTTCCTCAAATTGATATGGATGCAGCAAAGACTTGGATCTTTCCAACGAACATTGCCGAGAGAGCATATCAGTTCAAAATTTGTGAAAAAGCATTATTTGTAAATACGCTAGTATGCTTACCAACTGGTTTGGGTAGGTAATGAGAATTTGCTATTTTAGTTTCGATAGTCACATTTTTGAATAGGAAAAACCTTAATTGCAAGCGTCATCATGTACAACTTTCATCGTTGGTTTCCAACTGGAAAAATCATTTTCATAGCTCATGTAGGTTCTATTACTAGGATTCAAACATACTGAAATCAACTTGTAATAATGATAGACGGTCTCTCTTGTAGAACAACAAATTAATGCATGCTACAATATCATGGGAATACCAGAAGATGAAACAGTATGTTTAACGGGCAAAACATCACCAAAAGAAAGAGCAGAATTGTGGAAGAGTAAGAGAGTATTCTTTTCAACTCCTGAATGCGTTCAAAAGGTAAGTAGCTCACTTTTTGGTATGTATTGTTATGCTTTTGTTTGTACAAAAAGGACTTGGAGAAGAAAATTTGTCCTGTCAAGAAGATAGTGCTTGTAGTGTTTGATGAAGCTCACAAAGCCACTGGAAATTATTCTTACTGTGAAGTAGTTAAGCTTATTGGAAAATACAGCGACCACTGGAGGGTTGTAGGACTTAGTGCCACACCTGGAAGAAATCATGAGGCTATTCAAAAGGTGATCACAAATTTAAGAATTTCACATGTGGAAGTGAGAGATGAAAATGATAAAGATGTTGCCGAATATATTCACGAAAAGGAAACCAAAACCATTATATGCAATCGAGATAGAGTGTCAGCAATCATTGATAGTAAGTACTTCATGAGAAATTCATTCAACTTCTCTAATGTCAAACTCAACAGCTCTATTTTACCGGTTGGTTACTCCATTTCTTGAAAAGCTTGTTAAGGTCGGTGCCTTGTATCAAGCAGATCCAGCTTCAATATCTAAAGGGGCCTTACTCACCTCAATGAAACGTACGTTCATTGTTATTTATCAGGAAACAATATTGTTCATTCAATGATTTACTTAAAGGATTTTATATGGTACGCAAGAAGGACAGCTACAAATATATGGGAGATTTCAAGTAAGTATTCCTTCAGCAATGAAACGTTGTGTGCTATTTATGTAGTATTTTAATCTCTCTCTACAATGCTCTGTATTATTTACATACTCAGGATATGAGTTTGTTTTTGGACGCCTTGAATACTCTAGCAACTGAGACGACTGACACAAAAAAGAAAAACGTTCTTCAAAGTAGAAATCAAGTCATCAAACAACCACTCTTCAAAAACATGGTACAAACAGCTGAGAAAATCATTCAACAGGGATACGTTCACCCCAAACTAAAGAAATTAGAAGAAGTTATTTTGGAACATTTCACAAAGAGCAACGACAATACTGTTGCCACTCATGCAACCAAAGCCGTGGTTTTCTCCGGATACAGAAAAACAGTGGATCTAATTGCAGATATATTGGGTAAACACGATGGAATTCTAAAAGTTTCACCTTTCATTGGACAAAGTAAGGGAAAAGGACAAAAAGGATTTAATCAAAAAAAACAAAAATCCATCATAGAAGATTTCAGAAAAGGAGTTTTCAACGTGTTAGTAGCAACACAAATCGGTGAGGAAGGTCTTGATATTGGTGAAGTAGATTTAATTGTACTATGTAAGTTTTCACAAACAATTTTCCCAAGTTCATTCATTACCTTACATGAATTATCAAAGATGACACGGTTGGTAGTCCCACTCGTTTCATTCAGAGAGTAGGAAGAACAGGTAGAAGGAGAAAGGGAAACATTGTTGCTATATTATCCGAAGGAAAGGAACGATCCACCTATGAAGCAGCTATTCAACAAAAACGAATATTGTTTGAAGCGATGAAGGAGATTTCTTACAGCAATGAAGTGCGAGTAAGTGTAACAATGTCGTTTACTTTTTGCTTTGACACATTGTATAGTTTTTCGAGAATAGTATGAGAATGATACCAGATGACATTATTCCAACAGTTTCAAGAGAGCACATTACAGTCGAGCCCTTGAAAGGAACTTTTTCTGCTTCTAAAACAACGAAGAGAAAGAGAAAAGAGGTCATTGTTGATAGTGACAACGAGTCCGATAGCGACTCAGAGTTTCAACCTTTCGATGACGATGATGACGAATTGGGTACTCATTCCATGGATCTTGATGAATCAAAGGAGGATCAAGATGATGCTCCAACAATTGTCAACCCATTCGATGAAAATAATGAGAATCATGGTTTTGGAGGAGATGATCTTTATCATCTTTTGAACACTGACAATGATCCTAGTATCAAAGAACTTTCTCTCGTTGACCAACCACTCGATCTCCAACATGTCCCACTAGCGAACGATGAGGAATGGATCAAGTACAAACAAGAAAAAATTGAAAAAAGTAAGGATGTGTACAAAACGAATGGTCATATGGACTTGGACAAGATTCTTGGAACAAGTTCCATGATTAACAAAACCTTTCTGTCAAACGATAATTACGGAGAAGAAAAACCACTCCCATTGTTGTCATTTCTCTTACGTCAGTCAACTGTGAGTGTTTCATCCAAAACTCTGGGTAGAGAAGAATCACAAGCGAGCACTGGTTCAGAAATAGAATCACCGCTGTATCGTGTACAACAACACCTTCCCGACGAGGGTTTGCTGGTAGGCAACGACATTTCCCTACAAACAGCTAGTACGACTACGAAACCTACCAAACAACACACTCATCGTGCTACCTCCTTACTTCCTTCTACAAAGAAAATCAAGCCAAATGTGTCTACTAATGATTTTTATGAAGAATAATTGGAATTCAACAAATTTATAGATTTTTCAATAGTAAATTCAAAGTTTTCGAGATGCTTTGAATGAGATAAAAAGTCTCGACAATGAATTTTGATTCACCTTAGTTCTTTACAAAATTAAAAAGTCACACACATAAACAACATGCAACAACGTGTAATTTTCTCAGCCTTGACAAAACCCTTACCAGCGTTCTCTTTAATATCTGTTGGACAATGTTTCAATCTGCTGAAGCTGATGGTTGCTGTAAATTTGCTGCACGTTGCTCACAAGCAAGGTAAACACAATTAATGCACTAAGAAGCATCGGCATTTCATTACCTCACACTAAAAACTAATCATATCTATTATTTTCAAAATGTGATTATTTGTGAACGTATCAGTTGATTTTTTCTTGAGACTCCTGGATGGCATTGATGTCATTTCTTTGAACCAATCACCTGTAATTTTTCAAAAGGTGAAATTTTTGGGTTTGAAACTCAGGTGAAGGTTGATGATGATGTCAAAGATTTCGTCTGCTGTGAAGAGTGGAGAGTTGAAACCCCAATTTGGTTACTATTCAGATTCGAAGTTCCTCACTTTGAATCGACTTGTTTATTGTGATTATTAATCGTTTATATTGATGGGATTGCTGTCATGTTTCTCTTTGAAACTTTGAAATTGTGGTACAGTATATTCAAACCATTCTTGGTAAAACAAAATGCGAGACAAATCTTGTTTAAATAACCAACCATATCATAATGCCAAAACTTTTTTCTTAATTCCTTATCCTTTGATTCAGTGGAATTGGGAATCATCTTTCTCTTATTCAACTTCCTCTTCTTATTTGATTGCTGTTTGTGCTGGTTTTGCCTTTTTCTCAAACATCCAATTCTTATTTTTCTGTAACTCATACCCTAATACAATAGCATCACTTAAATTGGTTGTTATAATGGTTACTTAATCATCTTCAATTCATACTTACCAAACTTCTTGAGATTCTGTTGACTGAGAAGATATATGAAAATTCCACAATCGAAACCTGTAAATCGAGGCATAAAAATGAATCGCTGAATGGAGGGAATTTGTGGAATCTTATGAGATTTGGGGAGAAAATGGCGGGATTTGGAGGGAAAATTGGTTGAGAGGATGAATTAGGTTCAAGGAACAGAGGATAATGGGATGAGGTGAATATAGGGTCACCTTGAACGTTGTTTGAATTATTGTTCTCCTTTTGACCCTGGTTGTTCATAATTATGATGATTCATATAGCACAAAGTAAATTCAGCATCGAAGACTCCTTAATGTCCACTACAACTCAGTTTTAAACTTCCATTTGGAACGCTGAATCATTTAGGTCGGGAAATTTGAAGTACAAACTTCGAAAGTGCGTTAATTTTTACCCATTTCAAAACAGCCTTATTTGCGAGTATATTTGCGTACTTGTGAACTGAAGCAAGCATAACTGAGTAATAAATCTTAAAGAATTAAGTTGTTTGTTGTGTTGGTGATAGTAAAGTCTGTTGATGCTTGGTAAAGACATGTGTGGTTCAACGCGGGTTGCATCACTCCCCATTTGTGTGAGAATTCTCTGTGGCCAACAAGTCAACAACATCACTAACAAACTCGCTGGTGAATTTTGGCTCACGTTCAACACACACCCTTAATTTCGTAAAGAGTTGCTTTTTTTTCCACAATTTGAGAAATTAACAATTTAAAAAATTCGTCATGAATTGGAAATATCAAGCTGGTGTTTGGGGAACAGCTTTTGCTGGATTGTTGGCTTGGAATTATTTGAGTAATAGAAAGGAGGTCGCCCAAATCAAAATTACGATCAAAGATGACTCGGATACTTCTTCCAAAAAGTAGGCATCTTCAGAAATCCCAATATTGTCGGAGGAATCACAGAACATGGTTTTAAATTAGTGTCTTTCATCAAAGCAGTGCTATTCCGAAATTAAATTATTTCTATTCATTAATAATATTTCATTTCACATTTACACCATCATGATGCAATATTATTATTATTAGAATCATCACCAAACAAAAAATGATTATTTTAGATCTTGACATGGATTGTCTTTCCATTCTTTCTAGATTTCTCTCATTGAACGACCTGTATCATTTTGCTTTGACTCATTCCGTCTTTGATCAAGTGGTAGTAGACATGGAGAACTGTTCAATTTTTTGGCTCGAAAAATACAGAGGTTTCCTTCGTGATAAAATCGATGAATATGAATGGGCAATAGGTGAATCTATGGACATGGAAAATGATTTATTGGATCACAATTACTATTACTCTCACATTGGATATCTTCACAGAGCACGAAGACCTGTTATTCCATCATTGTTTTATAAATCTCTTCAACATCGAGTTTTAAGAATTAAGGAAAAACTCGAACACTTACAGGAAGAATATTTCTATGAAGGCTGTCAATTACGTTATGAACGATTTACAAGAGACAGCATGAAAAACGTGGTAGCATACGAATTCTATGACATTAGTAACAAATTGCTGAACTATATTTCAGAAAACCTCATTTTCCCACATAGCATGATACAGGTCAAGAAGTTCTGGCTGTTCCCTTCAATTGAATCCCCAACAAACACCCACGTTTTTAACATTCGCACGGTGTTGAGTCAAGTTGAGTACAGTGTTGTATTTGTCATTGAAAAATTCCATCTCTTTTGCACGAATCCGACCTTTCAACATCATTTGAAACGATTAATGCGAGAAAGAGGAGTATTTCAGTTCATGGCCTTCATTTCCAGGAGTGATTTATTAGATTTAAATCAAAGCATTAATTGGGACGTGTTACATGACAGATATTCGTCCTTTATGAAATATTTTGAGCCAAATGGTGTAGGCGTAAAGCATTTTCCACACCAGACCTCGTATCATCTGTCCAAGCTGAGGAATCAATACGGCACATTTCTAATGAAAAAGGGACTGACACGAGAGAACAACAACAACATTGCTGTGAAGGAGAACACGCTGTGAATATGTTGACCTTCAAAGTGAGATGAATCTGGGAAAAATTCAAATGTAAAAAGTTGGCGGGGCGTTGCCGAATCATACAAAAATCAACAAAAAAATAATGCTCGAATTGAACGATCCAAGAGTTGCCATTCTCAAGGAATGGATTAAGGTCGCTTTCTCTTCAGTTTCGAAACAGGGAGAGAGTGCTCTGGATATCCTTCATATGGATGAGAGCGTTGCAAACTTTTTGGACGGGAACGAATCGTTTTTGGAAGTTTGCTTGCTTGAAAACAATAAGGTTTGTATACCGAGGATGATCGGGTTGTGTTGTATTCACTATTGTTATACTCGGAAATAGTTGAAAATTTCAAACAGAGTGTCGGGAGTCGATTACGTGAACGAAATACACTTTATGAAGCGATCTGAGGCTCCAATTAATTCTGTAGAGGAAATGAAAATGGATAGCAAAGAAAACAATGTCAAAATTGGGTCCTTGTCAAACGATCTGTCGACAGGGGTTGACCTATTGCAAATGCTCCAAAAGGTATATGGACCATTACTAGCAAGTTCCAACAACTCTCGCAACAATCCCTCTATTCAAAATTTAATGAACCAACTTGAAATGGGGCTTCAATCACTTGTACAAAAACAATCCTCAGAAACCATTAGAGAAGCTGAAGAAAGAGAACAATATTTCTTTTTAACTCCTCAAGAAGAATTTCAATACTGGAGAGACATGAGCTCAAGAAGTGAGCAAGCACAACAAATTAATGAAATTCTTGAACAAAAAAACTTGCTCTCAGACTTTTCGAGTTTACACCAAAAAAATTTAGATGACTTGATTGGTGAGTGTGGGCTGATTGACAAAGTCAAGGATGCTTTAGATTCGTTGTGGGTAGATGTCTTCGACCCGAAGCCATATCCCGAAGCAAGAATGAGACATTTAATAGAAGTCATTGGTAGTTCGCTAGGAAGGTTCATTCAAATGAAGCTTGGACAAGTAGATATTTGGCGAGATGATTATTTATCTGTAAAGAAAAAGCTTGACTCTTCCATTGAAACATGTTTTCATTGGACAAAAAGCGTTGATGATTTGATTGCTCTTTGGACCGTAGACGGAAATCACAAGTGGAAAGGTGGAAATTTTAAAGATTTATTTATTCAACAACTACTTCATCGCTTAGAAGAAATTGAAAGAATCCGAAGTAGTTATGAACAACTTGCAAATAACTTATCATCAGAGGAATGTTGTAAACTTGATTGCTTTTCTCCTTTTTCTGGATTGAACCCACTCTATATCACACCATACGCCGAACAATCATGGAATTCTGCAGTATTCAGATTTGAAGAAATGATTCAGCCACTCGAAAAGAGAATTTCTGAAAAGTTGAGGACCAAGTTGTCTGCATTGTCTTCAAAACCTCTACTCTTATTACTAGAGTTTGACAAAAATAGAGATTTGATTAGACGAGAGAACATCAAAAGAGAACTCACTCAAGAACGGTCAACTCTGTTAGGACAACTACGTTCTCATGTTCAAACTTTGAAGGCCGAGTTGGATAATCAGAAGTATGACAAAAATAATGCTACTAATGATATTGTTTCAAGAATTGTTTCAGTTAAACAAATTGAGGAAAAGTTAAAGTCTACTGTGATAACGATAACCACTTTTTTGGACGATTTGACTGAATCGCAAAAACTACAAGAACAATGTGGATCAATTCAGATGGAAGTAGAAAATTTTATCAACTCGGAAAAAACAAAATGGGAAAGAGAAGTTGAAAAGTCAAAGGACGAATTATCTCTCAAAGGCTCCATGATAAGCTTGGATAAAAATAAGAAAATGGTTGTAAATTATAATGAGAGACTTATTTCGCTACTACGAGAGGTTAGACAACTCTCTGTATTAGGTTTTGGTATTTCTCAAGGAGTTCAAAAATTGGCTGAGGAAGCAAAGGATTTTTATACACAAGCTATTGCATTGAAACAGATTGCAAACTTTTATAATAATGTACACACACAAGTAATCAAGAGTCAATCAAGCATGCTGATAGATGCCGCTTCCAATTTTGAGAGAGTCATATTTGAGTTCCAAAAAGAAGACAAGTCCTGGAGCAAAGCGAATGGAGAAAAGTATATAGCCAAACTGAAAAATGCTGCTGAGCAGTTTACTTCCGAAAACAGAAAATTGAGAAAGTATCACATTCTGATCGGTGATAAAGTCTCTCAACTTATGAATATTGACCTATTAAGAGAAAAGGAAGTATGGACAGGCAAAGTTACAGAAATTGCTAAAATATTCTCGTTCCTCAAAACACAAAATTACTCAAATATGGAAAGCTGGAAAACACATTGGGATTACAACATTTACAAGGCTCTTGACTATCAATATAAGGTGGGCTTGGAAACTTTGAATGAACAACTACCAGAGCTCAAATGTGAGCTTGTTTTTAAAGATAAGAGAGTTCAATTCTCTCCAAGTTTTGAGAAAATCAAACAGACTTATTACGAAAAGATGAGAGATTTTATTGCCTTTCCTGTTGTTTTTAGAGGATTGAGTGACACAGATATTTTCAAAAATATCACTTATACCAACAATGAAGGTATTAAGACAGTTTACCACAAGGCTACTCTACTTTTTACACGGTTGGCTAAAGTTAAAAAACGTTTTTCTGAGTTTGTAATACTTGGTATGGTTGAAAACGAGCTTGAAGACATAGCCACAGACAATTTGAATGAAACATATCATTGGGAGGCAAACTTCAGGATGATCAAAGAGAAAGGAAAGGAAATCGAGCGTCTCGAAAACGTGATTCGTATTGATTGTATTTCGGTGTCCACTGAGAACATCAAAGAAACTCTACAAGACCAGCTTCAAAAATTGGGAGATTTACTGGTCAAAACCTTGAGAACCAAGACTCAAAAGCATATGGACGTAATTGAGCAGTTCATTAATCAAGCGTTAGAAAATTTGGTTAAAGATCCACAATCTATGGATGAAATCGGAAAATCACATGCTGCATGTCGAAGAATCAGTGAGGAGAAGTCAATATTTTACACTGAGTTCGATAACTTCGAGAAAAAGAACAGGTTGTTGAGAAGCGTCGCCGGTGTAGCCCTAGACGGAACATATATCAAAGAAAAGTGGAATGATTTTGATGATAATCTCCAAGCACATGAAGTCTACTTAAAAGACCGAACAAGTAATCTACAAAAAGAAGTTGAATCGAAATTACTCTCATTTAAAACAGAACTTTCCAAGTTTGCTAACAAGTGGCACGAATTGAAGCCTAAAGATAATAGTTTTGTTGATGCATCAACGTCAAAGAAGCAAATATCGTTTATCAAAGAGAAGCGAGAAGCATTTCAAGAACTCAGAAAGAGAGGGGAAGAAATTTTAACTGAATGTACATATTTTGGAGTGATTACTCAGTCTCCAAAAGAAATTTCTGAGATTGATGAAGATATTGGAAAATTTGAAAAGATTTGGGGTATTTACGAAAAATTCATCAGCGATCTTGAAAAATTAACTTCCCAAGAGTGGTTTACATTTAAGAAACAAATATTTACTTTCGAAGATTTTGTAATGGATTGGATTAATGACTTGAAAGAGAAAGAAAAGAACAGCATCACAATTTATATAAGAGAAGAGATTGAAAAGTATAGTCAATTCAAAGACTATCTCAAATTCATTACTGGGGATGGATGGCAACCAGAACATTGGGACACCTTTTTCCGACTTATTAGTTTGGAGAAAGTAACAGTTGAAGAATTGAAATTTGGCCATCTACTTCCAAAAGCTTCTATCATTATTGAAAAAATCAACAACATTAAAGAGTTGAGCTCTAGAGCAGTTGGAGAGCAACAAATTAGAGACGCTCTAAATGAGCTCAAAGCGTGGGGACTTTCAACAGAGTTTTCAACCTTTGAATACAAGGGAACTCAAAAGACTTTACAACTCATCAAAGATTGGAAAGAGTTATTGACACAAATAGGAGACAATCAATCATTAATACAATCTATCAAGGATTCTCAATGGGCAGATCCATTTATTGAAGAGATACGATCATGGGAGCAAAAGCTTACAAATTTAGCTGATTTTATTGACTTTTTGATGAATATTCAAAGAAAGTGGTTATATTTGGAACCAATATTTTCACGAGGATCGTTACCATCTGAGCAACAACGGTTCAATCGTATTGACAAGGACTACATTGATATAATCCATAGCATCAACGATAAGGGAACCATTGGAAAGAGAGTTGTTATGTTGGAAAGAATTATTGGTTTAAAGGATAGGCTTAAGAATATTTCTGAAGGTTTAGACGTTTGCCAAAAAGCTCTCAACAAGTTCTTGGAAGAAAAAAGAAGTGCATATCCAAGATTTTATTTTATTGGAGACTCTGATCTATTAGAAATTCTAGGCCAAGCTCAAAATCCAGCAGTAATTCAAACTCACTTAAAAAAACTCTATGCAGGAATTTACAAGGTGCAGTTTAATAAGGAACAGGATGCAATTATAGCTATGTGCAGCTCTAAAGGTGAGGTTGTCCAATTGAAGGAGCCAGTTAAAATTACAGACAAAGTAGAACAATGGTTATCTAGCTTAGATCAACAAATGTTCAAAACTCTTGAGCAACTTTTGATTGAATGCGACAAGTCAAAAGATTTTGATATTGACGCTTTTCCATCTCAAATTCTTTGCCTCCAAGAAAGTATCAATTTTACCAGAAAATGCGAGCAAGCAATCCAAAACAAAACTCTGCAACAACTTCTAACAAGTCTGAAAAACCAGTTACATCAATTTACGGCGATCAATGCAAAGGATGACGAGGTCATTTCCATGAAAGTGAAAGCACTGATTTTGGACATAATTCACAACATTGATGTTGTTGAAGCTTTAATCAAAGCCAATGTAACTTCTGTGACACACTGGGTTTGGCAGAAACAACTTCGATTCTACATTGAGAATGGAAAATGCGTGATCAGAATGAGCAATGCTAAATTTGATTACACATATGAATATCAAGGAAATGTTGCCAAGCTTGTTCATACCCCACTCACAGACAAATGTTACTTGACATTAACACAAGGAATGCTGTTAGGATATGGTGGCAACCCTTACGGACCTGCAGGAACAGGAAAGACTGAAAGTGTGAAAGCTTTAGGACATTTATTTGGACGTCAGGTACTTGTTTTCAATTGTGACGAAGGCATTGATTTTAATAGTATGGGTAGAATATTTATTGGTTTGGTAAAATGCGGAGCTTGGGGTTGCTTCGACGAATTTAACAGATTGAAGCCTGATCAACTGTCAGCAATTTCTCAACAAATTCAATTAATTCAAGTTGCAATTAAGGAAAAATCAACCAAACCAATCGAATTACTTGGCAACAAGGTAAATGTGAATTTGAACGCAGGTATTTTTGTGACACTCAATCCTGCAGGAAAAGGGTATGGAGGCAGAAGCCAACTTCCAGACAACTTGAAACAACTCTTTAGATCTGTGGCTATGGCTGCACCTGATAACGAGCTTATTTCTGAAGTGATTTTACTTTCTGAGGGCTTCCAACATGCTAAATACTTGGGAACAAAAATTGTAAGCGTTTTTCAACTCAGCAAACAATTATTGAGTACACAACAGCACTACGATTGGGGATTACGTTCTCTGAAAACCATTTTGAATATTGGTGGATCCCAAATCAGACAGGCAAGAAAACACACAGAAAATATTAGCAAGGAGGCTGAGGCTCAAATTGTGATCAAGGCACTCCGTGTAAACACTCTTTCAAAGCTTACTCACAAAGACGCCGTGTTATTCAACGGAATCATCAAGGACGTGTTTCCAGGAATTGATTCTCCTGATATCTCCTACATTGAGCTTGAAAAATCAATTAAGGACGTTATGAACGAAATGGGACTTGTTCCAATACCAAACATGATCAAGAAAATTGTACAATTTTATGAAGCTTGCAAACAAAGGATGGGAGTTGTTTTGGTTGGACCAAGTGGATCTGGTAAAAGCGTTATTTGGCATGTGCTTTCAGAGGCTCTAAAAAAGATGAACCAAAAGATGAAAACCTATGTCGTTAATCCAAAGGCCATGCCAAGACATCAACTATTGGGCCACATGGATATGGACACAAGAGAATGGTTTGATGGTATCATTACAGCCAACTCTAGAAATATACTCAAAGAAGAGCCAGATGTCATGTCATGGATGATTTGTGACGGTGATATTGATCCAGAATGGGTAGAATCCTTAAATTCTGTGTTGGATGACAACCATTTGCTGACAATGCCTTCCGGAGAAAGAATTCAATTTGGTTCTAATGTCAACTTTATCTTTGAAACTCACAGTCTAAAATTCGCATCTCCTGCAACAGTTAGTAGAATGGGTGTCATATTCCTTTCAGATAATGATGTGGATTTAAAGAGTTTTGTTAGTGCATGGATGAATAGTCATGAAAATTTAAGCGATAATATCAGGTCCTTGATCGATAATTATTTCTACTCAGCCCTTGAAATAATATTCAATGTTGACAAATCAGAGTTCATCATTGAGACTACCAACATGGGTATAATCATGAATGGATTGTCGCATATTTCTACAGATATTTCTAGCAAAGGCGAATTTGCATGTGCACTTGTTCGTGGTTTAGGTGCCTCTCTCAATATCAAAGCAAGAGAAAAGTTGGCAAAAGATATTTACACTTTGTGTGGTGAAAGTGGAGTCGACTTGAGAAGACCACTTGATTATTATTATTCCAAGGAAGATTCATGCTTTACCCAATATTCATTCAATGAGTCTGGAGATGTTAGTTTTGACAATGTTCAAAGTTGTCCTATGATACGAACAGTAGACGTTCAAAGAACCACACATATCATTTACCCTTGGCTGCAAAATATGGAACCATTTATTTTATTAGCTCCAGAAGGCGCAGGCAAGGGTATGCTTTTGGAAAATCTTTTCCTTGATCTACCTTCCGTTCAAATTGCTAGGATTCACTGTAATTCGCAAACAAATGAGAGTCATGTAATCCAAAAGCTAAATCAAACATGTACCGTGTTTACTACTAACAACGGTAGGGTTTTGCGACCAAAGGAAGGAGAACGGTTGATCCTCTACTTAAAGGACATTAATCTACCATGTCCTGACAAGTATGGAACTACTCAATTGATTTCATTTTTGCAACAATTAATTACATACAATGGATATTATGACGAAGAATTGAAATGGATCGGATTAGAAAGAATTCAAATTGTAGCTTCAATGAATCCTGCTACCACTGTTGGAAGATATGATCTTACCAGCAGATTTACTTCGATTGTAAGAACAGCATACATGTCCTACACAGACAAACAACAATTGAAACAAATTGTTTTTACATACCTCAAAGCTGCTCTTTCTAAAGACTTTTCTGGACATACTATTTGGAAGCAAAGCCAAAATATTGATTTGTTAACAGACGTTATGATCGAACTTTATGATAATGTGACCAAGAAATTTACAGTGGACGAATTTGCTCACTACCAATTTACACCAAGAGACTTGATAAGATGGATTTTAGGGTTGTCTAACTTTAGCATTCCATCAACAAGTAATAGATGTACAGAGTTGCTGGATGCATGGACCTACGAGGCAAGAAGAATATTCAGAGATAAATTGGTGAAAGATGTAACTTCATTTGACACAATGGAATCGGCTATTCACATGAAATTAGAAAGTATTGGATATTCTCCTAAAATGTTGGGTAAAATTTTATTCACAAGCCTCGCAACAACAGACAAAAAGAAAATACTTTGCCCTGCAAAAACTCTTGAATTTGGTAACTTTTTGGGATATTCGGGAACTGCTAAAAGAAGTACTTTGAAGAAGACTGCTATACAAAGCTTTGAAAGAGAAAATAGACCGTTGAGACTATTCTTTGTTCCTGAAATTGTAGAATATGTTGCCATGATTGATAGAGTGTTGTGTAGAGATGGAAGTTCATTACTTCTGGTTACCAAACCAGGCATTGGAACAAGCGATATTGTTGCTTTGGTTTGTCATCTCTTGAAATTTGAACTCTATTCACCAAAGATGGTCGTTGGTTATTCAGTCAAGCATTTCAAGAACGATATCAAAGCAGTCATACAAAAGGCAGCTCAAAATGAAAAAGTATGCCTGCTACTAGAAGACCATAACATGAGAGAATTAGCCTTGCTTGAATATGTCAACAGTCTTTTAAGCTCTGGAGAAATTCCAGGCTTGTTTTCCAAGGAAGAGCTAGAAATCATACTTTCAACGATTAGAGATGAAGGAAATCAGCCTAGCACAGCATATAATTCGTTTATTAAGAGAGTGACCAATAATTTGCGAGTAATTTTAGTTATGGACCCTGATAACAAAGACTTTGACCTAAAATGTAGGTCTAATCCAGCTATCTTTACAAAATGCTCCATTATTTGGAAAGATTCCTGGTCAAGCGAAGGAATTCAACAGATTCCCAAGATGATAGTTGATGAAAACGACCTGAAGTCTCTTTCTTTAAAGAGCGACGAGTTTTTACAATTATTTGTCCATATACATGACATTAGCAAGGATAGAGGAGCGACACCTCTGCACTTTGTTAACTTTATTGATACCTTCAACATCACACTCCAAAAGAAGAGGACAGTGAAGCAAGAGCAACAAGATCACTTACACAAAGGTCTTTCCAAGCTGAAAGAAGCGTCCAAGAGCGTTGATGAATTATCCAAGAAAGCTGAACAGCAAAAGATTCAACTGAACGAAAAACAAGAACAGAAGAAAGTAGCTCTCGTAGAAATCCAAAAGAGCATGCAAGAATCTGTGAAAGAACAAAGCGATATTGAGAAATTAAAAGAGAAGATGAAGGAAGAGGATTTGAAACTAAACCAAAAGAAAGAGATTATCAATTCCAAACTTAGTTCGATAGAGCCGTTACTTGATAGTGCTAAACAAGCCGTTGCTGCTCTGAGTCCAAAAGAAATTTCTGAAATCAAAAGTCTTGCTCAACCTCCAGTCACTATTAGACAAATTATGGAAGGTGTGGTGAGATTGATGGGTCAGAAAGACTACTCTTGGAAAGGAATTCAGAACTTCTTGAATCGTATGGGTGTCAAAGAACAAATTATGGGCTTTAATGCTGAATCTGTGGACAAGAAAACACTCGAAGACGTAAAAAAATATGTTAATGGAGAAGGTGCTGAATCATTCCAACCTGAGGTTGCTGCCAGAAGCAGTAAATCTGCGCTTCCTCTTGCTAAATGGGTGAAAGCAAACATTGAATATGCTGAAGTTCTTCAACAAGTAGGACCTCTTAAGAGAGAAATGGAAGTTCTTGAAAAATCTCAAGATTTGTTGAATCAACAACTTTCTCAATGTGAAGCAAAACTCAACGCGCTCAATGAAAAAGTAAAATCATTGCAGGACGAGTATGAACAAAAGACACAAGAGGCAGAATCTTTGAAATTAGGATTGCAACAAGCTGAAAAAACTCTTTCATCTGCTAAAAGTCTAATTGGAAAATTGGGAGGAGAAAAAGATCGATGGGAAAAACAAGTGGATGCCCTCTCTAAGGAAATGAAGGAAATGCCATACCAAGCGTTGTTAGCAAGCGCATTCATGGTTTACCTTCCTGATGCACCTGAGAATATTAGACAAGAATACATTGAAAAATGGAAACCACTGGTGGGGCTTAAACAATTTGACTTTAGATCTTTTATGAGCACTGAAAGCGAGATGTTGAAGTATAAGAGTGAAGGACTACCTGGAGATGAATTATCCACAGAAAATGCCATTGTAATACTTGAGAGCATCAAACATCCTCTCGTTATTGATCCTTCAAAGCGAGCAGTTGAATGGTTAAAGACGCACTTGATGAACAAGAGCGTTGAGTGTACAACTCCAAATGACACCAAATTCAGCACAACATTGGAGCTATCAGTAAGATTTGGCAAAACATTGATCATTGAAGAGGTTGATCATATTGATCCAATTCTTTATCCATTGCTTAGAAATGAGATTATTGTTCAAGGAACTAGAAAGTCAGTTGTAGTTGGAGAGAAAACTGTGGACTATAGTGATGACTTCAAGTTATACTTGATCACCAGAAATCCTAATATCATGTTATCTCCCGATTCTTCACCACTAGTGACCGTTGTGAACTTTACAGTCACTAAATCAGGTCTTGAAGGTCAATTATTGAGCCAAACTCTTCAACATGAAAATCCAGAAATTGAACAAAAGAAGAGCATGCTGCTCAAGAAAGAGGAAGAAAATAAGATACAGTTGAGCGAATTGGAAAAACAATTGCTGAATGAGCTTGCTTCTTCGAAGGGTAACCTTTTGGAAAATGAATCTCTCATTACCAAGTTGGCAGAAATTAAGAAGAAGAGTCAAAGTATTATGAGCAGCTTGGAGGAGTCAAGTAAGATTATGCAAGATTTAGAAACCAAGCGAAATCAGTACAAACCTTTTGCAGAAATGGGAAGCACTCTATTTTTCATCATGTCAGACATGAAGAACATCAACACTATGTATCAATTCAGTCTTTCTTCCTTTATCAAGTTATTTGATCATGCGTTAACTTCAAAACTTGATAAGGCATCCGATGTGAACTTGCGTATGACTTTGTTGAAACAAGAGCTTCAAAAGATTGCATTCAATTATGTTACCAGATCATTGTTTAAAGCTGATAGACAATTATTTGGTATGCACATGGTACATGGCTTATTCCCCTCACTATTCACTCCACAACAATGGGATTTCTTTATCGGTAACATGGTTGTTAAAGAACAATCGTCTATTGGACAAGCACCAACCTGGATCCCAACTGACAGAGTCAAAGCTTTCCAACTTCTTCTTTCTGTACTACCAGAGGTGTCCTCCAAACTTCAATTCAACAACGCAGAGAAATGGAAGTCTTGGCTTCTTTCAAAAGAAGACGCTATCAAGTCGTTCCCTGTCAATGATAGCTCCATTTCTTATGCAGACAAACTAATTGTCATCAAAACTCTACGACCAGATCAATTGTACTTTGTCATCTCTGACTTGATCATGAAAACATTGGACATCAAGTCAACAGCTGCATCCTTAAAACTTGCCAACATTTACAAACAAGAAAGTAGTTGTATGGAACCTATTCTTTTAATAACTACTACAGGTGCTGATCCTTCTCAAGAGCTTAGAGAGATGGCTCTCGAAACTGTTGGTGACGCTAACTTTATTGAACTTGCTATGGGTCAAGGTCAAACAGAAGAAGCAATCCAACTCTTGAGAAAATGTTCAAGAGAAGGAAAATGGTTATTCTTGAAGAATTTGCACCTTGTTATCTCTTGGCTTCCAACTCTGGAAAAAGAAATTGCTGTTCTCTCCGACGTCAATGAAAACTTTAGATTATGGCTTACAACAGAATCACATGAAGAATTCCCAATTATCCTCCTTCAACAAAGTTTGAAACTTACCTTTGAGTCTCCTCCAGGTATTAAGCAAAACATGCTAAGAACCTTTGAATCTCAAAACGTGACAGAATTTTCATCCTTTGGAAAGACAAGAATGAGATTATCCATGTTACTGGCTTGGTTCCACTCAATAGTACAAGAACGAAGAACATACATTCCACAGGGATGGTCTAAATTCTATGAGTTTTCATCATCAGATTATAGAGCTGCTTCTGATATTATTGGAGCCGCTATTCAAAACGAAAATCCTGAGTGGAACACAATCTTTGGACTCTTAGAGAATGCAATTTATGGAGGAAGAATTGACAACAAGTATGATGCCAAGATTTTGAATGTCTATCTTTCTAAATTCTTTAACCCAAATATTCTCAACAACAAGGAACCTCTCTTTACCAAAGGAGTTTATTTACCAGAGAGCAACTCTTATGACGATTACATCAAATTCATTGAAAAACTTCCTGACGTTGATCAACCTGTGGTCTTTGGCTTACCTCCTAATGCAGATCGATTGGTTCAAATTTCACTCAGTGCAAAGATCATTGATAATCTTAAACAATTATCGACTCGCTCAAGATCTGCAAATAATTTTAACAAGGATGAATGGACCTCTAAGCTTGTTCCAATTGTTCAATTGTGGGGATCACTCATCAATCAAAATAGATCCATTCTCTTAACAACCAAACGCAATAATGAAGTTCTCACAGATCCTGTAGATTCCTTCTTTACTTTGGAAATGGACAATGCATTGGAATTGATCAAATTTATTGATTCTGAAATTCAAAAGATTAGTGATGTGATCAAAGGTATTGCTCTAATAGACGCCTCCATCCATCAAAATGGAGCTTCTTTAATGAATGGCATCATACCAGAGAGATGGCAATTAAGATGGGAAAATGGACCATTCAACAACGTGACTGCTTGGATCAATGAAGTTATTTCCAAGACTCTCAAATTACATGATTGTTGTATGCTCATTTCACAAGGCAAACTGTACTCAAAACCCATTGAGCTCAACAACATGTTCAATCCTCACATCTTCTTCAATGCTCTCAAACAACAAACAGCCAGAAAGTCTGGATTGCAATTAGATGATTTGACTGTGTTGAGTGCCTCATGGGGATTGAAGAATTTATCAGGAGTTTCCATCAAGGTAGGAGTTAAGGGTATTGCCATTCAAGGTTCAGAATTTGATGGGCAAACATTGACGACTATTACATCCGATTCTGCGCCTGCACTATCTCAATTACCAGCTTGTGAAGTATTTTGGGCAACGGAAAAACAAATGGATGATCTTCGACAAAAGAAGGAAATGTCTGCTGTGACTCTTCCACTTCCTATTTATTACTCAACTAACAGAGAATTTACCGTAGCTGAATTGCACATGCCTTGCAACTCGACCGCAGATGTTGACAAGTTTGTGTTGACGGGCACTGCCATTTTTGTTGACAATAATTCACAATAAATAAATGCGTGTTGTTCTTGAATTTCTGTTTGTTGTTTGTTGTTCACAAGAGACAAATTAAAATTTTAAATGAACCAGGAAACCCATATGGTGACTCATCTTTTGCATGGACTCATTGAGCTGTTGTCTTGCCTTAATTACATGCTCCTCTTGTATCAGACTGAACATACGTGTATTGGCAGACATGCATTCCAATAATCGAAATTCTACAATTTCACTCAAATACGGCAACATCATTAACGCTACCCCAAAGAACATCAATTTACACTGGTCGTAATCGATCTCGATTCCTAATTCTTTCGCTTAAGCATTTTTCCAAATTCGAAATTATTTCCATCGCTTTCGAATAACTTTGATACTTACCCCCATGATCGAACAAATTTTGATAGAATGGCTCTGACAACAAGATTAATTTCAGATATCGACATGTACACCGTTCGATGCAAGTCTTCAAGTCTCTTGCTGACTCGTTACTTTTGAATGTTTCTTGTGAATAGCGTTGTTTACGCGTACTTCTTTTCATGTGAAATCCATATCGTTCCCATTTATCCCATGCTTTTCCATACTCTCTCTCGAACCCTGTGAACGAGACCCTGTTTGAATACATTAATATTTCGCTTTCTTGATCATTGGAACCATCCAATAATTGAGAAATTTCTAACCTCGAGGGAAATTCATCCAAATGCTTGCACAATAACAAATTCGAACCAAACTCAACAATTCCATTCTGAATCATTGTGTCCGTGGCAGTAGCGAGTTGTTGCGATTTTCGCGCCAAATTCGACACGATGCGCTTCAGTCGCTGTAAAAAATAACGTTTCGAAGATTCACCAATCCTCGTGATCACGTTACTCGTTGTAGTTCCCAAAAGCCTTACTTGATAATAACTCGAGGGTTTGTTGAGAGGAGAAGATATGGAACCTTGGTTTTCTTGAATAATCGTCATTTGTAAATCAGAGCTCATTTCTTGAATGATACTTCCGAGAGGATAGCGAAGAGGTAACTCGAGAGAAGTCGCGTATTGGTGTTCCCCATAGGGATCATGTGCTTTGAGTTCCATTCTTAAAATTAATTGAGATAAATAATTCTCATTGAAAAGAATTGTTTTGAGAATGTGTTCTTTAGAGTGGCCGTTCGTGTCGGAAAGAGATTTTGGTGGAAGGATACCTAACTCTGTTAACAATTGTTGACATTCTTGTTCTAAATTGGTCTCTAAATAGAGTAATAGTAATGGACAACTAAATCTCGACATTATTTTGTACAAGAGTTGCATGTACAAATCCTTAAACTTTACACTAATGGTTGGCCAACTAAATATTCCAAAAGCCAAAAACGTAAAATATCGAAAATAAATAAAATTCAAGGACAAGTTTTTCGTATCCATTCGTTTTGATTTCGGTTCACTACGAACACCACAGTAATTTTCAGAGTAAAATGCAAAATGACAATACATGTAAGACACCAATTGCACATGTTCGTATTTGGATCTAAGGGTTCCAAGTTCCATCTTCAGCAAACTACCCGAATCTTGTAAAAGCATTTCTTGTGCCCATTTCGATTCATTATTATTTTGAAATGAATGGTGAACGTTTTTTCTTGTCAATTCTCTACTTAGAACTTCCAGCATTTGAAATTGAGAAGGTTTATAATATTCCATAACCTTCCAACGTTGAATGAGATCATACAAGGTGTAAAATCGTTGTTGAAATTTTCGGGCCCACAAATGCTCGGAATGAAGAATGTCACGTCTCCATTTCGAATTGGTTAAACACCACACACCAAGCAGTTCTTTGGGTTCCACGAATTCTGAAAGAAAATAATGAATAAAAAACGATTCATCCGAGAGAAGGTCATGATAGAGCCGTTCTGTTGAAGGCTGGTTGTGTTGTGACATTTTTGTTTTTGGGTGTTATTTAAAAGCGTTAAACGGTCTTAAATTTGGTTCGGTAACAGCTCAAAATCCAGATGGAAGATCAAAAAAATGTTTCAGTTCCAAAGTCATGATGAAAATAATTGAATTCTGTCTGACCTTTTTATTGATATTTCTGTTTCTCGAAATAATAATTTATTGATATTTCTGTTTCTTTGTGAAGGGTTCTGTAACGGTAGTAGTGGATTGATAGGAAGTGATTGGGAGAACGTCATCATCTTCGGGAATTGAGGTAATCTGCTCGATGGAGAGTTCCTTACTGTTGAGATCTTCTCCATCGTTGAAGTGTATGGCTTTATGCAAGTCATCATATCCCTTGCAACCAACGAGTCTTTTGTATAGATTCGTTTTGGCATGTGTCTCAAACATTCTCTTAATAATATATTTTGATAATCCTGCTGGATATTGATATTTGATAAATTCATCCAATAATATTTTGGCCACCTCTAATTTATCTAAAAGTACTTTTTCTTTTCTGAAAATACTTAAATTCCACATTGCTCCTCGGGCTTGATGAAAATTATTAAAAACCTCGACTAGTATTGCTTATAAAGTAACTTACCAATCATGACACTTGAACATCCTGTGACAGATTTCACTCGTTCAATATCTTCAGGTTTGAAAACATCTCCATTTGCAATCAGAGGAACTTTGGCAATTTTTGAGATTGGTTCAATAAGATGAGAATGAGCCTTTTCTCGAGGTCTTTGTGGTATGTACCTGGCGTGGACACAAATTGCTGTTACTCCAGTGTTTTGAAGTTTTTCAAATAATTCTAAAGTTTGCTCTGGAGAGTCCAATAATCTGATTTTACATGTCACGGGTTTACCATATTTTTCTTGAATTCCTTTCACAAGAGTTCTCAAAATTTCTAAAGCATTCTCTTGGTTTTCTGGTCGCAATAATGCACTTCCCATTCCACCTTTAACAGAAAATTTTTTTGGGCATCCCATATTTACATCGATTGCATCATAACCATCAATCATTAACTCAGCAACCTTGAGAGCAATTTCTGGAGAAGATGTACCCAATTGCAATACTGTTGGTACTTTTTGTGACGCTGTTGGTGAGTCACTATCTTTATCCACAACCTCTACTTGATAGACAATGGACTTGTCCTTTTCCGAAATATAATCAATGGTCTTTAACTTTTCATTATACACAGGTTTGCATTTAAGTAACTTTTTATCCACCAATTCTTCTGAATAAACGATATCTGCTCCATACTGTGCTGCTAGTCTACGAAATGGAAGACCGTTCACTCTCACCATAGGAGCTAAAATTACCTTATTTCTGTAATCAATTTGAATGACAGGTCTTTTCGGAATGGATGATACATCTGTATCCGTAGATGCACCTGTTGTTATTCCATTTGTATCCGAAGCAATCATTGTACTATATTCTCTTTTTTGAAAATTCGTAAAATAATAATTCAACTCTTGAAAAGTTCCGATTCGTGTTTTAAAATTTCGTTGTTGAATACTACCCCTTGCAGTAATGGAAGAATTGATACTAGTAGCTGTTCTATTATTAACACACAATACGAAGGAGGATGGATAATAACAATTGTCTGACGGTTGCTTCCAAAGGCTTGTGGGTATTTTTTTAATGGAGAAGAGTTTCTTCATTTTTTAATTTGCATGCCGAAGAAGAAGTGAAAGTACCCACGTTCCATCATCCTGTTCATGCGGAAAGACGAACATTATTCCTCTGAGAGGATAATGCACAACGAGTGTTTCAACTGTAGGCTCTGGTAAGCTAACCAAAGTTTCATGCTTTTAAAAATTGAACTCAAAAAAAATGGTGAAAATAGACTCTAACAAATTCCGATATTTGAGTAATGATGATTTTCGTGTGCTAACGGCCATTGAAATGGGTATGAAGAACCATGAGTTGGTTCCGACGCCATTGATTGAGAGAATTGCTGGACTTAGACACGGAGGCACTCAAAAAGTTCTATCCCTTTTATTGAAATATAAATTGGTTCATCACGATGCAAAGAATTATGACGGTTATCATTTGACGTATCCCGGATATGATTTTTTGAGTTTGAAGACGTTTATGAAGAGAGGACATGTGATTGGATTTGGTAGACAAATTGGTGTGGGTAAAGAATCGGATATTTACTTGTTATTATCGCCTGTGAAGGAAGGAGAAGAGGAAGAGACAAAAGATGAAGAGGAAGGAGAAGAGAATATTGTTATTGAAAAACCTACAGAAGAGATTGAACAATTTGATGATGAGGATGATGAAGATGAATTTGATGAAAAAGAAGACGAATTTGATGGCTACGATTTGGAACATAAAGCCAAACAGATTGTTATCAAATTTCACAGATTGGGACGATCTTCGTTTAGAGCAGTGAAAAACACCAGAGATTATTTAGGAAAGAGAAGCAAAACTACAAACTGGCTATATATGAGTAGATTGAGCGCATTGAAAGAATTTGCATTCATGAAAGCTATTTATGACACCAAGTGCATACCAGTACCTAAACCAATTGACTGCAATAGACATTGTGTACTTATGGAACATATTAAGGGCTATCCTTTATACCAAATTAGAGAGATGAAACACCCATTATATGTGTATGAACAATGTGTAGATTTACTTGTGAAATTAGCTCAGTACGGCTTGGTTCATGGTGATTTTAACGAATTCAACTTGCTGGTGAAACCTAAGAGCGAGAAAGTTGTAGTCATTGATTTTCCTCAAATGGTTTCCACTTCGCACCCTAATGCAGAGTTTTATTTTAACAGAGATTTAGATTGCATTTCCAACTTCTTTGCAAAACGATTTTCTATTATTATTAAGCCAGAGGATGAGGAATATTCCAGGTTTCATCCAAAGTTATCTGACATAACGAAAGAATACTCATTGGACGTGCACGTTGAAGCAAGCGGTTTTACAAAGGAGAAAGCAAAGGAATTTGACGAAATTTTGAAAGAAAAGGAGCAAGAAGAAACTACGGACATACCAAGTGACAAAGACGATTCAACAGTTGAAGAACCACAACAAGGGCAGTCTTCTGAAGAACAGCATGAGGAGGCTGTCGATGCTGACCAGTCACTGAGCGACGAAGAATCCCCTTCCGTTGTCACAGGTACAAGCACCACCACAGGTAGAAGAAAAAAGAAAAAGGCAATCACAGAGGACGATATTAAGGAAAAAGTCAAAAGAGATTTCCAGAAGAAGCAATACTCTCGTGCCAAGGACATACAAACGGCAAAAAGAAACGCACAAAAAGGAAGAGATACACAAAAGCTCAGACGAAAAGTTAAGGATTTCGATTATTAAACTTTTGAAAATGATTATTTAATGATTACTTTTTCTTCTTCAAACTTGATTCAAAAATATTGTCTAGCAGGTCTGTAACGTCCTTCTTTCGCTTCTTCTCTTCCTGCTTTGGTTTTTGAGTACTGACTTTGTCCTTTGAAAAATCCAAGAAATCTAAATTAACGTCACTGCTTGTAACTTGCTCAGATTTCTTTGGCTTTTCTGACTTGTCTTGTTTGGATTTTTGTTTTCTGTCGACTTTCAATGTCTGGTCAGATTCTTGATTTGTTGGTGAGTGTGATTCCTCTGAAACCTTTGCTTTTGGCTCCTCTGAAGCTTTTGACTTCTTATTCTTCTTCTTTTTACTTGAACCTGATGGTGTACTCGACGAAATGAGAACTTCTTGCATCATCTTGCTTGTTTTCTTCTTTTGAATTCGTTGCTCTTCCTTTCTTTGAATCCATTCATTTGGATTGCTCTTAAACTGAGACAAGTTGGTCTTATTCCAAAGTATTGAACCTGGCTTGGTGGATCGTATCTTTTGTTCTGCATCTTTCAGAATTGTAGCAATTTCCTTATGTAGTTTGCTGTCCTTACAATCTGTCATGGCCTTTTCGACAATAAAAGCTCCATACACATTAGTGGCCAACTCGACAAGTTTTGGCTTAATTTTTTGAATGAATTCATCATATGATTGAACTAATGAATCAATCACCATACTTCCCTCCTTCGAAATACATAAATCGAAAAACTTGCTTTCTTCCATATTTTTAAATACATCCACGAGAGGAGCAAGCAATTTCTTTGATTGGAATGTAAAAATGGTAGAGAGTAGATTACAACCGTGTCTATTCATGACTTTGTCATCCCCTGATGAAAACAACAACCTCATCACTGATTGTTCTATGGTTTGGTGTTCCTCCCCTTCAAAACCTTTCATCATTTGTTGAAGTATTTCTTGCTCTTTAGTGTTAAATTTAAGACATCCTTTTGCGAGTGCGGTAATGACGTTTAGAGTATTACCAAAGCATTTCTTAATGGTCTCTTTGACAGAATTGAAAATGGATATAAATTGATCTCTATTTGCCTTTTCAATAGCATTAACCAAAGAATAGCATTTTGATTGGTCTGTGGCAAAACTTTCAGCATTAGGGAGTATGACATGCTGCAAAATATATGAAAATGTCTTTTCATCTCCATGGTTGATGATAACTTCAACAATGTGACAATGTTGGGGAGTAGAAAGGAGCTTGGAGATAGTCTCAGTAGACACGCTTAATTCAGAGTTGCTGTCTTGCCCAATGGCATACCTCATGATATTTGTGAATAATTTGGAATCTGTAGAGGAAACATTTTCCATTAGGCTAGTCAAAAATCCTAGTGCAATGTTATCGGAAAGAACATCAGCAATTGGACATGACGAAATCATTTTCTCGACCATAATGTCCAGTAATGTTTTTCCTTCCTCTTTTGCGTTGATATTTCCGAGGCATAAGCTTAACTGTCTAACAACAAAACTTGCATTCTTGTGGAAAATCATGTCAAACAAATTTGGGTCAATCTTTGAGTAATAGATTTGATTCAAAATTGTAGAAATAGTATTATCTTCGATCGTATTAGTATTGTCCTCTACATCATCAAGCATGGCATTGCTTGCTTCTTCTTTGACCACATCTGGAACATATTTCAATGCTTCTTGAATCACAAAAGAACTAAATTTGCCGTTGCAGATTATATCAAACCCACTAGAGCATGCTTTCAAAAAACTTCGAATATCCTCACTTGACGAAAGTGGTATCATGGTTTGTAATGTTTTGGCAATGACTGGATTATTCACAGTCAAAATAAAGGCAACAAGTCCTTTTTTCACAATCTCATCTCGATCCTCATCGCTTGCAGTGTCAAACAAGTTTCGCAATTCACAAGTATAATTGACCACGCTGGTAATAAATTGAATTCTATCTTCATTGGTTGGAAATTCATCCTTGTTTATCAATCCTTCAACCCTTCGGAAATAAGACATGATACTCCTTGCTGTTTTGATTTGATTCTTTCCTTCTTCATCTAAAATTTCAGTTAAAGTATATTGAGAAATCTCTTGTCCGAATGCCGAGATATCATCAACCTCTCCCTCTTGCTCGTCATAATTTCTCTGATAAGAATTCTTGCTATATTGTCCTCGCTCTCGGAACGATGAGCTTTTGTTTTCCCTGTTATTATACTCTCCTTTTCGGTTGTTATATTTGTCTTTGTTTTTATATGAATTAGAAGAATTTCTATTGTTGTTATTTCTGTTGTTATTCCACGAAGCAATTCCTCCCTGACGATTGCTATCTTCGTGATGATGAGATGAATTTTTGGGTTTTCTTGAAATGAACATTTTTTCAATTTTTTTTATGAACACGAAATTGATTTTATCACTCACAAGAGGTGGAGCTGCTACCAAATAGCGTCTCAAACAATTAATATAGAGAGGAACCGTTGCTTTTGTCGGAAAGATACTTTGTTATTTCGCAAACACAATTATATTAACGAAAAAAATGCAAGTAAAGCTCAAAGCCTATCCCTCGCAATTTTTAAAACGAAAGAAGGAGCTCGTAGGCCTGAATAGAGTTTCCGATATTTATTGTGTGATTATTTCTCCATTGATGGCACGTCTGTTGGATATTTGGAATGTTGTGGAGTCATATCCTAATGTGTGTTGTGTTAGCAAGGAAATATTTCCCAGACAATATTTTGTAGAAATTAATGATGAAAAATCGGAATCGGTGGACTTAAATAGTCGACGAATTATTCTGACACTTTATATAGACCCATCACTAGGAGTTTTGAAAGCAAATTTCAAAGCACAAGATGTGGAGCCAGAAATTTATATGAATGAAATAGCAATGAAAAGCCTCGGGCTTGAACAAGACCAAGAAGTTGTGATTAAAATAGGAATTTCTGAACAAATACCAGAGCTGCAACGAGTGCTTTTGAAACCTTTCTCGGAAAATAGTTTCTCCAAAATTTTGCCAGTCAATAAGAATTGTATGTTTTAATATTGAAGCTAAAAATCTTGTTGACAATTTTTCATGATAGATGTCAAAGAGTTTATATCTACGAAGAAATTTATTAATAGAAATTCTAAAATCTCTATACCGTTGGATGTCTTTGATAATGACACTGAATACATGGAATTCAATATTCAAACCAAATATTTAAATGAAAGCGAAATAGAATGGGGTAGAATATCTGAAAAGACGAAAATTATTTTCAATTCAGATGAAATAGATTTAAATCATTTACAATGTAGCTCATTTTGGAAAAGTGAGCAATATTACACTTTGCGCTCATTGATCAATCATGCAATGAAAAATGTGTCTCACTCCATTCGCAGTTTTTTAATTTATGGAGCTGGAGGAAATGGCAAGTCAAGTCAAGTTTTTCATATTGCCAAAGATTTGAATGTAAATGTGAAAAAACTGTCACCCTCTTCACTCTATCAAAATATTTACCAAGACGAAGAAGGAGTATTCAATCTTTATCACCAATTGAAAGAGGCAGAAAGTTTGCATCCTTGTATATGTAAGTACATTCTTCTATTACCTGTTTTCTTCTTATCATTGTTTATAGTTCTTATTGATGAGATTGATATTTTATTCCCTGACGATGAAGAGTCCAAAGATTTACTACTTCTCAACCAGTTACTCTCAATTTTTCATTATCTAGAATCATCACCATTTCCACTCTGCCTTGTTGGTATTACCAGTCAAATAGAACGTCTTGACCCATTTGTAAAGCAAAAATTCGAGGAACATATTATGGTAGACGTTCCAAGCAACGAGGAACGCTTTCATATTTTCAAGACCTTGTTATTGAACAATGATAATGTTAAGGTGGAATTAGAAATGAATGAATCTGAGATTGGACAGTTCAAGACTGTTGACAATCTCCTCAAGGACATTTCTTTTAACCACTTTCATGGTTTGGTGCAAGCAGATATCGCTCTTCTTTGCTCTAATTGCATTCAAAACGCGAGAATGCGACAATTACTGCATTCTCATTATCACAACAATTTGAATTCTCCATTACCAACTGTGAGCATTTCTTCCACAGACCTCATTGACGAGATTAAAAAGATAGAGCCATATTCTATAAGACAATCTTCACAATCATTAACAATACCGCAAATACCTAGAGTGAGATGGGAGGATATTGGAGGCCTGCATGAAGTCAAAGCCAAACTGAATGAAATGATTGTTTGGCCTTTAAAACATTACGAATCATATGTGAGAATGGGAATTAAGCCACCCACTGGATTGTTGCTTTATGGACCACCAGGAACCGGAAAGGTAAGTATTCAAGACTACGATCTGGATCAGGACGATTATCTTCGTGAACACTTGACCACCTTATTTTGTAACCACCAAGACATTGTAAGTATTCATATAGATCAAGTTAAGTGAAATATATTTGTCATCTTTTAAACCATTCAAGAATTGCAAAAGCAGTAGCATCTGCATCAAGTTCCAATTTTATTTCTATCAACATTCCTGATCTCATTAAGGCTGAAGTTGGAGAGTCTGAGAAAACTCTTGCTGAGATATTTAGAAGAGCTCGCTTGGCAAGCCCTTGTGTCATTTTCTTTGATGAAATTCAAGCAATATTTGGCGATCGAATGGACTCTTCCAGTGGTGAACAACGTTTAATTTCACAATTGTTACTCGAACTGGACTCTCTGGAGAATACAGAATTTTTAACACGTCAACGAAGTACTGACTCTCAATCCAACAATCATGGCTGTGTCATTGTTATTGCAGCTACCAACGTACCACACAAAATTGATCCTACACTCCTCAGACCAGGAAGAATTGAGCACGTGCTTTATGTTGGACCTCCAGACAACGATGCAAGAAAATCCATATTTGAAATGTGCATTAAGGGAATGACAGTCGAAGAGAAGATCCATCATTATGTCGATTCGTTGGTCGAAAGGACCAACATCTATTTTTCGGGTGCGGATTTAGCAAACATTTGCCAACGTGCTGGACTTAACGCCCTTTCCCGGTCTATTCTTTCCCAAGGCACTAGTACAAGCCCATCTGTTGATAGAGATGTTGTCTCGGTGGAAGATTTTGAGAGAGCTCTATCCATGATTTCACCCTCACTTACAAAACCTCAATTACAATATTATACGAATTGGGAACTTCATCGACACTGTAGTGATATTGAATAAGGACAAGATAGAAGATGCAGAATCCCTGTTACTTGTGAATCTACTACTGATTGTACATCTAGAACAGGAGTATACATAACAAAACTATCCACTTTTTGCACTCGAGGACAGCCTCTCTAAATGTCGTTACTTGCAATAATACCCTCAATAACTATCTCTCGAACACTCACCATCATGTCACGAGCGATCCCTTCAAAGGAGTCATCGATTCTTGGTTTCTCTATCCAGTCTCTTTTCACAAATGACACTTGTCGATGCCCTTAATGACAACCTTTGTTTTTTAAATAGCGAACTGAAGTTGTTTTGTAGAATTATTAGAAAAAAAAGCAAGCTCTCGCAACTTTAACAAAAACTCATAGCAGACCATCTGTCAACCATTGTCACTCGATACGAACAATATTGCAAGCCTTTAGTCACTAACAACACAATTGCCACTGCTGCACTCTAACAGTATTGACATACAACCATCCCTCTCTGAGAGATAAATCCTCAACCTCATTCTTTCACAAATTCAATAGTTTTTGGCAATTGATCGCAAAGAACAGACCTCTGTTTCCATTCTCGTCGAATCACACTTCTCTCTCTCTTTGTCGTATTCACACATGATCGCTGCACAAAAAATGAGCGTCGCGCAAGCTCTGCCCTCAAGTAGCGCTGCTCTAACGGCTACTACCACTTCCTCGACCTCAACCATGCAACCTCCTATCATTCAGAGCAACAACAGCCATCATCATGGTAGTGTGGGAAGTAATCAACAACCACCTTCATCATCAGTCATGCCCGTATCTCCTCGTAGTGCTAGTACACCTCCCACTGGCATACCCCAACAATATCATCATCATGAGGGCATGATGCCTAGAAAGTCCTATTGTTGCGAAGACTTTGAACTGGGAGAACAAATTGGAGAGGGAGCCTATAGTAGAGTTGTTCTAGCTACATTTAAACCAACCGGAAAGCAATATGCGTTGAAAATTATCAAGAAGCAACTGATTTTGAAGGAAAACAAGACCAAAACTGTAAAGATGGAGAAACAAGTATTGAACATGATGGATCATGATAACGTGATTAAATTGTTTTGTACATTCCAAGATGCCAATAATTTATGTAAGTACTAGTACTCGGCTTGGTTGTCATCATTAACAAATGATGTCATCCTTGTGGCTAGACTTTGCTCTCGAATATGCCCCAGGAGGAGAATTATACTCGTACATTAAAAACTATGGTCCTTTCTCGCTGGAAGCCACTCAATTCTATACTGCTGAAATTGTAAATGCTATGGAATATATGCACACACTCGGAATTATTCACAGAGATCTTAAGGGTAAGTCGTTCATGAATGGATTTATTGATTCTCACTCACACGTACAACGATAGTATGTTATTATTGTTGAAGAGTACTAGAATTTAATATGAATCATGATTAACTGTTGTTATAGCCCGAAAATATTATTCTCAGTAAGGATATGCATGTAAAAATAACAGATTTTGGAACAGCCAAAATCACAGCTGAAGAAGAAGTCACTGTAGGAGAATCTCCTCTTAAAGCAAAGAAGGGTACATTTTGTGGAACTGTACAGTATGTCTCGCCAGAGATTCTCAAAGATGAAGATTGTACTGAGGCTGCAGATTTGTGGGCTCTCGGTTGCATTGTGTATCAAATGCTTACAGCCACTCATCCATTTAAGGCTGAGTCTGAATACTTAATTTTCCAAAAGATATTGAAGAGAGAATTTGAATTTACTGACGATTTTCCATATGTGGCACGCGATTTTGTTGACAAGTTGCTCCAATTAGACGCGCCCAAACGATTAGGTGTTGGCCCATACGGATACAAGGAGCTAAAGGCTCATCCCTTCTTTGATGGCATTGACTTTAATAATTTGAAGAATCAAACTCCACCATCCATTGTACCATTTGCTGACTTGAATGCTATTGAACTTGAAGACAAGCAAGACGATTTTGATGAGCCTAACCCCTACATTGTAGAAAAACTGAACGAAAAGTGGTCTCTATTTTTACTTAAAAACGAATCCATAGTCTACACAAGAAAAGTTGTAAAACGAAGAAGATTGACCGCCAAAAAGAGACAGCTCATTCTAACTGATTGGCCAAGACTCATGTACATAGATTATGAAAACATGGTGGTGAAAGGATTTGTACCACTATCAAAAACCCTTAAGATTATTAAGAAGTCGGACAACAATATGATTTTACGTACACCAGGACGGGATTACATTATTGAAGACGTAAAGGGCTGTGTAGATAGGTGGTCATACTGGATTGAAAAGATGATTTCTGAAAAACTTGGTACTAACTGAAACTAAGAACTAACTGTTTTTTTAAACGAATAAACATACATCATAAAATAATGAGCAGCTGCTTCAACACTACTCATTCGTCATTGTACAGGAGCATGAAAACTTGACACCTTTATTCTAATCATCCAAATAATCTAACAGATTCATTTCGGAAACACCAGATTCTCCTTTCTTTTTTTCTGCCCCCGCAGGAATGACTGAAACTGGGCTGCTATTCGTTGTTGTTGGCTTGGAGGGCAAATCTCCATCGTCATCGTCGTCTGGAATTGAGGGGTCCGTGAAACTGGCCGACAAAGCTTTGGGTTGTTCTGCTTGTGACGAAAAGATTCTTCGAAGGGATTTTTTCTTTTTAACTCTCTTTTCTGAGGTTGTTTTCTTTTCTTTAACCTCTGATTTGGTTGAAGATTTGTCTTCTTCTACTTTGGGATTATAAACGCCAAATAACGACTTTTTGTCATGTTTTCTTTGGGCAAGCTTACTCTTTGTTTTGAAGAATTGTGAAATGGTTGAGAGGTAAAGCTCCGTTCGATCCTTTGTAAAACCAGCTTTCTTTACAAGAGTTTCAAAAACGATTTCTCCTAGATCTGAATATGTACTTGTAGCTTCTGACATGCACTGAAGCAGATCTTCATCGTCGATGGTATCGAACACATCTTCTATCAATCTAAGAGGCTTCACAATGGTAGAGACCCAGCCGTTATCGTCTTCTGGAGGTAAAAACGCAATGCTTGCAGCGATTTCATTCTTCACTATCTCACGTTCTTCTTTGGTGAACGTAAACTTCTTTGTCATCAAGGAGTCAATATATCTAGTTACCAGATGATTAAATACTTTGGTAACAATTGTTACAACCTTTTCCCATTCCATAAAATCAATTGGTAATTGAATATCGTTCTGTAAAAGTTCTAAAGCTTCCGTTACACATGTGTGTTCTCCTTTATCTGAATACCAATCTTTCGTGAAAATTTTCTCTAGACACGGATCAATTTTCGATATAAATCTCTGACAAAGAGTATTTACAAGTTCAGAAGAAAGGCTAGAAAAACCACTCAATACTTCTTCCATGGTTATTTTTTCCATTTCCAAGTCCGGTAAAACCTCTGCAATTTGGTCCTGTAGATCTTGAGTAAACAAAATGCATTTACTGCAGTCGTTGGAGAGAGCAATTAATCTCTTGATTGTGATTTTATCCATATGTCCTTATGAAAAATAGATATATAATACAGCTTATTCAAAAATTTTAACTTACGATTAACACCATCCTTTAAGTTTGCAGTGTAATCAGTCAAAGTTTGTCTTATTGCAAAAGAAATTTGTTCCATCAGCTGGGAATATTTCAATAAGTGAGGGTTGAGCTCTAATTGGTCTTACTTACATCTTTTTGGCCACATTGAGAAATAGATTGCAATGCCTGGTCAAGGGTAGTGAAGAAATCAATCGGTCCATATGTATATAAAATGTCGTCTTGTATCAAGAACCCTTTTTCATCAGAATTATCTTTACAAATCGTGTTAAAGAGATTTTGAACAAGCTTCTCTCGCCACTCCATGATCGATTTCTATGAATACTCGCATCAGACAGGTACTGATATTCCTCAATACTTACAAAGAAGGTGATGTTAATAGTGGTTTTAAGGTCAGTTATCATTCCAGAATAGTCAATTTTCACAGCTTCGAGATAGTCAAGGTATGGGTCGTAAATTTCTGGATACTCTATGAGCCATTTAACTTATAAAAAGGTCATGATCTTCCTATCTAATGGATTTTAACTTACGTATTTGAGATCTTGTAATATTGTCTGTCTCGTCGGTGATGTAGTGACTTAAAATGTGTCGAACCTCGTTGTCGAAAAATTCTACACACTTTTCAAAAATGTTATATTTTGTTGGAAAGCAAACAACTAGATGTTTTTCGATGGTTTCCAACTCAGACTCAACAAGATTTTTCATCTTGTCCATGACATCTTCAATATTTTCATCGTTTCCAACTTCATACCTCAACGAGTTTTGAACATATCTTTCAATGGATTCCAAGCACATTTGTCGATAGTTTTTGTAAGAATATCTTAAGGTAACGGGTTCCATGTCGTGTGATGTAAGAGAATCAGCTTCTACCGTCCGTTTCCGCTTCTCATCTCTTTCCATAATTCTAATAACCTGAATTAATTTTTCTGGCTCTTCATGCGACAAGCCCACTGCATTCTCAAAGTGCTTCTCCATGACCTTATTAAACAAATGCATGACAGAGTCAATGATGGATAGGTATTTTGAAAACACTTGCATGCTTTGGGGATTATTTGATGTCTCATCGAGAGCTTTTAACCTAAAGTCTTCCAATCCGCATAATCTTTCATAAATGGTGATCAATACGTTGTGTGGTTCTTCATCATTAAAGTCAGTTTCTTCAAATCCAAATTGGCTTAAATCGACCTCTTCATCAAAGACATCGCCTTCTTCTTCTAGTTCTATTTCTTCATCTTGGTTCATTAGCTTTTCTAACTCAGTCCTCAATATTTGTTTCATTTGAAATACTTCTTTTCTGAGATGGAGAAGCCTAGCAATCCATTCCCTTGTTTTTCCGATCATACTCAGGATTGAAAACGCTTTCCGAATCGTGGAATAGCACTTGATGATTTCTTGTCCTTTTCTAGCCTTCTCTTTAAGACTCGAAAATCTGAATAATAATGTCGTGTCAAATAAGGCACACCAATACTCTTTCACAATACCTACTCTGATTTTACATCTTTGAGAATATTTTGGGATGAGTTGATCAACAATAAGGCACGTTGCGCTTCCTCAATCTGAGCCGAACACAGTGTGGTAATTTGATTATGCAGCAAGGTGTTGTTATTCTGTATATTTTGAATTTCCGAAGCCACATTCTCCAACGACTTGGACGATTGTAATTCCGTTTCGGCAAGAGCCACTGCAAACCGCTTCACTCTCGCTACAGTAGCGTCATAATCAAAGCCTGGTTGCTCTCCGATATGATTCATTTTTGTTTGATGATGAGCAGAGAATTGAATTTGGATTTGAATAGCAATAGACAGACTTGGATGAGGACAATAAATAGGTTGGTTATAAGTTGTATTCTTAGTTACTAGTGTGTGTGATATGACAGGGTAATGGAATGGTCTTTCCTTTGAAAGATTCCAAATTCTCGCCAGCATAGGTGACGAGAGGAGAAATTTCACAAAGTTGGGTTCTACAATCTCCAACAACATTGGCTCCAGCTCGTTCTAGATACTTGGAATGGAGGATGGATAAATCTCTGCGACAAGTCTCAGGAGAATCAGAATTGTTTTGATTTGGTGCATTCTTGAGAGGAGAAAATTCAGACTCTCGGTCAACTTGAAAAATAGTCACGGATTTTGCATACTCCACAATATCAAAGTTGAACAGTTCGAGCTTCACACCTGGTTGTTTCTTTTTCTCGCCAGTATTGATATCTATTGATTCAATATCTTTCTTTGCAATATGATACAACTTGTGTGTGTTAAGTATGTCAGCACATCTTTCTAAAAACTCTAGCGTGTAGAAAAAGTTGACAATGTTACCTGCATTGAAACAAAGCTGCCCTGTAGTTTCATCAACTCTTTCAGCCATTTCCTTAGTGATTTCACTATATTCGACAACGTGATATTTGCCATTCTTCAATGCAAATACTCCTACTTTTTCATGGGGATCTCTCTTGGGTACCACCTTTGTACCAAAGTCACACCCGTGTTTAATACAATGTCCAATAAATATTGGATCTCCAATCTTCACTAAAATATTATCTACACAGTACGAATGAATAAATTTGATTCCTCTTTGTTTCATGTGATCCAAAATTCCAAATTTAGCAAGAGCTTGGTAAACTCCACCATTTCCATTGGGTGCAGTAGCGATTTCATGCTTTGATTGCAATAAGAGTTTGCCGTCCATTGAAAAACATGGCACGTCTCCTTGTTGGAAGAATAGAATTTGCTCCTTTTTAAGACCAAAATATGAGTTGTCTCTAAAATATTGTTCAGTCTCTTCATGTGTGAAATTCGAAGTCATAATGTACCAAGGAATTGGATGAACAGTGCCAGCCAGTTGTTGTAACCTCAAAATCCTCTCTGCTTGGATATGGAACAATGTCTTTCCACTCTGTAACCCAACATCGTACATGCCTTTGGGTAATAAACTTCCGAGACGAGTGCCTTGGCCTCCCGAAAGCAATAACACGCCCAACTCTCCTCGTTGAATAGCATCCATACCTATTTGTTTTAATTCCTCCTCTTCCGTGCTACTTCTATTGAATGATATCACCTGATTCGGAGGAGGTGCAATCACATCAGAAGGTCTACTTGGAGAGCCAGACAACACAACCGATTCTTGAAACATTCCGTTCAACAACTCAGGGCTGGGCAACTCTGCCAATTGTTGATACAGTTGTGCCAATTGTTCTTCGGAGAGTTCCTTCTCAAACGCAAACACGTGTTCTTGTCCGTTTCTCACAAACAAATCTCGGGTGGTTTGATGCTGAGCCATTTTTTTGTTGGGAACGTTCCCAACATTTTCAAGCAAATTCCCAACCAGCGAATAATTGTTATGATTGAATCAAACTATATGATTAGACAACTGGACAGGCCAGTTAACACGACCACGTGGTGGAAAGTATAAACGATCAAGAGCATTACAAAAAAATGCCGAACAAGCACAAGAAGAAAACGCTGCCGTCTTCAATGACGGACACCACTTCTACTTCTAACATTCATACACAGCATCAGCCCGAAGATGTGGGAGCTAGCGCTTCATCAAGAAATATTCATGAGGAATTGAGAAACGAATTGTTTTCGGAAGCAATTGTTTATCCCGATTCCTTGAGTTTTTATTATGTAAATGATCCAAATGTAAAACAACAGCCTGTAATATCATATAAAGAAGCTCTACAAAAACCTAGTGAAACTAAAACAATTAAAAAGCCTCTTCTCGAAGAGTTTACTATTGATGATCCCATGAAAATTGATTGTACACGAAAAATTATGATCATCTTTTCTTTCAAAACAAAGGAACACAACATGATGATGAGTTCAGACTCGCTATCAGTAGAAGAGGATGATAACAACAAGGAAAATTCAAATCAACCCTTGATTGCGGAGGCTAGCATTACTTTAAAAATTATGTAAGTGTGAAACCTCAGTGACATTTATTTGACACTAAAAATCTGAGTGAAGCCTACCAATTGGATATCCAATTTTACCTCCTGAAGTCACCATAGAAAATGCAAGTGGTATGAGTAAAGAGAGTATAAAGAATCTCTATGACAACATAACAGTAAGTTTTTGAAGAATATTATACATGAATGGAGGTGACATAATTTTTAAGTCAAAATGTAACGAAGGAAAAGGCTTCCAATTGTTGCATGAAATAATTACAACTTGTACAGATGGTGTGAAAGAATATGTAGAGAGGCTCGAACAGGACTACTACAATGAAAAGAGGAGAGCAATAGAAGAAAAAGAAAAACGACAACAACTCAACAAACAGAAAGAGCAAGAAATTATTGACATGGGTGTAAAGAGAAAGCAAATGATTAAAGAACAAAAAACAAGAAAGCAAGAACACAAGCTGAAACTAATGATGGATGAATCTCCAACACCCATTAGCAAAGTCACAGAAGAAATTTTTGAATATCAAAAAAGCATGCATGGACAATCGACAAGCAGTCCTGTGTCGAAATTTAATTCTAACACACAAGAAGAAGAAGATGAAGAAGACAAAGATGCATACTTGCATTATTCAGAAGGAGAAGAAGACGATGAGAGTCACACTGAAGAGGAAGAAGACGAAGAGGATGAAGAAGAAGAACAACCAAAACATCGTAACTTTTTCAAACGAGCTGTCTTGGTAGACAGCGATGAGGAGGAAGAAGAAAGCGACGCTAGTGAGGAGGAAAGTGAAGAAGAAGAGCTGGTGTTAGACGAGGACGAGGAAGAAGATGACTCAAAAAAGAAGAAAAAACTACAGCAAAAGCCGTCTCACAAGTCATCTCCCATATCCATAAGAGAAGAGAAAGAATCCAGTGATTCTAGCCAATCTGGTGCCAGTCCTGGGGTGGTATCATCCAGCCCAGCTAAAAACTTTTTCAGCTACTATCTAGATGCAAAAAAGCAAAAAGAAGAAACAACCCTAGATGAATTAACAGAGGATCATCAAAAGCGCACTCAAATGCTTCTAGTTCACCTCATCAAAATATTTTGCAACCGGCTTTCCAAAGATCAAAAACATGCTTTTACAGAGTTGACAGAGCAGCTTATGAAAATTGGAGTTTTGTCGCCCTCAATGGAAAAGTATATTTCAAATTTTACAGAGTTCAAAGAACAGTTCAGAAATCTATTTAATGAGCAAATCAAAACAGCCTCAGAAAGTGCTGTCGAGCCATTTTCGTTCTTTTGGAGAGAGCCATCCGACCAGGTCGACTCTTCTTCATCAAGCTTGTCGCGGTACAAAACAGATTTTGAAGAGCTCGAGCGATTGGGCGAAGGAGGTTTTGGAATGGTTACCAAAGTCAAAAATCAGCTTGATCAAAGAATTTACGCAATCAAGAAAATTAAGTTCCAGTCCAGGGATGAAAAAGAAGAGAAAACTATTTTGAGAGAAGTCAACCTTTTATCACGACTAAATCATAGCTACATTGTAAGATATTTCAATGCATGGAGAGAGGAGAACAATGAAACTCTCGAAAATGAAATTCTTGAAAGCAATTCAGATGAAACTGAATATTACAATTTCGATTCAGTTTCAGAGATGACAGAACCTAAAACTAAAACGGAGTTCAAGTCAACAAACGCCTTCACCAAAAATGTGCCAACCCGTATTCTTTACATTCAGATGGAATATTGTCAAGAGACGCTCCGAGAAGTCATTGACAAGACATTGCTATCACGAGATGAAGCATGGCGATATCTTAGACAAACAGTGGAAGCTCTCAATTATCTCCATAAGAATGACATTATTCATCGTGATTTGGTAAGTTATAACGTCTCTAGAGCTTTGATATAACACATCTTAGAAACCAAGCAATCTCTTTATCAGTGTAGATCGAACTATTAAGGTTGGAGACTTTGGACTTTCAGTTGCAGTGAGAGGAAAGTCACACTATTATCGACACCACAGAGGACAATCTGAATTTTCCTTGTCTCAATCAAATTCATCTGAGTTGTCCACAGGAGTAGGAACTGCACTATATAGCGCTCCAGAGATTTTTACATCTCCTCATTACTCTTCCAAGGTTGACATTTATTCATTAGGAATTATTTTCTTTGAAATGTAAGTATATTTGAAAATCATTCTACCAAATACTGACCACATGGACCCATTTTGTGATCATGTTAAATTTAGGCTTCATCCCAGGTTTTCCACTGGAAGCGAACGTCTTGTTGTAATTTCAAAACTTCGTGAGACTGGTAAAGTTCCTCCTACTTTTCCAGCAGTTTATGAAAAGGAAAAAGAGATTATTGAGTGGATGCTTCATGAGGACCCAGAAAAGCGACCCACTGCTGAACAGTTATTGGGATCTGAATACATGCCAATATCTACTACAGAAGAAAAACTTTCCATTCTCTTTAACAGAAAAGAGAAGGATTTATCTATTAGCAATGAGTTTAATTTAGCTAAGGTTTACAACAGAGAGAAAGCCATTCTAACTCTTCAATCGATCTTTCACTTACATGCAGCTGTACAGTTTGATGTGGAAATTTACTTCCCAAACAGTGACCAACTGGACGGCATGGTTCAAGAAAAAGATTCCTATCCAGTCATGTTCAAGTCAGGAAAACTCATGAACATTGCAAAAGATGGAGCAGTTACACTCGCAAGGTATTTGGCCAGACTTCCTAACGACCGTGAAATCAAGTTTTTGAAACGATACTCCTTCCAGAATGTGGTCAAACAAAGTGATAAATCAGGTTTCACCATGAATCAGGTTTGCTCTGTTGACATTGTGGGATCTAGATTTGGTCTCATTACCGATGCAGAGATTATCAAGATGCTTACAAGAATTGCAAAGGTTTTTGTACCAAAACATGGCCGCTGGGTACTCAGAATTAACCATACAGGAGTTATTTATTCGATATTAGACTATTGTGGAGTGCCCAAGAGAGAATACGAAGAACTATGCAAGTTCGTTTCAAAACGAAAAAAGTGTAACTATGCTTGGAATCAACCTGTGCCAGAGGGCAAGCCCATTCTAAAAGATTTATTTAGGTTGAGAGGAGCCGTGGATGCCACCAGACAAAAGCTTGCAAACATTTTTACAAATATTGGAGCAAGAGAAGCGCTAAACGACATTTCAACTGTGCTCAACAACTTTTCGATATGGGGCATTGATAAGTCCAATGTTAAGATTGAATTCGACACGAGTTTAACAAATGACTATCAGAGATATAGCGGTTTGATTTTCCAATTTGGAATTCAAAAAGGTGACGATTACATTGCTATCATGAATGGTGGTAGATATGACAAAATGGTCACCCACTTCACACTCTTTGATAAGACGCCTCAGTATGTGGTAGGAGCGAATATCAAACTCGAGAAATTATTTAGACATACCCTTTTGGTAGATACCAAACAAAATACAGAGCCCAATGAAGAGGACGAGCCTCTCATTCCTCATTTCGACAGTGGTGTGCCTCAAGTACTAGTATACTCCGAAAATAAGGGAATTAAGGAAGAACGAATGAGAGTTGCAGACATGTTGTGGGAAGCAGGAATCAAAGCTGATTTAACCTATGATGACAATACTGACTATGAATATGTGAAAACCTATTGCAAACAACACAAGGTTAAATACATTGTCGTAACCAAATCCAATCTCATCTCCAAGAATCTAGTAAGAATTCGATTATCTGCCAATCAAGATTCAGAAACAGGTATCAAGAAAGCAAAAGTCTACGAAATTGACAAGAAAACTCTCGTCTCGTACATTACAAGTGAAGGAAAGCAGAAAAAACCAACCACTCCAAGTGCCTCTTCAAGCACCATTCCTCCACCAGGGTCTTCCCTCGACACCATACCAGAAAATCATGTTATATTTTTACAACCTAAAAACAAAGCCAAACATCAAAGTACAGCGACCATTGCCATTAAGAAATGCACACAACAAGCCAAGTCCCTGTTGGAAGAAAGTGTGATACTCATATCACTCACGCTCACGAGCCAGGACGTGAAGAAGATTGCTACGGGAACTCATCGTCCTCCTAGTGGTGGAAGTCTAGGATCAGAAGCAGATGTTCTTGCTAAATACATTAAGGATCATGACACGAATATTTTTATTTATACATCAAAAGATGACAAGGTGACAACCATCTTGAAGAAATAGATGGGGAATAAATTAAGGAAAGCATTGGCGTTTCCCTAGTGACTTTTCCATAGCGAAATATTGAAAGTATCACTACACAAGCAATGACATGGTTATTATTATTATTTTTAAGAAGATATTTTTTATGAGAGTTATTTCTCCGAAGACTTATTCTTTCTGAAACAACACGAACAGAAAGGCCAATACACAAACTCATACAAATCCATGGCTGCCTTATGATCATACAGGATATAAATCAACAAGGCATAATGACACAACATGAAAAAGTCCACAAATAAATTCTGCCACAGTGCATAATATTTGGAGAGAATGCCCGTATGCGACACTTTGGTCAGTGCAGCCAATAAAAAGAACAAGCAGGTCAATGCAAACACGACACAACTTGCAAACATGAATTTGGTAAAACGCAACGAAGTAATCGAAACTCCATCCTTTCTAATTTTGGATAAATCCCAATACAATTTCAAACCGAAAGAAAATAAAGCAACGGCCAACCCAATGAACACAATCATGGAGAAGATTAAAACAATTCCACTCGCCAATGTGAGTAATTGCTCGGCAATGATGTAAGCAATGGCCAATAGCAACATCAATCCCAACACAACGAATAGGATTACTCGTAGAGGCATCATCAACACATCTGTACCTCCTTTTCTCTTGTCCGATAAGGCTATATTACTCCATAGAACGGCAATCAGCAGAAAACCAGTGGTCATGAAATAAAAACATAGAGCAAGGAAAACATCGGTGATGGCAAACAATCCGAAAGGTTTTGCAGCATGGCAAATAATTCTCACCAATGTATAAGAGAATAAGGAAATGGAAATGACCACCATGACAATGAGTCTTAAATGACGAACAGAGAACCACTTGAATGGAGTGCCATAAATTTGTTCATCGGCATAGCCCATTGGATTTTCTGCACTTCCGGTCCATAATGTTCGAATGTACGTGTTGAATCTTAAAAACAAATATCGAATGGCTTTCAAATAGGAAATTTGTAAAAGTCCTGGCAAGAACAAGACAAAAATGGCAATAATGGCTTCAACTCCATATGCAAGGGTAAAAACAATCCAATCAATATATAACCGAGCGTCAACAACTCCAAAATCTTTGCAATCAATTCCCCATCGATTTTCATTTTCACAATAGCAATAATAAAGATTATCTAATGAAAATTTTTTCCCATCAAAATAAGGAAATGGTAAGCATGTACTTTGTTCACTGCCACACAATGCGGCTTGATCCATCGAACTGTCACGTGACATGGCAACTTCACAAGTTCGACGAATGTAAGGACATGTTGAAACATTCCAAACTCTGGCTTTCAAGGTATTATTTCCTAAATCACAATATTTGCAATACATTTCTACCAATCCAAGAATACTTCCTTGAGCTAATTGCTTATAAAAAGGCTCAGCAACTGTTGCATTTGTATCACAAAATATGTATTCACAAGCATTACTTCCATCCTCAGCAATATTATTTCCAGTTTGTCGAACATATTGACACACATCAATTTTGTTCGATGTGAAATACATCATGGAATCTCTAAAATTCGAATAATCAGTGAAATAATACAGACCAGAATCGATCATGACTGAACCAAAGGATGGATATGGAGTAGTATTGTTCACACTCGGATTCACAAACACCAATGGACTAAAATAAAGCGAATGATTATTGGCAGTTGCATTGAGAGATAAATTAAAATAATAAGGATAGGAAGAATTACTTGGTTGTTGGAGTTCTGCGGAATGGACATGATGAAGCATTTTGTGCGTCATGGTCATCATCATGGAGAACAGAACGACCATCACAAAATTCCACACATGATTCCACACCAGTGATGAAATTGATTTTGAGGAGAATATTGGATGATGATGGCTGTAACGGACAAGATTCGAGAATGGTAGTGTTTTTGATAGCGTTCGTGGCAGCCGCTTGTGTTGTGTCATGGAACACCGTGTCATGATAATCAAATAGTAGAAGAAGTGTCAAGGTGATGTGATAGGTTTTCACACTCTTTTTCAGTTTTTTTGAAATCGTTTTCACCGATGACAGTGATTGGAAGCGGACTTGGGATCGAGTCAACAACTCGGCGTGACAGAGACTCTTCGCTGGACTTGTTTTTTGAAAAATCGAGCTCTAACAACTGCTCTCAATGCGAATAATTCCTCAATGTACAAACGCAATTATGCAACATGTTGAGACCCAAACCAATGGAGAGCATTTGTGAAATTGAATGACAAATTCACGACTGAACAAATAATTCACACTTCTTGCTCTTCCCACAAACAGAAAAAGGATCAACAAAATTTTGAACCTCTTTCTCTGCGAAACAAAAAAACACACAAACGCTCCACACAGCCACTACTACTACTACATCAAACACACACACTCACGGCCGGAGACTCACTTTTGGTGGCAATTAAATTTCAATATCCAATCAATCAATAACAACAACAACAACAACAATCTAAACCTCATAGAGTAGCTCATTCATCATAACAATGATGCAACAACCTCCACCACCCACTCAAATTACCAATGCCGAAGAATTGGAAAGAGTCCTTTTGAATTTAATGGTTCCTGATAGTGCCATTATCAAACAAGCAGAATCTGTGATTAAAGTATTTCTCAAACAACGAGAATGTATGTTAGGATTTGTTTCACAAATTAAAGGATCGACGCATGTGGGTGTTCGACAATTGAGTGCTGTCTTGATGAGATTAAAGATGAAGAATCATTGGAAGAAGTTGGATGCACAAGTGAAGGAAGATATCAAGTTTAATATTTTGAATGCCTTGTTGAGTGAACCAACGTAGGTGTTTTTTCACACATTGTTAAATGATTTTTTAAATAATTATTATTTGAATATGATGGGTCGGATATATATGAACATACTTGTGATTCATTCGACTTTATCATCATCATTTATTATAATATTTTCTACTTGGAACCTCACGACATGTCAATACCCACACACACACACTTGTGTATATATATATTTAAATACCTACACATACTCAACAACTTGTATTGACACACACACAAAAACAGTCATCTTGTACGAACTTCTCTCATTCAACTCGTCGGTGCGATGGCTCTCCATGAAATTTCCAATTGGGCAGACCTTCCAAAATTCCTCTCTCAATGTGTTGCACACGAACAATCTGCTTTTAGAGAACTTGGTATTACACTTTTCACAGTTTTGATTGAAAATACTCCCGATGAAATGTTATCCAACTTTTCACAAATTTTGGCAGTTTTCCAAGCAGGATTGTTGGATAGTGACTCTGCTGTGAGAATTGCAGCATTGAAGGGAATTCGTCAATTGGTTCTTGAAGTTGAAGATGTCAATGAAGAAGATGGACCAAAACAATCCAATCCTCAATTGGATGCAATCATTCAAGTAGTTCCACAAATGTTAGAAGCTTTGAAACATTGTATTGCAGAATCAAGATATGAAGAAGCAGCAAATGCTTTTGAAATTTTCGACGAATTGGTTGAACACAAGTCCACAGCCTTTGACAAGATTGTTCCAAATTTATTGAGCTTTATGTGTGAAATTGCTGTGAACACACACTTGACTGAAGAATTGAGAGGAAAGGCAACGACATTTATGGAATGGACCATTACTTACAAACCCAAGTTAATGATCAAATTAGAAGTTGTTCCACACATTTTAAATGTTGCCTTTGCATTGATGAGTGAAAGAAGAGAAGAAGAACTTGAAGAAGGTTACGAAGCAGATGATGATGAATTCACTCCTTATGATTTGGGTTCTGCACTTTTAGATAATGCTGCTGTTGAACTTCCAAGCAAGTATGTCTTTAAGGACATTATTGAGAGAGCTCTTCCATTGTGTCAAAGTGCCAATGAATTTGATCGAAGAGCTGGTATTACTGCTTTGGGAATTATTTCAGAAGGTTGTCAAGAAGCTGTCAAAGCTAATTTGGAGCAAGTGGTTTCATTGATTGCTGCTGGATTCACCGATGAAAGCAAACTTGTGAGAGCTTGTGCAATTTTGGCAATTTCTAGTTTGGCTGAATTTTGTCAACCAGAAATTTTGAAATATCATGAAAAGGTCCTTCCTTTCATTATTCACAATCTCACTGACAAGAGCTTTGAGATTAAGGAAAAGAGTGCTTACAGTTTAGATATTTTCACACAACACATGGAAGGAGAACCCATCAAACCTTATTTGGAATCTATTTTAAACAAATTCTATTCCTTATTGACCTCTAATGATAGAAAATCTCAAGAAGTAGCCGTTGCTGGTATTAGTGCTGCTGCCTCTGCTGCTGGTAAATTATTTGAACCCTATTTTAATCAATTTGTCATGATGATGAAACAATTAATGGAAGCAGAAGGAAGTAGTGACCTCCTTGTGTTAAAATCCAGAGCTACTGAATGTGTGGGTATTATTGCATTTGCAGTTGGAAAACAAATCTTTGCTCCCTATGTCGATGGATTCATGAGACTTGCCATGTCCAATGTTGAAAAGAATAATTCATCAGAATTTAAAGAATACACATTCATGTTCTTTGAAAGTATGGCCATGACTTTGGGAGAAGATTTCAAAGTTTATTTACCAACAGCTGGTGAATATGTTGTCAATGCATTGTGTGCTGAAGATACATGTTTTGAAGTTGAAGGAAATGATGGAAATAATATTGAATCTTATGGAAATCAATTAGCTGCCGATGACGATGATCTTGCTGGTGATGCTGGTGGTGATGATGAAGAGGATGACGATGATGACATGGCCTTTGATGGTACCAATTACAAATTTAGTGTGAGAACTTCAGCCATTGATGAAAGAAGTGCTGCCATTTCATGTGCTTGTCAAATTGCAAAAGCTACAGGTCCACACTTTGCTAAATATTTACATCAAGTGATTGATGCAGTTATTGACTATGCTGGACATTTCCATTATTCACTTCGAAGACAATCCATGACTTCATTAAGAAATCTTGTTTTTGCTGCTGTTCCTACTTTGGAATATCAAACAGAAAATCAAGACCTCAGTGAGGATCAACGTGTGGTTGTGAATAAGGTTTTAGAAACTTTGGTCAATACATTGACGACTGAAGAGGACAAGGAAACTGTTGCAAGAGCTTGTGAAAGCATTATTGAACTCTCTCACAAGTGTGGACTTCTCGTGTTGGGTAGACACATTAATGAAATTATGGAAGGAGTTATTCAATTATTGAGACAAAACACTCCATGCAATGCTACTGAAATGGAAGACGAAGGAGATCACGATATTGTATTGATTGATGTTGTTGCTGACATTGTTGACACGATTGCTGGTCTGTTAGGTCCAGAATTTGCTCCATTCTTTGAGAAGGTCTTCCCAGATTTGATGAAATATCTTCAACCATCAAGACCTATTGGTGACAGAATTATGGCTTTGGGAACTATATGTGAAAGTTTGAATTCACTTCAAGAACACATGAAGCCATACGTTCAACACGTATTGCCAATTATTTTGCAATGTATTAAGGATCCACATTATAATGCTCAAAGAAATGCTATTTATGGTGTTGGTGTGATTGCATTCTTTAATAAGGATGAAGTTCAACCACACGTCATGCCTGTATTGGGAAGTTTACATCCAATCTTTGTAGAACCAAGCAAGTATCATCCAGCTGTTGTAGATAATGCATGTGGATCTATTGCTAGATTTATTGCTTGTGGTCTTCAAATGCCATTGGAACAAGTGCTTCCTGTTTTCTTGAATGCTCTTCCACTCAGAGAAGATTTTGAAGAATGTCCAATTTGTTATACCTCTCTGACCATGTTATTGGAGAATCCAAACAATACCACTGGTCCTCTCTTGCCACAAATTTTACAAAAACTCGTCGAGGGATTGACTCTGCCAGCCGAACAATTGAAGGACAAGGTGAAAATGACCATTCTGGAAAGTATTAGAAAATTCTCACAACAATTTGGTCAACAATTCCAACAACTTGTTGCTTCTCTGCCACCCAATCAACAACAAGCTCTCCAACAAATGCTTTAAGTGTTCTTGAAAATAAATTTTGAAAAATTGAATGTTTGAATATTTATTTGGTCCTGATTCAAAATGAAGAATAACGTGAGAGAGTTGTTGTAGAGAAAATTTACTTAAAACTCCTTAGTAAAAAATTCTTAAACCATGGAAAGCAAAGCCGCCAACAACAAACCTTCTCTTCAAGCCTCAACAGCTGCCATTCATTCCTCAATACGATCATCCAATTCCACATCGGTTGATCATATTGGTAGGGTTTTGGACTCGTTAGCCCTTTCCATGCAACGAAACACTTCCCAAATGAGAAAGAACTTATCCAAAGGTGATTTCTTGTATGTTCAAACAAACATCAATACTCGGATTCACTAAGATTGGAGTAGTACTAGAATGCTGTTCAAAGTGCTCTTAGCACTCCAATAAATTATATATTCAGCTCTAAATCAAGTTTTGCAAAGCATGACAGATCATCTAAAAGCTCTTCATAAGGCAGGCTTGTCGTTCCACTCCTCCTCGTGCTCGTAGCCAACATCTTGTCGAGCTCGCCTTTGATGAGCACGGCTGAGGTAGAATTTCTTACATGGGAAACAAGTAAATCAAAGCATGCATTACAGTATTGCAACCAAATCTCTTCAATACGCTGCGACCATGGTGCAGAGAATCCAACTTGATTCGTGATGGAATTCAGAAGTAGAGAACACGGAGAGAATGGTATCTTTTCATTCTCAATTCGAATACTTCTTAGAACATCCTCTAAATGATTGCCCATCATGATACCATGATTGAGAGTACTTAAATACTGCGTGATTGTATGCGCATGTAGAGGAGTTTTAAAGTTATCAATCAATGATGGATGGTAGTCCTTCTCATTTACTTTTTTACTTCACGAAAGTTGAGAATGTTGAAAGGGATTATGTTAGAGACACATTTGAATGGCTACTTACATTAGTTGCTGCTGTATACAAGTGGGGATGACCTTTTCCGAAAATACATGCTCCACTTGATCCAGTACTTTTTCATTGATGACTCTCTTGTCCAAGAAGCAACAAGACAAGACGCGGCTCACAATATTTGCCAAGCAAAACACTTGAACCACACATACCACGACTCTTAAATGTTGGCTGTTGTTTGTCCATGACGGAATGCCAGGCTCCTCCGAATATGAGAATTGATTCATGAGGCTTGTTTGTACATGTTCCTTCACACGATCCAAAAACATGATGCAATGGTTAGGACAATACAGAGGATCTTGTTGTTCCTCTAATGATGATGAATTACCATGAAAGTTGTTGCCAGCATCCAATTCTTCAATACTTGCTGGTGATAATACAGATTTTAACGAGTTTGAAAAGAAGAGTAAAATCAACTTGATGAACACGTATCCCGAGGCTGAAAAGGCCACTAGGGTAACAAGGATCCATGAAATCCTTCTCATCCTTTTGCTTTTGGTAGTCAATGGTACAATATATTTGAAATAAATTTCTTTCATACGTTGCCAACAAGTGGAAGAACACGATGAAAGCCTTCCCAATCGAATCTTGATGATATAATCCACAAGTGTTCTACATTCATTCGGAAGAAGATGGCAGCCCATCGAGAATGTTGTTTTTGTTAGCACGTGACTTGTGTTGCTGCATTTCATTTTTCAATTTTCTTTAACGGCGTTCTTTGGAGGGAAAACTCCTCAATTAATTGTTATTATTGAAAATAATTGTGTAAATTAATATACTGGTCGCTTTTTGATCAAACGTTTCGTGAGAACTGAGACAACGGAAATGTAAATTTATGACTGGATCGTTCTTTTTGGACAAGATTGGAAACAGTCTCACATGCTCATGATTTGTCAAATTTTCCACAAAAACAAACTCCAAAAAAAACCTTTCAACAAAATGGCCTCAAAAACAAATAGTCCCGTTCCATCCACAACCAAAAACTTCAAACAAGAAATCATTTCGATTAAAAACAAATCAGAAAACAAGTATTGTGCTGATTGCCTCGCAACAGAAACAGCATGGGCATCTACGAATTTAGGTGTTTTTATTTGTATTAACTGTTCGGGTGTACATCGAAGTTTAGGAACACATGTGTCAAAAGTCAAAAGTGTAGAGCTCGATGAATGGAATGATGAAGAACAATATGAAATTATGAGTCGGGTTGGAAATGTAGAGGCTAATGCCTATTGGGAGTGTAATTTATTTCCTTTTGAAAAACCATCGGCACATGACAAGTAGTATGTAGAATTTATTGTGTGGTTATGGTTGTTCATGATCATCCTCCTTGCAATGACACATTTCTCATTCCGCGTTCTCATTCATCACTCACCCATCTGCTGACTAATTATTGATCTCGTGTGTGTTGATCATTAATTTGTATGTGCGCGGATATGATTGTTCATGATGATGATGATGATTAATATCACAATTTTATTGTCATCATGATCATCGCCATGATGTTGTGTGTGCCCATGAATTCCAATTGGAATCGTCCAATTTCATTGTTACGATCCGTAATTTTTTAACAATCATCATCACACGGCTATTTCATCATTTACAATTGCTCTCATATTTCTCTCATCAAAAATTCATCATCATCATCATCTTCATCAACAACAACAATAACAAATCAAAACATACATGATGACTCACTGAACAGCTCCTATAGGAAAAAATTCATCACCGACAAGTACATTAAAAAGACATACATTCCTTCTATGGAAAATTCAGATTTCAAACTTGAAAGAGAATTTGATATTGCGTTGACCAGTAAAAAGGGTCACATTACAAAGCAAGGAGCAAAAAGAAAGAACTGGAAAAAGAGATGGTTTGTTCTCCATGACGACACTCTCTCGTATTATAAGAGTGACAATGATTCCTATCCTGCAGGAAGTGTGAAAATTGAAATTGACAGTTTGGTCATGTTTGTGGATGAATTTCAAATCGGAAAAAAGAATTGTTTTGCAGTGGTCACAAAAAACCGAAATTATTACATGTTTTGTGACTTGGAAGAAGAAGTCAATGAATGGGTTTATGCTCTTCGTGCCAGTGTGTATTATGCAAATTTAAAGAAAGTGTACAATGATCCAAGAAACTTCCTTCGTGGCGATCAAGCAAAGCGAGTGGAAAAGAAGGGTATTTTGAAAAAACAAGGAGGTAGTTTCAAAAGTATCCGAACAAGATTCTTTGTGTTAAAAGATAGTACTCTCTCTTATTATAAGAGTGAAAAAGAAATGGAACCTATTGACTCGATTGATTTAAAAGGTACTCGAGTGGAACAAACCAAAAACACAAAATGTGGAATTACTTTACACACCGTTGGAAGACAATACTTTTTCTTGGCAGAAACTGAAAAAGATCGAGAAGAATGGATTGAAGCCATTAACAACGTCACCAAAGTTCTCAACGAAGGAGAACTTATTCAAAAGAAGTCGATTGCAATCCATCAACTTATTATCAACAAAATCAAAGAGGCCAAGAAAGAGAGAGCCAATGAAATTTTAGGAGAACAAGTTTCTCCTCATTCACCCATGATGTGGAAGAGTCTTTCATTTCACAGATGTAGAAATCAATTTTTGGATCGACTCGAAGAAGGATCTCTATCAGATGGAAACATGAATCCAGTTGAACGATTGAAAAGTCTATTTCAAGAAGGAAAAGTTGTGAAACCACATGGCTCTAGTTTGGGCGAACATGAAGATTTAAACAATTCACGTGTCTCACTCATGTATCCAGAAGGAATGAAAATATTGGGAAATTTGAATGATGAGAAAAAAATTTCGTTATTGACACCAGCGTCACCATCGTCATCCAATGGAGCTGTTGGCATTCCTAAAGCATCTCTGTTGTCCAATGCAGATTCTACAGGTAGTAGTCCTTCTGCTAGCTCTCCTCCTATGAATAGTCATGAACAACCTTACAAAATTGATGACATCAAACTTGAAAAGCAAAAGAATCAGAAAAAGGCCAAGAAAGATCAACTTGTCATTGAACATGACGTTGTTGATGGTGATCATGCAATGGAAATTATGATTAAGGACTCTTTATCAGTGAAAAGAAATAATAACATGGTTCGAGAATCTGACGATTTGGATGATTTAGATGATCTCATTAACCGCACAGAAAGCGTGAAACTGAAATATGAAAGTAGTAGTGAAGAGGAAGAAATTTCAAGTAATGACGAAGACGTTGTTGTTGTTTCAGGATCCTCTCATACGAATGCTAGCACGACTCCACAAAAATTAACAAGTTTGTCACAAAGTCAGTCCTCATCCAAAGTTTCTCTTCAATCGTCAGCATCCTCTCGAAGAATTTTGGATTCAGACTCGGATGGTTCCGATCAAGAAATTTCACTTTCTCAATCGAATGTGAAACCTCAAACAAAGAATTCGGATGCAAAGACAACAAAGATTTCACTCAAACAAGATAGTGTGTCATCCGATGATGATGAAGAAGATGAAGCTGCCACAGTTGAAGCAACATTTACCATCACTCCAGTTCAAACACCAACTTCTCCATCAGTTTCAAAAATTAAAACAAGAAATGTCACACAACGAAGTGATAAAGACAAACCAAAGAGAAAGAAGAAGCATCAAACAACATTTAGAAGAATGCATACATTGGTCGAGGATCAATTACAATCGATTGGAATTGATGTTGAATAACAAGAGCATTATATTTTTCACATGATTTTGTGAACATGAAAGTTTTCAACATTTTTGGAAAACAGTCTTCGTGTTGAACGAGAGCAATATATTGTAAAAGTACTTCTGGACAATCATTCTAAATTTAATGTAAATACTTTTCTCATGAACACCAATTCACTGATTTCATTGAAACGTGTCACGAAAATCTCAGAGAGTTGTTGTTGTTTTGTTGAATGCAACAACAAAAAATCACTCAAAAAAAATGATTTCAAATTCACTGTCGGAGAATGTTGCTGGCTTTGTAGCTCATAAAGTCCATCAAACGTTCAAATTAAATCCGAATCTCACTCAAAAAAAGGATTCCTTGACTCTTGTGAAGAATATCATGATGAATGTTATAAAAAACTTTTTTGATGAAAAGTATCGGAAAATCAAAATGTCCAATCAAAAGTTTTCCGAAAAGGTAGTAAATGTACCTGGAGCTTTTGATTTATTGCTGCATTCAGGATTTAGAACGGATGGAGAGAACGCTTATTTGCCAAGTGATGTGAAAGTGGAAGTATTGGACTTTGTAATTTCAATAATTGAAGGTTATGTAGGTATTCCAGAATGTGGGAATACATATGATCTAATGATTTCAAATAATTATTGATGATAATATTCGGTCCTAATAGGAGCAAGGAAAATTTGTAGTGAGCACTGAAAGGAGCTCAGTACTCAACTCAGTGGAATCTACACTCAAGTTGAATGATTTGATTAATGCATCTGAAAAGTTAAAGAGCGATCCATCGAATTTGGAATACCGATTGGCATATGCAAAAGCAGCTGAAGATGTCAAGCAGGCAGACCTCTATGACCATTGTATTCAAATGCTGACAGAATCTATTGAAAATATTGTATCGAACAAAATACGCGATGATTTATCCATGTACAAATTATATTATCGAATTGCATCACTACATTACTCGAAAGGAAATTTGGACACAAGCTTGGAAAATGTCAAGTTATGCGAGCAATTGATGGCACAATGTAATGACTTGGTATTTGGTGATAATGACTATGGTTTACTACATCATTTATGTGCTTGCATTTATGCGACAAAGAAACAAATTCCTGAAGCTGTTGCCGAGTTTGATAAGGCCTTGAAATACAATTATGAATTAAGGGATAATACTTTGAGACAGAAGGGAAATACCTTGGCAACGCACTATCTTGACACTTTCATGAAAGATAATACCAACTTTGAGGAGTGTGTGCAAGGTCTGCTCCATTTATTGAACACTGACTGTCCAGAGCATGAATCAATTTTACTTGTACTGGGAATCATTCATCAAAGAAACGGTAGTGTTGAAGGTGCTATTAAGTACTACAACGAGCTTTTGGAAAGGCCTGACAGAGATGTAGATGGTGTCATGCAATCCAAGGTAAGTTAATTGTCAAAGAGAATTCTCAAACTCACTGTCAATGTTGATACTAAACAGGACTATGGAAGGCAAATGCTTGAGTCTCTGTTGAGAGAGTACGATATTCAACCATCTTCGTTACGTCATGGTGACGACACGAATAAATAATCAGCTCGTTTTTTGCTTCTTTGCAGCCAAACGCATGAGTCTCAAGTTCAAATCGTAATTTTGGTTCTCCTCTGTTGCGTCGTCATTGATGCTGGATGTGGTAGAGGTGCTAAATTCTCGTTTCTTAGTTTCACTGTCATCAGAGCCTGCCACCTTGACCTTAAATTTATATTGTGTGAGTTCTTTCCAATCATAATTTGCTGCCTTCTGGGCACTTGCTGGGCTCTCAAATGAAATTACGCATCTTCGTTTTGATTCTTTAAATATCATAATGTCAATAGGACCAAAGAGACGACTGAACAATACTTTCAAAGAATTCTCTGTCACTTCCTGAGTTTTCTTCCATTTTACAATTACTTGACAAGAATTAGAGATGACACTTTTGTTTTTTTGTTTTTGCTCTCGTTCTCGTCTCTTTTCTTGAACTTGATGCAAAATGTCATATCCTCCGCTTTCTTTAATTCTATTCGCCATCTCCTTGTTAAGCAATACTTGATCCGATTTTTCCTTCTTCAACTTGTTTTGTTGTGCCAATTTTTCACGCAACTCCAATGATTCTCTCAAATCCTTGGTTTTGGCGTCCATCTCTTTCTGTTGTTGTTCTTTATACTCAGCCTGTTTCAAAATTAAATCATACTTTGACTTTAATTCGGGATCTTTCAAGATGGTATTTGCTTCCGTTATTTTAGAAAACAAATGTTCATATTCTTTCTTCTTATTTTCATCGGAAACTCGATCGGGATGGTATTGAGAAGCTTTCTTACGAAAAGCCTTTTGTATGATATCCGTGGTTGCATCCTTCCAATTCTCAATTCCCAACAATTCATAATACTTTCCATTCGGATCGACTTTTGGCTTTGTAGAGAGTGGCGATTGCTGTGATGAAGACATTTTTTTACTTTTTTATTTAATTGAACATGTACCTTGTTAGATAGAAGACTCTCGGCCTAATGTAATACTAGTATTGTGCAAGATCATCTTTCAACAAACTAATAAACAATTTTTAAAATTGCTGATGAAGGCTTGATGACTTGTTCCATTTAATATTAGAAAAAAATGTCTTCATCGATCATTAAAACCATCGTGGAGAATTTGGGATCATCAAAGATTACCGAGAGAAAGGTTCGTGAAAAGTCATAGTTACAAATTTCTGAATTCATTGATTGTTATGATTAAAATATAATTTTCTTACATCCTATGCTGTTCTCTATTGTTTCGGAACCAACAACCAATCCATACGGAATAGAGAGGTATTACTGAATTACGAGATTTCGTATCTAGTAACAGATCGAATTTAACAATTCTAGGTAAGAAGAAAATCGTCATCGTCAAGCTGGTTAAATAATGAAAATCATTTTTATTGACAGACGATAAACAGTGGAGTGCCATCATTAAACAGCATCTCCTTCCCTGTATTGAGACGGAAATTAAAGCAAAATCAAACAAAAAGACAAACACTCTCAAAAACGATGTGGCTCTTCCGACAAAGCAAATTTTGTTGACTCTCATTGAATTTAGTTTGAGCGATGACCCAGAAGGTATGTTTACATCTCTAGCTTCAACATGTAATTTGTACATTGTGTGTTAGTTGACAATGCTGATAATGCAAGGCCATATCTCATTCAAGCAAAGACGATCAAAGAAATTGTACAGTTTATTCTTTCAAATTTAAATTATGATGGAGAGAGCAGCAATGATGACTCAGATAGAAGATATACATTTGGCTCTGCTGGCTGTGACATATTGAAAGGACTACTACGAATTAGAAAATATTCTTCCAAGATTACAAGTGAGCTATTTGATGAACTTTTGCAAACATTTGGAGATTTATTGATTGCATGCTCCTCAAGTCAAACAGATGCTGCTCATTATGCATCTTGTTTACAACTTTTAGTTCAAGAATATTCACGAGAATTTAATGAAGACCAAATCGAAAAAATATTAGCACTTTTCGAAGCTTATTTCAAAGGCAAAAACAACAACTTTGAAAAAGTGCAGCTTCACCTCATAGAAACTTTGAACAATTTTTGTGAAAAGCAAGCTCTCAATAAGAGCGTTGTGTTACGAAAACTCGCAAACATTATCTGCTCGTCACTATTGGATATTTATTTGCAAACAAATAGCGAACACTTGAAGGTAAGATGATGAAATTTTCATCAAACTGACAATAGTGTTAATTAATGTTATTTCTATTACGTTAGATTGAAATATGTAAATTTTTACACACTATTTTAAATCTCAGATACTATGATGAAGATATAGTTTTCGAAAAAGATAATTTAATGAAAATATACTCGGTCCTCAAAGATAGCCTTAATCAGACACGATTCTTTTCTTTTAACATTAAAAACTTGAGTTCATTAGAAATTGACATCAAAAGAAAGAACAGAGACATTTATTTTGAATTTTGTGCAGATTGTTTCTACCAAGTAATGCTCTCACAGGACACGAAAGAGGAATCAGATTCACCTCCTCAGAATCCAAGAGATGTTGAAGAGTCCCCAGGGTCTAGAAAAAAGAGAAAAATGTTTTCTGTAAAGGAGGAAATTTCATCAGTTGTTAACAATGACCTACTTTTAGACAAGGAAGAATTATCAAATTGGATAAGGTTACTGTACACAGCAATCAACAGATATTTTAACCATTTTTGTCGGATCTTTGAGTCGTTAACAGACAGACTATTTTATATCATGAAAGAAAGGTATGTTTTCAAAATTACGTGAAATAGTGGTGCATAACCATCCTTTTAGAAAAGCGATCGATGATGTACATACTCATATTCTGAAGATTTTCAGATACTTTATGCTGAAAAATGATAATATTTCTAATGTATCATGGCATAACGAACTACTATCGTTGCTTATTAAATTTATGAAGACAGAGTGCAGCTATCTGTTGAAGGAGGTGTTTTCTCTTCTTGCCATAATTTTAGAAAAGGTTGACAACAAGATAGCTTACGAAACAGACTTTAATTTGCAAGTGCTAAACTCAAAATATTTCAAAAATAGCGATTTTGTATGCACTGAGTCATTGCATTTACTGTCATGCCTCTACCATTTGCATCAAACTACGAAAAAACTTGTGCTATTCAATGATAAGGAATCAATATTCAAGTGGATCGGAAAAGCGTTCACTCTGACAGATATTGCGGATAAAGACTGCAAAACCATTTCATTTGTGCTCTCCAATCTAATTTTAACAGGACTTGGTGACCGCTATGAACACTTCAAGAAAGCAATGTATGATATTTATCTCAAAGACTTCAAGTCAACCCATTCATTTTATAGTTTTCGAGAGATGCAAAAAGAATTCTATTCCCCTGTCATAGCCACAACAACAATATCTACAGACAGTAATGAAAACACAAATTTGTTTGTTGAGAGTGACAATATGGAACGACTTCTTGAAACATTCAATCTAATTTTAAAGGAAGATTTGAAAATTACTTCTCAGGAATCCAAGGAAACTGTTTGTGCCAAAATTTGCAAGCTGATCGACATTATTCACACTTTCTTGGGAATGATTTTCGAGAATAAGTTTTTCACGGAAAACAGAGTATTTTACAAGTATTATTTAGACCTTCAGCTAACGTTGATAATGAATTTGAAAGAAGCATTCAAGTTGAGCATAGGAGTTCCATTGTGGGCTACTCTGGCTGAAAAGCTTTCCCAACTTCCTATCAAGTATTCTTTGTCCCTATCCAAAGGTCAAGAGCAAGTTGTTTATGAATGGTCAAACCTTTCGTCCGAGGTGCTCATTCCTCTTGTTTCTGAAGCGATAGATAGGTTAAACCAACATTCTGTTTCTATTCTCAAACACAGCTCTCAGCACGACGATATTGTGATGTTAGATGATGACGATGATGAAAGCATTTCTGTCTCTCTCAAAAAACCAGAAGACAAAAAGTTTAGTCGAAGAATCGTTTCTGCCACTCTCAAAATTTTGCAACATTCTACTGGAGATTTCTCAGCTTCCCTTAAGGAAAGCATAACTAAAACGTTGCTGGATTTATTCGACAAGTCAAGCGAAGTGTTTCCAAAATTTGAAATTTGTAATTTACTGTTTAAGACTGGTGACGAGCAACTCGTAAGAACTGCATTGGAGAAGATACCAAGAGAGATTGGAGATAACAACAGCTGGTCTGCAGTGCTTAGACTGTTACAGTCTCTTGACCACCAGTTAGATATGCATGTTGATATCGTTGGAGAGTGGGATGATCTACTAACATCACTCACCAGTATTTACGAGAAAGGTTTTTTCAGCGCTTCCTCCAGCCTTGAGCTTTCGAAATGTATCGTCCAAGCTGCAGTTTCAGGAAAATTGCCTAGCATGAACAGTATGGCAGAGCTTGCTCTCAAATTTTTAGAAGGAAATAACTTTATGGCAAGATTGGAAATTGCTAAAAATTGTACTGTATTTATGAAGTATCTGGAAAAGGAAGCCATAGCAAAGCTATTGTACAAGTTAATTGACAGCTCAGCTGAAGTCGGGTTGGTTAGAACTGCTCTGTTGGCTCTTACTTCACTGTCATCTAAGGATTACTCGCTAAATACTATATTCAATATTATGAATTACTATGCAAATGAGTCCTTTATTGACAGGTATTTCGCAAAGCAATCACTAACATACCTATCGAAGAGTCATCAATTTTCTACTATTAATCAATTATTTGAAAATAATTGTCGATTTTTTATTTTGGAGTGGCTCAAATCACATAAGAGCCTTGACAATATACCATTAGATCTGATTGGCTATTCAACAATGCCTCAGCTTGTTCAGACAAATGCCAAAGATATATTTCCTATTGTATTTGCTCATTCTGAGGGACAAGGGCTTTTAGAAACACTTTGTTCGAGTATGAATATGAATTTGAAAGATGGTATTTCCAAAAATTTTTGCTACATTTTCGCCTATTGCAATGCCATTTACACAGTGGATGCAACCAAGGGTAAATGGCTAATAGAATCAAAATTAAGAGAAATACTTGGAGCATTAATGGATACCATTCTTCGGTCTTCCAATTTCATTACTGATATTGTAATTGAACTTCTTTTGCTGATGTCAGACAGGCCTGATAATACATTGAGCTTTTCCAGCTCTGTAATCAAGAAAGGTGTAGAGACATTGGCTAAATCTCTGTCACCAAAAGAAATTTTGAATCTCGACAAGTTTTTGAGAACTTCAAAGCCCAGAATTCATATCATTTTATTGAATTTATACGAACTGATTACATCGAAAGCTCAACCTATTGAACGCAGATTTTACATATTGAAGTCGTTTGTTGACGAATTTTTAGGAGCAAACATTTATAGTCCTTTTGTTTTTCGAACCTTAATTAACATGCTGTTGAGTAGTACTGATGTTGACTTTCCATTGTCGGTCGAAAAAACATGCTCATTACTTCAAGTCATACTTAAATTATTGATACATAACTTGAGCAATAATGACGCCAAGCAAGAGCTGTATAAATCCATTCCGAAGATACGCAACAAAATGGTTAACCTCATTACTACAAGTGGATGTCCAACAACCTCTCCCAACACGATCCTAGAGTTATTATTTGAGTCTACAAGTCTAGCAGATGTCCTCAAAACCTTGGAGCCATTTCCTGATTTGCCTATTTTTAAACCTCTTAATGAGAAGCTTGCTAATATGCAAGGTCAAACATCACAAGTTTCAGTACTAATGGATAATTTCATTAGAAGCGAACATATTTCTGTATTCTCAATTAGACATATTTCAAAAGCCATGAGATACCATAGACAGTACATTTTGGGTGTGTTGAGTCAGAACAATCAAATTTCGAAACAAGCAGACAGCCTGCTCACAAAATTAATTTCAAAATTGTACAATATTTGCTCGGGAGATTATCCAGTAGAATGGAAAGAAGAAGCTGTCGTTGGACTTGGAGAACTTGGGCTTATTCAAAATATTGACAGGCTCAAGATGTATGACAAGAGTATAGTCGATGAGATAGATATCAATAAGGATTCTTCTCAGCGCCAAACAGACATAATTATTCATTCCAAGAAGAAAATATTTTCATTCATCTGCTCGTATCTGACAGACCCAGATATTAATATTGTCAAAGTGGCTTCAACTACTATTAACAATATTCTGCAAACTACAGAAGGAAAAGAAATATGCTCCCGATTTATTGATGCTGCTACTCGGTCTTGCTTGGAGCCATTTATTGACAACTCAGATCCTTTTATACTAGTACCACATGTTTGCCCTCAAAAAGCAACACCAGCAAGCGTACAATATGAGCCCATGAGTGACAACCTGTACGACACTACTAACAAGACTCACGATGAATGGGTTAGAGCTGTGACAAAGTCCTTACTAAGTACTGGAGTTACAGATCCAATTTTGGTGCGTTGTAGTGAGTTATGTGGAGAAAAAACTGCTTTTGCAGAATTTTTATTCATGCTTGCAGTCTTTGACATTTCTTTGGGTGGAAAGGCAAAAGAATTTTCAAAAAGTCTTTCTCTTCTTTTAAAGAAGCATGTATTTGAGAGTGTGCATGCAAAGAAGGAAACTATTGTGTTAATGATGAACACTCTCGATCTATTACATAGAAATTACAGATTCGTTTCAATGAACTCTAAAAAGAAACAAAAACCAAACATTTCCAAATGCTTCCTATGCATTGACTATTTGACCATTGCCAAAGCTGCTTCTCGCGCTGGTTTGCATTTTTCAGCTCTCATGTTTTCTGAATTTTCATATGAAAAGGATAATGTTCTAACCCTCATTGACAAAAAGTCCATGGAATTTGAAGAAAAGGCAGAAGAGTCACAAAAGTTACTTTTATCATTATACAATTCCATTGACGATCCTGATGGTATTTATGGAGTCACAAAAAGTTATGGTGTCGAGTCAAAAACTCTGCTGAGTAGTAAGGAAGGAGACTGGTCCAACACTCTTGGACTTTATGATGCAACTGTATTGAAAGGACATTCGCAAAGTTTGATTGGAGCGTTCGATGCCATGAAAAATCTCGGCCTTGATCGAATTTCGTCCATCATTATGAAAGGTACCTCTCACGATGAAATTATGCAAAACCCAGAACTCAGAGAGCAGTATTTTGAAAATTTATGTAAGACCATTTCATTGGAAAATCTAGAAAAACATCCACCTTCCATACATTTAGATTTCAATGAGGCCATATACAATTTACTGTATGCCATTGCGAAAGGAGATTCTGCTCACTTTGATTTGATTTTACAAACTTACAGAAAACGTTTATCTCAATCGATCAACTCAACATCCAACATGCAATCTACTCTTGCAAAATTGCATTGTTTATCTGAACTTGAAAAAGTATGGGACATTAAATGGACTGATAGAAAATCCATTGTAGAAAGAATTCCAAAAGATCACGAGTTGTCACTTGTCAAAGGTTCTAGTGGAATAAGAAATGACTCATTTTTCAACGTTGAAACAGTACTCAATGTGAGAACCTCTCTTTTCAAAATACTTAATCTTGGACAAACTTTAATGGAGCATCAATGTGCTATTGTTTCACTCGCTAGAAAGGAAGGACAGGATCAATTGGCGACAAATTTAGTGAGTCAACTTACAACAACTGCAAACAAAGACCTTCCACTGTTTATCATCCAAGAAGCAAAAAATCTCTACAAGAAGGGAGACACAACTGAAGCCATATCAATTCTCAAATTTCTTGCTCTCAAAGTTGAAGAACTCGACAAACAACGACAAACAACGGTGGATAAAGAGCGGGCTCTCAAGTTGAGAGCATTACACACCAAAGCCATTTATTTATTGGGAAGATGGGCTGGAGAAACAAGTACAGAATCATATGATAACATTGTACGATTCTTATCGACTGCCATTGAACGTCACGATAACAAAGCAAAAGCTTACTATCATCTTGGAAAATATTATGACTCTGCCTATCAAAATATTGAACGAAAAGAAAACAGTGAAGACAGCAAGAGTTACAGAGAATTGTTAAAAGAAAATAAGGATCTTCTTGCACAATATTTGAGGAAACGACAAGAGTTTAGAAATGAGAAGGAAATTCCAGCAGATTTCAAATCCAAATTAAGTTACTTGCAAAAAATTATTGATCTCGATCAAAAAGAACAAGAAAATATTTCTGCACGAAAACAAATGTACCGACAAGGTGTTCTCTCCAACTTTGTCAATGCTACCATTCTCAGCGATAATTATGACCTTGTCATTATTCCTCGAATTTTAAACATTTGGTTTTCAAATTCGAATGAAGCCATCATTAACACTTTTATTTATCAGACCACAGTCGGCGCACAAAGAAATGCTGCCGTTGTTCCTCCTTACAAATTTGTGAATCTATTTTATCAAATTGCTTCTCGATTGGCGTATTATGAGGATCCTCAACACACCTTCAACAGTGCAGTGCAACACTTGTTGTACAAAATTGCTCTTTCACATCCTTATCATACCTTGCCTTTGCTCATTCAAATCAAGAATGGTGATCAGAAAAATCAAATGATGACAAAAGCAGCACCAATCAAACCAGATCCTCTCAAGATTAATTCAGCCATGGAAATTATTAAGAGACTTGCAAAAAATATTAATCCTATTGTGGATGCCTATACTACTCTTATGGATGCAATCATTCAATTAGCATTCCTTGAGTTAAGTCCAGAACAAAAAAGAAATCAATCCCAACCTCACAAACTAAGCTCTAAATTATTAATTTCACAAATCAAACCGTTAAGCATTCCGGTTTTGACTGCTGACGTTCCAATCATTTCTACTGGAGATTACAACATGGCTTGTTTACCATGCATTCAGGGATTTTCTGAAAACTTCTCATTAGCAGGTGGATTGAACTTGCCAAAAATCATTACTTGCAAAGCTTCCAATGGATCTAATTACCGACAGCTTGTAAAAGGAAATGATGACATGAGACAGGATCACGTGATTGAACAACTTTTTGGAGTGGTCAATCAATTACTTGCTAAAGAAAAAGATACAAGAAAGAGAAAATTACTCGTACGCACCTATAAGGTCATTCCTACTTCACCTACGAGTGGCATTTTAGGATTTGTAGAAAATACTCAACCATTAGCGACCGTTCTTATTGGAACGAGTGAAGATCCAACGAATTGTCTTCATGTCAAATATAGACCTGATGATATTTCAAATAATGAATGTCGAGCCCGAATGGGTGCTTTGGAAAAGAAGAGAGATACAGCAGAAAATCGAATTCAAGAATTTAAGAGAATTTGTGAACAATTTAAGCCAGTGTTCCATCATTTCTTTTTATCTCAATTTCCAAATCCTAGTGACTGGTTTGAGAAACGACAGGCCTATACGAAATCTGTGGCAACCATTAGTATGGTTGGTTATGTCATTGGTTTGGGTGATCGACACGCCAGTAATATTTTGATTGACCAGCAATCGGGAGAAGCTGTTCACATTGATCTTGGAATTTGTTTTGAGCAAGGAAAATATTTACCAATTCCTGAAATTGTTCCATTCCGATTAACACGAGATATCATTGATGGATTTGGAGTATGTGGAGTCGAAGGTACTTTCAAAAATAGTTGTTATGCAACCATGAATGTCTTGCGAAATAATATGGAAGCATTGTCTTTGGTGGTTGAAGTGTTTTTGCGTGACCCATTGTATAAGTGGGCACTGTCTCCTCTCGAAGCAATGAATTATCAAACAAGTAAGGACAAGAGAATAATGCCAACACAAAATACTGGAGAAGGTAACAAGAATAATAGAGATGCTGAAAGAGCCTTATTGAGATTGAGGGAAAAGTTGTTGGGTCAGGAAGAGGGTAACATGTTTGGTGTGAAGAGTCAGGTCAACAAGCTCATTACAGAAGCTTCAGCATTGGAAAACTTGGCAGTAATGTTCCACGGATGGGCTCCATTCCTTTAATTGAAGCACAGTAAAATTTTACATAATTTTCTGACGTGAGTTTAAGAAATTTCGAAATTGAGTTTACAAGATAATGTCGATCGCACCCCCCAAAAATAATCATTAAGGTCGCTTATTCAATAAAGATTTCAGCTTGTCATATCGTTCTTTTCCCATGGTACTTTCACAAAATTTACAATCCTTCATCAAGTCATCCATTGAGGGTGTATCAAAATCGATATCTCCTCCATTTTGGTTATTATTTTCAGCAGCACTGCTGTCTAGCCAATCAAAATCATTAGAAACAAAATCAGGCTTTTTATGCTCTTCAACTTTTTCTTCGACATCTTCTGCATCATCCTCCACTAGCCATCGTTTCCAAGCTGTTTTACAATCGGGCACAATTGGTTTTCCAATTTTCTCATTGACTTCATTATGTCTCTCACAAAGCCATATACTCAATGCTTCCCGACTCTCTGCTCGAATTGGATGTTTTTTAATACTATCCGCAAAATCCTTGGCACACCATCGACAAGGATAAAACTCTGCAATTCTAACAAATAATTGTTTAATATGATGTTGTTGAATCGGAGATGGTTTTTTCGGATATTGTGCAGCAACCGTGTGCATAAAAGCCCAAGTAGATGCTCCGAGATTATCCTGTAATTTTTTATGTGAGTTTTCCGATGTATTCTCTTGTGTCTGGTGATTGGAACTAGTAGAAAAATTTGAAGAGTCGACCGTGGATGAATACATTTTTTTTTGGTTGTGTGTGTGGTTGGAAAAACATGTTTGACCGATTCAATCAAAAAACGCAGGTCGGTCATGGTCGATCAATTTAGGAGTTCTCACTCCTCCAGATAACTCCTTTCTTTTATGCTTGTTGTTAGTTTCGAAAGTTGTCTTTACCTTTCCTTGGCTTTCTGATACATGCCCAGATGGAATACTAAAAAATGTGGACTCAATTTTATAATGAGAAAAAGCCATTCATCCTCACTATATTCTCATAGGTTCCCAACCCCTAAAAACACTTTCGATGAACGAGCGCAGGACCAACTTCCTCATACTCTTTTTTAGTCATGTACATTTGATGGGTTGAAAAAGCAGAGAGTGAGGCCAATAGGGAACCTCCAATCCATGCCGAATATTTACGTTCAAAGGGAGCACTCACATCAATGCGCATGGAACGAGGAGCCAACTGTTCTACTTCTCTTTTCAATCGTTCAGATATACCTTCAAAGAGAGTATTTCCACCTGCTAGTACGATGTTCGTGTACATGTCTTTACGTAATTCCAAATCACATTTGGTAATGGAATGAAAGATGGCTTCATGAAAGCCTTCAGTACATGACTCATCCCGATTCAATAGGTTGGGTTGAAATAATATTTCTGTACATCGAAATCGCTCCGTTCCGATGGTGATGATACTTCCGTCTGGTAATTCATATGTTTTTTCTATTCCATTATTAGGATGATCACTACTACTATTGCTATTCGTTACATCAGTACTATTAGATGTTGTAGATGCCTTTTTCAATAATTCAAAATACGAAGTTGCTACATAACACAACTTTTCCTTAATATCCCTCACAATTTCTCTCTCCGCAGTCGTATGAAAGAAATAGCCTCGTTCTCCTAAAATGGAACGTAAATACTCGGTCACGTCTCTTCCACTCACCTCCAATTTTGAAATGGCATGTTTCAAGGCAAATCCTTCATAGACTGGAACAACATGTGAGATGCCATCACCTGAATCTAAAACGATTCCAGTCGTACGGCCTGCAGTGAATAATGCTAGCACTGCTTGAACTCCAATATAGAGAGCTGGCACAGAATAGGTCTCGAACATGATTTTTGTCATTGTTTCACGACTCGATTTTGAATTTGATGGCGTTTCAGTCAACAATACAGGATGTTCCTCCGGAGCCACTCTTAACTCATAGTAAAAGGTGTGATGCCAAATCCTATTCATATCATCAAAATCATTGATCATTCCACGATCGATGGGAAATTTCAGTATCAAACGACCTTTCTTACTCTGAGCTTCGTCACCAACATAGGAATCTTTATTTCCCATACCAACCATGATGGGTCGGTGTGGGGGTCTTCCAACAATGGTCGGAAAGACGCATCGTGGAGCATCGTCACCAGCAAATCCAGCTTTCATCATGCTGCTCCCGTTGTCAATGACAAGACATGGCATTTCCTCCATTCTTATGGTGTGGATTGTTGATGACACGACTGTCGTGGTAATTTTTTCTTATTTTTCTAATCAAGAAACAAAGAACTTGGTAACTCTTAAAGTTCATTAGTTGTTAGATTCTTCGTCGTTTCACATTAAAATATAATGTTCTCTTTGTGTTTCAGATTAAAAGCATTCCCACTTCGTTCAACATCAATTATCAAACCAATACAAAATTTTCAAAGATTTACAATTTCTAAAAATAACAGAAAAAATTATCTGAAGTTTGCATCTCTTCGATTGTTTTTGTACACTGCACAGAATCGATCACATAAAACATTTTTGAGATGGAATCTGCGGAATTGAGTATTGTGACTCCAACAATTCCAAGCAATATTCATCAACCATATTCTGAAGGAAGAAGACTATCTGCTACATCGCCTCTGCTCGATAGTGGAGTTGAATTTCAAGTTTTGGATGAAAGTAAAAGTCCATCAACTCCCTCAACAACAACAACAACACAATCAAATCATCGGATTTCCTCTCCAAAATCTCCTTCTTCCATACAAGTGCCATTATTCAATGATGAAAATAATAATAATTTGAACAACAACAATAACAGTGCAACTTCAACAACAGCTCCAACGATCGGAAAGATTCTCGATGATCAAGAATTTAAAATATTCTCGCACTTGTCGAAACTTGGTCGAGGAAAACATGACGCTTCCGATTCGTTTGCCGAGGATACTCCGTTTTATACGTATGAAGAAGGATTCAATTCATCTCTAAAGGATGGTCATAGTAGTGCGAATTTGACTGATACAACCACAACGGTTGAGGAACACTTGGACTCCACTAATACAACAACAATAACCAGTGGTTCTTCTCCTAGTTCAAATTCAATTATAAGTTCAAATAATTCAGCAACGTCTAGTGGTGATCAGTTGACTACCCAAATTCAAATATTCTCAAATGCAACTGGCGATGGAGATTTAATTTCCGATGCTCCTATTCAAATTACGGTGGACGTGGTGACAACAACGACTACTACAACAACCACGAATAACAATGAAGAAGAACATACTACTTTTGTATGGCAAGGATCCTCCGTGACCACTACAACGGCAGAAATTCAATATCATCCAAGCAACATCAAATCTATTGTAAATACATCAGTCGTATCATTTGAGGGAGAGGATGAAGATGAAAAGCTGAACGCTCCTCCTACTATCAAACAAATAATTCCTGGAAAAGACCCTTTAAGAGGAAGTACAGTAATTCAAATAGATGAAGAACATTTTCATGAAATTTCCTTAGGAGAAATTCCTGCTCTAGACAAGTCAGCAAATCAAGTCGATGACGAAGAAGCGCATTATTATGAATCCATGTCGTGCTTCTCTTGCTTTGCGCAACCAATTTCATATTTATGGAATTCAATTTTTGAAACTAACCAAACCGAACTAACTACGAATGAAAAAATTGTCACAAACTCTGAGAAGAACTTCCATTCGAATAATCAACCTCAAGAAGTGTAACAATTTCAACCAAAAACATCCTCAATGTATCTTAACAAACATTCGACCACTTGTAAATGCATCCTCACATTCAAAATTGAAACACAATTTAACAACCACGATATTGAATAAAAAACATTGCCTTGTGATTTTTAAAGTGCAGTAACATACCTTTTGACTGTTTGTTTCGATTAATGCTAATAATAATAGAAGCAAGTTCAACTTGAAAAAAATGAGTGAACTTTTCGGAGACATGTTTGCTCAAGATCAAGAGCTATTACCACAAGGATCATCATCAACGAATGGAGGTACAAGCAAGGAAGGAAGAAATTATAACCAACTATTATCATCATTAGATAATTTAAAAAGACAAGCCTCTAACTTTGTCGGACTTCGAAATCAGTATGTTTTCTATTGTAGCCAATGTAACATGGAATTTTAATGCTATTATTGTTGATCATATTCATCTTGAATGTTTCAATATTGATGATAAATTAAATATAGAGCCTCTACATGCTATCTCAATTCATTGATTCAGACATTGTACATGATCCCCCAAATGAGAGCCAACTTCTTAAATCTGGATCTTGCGAAATATTATGAACGATCATCAGGCTCTTCGTCTTCTTCAAAACCATCTGTTGATGAGTACGAAGATGTAGAAATTGATTTTTCAACTTTTCCTTTTTATTCTCAATTATTGGACATGGGATTTGAATCTACTCTGATCAACAAGGCTTTCCATAAATTTGTTGAGCCTACAGACACATCAGATACAGAAGTCAGTAATCGAGTTCAAGAAAGTATGATACTGTGGCTATTTGAAGAACAAGAACGACAACAGACCGCAGCATTTTCTGATAATTCCTCTCTTGTGGCATTTGACAATAGTGACGGAGCTGTAATGGGTTCTTTATTTGACAACATTCCAGTCATAGATGAAACTGTCACATCACACATTTCAACCAATTCCAAAAAAATAATCAAGAAGAAAAAGGCCAAAAAACAAAAGCAGCCTAACTTGCTATTTGTCATGCAGAAATTATTCTCATACATGGCAAAAATTGAAAAACCATCAATAGAAACTGTAGAACTTACAGACGCTTTTGGATGGAAGTCGAGGCATGTCTCAATGCAACATGACATCCAAGAGCTTAGTCGAGTTTTCTTTCAAGCATTGGAGACAAAACTGTCCAAGATGAAAATTGACAACTTTATTAAGAACACCTGTGCAGGAAAAATTGTCAACAAAATCGTATGCCAAGAATGTGGAAATGTGAGCTGTGTTGAAGAAGAGTTTTACGACTTGACCATTACGGTTGAGAACAGCTTAAAGGAAAGCTTAGAAAAATATACAGAAGTTGAAAGATTTGAAGGTAATAACAAGTATCATTGCTCAAATTGTAAGAAATGTGTAGAATTGGCATTGAGGAACACCACTATTCGCCAGTTACCACCAATATTATTTTTCAGTCTTACTCGATTTTCGTATGATTGGAACACAGAATCAAGAATTAAGGTGAAGAAAGAAATGGCCTTTGAAGCCTCTTTAGACATGACTCCATTTACAGAAAATCCTTCCACTACCGACAGAGATGAATATGAACTTGTTTCTGTGATCATCCACTCGGGAAGTCCCTATGCAGGTCACTACTATTGTCTTGCAAGAGATTTTTTAGGTGAAGGCAAGACAACTATCGAAGATGAAGAATCTAACAAGAATGAAAAGAAAAACAAAAAGAAAGCATCGTCAATCTTCCAAGTTAGTGACGATCAACATTGGTTTGAGTTTAACGATGAAAGAGTTTATCAAGTAGATGCCAAAGATGAAATTCCAAAATATTTTGGTGGAAAGGGAGCGTCTGCCTACATGTTAGTCTACAAGAAGAAGTCTCTCAGTGATACCATAATTAACTTTTCTTTACCTCCATATTTTGAACAAGAAATTGACAAAGAAAATGATCACATTCAAATCTTACGAGATTACCAAACACAACAAAACGACATGAATCGGCAAGCTAATTTAGAAAAGCAAAATACTGGCTCTGCTCTCGTTTATTTACCCAGGTTTTTCTCTGTTGAAGACGCATCTCTGGTGCCCTCCAATTTTGATGAAATTGGCAAATTATACAGAACTTTTTCTTTCCATTATGACACATCACTGAACGATTTTTATGGACTGGTACAGGAAAAATTTGCAGACTCTTTTGATAACTTTACTTTGTATACTATGGAAAAGGATGGCAACAAATATGTGATTGGATCTGAACTTCCAAAGCATGCTGACGATGATGAAATTTTGATTAGGCAATATTGTAAGCAAGACTCCAAGTACATGTACATTTTAGTGGATTCTCAAACCATGTCACCCACAGACAATAGATTCCAGATACAAAAATCCACTTCCTCCACTGAAATTACGCTTTATGAATCATTTTGTGACACCAAGATTGTAAAATTAGAGTTTAACATTTCTACAACGTTGAGAGAATTGATCGATCAAGCAAAAGAACGGTTTTCATGTGAACTTCCTTTGAGAGTGTTTTTCAATTATACCAAAGGCAAGCCCCAGCGAATAAGCAACCTTGATGCTAAAATGCTTTGCTACCTTAACGGATTTACATCCATCAGTTTGGAACATGAGACAAACGATATATCTTATGTTGAAACGCTGTATGAAGAGGCCCAAGTGCTTGCACAGCTCGTTACCAATCAAACCAATGACTCCTTCAAAAGAACAGACGATGATCGTGGAGATTTAGTTATTGTGAAATTTGCTGATAGAGAGAAATTGATTCATATTGACCTTTCAAGTTCCTTGTTTCTTCTCAAGAAAAAGATTCTTCATGAAATGTTCTCCACCAATATCAAAATTTTGGACAAACTAAGCGCTGAAGGAGATGTGTGGATTAGAAAATGTGTACTTATTAGAAAGCAAAAAAAGAGTTTTATTGAAGAAAAGGATAATGACTCTCCGTTAACAAAGCTTGATATAGGTGACGGCGATCGATTAGATGTAGTGATCCACCTCCAATCTGAAAAGGAAGTAGAAATTCAATTTATTGAGATTGTCCCTCAAGATCCAAACTATGACGAAAAGAATGAAGCAGTTACCTTCAACACTCGCAACACCTTTTTGATGAAATTAGAGCAAGACATGTCTCTGAAACAATGGTAAGTTTTACACAAATTTACACATGGCCTACAATGTTCTCGTTGCGAACTTATTAGCAAAACAAAATTGAGCCAAAGATTCAAGAAGGATGATTGGGAATATGATAACATCCACAATTTTAGATTCAGATCAAGTCAAAATGGTCACTCTGGACAAGTCATCAAAGATGAAGATACTCTTCTTTCCACTCTTCTTATTGAACAAAACGATAATGTCTTATTTGTAGAGTTAGGAAGAGCCCCTATTATTGGACAAGTTAAAGTATTGGTGAATTTAGTCAAAGATCAATTTCCTCCAAAAACTCCATCAGACAAGATATTGTAAGTATTCCAAAGAATCCTTTCTCGTTGTTTATGTAATTAATTATTGACGTATCTAATATTCACTGTAAACATTGTATAGAAATGAAAATGAGGAATATCTCGAGCAATGTGCAACATTAACAGTTTCTGAAAATTGTACTCTGGCTTTCTTTAAGCAATGTTTATTGAAACGAGTGATTACCTTTAAAGATATATCCAGCATTGCACAACTTCAAATAAGAGATTGCTCTTTCTCTGCAGGTTTCAAACGAATGACCAAAGTATACTCTGATACTTTCCATTTGAATAAGACTTTGGATAAGCTTCGATGGAAAGACACAAAAGTCATTGCTGTCAAAATTCTTAATGAATCTGAAATTCGAAAGAATCATGAACTTCAACAACAACAACAGGATGAACCCTCTCAAACTACCAAAAAACGTGACAAAACAAAAGGAAAGAAGAAGATTATTCCTCCACCAGTTCATGTCATCGTTAGAACCAGAGAAAAATCTCCAACAGGATCACAATTTTTATATTCAGCAGCTAAAGAGCTTGTTATTGAAGCTCCAACAATTAGCAAGTGGGATCATTTGGAAGCATTTAAAAAAGGAATATTGGAAATGGCTGATTTGAGTTTTAATGAAAATGAAGTTATCATTTCCAAATATAGTTTCAATGATACCAGAATTATCAGAATTGATGAATTGGATGAAACCACAAGCAATGAAACCACACAAACAACAAGTATTGAAGACTCTACTCAAAAAGTGACATCCTCTCAAGACACTATCACCAACAAGGAAAAAGAAAAGGAAATTCATCTCATGAAAAGAATTAATATTAGTGACGGAGACGTATTAATTGTGAGTTTGAAGAGTGACTTGGACAAGGATGAAATTATGAAAAATTTCTCGACAAGTCTCAAAGATTTTGAAAAGGAAAAGAGTTCTTCTGGAAAGAGAGGAAGTGAAGATGACTTTTTTGGATTTGTTTTGAGCAAGGGTTCTCGTGTGAAAGAGGAAGCGTTACAAATATTCCTTGATGATAGTGATGAAGAGGAAGATGATTGAGTCGGATCGATTAAATACTTAAATTAAGGTTGATATTGCAAAATTTATTTAATATTAAACAAAAAAAATGTCGCTGTGGAAATCGATTGAAGAGATTATGAGGTTGGTTTATCTTGGAAAGAAATAGGTTGATGGGAACATATTAAAATCTGTTGATCGGATCATAATTTGTTGTTGATGATGATTTATTGTTCATATGCCCCGAAAGACATCCTGGAAAAAGATTGGCAACACTGTCAGTTATTGGCTTGGCATTCATGATAGGTGCCGTTGCCGCTCCTGTGTAGTAAGTTAATGCATGCCACAATCAAAATATACCAAAATAATAATTGTTAATAATTATTTAATAATTATTAATTTTAATGCTTACAATTATTTTCAACAGCCTTCCAAAAAGAGACATTAAAAGTGAATTGCAACAACTTCAAAAACAAGAACAATTTAGAACTGCAGAGGCTTTTCGTCGTTCGGAAGGAAAATAACAGTAGTAATTTATTGAAATGGAATTCTAATATCGACGGAATAAATAATTGATTTTTTAAATTCTTTTGATCAAGTTTGAAGGAGTCACAGAGGAATATTTGAAAATTTGAATTTGGTAGCTTGACAAGACTACAAACAATCCACTTGTTCTGACTTGTTGAGCATTTCTCATGTACACTGTGTTTCCATTCATAACATCCACAAATGGAACGTCACCAGCAACATTTGGAACATCATCCAAAACAATGGCTCCACTTCCTTGATTTTCACTATAATTCACAGTGACCAAATAACTCACTCCCGAGTTTGGAAGTCTCCAATGGAATGCAAACACTCGATAAGCAGCAGAGCTTTGACTGACAGTCTTGTATGAGAAAATGGCATCTGGAGTTGTGAAATTAGAAACAAGGGGAATGAATGTGTTGTAGAATTGAACAGCGGATGGTTGAATGGGTTCTGAGGTACTGCGTCTGAGTTGAACAACGAGTGGATTCTTTTTACCAATCCATTGACCAAAGTATGAAAATTTGAGTCCAGGAATTGAGAAGGAAATAGCACAAGCTGCATTGGCTCTAGCTACGCTTCCAAAGTTTGCAACTGCTCTTGCTCTGTAATCGATATGTCAAAACAATGCATTGAAATGTATAGTGTGAAATTGTGTCCATGATTGTGTTCAAGCATTTAGAATAATAATTTGAAGACTTACTGATCGTGATTTTCTACAAAGTGAGCGCTATGAGAAATATATTGGATTGGTTGTTGCAACAGATAATTGTGAATATTTTGAGCATTGCTATTGGTAGTGAGTGCATCATATAAATCCTTATCATATGTAAAGTCAAATCCTAATTGTTGAAGTTGAGAGTTGAGTCCCCAATAACATTCTGCCATAAAGATTGTGTTTGGATATTTTTGTTTTACAGCTGAAATGGCCCATTCCCAAAACTCTGTGCTTGGTTGATTATATCCTCTTGCAATCAATTGAGATCCCCAAATTCTATTAATTTGAGAGTTCAAAAGTAACATGGCCATGTCACATCGAATGCCATCGGCCATACTGGCAACTTTCATTAAATTTGTCAATTGAATTGTTCTAGTTTGAGGATTCCAATAGTTGAATTGAGCTGTATCAGTCCTGTTAAAAATAAAAACAAATTTGTTCCGTCCGCCCATAAATCGATATTCAAAATGATCATGAACATAAAAACAATAGGCTGTCACTTTCACGAAAATTCGTGAATTCTAACTTACCATGCAGGGAAGTAACCGTCCTTTCCATAGGCAACTCCATTTGGTAAATAGGAATAAGCATCATAGGGCTGAGAAACGGAGGGAGGATTCAACACGTAAAGTGAAGAATTTTGCCACACATTTGGGTTATCGACAGCAGAGTGATTTGGAACAAAATCAAGCATGAGTTTCAATCCCATGGCATTCAATTTTTGCCTCAAATTAATCAAATCATTATCTGTACCAATCTCCAACTCGTTGACAGTATATTGCAAGACTTGATAAGGACTACCAATAATGTCCTCCATTTGATAATCAGGTAAATTGAGGGCATAATCCGTAGCTCTCATGGATAAGTCAGTAGCTCGGCATCTTCCGTACTCACCAATCGTCCACATTCCCATCAACCACACATATTGAACACCTAATTGTTTCAAATTCTGAAATTCTTGCATGGGAATGTTATTGAGCCTGATCTTGTATCCGTACTTTTGAGAGAGTTCATAAAGCCAAGGACGAGTAGAAATTTCATACAGTATCGGGTTCGGACTATATTGAGCGTGGACAAAAATTGATGAAATTCCATTGAGATGATCCCTTGGATCATGATTTGAATTTCTGATCGTCAGGACAAGTAGTGAAAGGCTCACCAACATCACCAGAAAACCTGGAAATTTCATTTTTTTGTGATGATGAAAATCTCGGAGTTGTTAGAGTTTTGGAGATTTTAACAAACTCGTCCATATGAACAGGACGGTGTTTCAGTTCCGAATCCTTTGCCCCATTGAAATTGTAAAATTTGATTCAACGACAACCTCCTGATCATCATGACATTATTGGGAACTATCTAAAAACGACGATTTTTAAATTTAAATAAATTTAATGCTCTTGCAGACTAAGCCCATCCTTCGAGCCCAATCCCAAATTCCTAACCCAACAAAAAATATTGTTGTTTGTGTAACGGTTAACAATTTTCTATTACAACACCATCAGCAAACGAATTTATTCATCAACAGCCTCATAATAGATGCCTCCTGTATTCAAAGGGCTGAAGAGAAAGTCCAAAACAACACAGAAGAGGAAAGCATCAAGCAGCAACAAGAATGCTGAATCATCAAGACAATCCGCAGGTGAAGAGGAATCACCAAAAGTTGGTGCAAGCACTTCATCATCATCAGCAGAACCACAAGAACCTCTTTCACCCGTACTCGGATTGCAAGCTTTGAAAAATCCCTTCCCAGCTGCTGATCAAGCCGATCAAAATGATGAAATTTTGGATCGTGATTTATTACAAACACAACAAGATGATCATGAGGATGCAGAATTGACTCACCCACCAAGAACTAGAAAAAGAAAAAAGAAAGTTGCATCGAGCGATGATGAAAACGATCAAGATTATGCACCAGAAGAGGAAAATGAGGAAGGTGAAGAAGAACAAGATGAGTCTGCTGCAAAAACTCCAAAGCGAAAAGCATATCTTCCAACAACCTCTGCCTATCGTGTTCCAGTGATTGAAGACGAAAGTGACAGAGTCACATCTCCACCAAGCTCGCGAAAGAGAGCCAAGAACTTTACTGCTGATGAAGATCGACTTGTGAAACGTGTTGTTCTTGATATGTATGACGGTGTTCCCGAAGCTGTAAACATGCAAGTTTTCGAACTGATGTCAAGAATATTGGATGGTAGAGAAGGACAAGCTAAAAGCATAAAAAAACATTATTATAGAGCAGGTGCTTATTTACAAACTGAGACAGAATTAAGGGAAACAGAGGAAGAAGACAATGCAAAGTTACTTCCATTTAAAGATGAGATTTTGAAGCTCAAAGAAATTATTGCTGAAGAAAGAGAGGTAGAAGCTCAACGTAAACGAGCAGCTCAGTTGCGTGATATACATAGATTAAGCAATGAGATTGACGCTTTTAATGCAAGACATTCTCCCAAACGAACTCCTAAAAAATCGCCTGGAAAAACAAGTCGCTCTTCAACTCCTAGAAAATCTCCAAAATCATCGACGCCCACGAGACAGCGTGCAAGCTCTTCGAGTAGCAGAGAAAAAGACGAAGAAACCATATATGCCGAAAAGCTAATTGAAAAATTGGCATCAGAAACACAAAAATCAACAGATCTCGTTGCTCATGCTCTCTATGCCTGCAGTGGAGATCCAAAACTTGCTGCCCGTTTATTGGATGAATCTGCAGAGCTCACAGAGAATGAAAAAAACAGGATATGGACCCAAGAAGAGGATAAAGTTCTGACCATGAAAGGACGACCACTTAAGGCTCTTATAGACTTGAAAGGCGAAGACCTTGTTCAAGCCAGATTGGCGTGGTTGGAAAGTGCAGAATATGGAGAAGTTGAATATTAGGCCATTCTAAATTTGTCAATGTTATTGATCTAGGCTTTGTAAAATAATCCATGCAGTACGTTGTAAAATGAGGATTTAGTTCATTCCTTCATGTGTTGTTTTTCTTTAGAAACTATTTGAATGTAAAATGAAACTAATTTTGTGATTAAATGTTAACAGATTATTTCTGATCTTCGTTGTTTTGAAATAGACTATTTTCCAAACGGTGAGCAGAATATCTCTTATCAAGTGTACGATACTTTTTTAATCTCACCAAAGCCTCTACTTCTTTTAAAACATATTCTCCTCTTGCAAGTTGATTTTTAAATTCTTCTTCACCCATATCGGATTTTGCTTTATTTGCAAGAAATGCTTTCTTTAAACGAGCTTTGAGTACTTGTGGGTTTTCTTCTCCTGGATAGTGGGGAATCATTGTTAGAAATCGTTTGTATCTAGAAGTACACGGTCGTCATTAACTCGGAGCATACGAATGGGCTGAAACGTACAAGTTGATGGCTTGTTGACGCAGTTGTTGGTTTTGCATTTTTAAATAGGTTCGGAAATGCCCAGTCTTGTTAATCATCCCATGATGACTGTGTCTTTGGTACATTGTCAAAGTCTACTTGTTTATCATACACGTAACCTGCATCGCCTGGTTTGAGTTGTTTGAAATTTTCATCCATTCTTGCTTTCACCCTCTTGAGTGATTGATCATCTAGTTTGTTAAGATCCTGTCCTTTAAAATCATCTTCGTCGTCATCAAACTGCTCGAAATCTTCTTCTTCAATATCTTCCTCTTCGAGTACTTCTGTAAGTTTTTGTTTTTCATTGTTGTTGACTGTATTTGATTTGTTGGGCTGAGATTGTTGTTCTGGTGGAAGAAAAGATTTTGTTGTATGGTCTACCAATTGCCGGACCATCTTTTCTATTTGATGATCTGGAATATGATCAAAAAGCACATGATGATGTTTAAATAATACATTTTGTTTTATATTTTCCACAATTTCCTCTTCATCCAGCTCGGGATAATTCTTTACTATATAATCTTCCAGATACACTCTCCGATGCCTCAATTCCTTCTTTCCCTTATTATTGATCTTTGTATATTCCACCACGAGAGCACATTGCTTTTTTCGAATGCCAATTCGCAACACATTATCCACACTGGTGGTGTTGGTTACCATTTTTTTAAATTTGAGTCATCGTTATTTGTAATTATTTTTGGCGGTAAATCTCAAAACATAGAGTTAAATTATTATTTTTAATGAAACATTAAATATTAAAAAAATGAATGATCATGAAATTATGGTTGATGAAAATTCCATGCAAGACGATGACGAGGAACCTGTTTCACCCATCACGGTTTCATCATCATCATCATCAACATGTTCTCATCATCATGATGATTTCGTGTATGATCATCAAATCCATGTACAACCAACAACAAATGATGACAACAATGACGAAACGGATCATTTAATTATTCCTCCGGTATTGGAATTTGGATCGTTGATTCCTGGTATTCCGAAGGATGCTTCTTCACTGTGGACTGAAAAGTATATCTACGATATTGGAATCATTTATAGAAAAATGATGATTCAAGTGGATGCACATCGATTTGAGAGAAATTTTAAACTTGCTCATGATGAATTGATTAAAGCTATTAATTTATTTCCATATCAGCCAGGTAGGTGTTATGGCGAGTGGAATAGCAAAGAGTAGTGTTGTGTATGAATGTTCATGAATAATATTTAATACTTGGGTTAAATAATTTTTCAATATTCGTATTTATTTGGATTGTCAATAATCAACTCAAACGCTTGAAATCATTAGAGGCCTATTATAAAAGGGCTTTAATTTATTTCCAAACAAACAATCCAAAAGAAATGCAACGAGCAATTAATATTACTAAATTTGTTTGCAGAGGCCATCCATTTTGGTCTCTTTTGTGTGAAGGGTACACGTGTGAAGTGGAACAAAACTTTACAAAATCTCGTGAACTCTATGACCAAGCTTATCATGTACCAAAAGAACGAATTTTGACTTTTTACGAAAATACTTTCAATGTTTCGAAGCAATGTGCAACCTCTCTCTATGATTTATTTGACGTTTTTTCACCGTTTTTTGCAATATTTAACGAGGGTTGTGTAATGATGGATTTACAAATTGAAAAAGAGGCTATTAACACATTTCAGAGCGCTATCGATTTTCTGGAAAATAGTGCTAAAAACAATGTCTTTCATTTTCTTTCTGAACCTCAGATATCCAAACTGATTTCGATGGGAAAAGCACTGTGTTTTAATAACATGGGTTGTTGTGCTTTGCAATTTTCAACAGATCATGAAGCTCTGAAGTATTTATGTAAAGGCATTGAATACAGCCGAAAATATGTGTTAGTTTATGAAAATAGAATGAATCTCTTTAGCAAGCTTACAATGTATGCCTCGGCTGTTAAAGATTGCGATACGGTCTTGTCATTTGCCAAAAACCCAGATACTTTGGAAAAGATGCACGCAGAAAGGGTTGTCAATATTCACCGATGGATTCAACACGATGCAGAAAGTTGTAACTATACTTATAAGGACCTTGATCAACTCGTAGCTGAATTACTGAACAAGTATCCTAAAAATCATGTACTCTATTTGACTAAGGCACTCATTGCTGTAACGTTGGACGAAGCCGTTCAAGTTTTAACAGAAGGTATTAACATGATTGACACCCCTGCTGTGGACAGCATGTTCAAACTGGCTTCTTTATTGGATTTTAGATCGTCCATGTTCGAAGGTATGGGTGAAACAAGAAAGAGCAACAATGACATGAGAGCTGTTAACCGAATAGGGAACCTTCAGCTCCCTTGCAGAATCGAGTAAAAACACGTGATCGAAATTGAAATTATATTTTCAACAAGGTTTTATTTGCTCTTGTATTCTTGAATTTAAGTGCACCTAATTAATACTATTTTTGCGAAAGCAATGACACAATCTGGAAAGCACATGCTGCAATTTTTGCGTTGGGATTTGCAGTCTTTTGTGTAAACACTTGTTGCTGTTGCTTGGCTACAGCCCTCACAGATTCACTCGCTCCAGTTAATAAGGTTCCAACAGCTACTAGCAGATCATATAAAATATTTGGATCGGATTCATTTGGAATAGCTTGACAACTTAATGCTAAAAGTTTCTCTTTGAGAGCATCTGATTGTGTGTTGGTGTATAAGGAAACAGCAGTGTTCAGTAAAAAGTATGAATAAGCAGCTCTCATATTTGCATTATCCAATTCTACCATTTTCGATGCATTGTCCACAACAATTTGTGCATGTTTAGAAATAATGAACTTGAGTTGAGAAGTGTGGAACATGTTGGCAAGGGCTCTGAAAGCAAGCATCTTCAATGCAGAGTACGTTGTGGTTGGGTTAAAGCATAATGTGACCAACTTGGTGAGGATGTTCGATCCATTCTTGTATTGCTCTGAGTAGTAATTAGCAGCAGGATTAGTGAGAATCAATAATCTGAAAAGATCCACACCAGGGAATATCTTATCAATGGGCCACTGAAGAATCTTCTCTACCACTGCAATGTGGGTGGTGGTCACTTTCTCACCTTGACCTGCCTTGAGAGTGGAGCAAAGTTGAGAAAGTGATCCTGCTTCCTCAGTACTGAGTGCGAGTGAGCTATTTTCAGAATTCTTAATGACATCATTAAATTCGTTCAGTTTACGTAAAATACCGTCATAGTTGGCCTGATCGAATATTTTAACATTACCAGGAAAGTGTTTGACATTCTTTTGTCTTTCTCTTTCTTCCAACTCTTTTTGATATTGTTGTTGTTCTTGGGCAAAAGGAGAGCTTACTGGAGTTGTGTCCTTTTTAGTTTGAGTTCCGGGACGTTTAGCAACAAATGTCTCTCTCTGATGTCCAGTGAATGGATCACCAGTCATAAACTGAGGTGGAATTTCTTCATGTGTATCAGTGTTATCCATGATGAATTTTGCAATTTGATCCAAATAATTTTGAGAAAGCTCATTATCCCAAATAAATTGTTGAGCAGCAAAATATGGATTATCTCCCTTGTTGTATGGCAATTTAAAGTTTTTCAGACCACTTCCATGTTCCAATTCTACATCAAATACATAGTCATACATTTTACCATTGTGGTATGTTTTTTGTGCAAATCCGTCTCCGACACCAGGTCCCTCTGTCACTTCACCAACTCGTTCCCACTTTTGTTGAGCTGCGCTCCATGAATAAGCTTCTGGAATGCCATTATTGTTGACAAGCTTAATTTCTCCATCACTACTTCCTTTTGTCGAGTTTAAGACAAGTTCTGAAGGTAACTTGGTTGGATCGACTCCGCTCTTCTTGATCTTGGAGTTTGCAATATTGTCATTAAACGCTTGAATAATTTCTGGATTAGCTGCCTTTTCTGCTCTTCTTGTAAACACTCGAGCAACTCCATCGGAACAAGCAGTCTGTAAATTCAGATTAATAGCAAAGTATTTAGCAAAAATAAAGAAAACAACGAGATAAAAAACATACAGCAATGTCGCCATTTGGAAGAGCAGCCACTTGCCAAACACATCCTGGATGTTCGATGGTTTGAACGAGACTACCATGGTTCCAAACTTTCACAGTTTTATCCTCACTGGCAGTCAACATTTCTCCTGATGAAGTCAGATCAACAGAGTATACCAATGTATTATGGGCTTGTATTTGTCCAATACAGTCACCTTGTAAGGTCCAAGTTTTGACTGTACCATCATTGGAAGCAGAAATAAAGCCAATGTTTGGCAATTCTTTCAAGGATCTCACACAAGCTAGTGTTTGACATGTTTAAGATTAATGGTAAAAAATCGTTGTTGAGACAATTCAATCCATTTGTTCCAATATTGTGAACAACAACTTACAACTATGTGCGGCATCAATTGTACGAATGTTTTTGCCATGCTCCCAAAATTTGATGCTTCCATCTCCACTTCCTGTTATAATCAAACCATTTGAAACTGCCAATACACACAAAACATTTTGTTGGTGTCCTTTCAAGTCAAACACAGGTGCATCATTTCCTACATTCCAACATTTTGCAGTCCTATATGATATTTTGACATTAAATGACACAAAAGATCATTGTTGATTTTTGTGTCATCACAATCATTACATTGTCATCATTGGAAAATCAAATAATTTTTCATCATGATGTAAGATGACAACACAATCATTCAAATAAAATCAATACTACACAATATATTGCCACCACACTTACTTATCCCATGATCCCGAAATGATCAAGCCAGTGTATTTATCAACAGTCAAACAACTGACAGCATTGGAATGAGCATCTGTAAATCTCTTCACCGGACTACCATCCACCAAATTCCAAACAATCAATGATTTATCATGGGATCCAGAAACAGCAAAGTGATCCGAAAGAAAATCAACGGATGTTATAAACTTCTCATGACCAACCATTGTTAATGTACATTGGTATTCGCTTTGTTTCTTTGCTTTGAGTAACTCTTCTCCATCAAACATGGTATTCTCAAAATTAGCTTGCTCTTCCCGATAGTTAGGATTTGGAGCAAATGTCTTTACAGTACAATCCAAAGATCCTGTAATGATACCTCCATCAACAAGAGGATTGGCACACACAGTACGACACTGATCAATATGACCCTTGCATTCGGCACGAAGAATAAAGTTAATGTTGTTATTATTGGACATTTTTTTTAAAGATGATCTTGGATCTATTTTTACAAGTTCAAATCCTTCTTTCGTGAAATGATGTTTTGGGAAGTGGCACTATTGAATAAAAAAATAATTAATATTAATTCAATATGTACAGAGAAGTGGTATTGAATGGTGAATGAAAACAAATTTATTTCAGTGCTTGGATTGGGAAGAGGTACTTCGAGGAATGGAATGAGCATTCACAGAGAGGGAGGAGGTCGATTTACTTTTAGCTTTCGATTGATCAACGTTGGAAGTGGCCGTAGCACTCCTTGATGTTGTGGAGCTATTAAATAAATAGAAATAAATATTAAGGTCAATTAGACAAAATAATAATACAACAAGAATGACAATCACATACCTTTGATTTCTGGAAATGGTATTTCCACTCTTTGGTTTCACAGATGAGGATGAATAAGGTGTGGGTGATGGAGAAGGAGATTTGGATTTTGGAGGATTAGAAGAAGGATTGGTAATGTTAGGTTTCAAAGCGTTGGGAATGGATTTTCTTCTCATGGATGAGATGGATGTTGAAGGAGGAGAAACTTGAGTTGGAGAGGATGTATTGGAGCTGTATGTGTTCGATACAGAGGTCATGTATTCTCGATCGGTCCATTCTGTCTCTTCCTTCTCCTTTTTCTTGTCTGCAATCTCGTCTGCACTTTGAAGGTTGAGTCTGAAACCTCGATTGGTTTCAGTTTCAATGGTGTGAAGAATGTTTCGTGCAGTCATGGCTGCTTCCTTAACATCTTTGTCTTTATCCAAGCTCAAATAGGAGAGTTTTTCCTTAATTTTAGCAAGTAGAATGACATCATCGGGCAGTGTCAAGGTTTTCTTCAGCTCTGGAAGCATGAAACAAAATCGTCTTCGTACATTTGGGACTTTGTCCTTTTCCATTTTCATGACGTTTTCGAATAAGAGCTCTTTTGAAAATTTTTTGCTATAATGCTCCATGATTGGAATACATAAATCAAAAAACATCATTCGATTGGAATACGATCTGCTGCTGATAAGATCTTTGATCAAGCTCGATAAAATATCTTTTTGTCTTGGTAAGCTTTGAAGTCCTCTTGTCACAATCACGAGAGACGTTGCAGCTTGGATTTTTACAGGTTGTGCAACTCCCTCAAATATTTGTTTTTTAAGAATGGGAATGAATGTGTCAATAATTTGCTCTCTCGAAAAATATAAATGAAAATATTGAAAATGAGAAAAATAGTTTTCCAATCGTCTCCAATCGTTTTGAACTCCACTGTGGTAGTTGTTGATGGAACTGATCACATTAGTAAAAAAGGAATCCTGTTTAAGATCATAGTGGGCATGGTTAAAGACCTGGTCTCACTTATTTTCACTTACCGAAGTTTTTGCTAAAGCTGTTTTGAAGCATGTCAAAATGGTGTTCAAGTTTTGTACAATTTTGTCTCTCACTTCCATATTTGTGTCCTAATAAGGATGAATGGTATTGGGAATTCAAATTGTTGTATGAATTAATCCTGGATACTTACAGAAAGAAGGGAAAAGAAAAGGTTTTTGAGCAGTTTGGCTGTTCCATCCTCTGATAACAGCTTAACTATCTCATGAAAACCAGAAGCTATTCTCTTCCTAACAGTCCCACTGGGATCCTCACAACATGCCACCATACTGTTATGCAAACATTTTTCATACCTCTTGGATCCTACACACTTAACAATGGCAGGAAAATTGAAAGCGCAAAATTCCCGAATTTCTTGAGAATTATCTTTCGAAGCAGAAACAAAAAAGTTGACAAAACATGATATTTGATCTTCTTCCTTAATTTGTAGGTAGTAGAATATTTCTCCAAGTCTCTCAACCAGTATTCTGTACAAATCACTTGGGGGTGACTTGATCCAATTCAAATAATATTGTTGAATTTGATCTGCTCTATATTTTTCGTCGAAAAAGCTAAGCATGTTTGTTAGAGTTTCCAGTGCTGCCTGTCTCACCAGCTTGGTTTCATCTTTAACAAGTTGTATTAATTCAGGCATCAAATATTGTTTGGATTTTTCAGGACTGTGAAATATGTTGGGAACGTTTTAAAAACACGAACGAGTCGCCATTGGATGAACTTACCCTAATCCCTTTGATAAATTAATAATTTCTTGTGCCATTGTCTTTCTCACCGAGAATGAAGTGTCTTGGCAAAGATCTAATGACTTTTGAAGATACAATTGCTTGATTGTTTGAAAAGGTAGACGTTTAGAAAGAGAGCCCAACAGCTTGGAACAAAAACACCTGTTGCTTTCTGTTTCAGATAAACTTCCCTTTTGAATGGCAAAAGGAATAATTTCATTTTCCAAAAGTGACGTAGACATAAAGTCTACGGCAGAAATTAATACATCCTGCCATACAGATGCCACATGCTCTCCTGAATTATTTATCATTGATTGTATGAGAGCAAACACTTCTTTCATATTTTCTGGAGGGAGTAGTGGGAAGCATGGAACCAAATAGTCTCCAATCATTATTTGTGTTTCTTCATCTTCTTTTCCGATTTTATCCTGCAGTTGTTGGGAACAGCTGTCAGACCACATCAAACGAAGAAAAATAACCTACCGAGAAGAGTGTGACTATTTTTGAGATGGCTTTTTGTTGATGTCTTTGGAAGAGAGAGGGCAAGTTTTCGAGCACGGAACACTTTTGTACGGAAGTTCCTTTCGTGAGCAAATATTCAGCTCGTTCCACCTCTCCAAGATTTTCATCGACAAGATACCGTTCTAGAAGTTGTCCTTTTTTCTATCGATTTAGAGAAGATGATGTTGTTGATGGTTGATGGAATTGAACGATCGAATACAACAATGATCGTCGAACCAAAATCCGATTCAATTGTCATAAAATTTCATAAGGCTTCATCATCCTCTTTTCCAAAAACATTTTCTCATACAACTTACCTGAGCGTTCTTCCTAATCTCTGTAAGAGGAACCTCTGAAACTGAAGGCAACAACGATGAACTCAACTCGGGAAACGATAGCTGAATATGAGGAAGAGACACCTGCGTTTCATTATTCATCATTTTTTTTACTTGTACCACCCTCAATCATGCGAGCAAAAAAGGAATCTTAATCTCTCTCGTAATTCAACCGAAAAACCATCACCAATGGTTCATGAGGATACACAACCAGCAAGGACCAAACGTGTTTACATTCATTACAACACGGGCTGACAGCGCCTGCATCTCTCTCAAAATATAATCGTTTCTAAGGCACTATACATACATTGTTATTACCAGAGAAGACAATGCAATGACTATATAATCGCGCAACAATGCACTCTGAATAGATGATTGCCATTTCAGACCATCTGACCGCGCTTTGCTTTCTCTACTGTAAAAGATGCAATTGGGAAGGAGCGATTACCGAATTTGCAAAAATTCAACAACCTGTGAGCAGTGATGTGAGTCAAGCACATAGTCAGTCTAGTTATACTGTGTTTTGAACCATGGACCCGAAGGTCTATTCAGTAGCAACCATTCAACAGTTTGATGTCATCATTTTCGTCGTGCAAGAGGATGAGACTCTTTCGAGCCGTCGTTAGCAACTTTTTGGCTTCGCTTTATGGGCTCGTGGGCCAAATCAAAAAAAATACTGCTTGCGTTGTGGTTCTCATCAAATTTGGTGCTCCAATTTTCAATCGCTAAAGAAATACCGTTTGAAGCAAGCGCCTTTATCTCGCCAGAGCATTTCTCTGCAAAAAGACTACTGTACATCTCACCATCAACCTTAAACTTAAAAAATTGCAGATATAACCTTCCGCTTGCTCTGGGAACGATCATGAGCGAAGACCACGAAGAACGATTATCAACACCCTCAATTTTGGAAAATAACAACAAACATATGATGGATAGTGATATTAGCCCTCTTACGTCAATCGGAAAAGAGCAAAATAATAGTCCATTGATGGAGAATTCTTGTGTGCCTTCTCCCATTGCTTCTAGATTGGGAGAACAAGATGAGGCAAATAATGTACCTAAGGAACACTGTCCGATTCCGACTCCAGCAGCATCAAGAAAAAACACAGACCACAATGAAGATCCAACAAGAGAAGACCTTCTCAAGACAAGATCTGTTCCTTCTATTGTGCCCAAGCTTTCTTTAAGCAACTTGAAACAACACACTTCTTCACCCGCTCTTAGACCGAGTAGCGCAAGCAAGGGATTGAATCGGTCCATAGAAAAACAAAACTCAGACCGTATTAATAGAAACATTTCACAAAGCCCTTCACTAGACTCTTGCAAGCGACCTTTAACAAATAGATCCAAGCAAAGCGCTTCACCTGTAACGCCAACCCGAAAAAGCCTCACTGTATTTTCCCCAAAAATTTGCTCTTCAGCAAGCAGTTTGTTATCAACCAATAGAAGATCGCAATCCAGAGAACGGATAGCAAAACTCTTTACGCCTCCAAGTTCTAAGGGCTTTTCTAGTGCATTTTCAGACCTCACTGATTTTGTCGAAATTAACAGAAACTTGGAATCAATGGGTATGAAATTTGTAGATTATGGAGAAAAAAAGAGCTTGGAAAATTTTGATGAACACTCAAAGGAGAAAATATTGCTCACTTCTCCAAGATCAATTGAGGCTTGTTTACGCACTGGAATAGCACCAACAGAACTCATTTACAAAGATGAGTCTGAATTCTATTCAAAAGGAGCAACTACTGACATTGTGAAAATGAGATGGACACACTACGAATCAAGAAGAAAAGAAAAATTGCAATCGGTCAGGGAAGAACGACATAAAATTGCGATTGAGGACGCTGATGCTGGCGACTGCATTCTCAATGGAGATAATACTGTCGTCGATGAAACATTTGGAGTGCTCCTTGAAGAGCAAAAGAAATATGAACAACAGTTCAATAACAACAAATCATATGTTGAACATCTGATTAATTACGAAATTGAATCAAAACGGAAACAACAAGAGAAAGAGAAAAAACTAAAATTGAGAGAGGAAAAAATAGAAATGGAAAAGCAGAAACGAATGGAAAGGCAACAAGAAATCATAAGAAAAAGAGACCAAAATGATTTTGAAAGACAACAGGAGCTTGAAAAACAACGAAACGATCGTCGAGCAAAAGAAATTGAACGACAAAAAGAAGTGGAAGAGCGAGAAAACGCCAGGACAAGACAGGTAGAAGATAGATTCAGGGAACTACAGGTGAAAACGGACTTTCTGAAAATGAGGAAAACAGAAAAAATTAAACAAACACTCATGAGAGATGAAGAACTTCAAAAAGCAAAAGAGCAGAGCCTTCTTGAAAAGCAAGAGAATTTCGAAAAGAAGATTAAGGACATTGAAATGTTGAAAGAAAAAACAATTAGGCAGACAAAGGAAATTGCTCTTTTAAAGGACATGAAAATTCGGGAAACAAAAATGAAAAGTGATCGAATCGAGCAAGCACGAGTTTCCAAGGTTCTGGACAAACTCAACAGTAACGAAGATCAGCTGAAAAAGTTTGAACACGAGAAATCGTTGTTGATGCAAAAAAAGAAAATTGAGGAACAAAATAAGGAGCTCCACAGAATGGATGTGATTCAAAAGAGCAAGGAAGAAATGGAAAAAAAGGTTGAAAAGATAATACTCAAACAACAAAAGGACGAAATGATGAATGCAGAAATGATTGAAAAAGCAAGAAGTGAAGCTTTACGAAAATTGGAAGAGCAGAGGTTGAAAGAAATTGACAAGCAAGAGAACGTGGAACGAGCAAAGCGAGTGGAGCAATTTAAAAAGCTACAAACCATGACCCTTATCGAGGACAAGAAGAAAAAGGTAGACCTTATTGAACAAGCCAAACAAGAATTGCAAGAAAAAAAGCATTTACAAAAAACTCTTCTCAAAAGAAGTCGACAACTTCTACAACGAGTTGTTAATCCAGATTCTGTTAATGCTGAAGAAATTATAGAGACCATTATTTCACCACGATCTCGCAAGTAAAATAAACTTATTGTTTTGCAATTTTGATTGCTGCAACACGCATAGCATCCAATCGGTCCAGGTCATTAAAGTTGTCAATACGACCACCTTTCTCGTCATCCTTTGCGTTCCACAAGATGAATGTTGGAATTGACTTGACACGTAAATCGGGATGAGTTCTGTATGGATATTGTGGATTTCCCTTGTATTCTGATCTTTCAACAAGTGCTTTCACAAGAATGGTCTTGAGTCCTTTCTTCTTGCATTCTCTATCAACTTCAGGAAGGAAATCTTCAGTAACAATTGGTTCCTAGTTAATTGTTGTTGGAAATTACAACCACCAGATTGTCAGTGAGGTATTGTATCCATCCAAGAATTCAAATAAACAAACACCATACATATGGAGATGATCATCATGACGTCAAGGTAACAATATTATGAAATATTTAGACATGATGATTCAAAATCAATATTAATCACCCTGTACATACAGAAACCACACAATCTGGACACCAACTCTTTCCGGTGCTTGTATCCTTCTTACCAGTTACATAGACAAAAACCAAAGCACCGGGGTTATTGTTCACTTGAGATTGAACAGTCGAGTCGAATTGAGCAGGAGTTTCAACAATCACTTCTTCAAAGGCAGACATTTTTTTGTGAGGAGAATCCATCAACTCCGAACAATAAGACGCCTTGAAAGTGTCAGCCAACCAATGATATCCTCTTGATTGACGATTAAACCATTGATTACTTAAAACCTTTAACGCCTTGGAATATTGAACGATTGAACCTGAGAACAACTCAGGTTCAATCGTTCGAAAAATTAAATTTAAAAAAAATGTCTTCATTGTTCGCCTCGCTTCCTCCTCCAAAACATTCCAACCACGCGTTGATGTTGGACAAGGAACAAAATGGTGATGAAGAAATTTCCATCATGATGAAGAAATCAACATTGAATCATAACTCTCGTGTAAAATTAAATCAACAATCAGCAATCCCGAAATATGGAGAACGAGAATATTCGGATTGGATACCATCCACTGAAGCAGATTTTGATGATGGAGGAGCCTATCCGGAAATTCATGTTTCTCAATTTCCATTGAATATGGGTCGTAAATCAGAGTATCGGAATGCTTCTGGAAATGTCCTTTCTGTGCAAGTTGACGCGAACGGTAATGTGAATTTTGATAAGATTGTTACTCAAGGAATGAGAAAGGGTGCCCTAGCTTTCACCAAATTCTCGGACATGATCGAAGCAGATGTTGATGACGATGAGTTGGCAAAACCATCATCCGATCAATCAGCTACTAATTTATTAGAAACAAAAAAAGCGATCGAGCAAAAATTGAATATTAAAATAAGCTCGGCCCACATCGGAGAAGGTATTAGCCGATCCGTTGCGGCTGCTAGCGAGAACAAAATTGAGAAGAGACAATTCTTTAGATACAAGCCAAGAGGAGGTACTGATGCGGATATTAAATTCATCCAAATTGAAGAAGCACCCACTGATCCTGTGGAGCCTGCCAAATTTCACATCAAAAAGATGCCCAACGGGCCTCCATCACCTCCTGCTACAGTCATGCATTCTGAAGCAAAAAAGTTAACAAAAGTTGATCAAGCCAATTGGGATATTCCTCCATGTGTGTCAAATTACACAAACAGAAAGGGTATTATCATTCCACTGGATAAGAGAATTCTAGCAGATGGAAGAAACTTGCAACAGATAACAATTAATTCTAAGTTTGCGGATTTTACAGGTTCTCTCAATTTGGCTGAACATAATGCAAGACTGGAAATTAAAGAGAGGGCTGAAATGCAACGAAAAATCGCAGAAATGGAACAAGAACGGGAGTTACAACAAACTAGAGAATTGGCAAATCGTGCCAAGCAATTGCACAAAGACTTGAAGTCAAAAGAGGAACGAGCTAGGTCCAGAACTGTTGATAGAAGAGCTACCTCTTCAGAAGGAAGAGAGGTTTCAGAGAGAGTGAACTTTAATCAACCTCAAAAAACTGCCTATAGTGCTGGCGAAGTTCAAATCGATAGTAGAGTACTCAATCGGTCATCTTCAGCCATGACAGACACATCAAAATTCGACGACGAAGACTACAACGTGTATGATACAGCTTTATTTGGTGAAACTAATACTGGAAAATTATATAATCCTAACAAGGAAAGAATACGAATGTTCCAAGAGTTGGACGAGAGTGTAAATATGAAAGACAAGTTTGAAACTGATGAAGAACCATCCTCCAGAAACGCATCAAGAAGACAACCAGGTCCCGTTGTTTTCCAAAAAGAAGTTTCAGCCTCCAGTAGCAACACAAGAAATACCGAAGCAGCATCTAGTGAGCCCTCTAAGGAAGATGATGATCCATTCGGCTTCTCCAAGTTTTTAACAGATACAAAGAAACGAAAAACGTTCGACCATATTGGCCAGAAAGGATTCATGTCGGCAACTGCTGGAAGTAGCTCTATCAACCCAGAAGACTATCGTGGTAGCAAAAAGAAAAAGATGGAGTTCACTAAAAGCAAGGAGTAATACTAGTACATTGTGACACTCGAATACATGTCTCCAACTAAGCATTGTCTTCAACCTTTGGATTATTTCAAATTGAATGTACGTATTGTTGCTTCTGACTTGTTCTTTTTCAAGGTTCTTGAACTGAATTTTCGTAAAACATCCATAACAATTGCATTAACATCATCCACATTCTTTCTAGATCCTTTGGTGTTGATATATTCCTTTACCATGTTGTGCACATTGAGCAACATTTTCTGATCTCCATACATGTCCACATATCTGCCATACATGAGTTCATCACTCTTAGTGTCTACTGCCGAGTATTCTTTATATTCGTCGTTTTGAGAGCCAAAGGCAAATGAATCAAGCTTGACATAATCTCTTAGAGCTTCAATTTGCCTTTGAGTTTCTACGGCATTAGAAATCTTTTCGACAAACGAAGAATTGGTTGTTCGTTTCACCTCCTGATTTTGCTTACTCGTGGGACTGTGCCTTTCTGCAGCAGAGTTAAACGTGACTGTTGTGGAAAAGTTTGTGGACGGACATGCTGAATTGGATGGAATACTTGGCGATTGATAGACAAGTGGAGATGAAACCAAACGCATTGGACTTGCGCTCCTCAATGAATCTCCATTGGGCACGGGTGTTGCAGATCTGTAGGAATCCTCCAATTGCTGTTGTTGCTGAGATTGATTTGAAAATGAAAGACGTCGAGAACGGTTATTCTCAGGTTCCTCTTCGATCGATGGAGCTTGGAATGTACTTCTCTTTCTGGCTGAACATAAACTTGGTTTTCTGAATGGAGAGGAATCAAGATCCGGAGATATTAGCAAGGAAGGGTGAATATTCAAGGCAGTAGGAGTATTTGAAGTTGGACTCTGAACCATTATAGATCGAGGTCCAATCAATGGGTCGTTTCCATGATTCACGTGATTTGGGTTGGAGGTTAACAAAGCAGAGGTGGAAGTAGTGGTCCTTAATGGGTTCTTTACATTCTGATGATCCATCTGGTTTGAATCAGAACCAAAAGAGGGAGGCATCACGGGTGAAGAATTTGAATTTCGTGATTGTTGCTGAGAAGGATGATTCCTTAATTGTATAATTCCAAGAGTTGAATGCATTCTGTTAAACTTGGGATGTTTGTGTGTCTGTGAGGGAGTCGGTGAGTTTGAGATGGCATGATTATTGCTGATCAAAGACGAAGAAGGTGCATTGGTATTGAAAATAGAATTTCCATTCACGCTGATGGAAGCATGGAAAGGAGATGGAGAGTTCTCGGATAGAGGCGAGGTGGAACCATTACTAAGACTCGAAGATGCCTTTGCTGGTGAAAGAGAAGGAAGACGACTCGTAGAGGGTCGTCGAGAAGTATCCGTAAACATGGTCGATGAATCGTTGATTTCTTTATGTCGTACGATACTGCTTCTTCGAACAATCAAATTGGTATTGCCTTTATGAATCGGAGAAGAAGAAGTATTGTTATTACTGTTGAGGTTATTACTATTGAGCATCAAGGTCGAGTTCGTGGGGGATAAGAGATTTCCATGAGGATGGTTCAAATAATGATTGTTATTGGTATTGTTGTTATTGTTGTTACTATGGTTACTGGAGGATGAGAAGGTACGATGATGATGAAGAGTACTTCTCTGAGGTCGAACCGACGAGCCTGCCGTACCAGTACTCGACGTAGTTGAAGAATGATGAAAAGGTGTTGAAGCATAACCAGAATTGGTAGAATTCATATCTTACTTCCAAATGATCCATTAAGATGATGATGAACAGTTTTGCTAAAGGGCGTCTAGATGCTGTGAGTATTACTACCACAAGAATATTCAACGAATATTGACCTAGCAGATTCACACACTCAATATATTGATGATAGTTAGTATGTTCAATGCGTACGAACGAACAAATGGAAGATGTGGCTCAACACAACCAACGAACAAGCATTAAGGACTTTTTTTTGGGTGTTTCTTGATAAATGCACGACAGGTTTGAAAATGGAAGTCTTTGTTGCCATCGAATACCAAAACAATACAACCAGACAAAATCGTGTTATAGTTTTTAAGGAAATAACTTGAGTAGAACAGCAAGTTAATATTGTATTAAATGTCATCTCCAATCAAGATAGGTCCATCTTGTCCTACTCAAATACTAAATTTTTTAAAATGAAACCAAAAGTTGGACCGAATATTCTTCAAATAAGGGAAAATGTCATTTCCATCATATTCGACTTGATGGAATTGTTGCTTTTTGGATGATGACAAACTTACGCAAAGAAATGAACTGGTTTCGGGTTGATTCTCCTTCTACTTGTTCTCTTCGTTTCATCCCATCTTGTTTACAACGTGTAACTTCCCTTCGCTTTTCTTTGGAGGGTCATCTGCGGAAATCAGAACGTGTGTACCTAAGGATTATGAGACCTGACTTGTCTTGCCAACATGATTTTGTTTTTTTGAGTTGGTGCTGGCGTATATTTGTGGGAATCTTCATCTTGCACATAAAAAAATTCCCCGCCAAAAAATATCGTTAAATTTTAACACTTAAAAAAAATGCTCCAACAACAACTCAACCTAGATCCTTCATCCACCGCAACAACAGTCGAAGACTTTGTCGTTCACGAAGACACACCCATCGTTTACGGACCCACCGATGACATTTTCAATAACCACATGGCTCAAACCTTCTTCTATCCTCCTTCTCCAAAACCTTTCAATGAACCATCCGAACCATCTTCTCTTGAAGACTCTTCTAACGCAAAGAAGAGAAAACTCTCCATGATGATGACGAAAAACACCATATCCCAACAAGATCAAGAGAATACGATCAATCATTCATCACGATTGAGCATTTCAAATATGAATCATCACTCTCTGAATGTTTCGAATTGCTCCTCATCGACCAATGGCGGCCATCGTCGATTAAGCCTCGCTTCACGAAAGAGCCTCTCACGACGTGCATCCATTTCCTCTAACCAATCTAGTGTACAAAACCTCTCGTCTTTATCCTCAAATTCTAAACCAAAGGCGAAACCTTCTCTTCCCAATTCACGTAGTCATACTACTCAAAAAGAATCCAACCACTCTTCGAAAAAGAATTCAACTCTAGAAACAACTAGTCGTTCAACACCATCTCCAACAGGTTTGGATGCACAACAAGAGCTCAATAATTCCACTCATTCTTCACAATCATCACACTCTTCGTCAGAGGCTGAGAAGATTGCTCAACAACAACTTCAACTGTTCCAAGAACAAATGTTCTTTATGGAACAAGGTATTTTGGAGAGAGATCGAATCTTGGCAGAGTTGCAACAAGAGAATCAATACCTCAGAGAAGCTATTAATCAAATGAACAATGCCACTCAGGACGTGTTAAAACAGAAAGCATTGTTGGAAAAGGAAAAGAAAAAGAATCATTACCTTGCCGAAAATACAGAACTCAAGAAAAAACATGCAAAACTCGAAGAAAGGATCAAAAAACTCACTGCAGAAAAGTCAGATCTCTCTAAAAACTATCAAACACTCGATAAGGAGGTTAAGGAGTTGAAAAAGAAGAGCATGAAGTATGATGCTCATCAAGAGAAGATTATGAATCAAAACAAACTGTTGAAAGATGTAGAAAAGCTCACCTCTGAATTGGAAGACATTAAAAGGATGCTTGAAACTGAACAACAGACAGCAAACAAATACAGAGAACTAAACGAACAGCTTACAAGAGAAGTTGAAGAAAAGAAGACTCATCTGTCCGCATTCATTGTAGAGTATCAAACAGCCACGAATCATGTCAAAATGTTGGAATCTACAGTGGAACAGCTTGACACTCAAAACAAACAATTAATTTCTGAAATTGACCACAAACAAGCTGATATTAATCAATTAAGCGAAGAGGTGTCCAAAGTACAAGAGATTTCCTCCATTTGCAAGTCACAGCTGGAAGAAAAGACAATACTCATTGAGAATATGACACGTGACATTAATCATGTGACAACCAAGTTAGAAACTACTTTCCAACAATATGAAGAAGCACAAACGAGAGTCAAGGATTTGACTGAAGAACTCGAGCAAACACAAGATCAACTTCAAACAGCCATTCGAGACAATCAAGAAAAACAAACTCAAATTAATATTTACGAAGAGGAAATCAAACGACTCAAGAACAAGGAAGATGAACTCTCTATATTACAAACAGTCTTGATGAGTGAGAAACAACAAAACTCTGATCTTAAAGAATCAAATCAAAAACTCAATTCCTTAATTGACACTTACAAACTCAAAAACGATCAACTCGAATCCACTGCTCAACAACTCCGACATGAAATTCAAGAGTTAAACTTATCTATTGAACAATTAATATCCAAACCAGTTCCACAAACCAATACCTATGCTCTGGACGAGAAGATCTCCTCTCTCGAAACAGAAATTGATCTTTTAAAGAGTAAACTCGAGAAGAGTGACACAAAGAACAAGAAACATGAATCAACCATTGAACATCTCACCAAACAAAACGAATTCCTAAAAAGCAGTGTTGACGATATGAAATTACTCAAAGACAAGATTGAACAATTAGAATCCTCCAATGTACTTCTCAAACGAGCCAATGAAAATTATCATGCCATGATTTATGAACAAAAGAGGCCATCCAACATGCAACAACATGCAGCCATCACTCAGGAACAATTAAACGCACTTTTGGAAACGATTGAAGAAAGCAAGGCCAAGATGGAACAATTAACAGAAGAAAATTTACAATGTAAAAGTGAATTACTACGTTTTGAACAAGATTTTGCAGAAATGGAGAAACATTTACGAGAATTGGAAGATGAAAAACATGAGCTCATTAAGAATACGTATAATAAGGATGTGTTGAAATTGGAAAAGGAAAATCTTGATTTGAGAAAGTACAAGAATCTCTATCTTCAACATCAACAATAAATTATTCAACTAGGAGTGGTATTAGTAGTCATATGACCCAACTCACACCATGATCAAGTCAGAGTTTCAACATTTTAAAATATTTTCATCAAGATTTTGATGTTATTGTTGTTTGGAAAGTTTGAAAAAAAATGCTTCGAAATTCGTTGAGCAAAGTTTCATCCAATGTAAAAGCGAAATGGATGTGTGCGTCCTCGTCTGCATCAGCGACATCATCATTGTCTGCATCTAAATTTCGTCTTGTTGTGTTGCAATCCATCATCGGAGGCATGAGTAGAAATTTCTCGTCCATGAATTCAAGAGCATCAGGCATAGCTTCATTCATAAAGGACAATAAATTGAATGATGATCAAAAAAAGCAGCTCAATGCTCTTCTTACATCATCAGAATTAGGAGGAAATGTCTTAAAGTATAAATTAAATGAATTGAATATTAATTATTCAAATTCGGAAATGGGAAGCAGGAATCATATTGTTGCTGGTGTAGATGAAAATGGAAATGTTCTTGGATTTGATCATGTTACTTTGGACTCGTTGTGGGTGAAGAGATCGGAGACTTCAACACTCACAGATCCATCGACTTTGGAACAAATTCCTCTTGTCAAGAGAAACGTTACAGTAAGCCTTGGACGAGATGAAGCCATCGAGAGGGAGTTGGTTCAAGAGAGTAAAAAAGATACAGATCTTGTGTTTGCAAGAGGTGACTCCAAATATGGAATTACTCTTTCATTTGTGGAAGAAGGTGATTCAAATACTGCTGCCATTAATCAAGCGATGGGAATGGAGATTGTTGGTACTTTTGGTTGTGTTTTTTCCCACTCTTCAAATGTTGAATATGACAAGAGAGTTGTGGCTGTCATTGAAGGGCATACTTCCTTACAACAAGAAGTTGTTGGAGTTTTACAAGAAGAATATTCGCAGTATCAAGTATTGGATGGATCTTTTTGTAATTTCAAAGAAGCAAAAACCGTGTATCAAAGACCAGAATCTGGAAATTACTTTGTGATTTATAAGGAAGGTCAAATTGTGGCAGGAGCAAAATTTGTGGCACCTCAAGATTTGAACATTTTGAATTGTGGTGATGTAACTCTTGATCGTGTTATGGCATTTTCACAAGTATTCGGTTTCCAACGAACTCACTATTCCAAAAACAGTTTTAGAAGTCTTAAATTTGATCATTTATACGCCAAATCAGGCCATGAAGACGATTTGTGGACATTGATGAGAGTTGTCGCTTCTCGTTTCAGCCCCAATCTTCATTGGATTCAAATTGTTGGTGATGCACGTGACTCTAATTGGCTCAGATATTTGGGAATTAAAAACTCAGACAACAAGAATCAACAACCTTCCAACAAATTCTTGGGAACCTTTGGATTTTATAACCCAAAAAGATTTGAAGTTCATGCCAAAACATACTCGGTTGAATCAGCGATTGCAGACAAGATTAAGACTGGACCTCTAATGTTTCCATCTGATGTGGCCTTATTGAAATAAATGTATACTTTGCTGTGCAACGACCACATGCAACGCCAAGACAAAGCAAGAGATGTCAAGGCAAATTCAAACTCGTTTACTCAATGTGGAATGATAGTCTACTGGTCATCGATCCAGTCGTCACCAAAAAAGAGTTTCCTTAGACCTACAACTTTTTTCTTGTCGAATGTTTCTAGAAGAGTGCGGTGTGTGGAAATCCAAACCTGATCTTCAGTTTCAATGAAATGAGGAGTTTCTTCCATTTCTTCCTTGTCATCTTTTTCGTTTGTTGAATTTGTACGAGATGACACTTCTTTTTGGATCTCTACCAGTGTTTGCCTAATGTCATCATTTTCCAATTGCATTGCTTTTTTCATGACTTCATCTTGCTCACTATTTTCATGATTTTGATTCATACGAAGAGACAATGGAAAGAGTCGATGAATGGTTTCTATCAACACAATTAATCCTTCTTTTTCCTTCTGTGTTCTGGATAATTGGTAATAATCTCGGCTCCCTCCCAAATAATTGCTGAACTCAAATGATCCAAGAGGGAAAGCCCGTTCTAGCACTAGTAACAATAAACTTCTTGCGTTTGGAACCTGAAGCATAGCCAGCATATGATTTTGAACATGATGACGCACAAACGCTGCACGCGATCCATAATTTTCCTGTTTTTGGAAATCATAACACCAATCCAAGAACTTGGCCAGTACTAGGAATCGTCTGAACACAATCAATTCCATTGCAAAATCATGACAATTCAAATCACATAGAAATTTGGAATCCAATGTTAAACATTTCAACATGAGTCCATGTTGGAAATTTTTCTTGGCAGACTCAAAGAATGGCCATGAAAACTCCTGAAATAATACTGGAGAACGAGCCAATAATGCTTTTTTCCAGTTCACTGACATCTTCTTCACTATTTCTGGTAATACTTTCTTTCTTTCTTTTGCGTTCATCCACAATAGAATATCAATCGTTTGATGGGAATCTCCCACGAGACTAAAATCTGTCAAAATGAGATTTTTCCCTTTTTTAAAACTCCACAATCTTTGGAGTAAATCCATTTCATTACAATACAAGTCGTATACACCTTCACAAACTCGAAGGAAATCCTCATTCGAAATTTCAAATAATTGAGGATTTCGTAACAAGTTTAAAATTACTTGTTTGTTGTACATGCTACCATTGGAAACTACATGATTCTTAAAATCTTCGCACCAGGGTTGAATGGCTGGATGGCTCATTAGATTTCTAAATATTTCGGGAGAAACAATCTCAGAGTAGTAAAAGTAACTGAATACTTTGGAAAGATCATGCCAAGAAAATCGATGAGGATCATCAAGATCATTGGTATCATGATTCTGAAAGGGAGTTTGGAGTAGGAGATGCAACGATGAAAATACAATTCTTGGTTCTTGTAATTTGAATCCGTGATACATGATTTGTAATAAATCGTCCTTGATCAAAATCAAACAAGGCTTTACTTTCCGTCCCGATGAATTGGACAATGACCCATCGATGGAGTATGTAACTGTATAGTTACTGCAGCTGCCTAATGATTCTAATATTGAGATCAAACACAATTGATAGCTTTCAGGGTTTTTGAGGCAAAGTTGAAGGCCTCTCGGAGAGTAATATGGAGCCAGTGCCGAGTATTGAATCACTACTTGATATAAAAAACGGCCTGATTGCATACATTGATACAATTCAGAAGGAGAGAGAAATTTCAAAACTTCAAAACACATATCGGGAGTGAGAGTGAGTGGAGTGCGTTTCGGAAAGATTAACAACCAAAAAGACTTGATACATTCAGACAAGTATTGAATGGAATGTAGCAAATAGGAGAGAAGATTACTGAAACATGTTTGAATAAAAGTAAAGTAGTTGGTGTTTAAAGAAGAAGGATCATGAACGAATGTACAAGAGTTGGTGCTGCTGAGTGGTTGGGTGGTGTGTAGGAGTTGGGACATTTTTTTTGCACACACAGATCTATTTCAGGTTTGGACTGACACGATTTGTTTGGGAATTCGTTGAATGATGGAAGGGTATTAATTTTAGTGTCATGAGTGCTTTTGAAGTGTCAAGAACAATATGGAGAGTCACATTCTTGATTGTGTGACAGCGTGGATTGGAATGAAAATTCTATGGCCTCAATAATTCTTGAATTTCTCTTCGTGTCGATTTTTGATAAGGTTTCATTTGTGAATTGTCTAATATGTTTTTGTCTGCCCCTACTTGTATCAAATATTTGCATACATGAACTAAATTCTTAGAAGATGCAATATGAAGGCAAGTATATCCATCTCTATCTTGTATATTCACGTCAATCTTCAAAATTTCTACAATGTATTGCAAGCATTCCATGCTGTTTCGTGAGGTAGCAATATGTGCAATATTTTGATGGTAACTAGATTCTCTCACCAACAAATGTGAAGTCTTGTCTGTGGTTTGAGGATTTTCTTCTCCCTGTGGTGAGATTAAATGTTCACACATGAATTTCAAAATATTCACTCGGTTATGAAAGGCTAGAGAATGTATCAAGTGAAACCCTCGTATTTTTGTAATGAAAAGGTTCGGAAGCGAAGGTATTGAGTATTTTCTCACTTTCTCATACAAGGTCAGTAATTCTTTTGCCATCACACTATTATCTGAAGGCGATGAAATGAGGTCATGAATCAAACTGTTGAAAAATTCGTTATTTGCCTCTTGTTCTCTCACAACATCAGTATACATGTATGTAGAGACCAATACTAGAGGTCTTTCATAATCATTTCGAATACATCCTATTAAATGTTTTTTAAAACCCCATTTCTTTAACAAATTCATCTTCTTCAACTCGAGAATAACATCAATTTCAATAAACTCCTCATCTTGATCCGCGTTTTCATTGCAATTGGTACTCATTAAAATTTTTCCATCATATTCATTGATCTGGTTTACGAATTCGGTCGTTATTCTTTTTAATTTACGTTGTTTACTCAAATTATTCAGTACCAATTGAATATGAAATGTTTCATCATTCAAAATAATTCTTGCAAATTCTTTACAGGTGAGCAACACACTGGTGAATAAATTTTCAGGAGGAATAAATTCTAAAATATATTCATACAAATCAAATGAAAGTCCTTCTATTCGTGGAATCGGAATGGTACAATCTGAATTTATTTCCATCGTTCATCACGAATGACGTTCGTTTTTTGCTCAATGATCGCGACACAATCCTTAAAACTTTTTTAAAAATTGGAACACGGCTCCAAAAATAACTCAACACATTCAAATAAAAAAAATGGTCCAAATTACTGTAGTGAATGAGATTACAGGTGATATTTATTCGTTTGATGTTGATCCCAAATCGGACACGGTTGAGAATTTAAAGGCCTTGATGGAAATTGAAACAAAAATTCCCATTCTACAACAAGAAATGTTTTATCAGAATTTTCCAATGCGTGATGAGGATGTTTTGGAAAAGTATGGAGTCTCGGAATCAGAACTGATTGTATTCAAGAAAAGAACAGTGGTACAACAACCAACCCCTCCTAGAACCAATCCACAACAACAAAATTCAAACGCGCCACAAAATCCATTCCGATTACTTTCAAACGCTTTGAATGCCAATACACCTTCATCTCAACAACAACAGACTCCTAATACGAGAAATTCCTCTGTTCCACCTCCTTCTACATCCAATTTACAAAATCGTGCTCCTTCTGGAGGTGGAGTTGTAACTGAAGATTTATTGAATGAAATTTTGGGAGGAATTTCGAAATCCAATCCACAACTCACGCGACAACAAGAATTGGAGAGAAGACTTCGTCAAAATCCCTACGATATTGAAGCTCAAAAATTATTGGAAGAAGAAATCAAAATGAGAAATATTGAGGAGAATTTCCATAATGCCATGGAACATACTCCTGAAACTTTCTTTCAGGTCAATATGCTCTATGTTGATTGTAAAGTAAATGGCCATGTGTTGAAGGCATTTGTAGATAGTGGAGCTCAAATGACCATCATGAGCAAGTCATGTGCAGAGAGATGTGGATTAACTAGACTGATGGATACTAGATATCGAGGAGTTGCTAAGGGAGTGGGTAGTTGTGAAATTTTGGGAAGAATACACTTGACACTGATGCAGCTTGGAGGATCTACGTTTCCAGTCACTATCACAGTTTTGAATCAAGGAGGAATGCAATTTTTACTAGGTCTTGACATGTTAAAGCGCCATCAAATGATGATTGATTTGAAGGACAATGTCTTGCGTGTTGGAGATGAGAAAATCAATTTTCTACCACCTCACGAATGTCCAAATGAAATTGCAGACATTGAATCTCCAAAACCAACGTCACACGACATTAATAGACCTTCTCCATTCGATATGAGACAAAGCAGCAGCGAGAAAGAGACAGTCATTAAACAATTAATGGAAATGATTGGAGTGGATCGAGAAACAGCAGTCAAAGCTCTTGAATTGGCCAAAGGAAACGCTGAATTGGCTGCCTCTCTGCTTTTCGAACAAAAAGAACATCACAAATAATGTACAAAATAAACACCATGAAACAAAAAAGTTGCTGAATTGTGGTGTTTTTGACACTTAACCCAGCACTAGCGGACATGAAATTTCACGTTATCGTTTACAACTTGCCAAGTTTATCTATTCCTTCGTTGCTGTTGTTTAAGCTGATTCAACACGGTACTTGGAACAGGATATTCTGGTGCATAATCGCCAAGATAAAACGCTCCTTCTTTCACGGTGTTAGCTCCACCATTTGTGTCGAAAGGGCAAGGATCGCGTAGTGGCTTCACTCGAGGATCATTGGAGAGTTTGGAAGATTGACGTCTCAGCCAAAATGCACGATCATAGGCCTTCAGCAATTCTTCTTCCTTCTTGTGATCACCAAGATCAAAGTATGTTGGCTCAATCTTCAATACAGTCTCATAATATTCGTCAAGGACTGCGTGAGAATTGAAAACAATTTCTTTTCCTTTTAGCGCAGTTTGCAGTAATTGTTTAAGTGAACTCGAAATTTCATCTTTGCATTCCTTTAAAATACGTTGTGCCAAATTTTCTGGTATTATATAACTCATTTCACAAGTACCAAACTCCTTCAACTTGTTCAAATATTTTCCTAAAATTGTGGATTCAATATTCTTCTTGAATTGGTTATAAACTCCAATAGCTTTGAGAAGCTCTACAACAAAGTGCTGGCAATTTGTATCTTTTTGAACATACAATCGATGTCCGTTCCAGAATGTACAAAAGTTTGCTAACTTGTCATAAATATCATTCAAATTCTCTTGACCTCTAATTTTACAGACATCTACAGCGAACACTGCCTTGGAACTACTCTTTTCTTTTCTTGGAACGACGATCGAGTTATCCGTCCATTCCAATTGAACAGGGCCGATGATTAACGAGCTATGGAAAAGTCCAAATTCAGAACTCTTGATTTCACTGTGCCCAACAAGTGAGCCCAATCTACGAATAGTACGATGCGTAAATCCTTCACCTAGCTCAGTGATAATAAGCTTGATTTTAAGATATGGGCCTTCCTTTCTACGGCTATTCATCATTAACACTTCTTGAGGAATGGAATTAGGATTCAAATATTTAAATTTGAAGCGTTGAGGAATGACCAAATCCTGGCACAACCGCCTCCTGATACTTTCTGGAACTGGATCTTTAAGGTTCATGATTTTTTTCATACAATAATTGTAACTGTCTTGCTCCTCCTTTGTTAATTCTGTGTCTAAATTAAATTCAGGACAAATACGTCCAGAGAAAGAGCTTTGTCCTGATGAACTTGTAATTGAATGCATGTGATTGTCAGATCTTGAAGTTGCGCCAGGCACAACAGTTCCAATCAGGTCTTGTTTCAAATCATCGTCATCGTCATCAAAATCAGTATTCATGGCTGTGGTAGTTGTTGTTGTGGTCATAAATGTGGATGATTCAGGATGTTCAGACTGCTCATCAAAATCGTCGTCGACGTCACCCATGTCATCTCTATTACCGATTCGATAGAGTCCTGATTCTTTTTGAGCTTCTTTCACTCGGAGAATATTCTCAATAATAATACTTGCAAAAGCATCAGAAACAACTGAATTGACTTGTCCTGTTGATGCAGAAACACTAATTCTTGTACCCATCTTGATCATATCTCTTGTTGTTAAATAAATTAGTACACTTCCATCGATGGATTCCGATTTCAAAACTTCAGTAAATTTTGATTGAATCATATTATTGCTGTTGTTATAGAGTTGGTTAAGCTGCAGGATCCATGTAGCCACTTCATCAACAGTCCACTCATTGATGGGTTTCTCGCTTTCAATGTCGGATGATCCTCCACCAGATCTTCTCTTAGAGCTGCTGGCACTTGGACTATTTCCACTATCGCTGATACCTGATGGAGAAGATACGTCATCACTTAAATTCTGAATTAATTTCTCACTACTCTTACGAAGTGCGAGTGTAGAATTGACATAGAGTTCTTTTACTGGTGCAGGAGCTGAGAAGAATTGAAGAACAAACGACGGAACGAGTCCTGCCTTGAAAATATCATCTCTACGTGTGAGCGTTTTAAAGTATTGATTGAGAAGAGTTTGTCGTTCAGAGATCTTTTGTTCTTTCAAATTTCCTTTCCAATACTATTCATTGATGAGGTAGTTGAAAAATGTTACGGAAATGAATATCATGATGTTGGAATGTATCGAGTTCATGATTGGTCGGAGTCATGACAGGAGGATTGAAATCCATCACACGATTTTCATCATCAAGTGTAATATTGAAATTATAATCATCTTTCAAGCACCGCAAAACAACGTACCTTTGGTGGAAAATCAGGTAAATTCTGAAAGTAATTAGCCAGCTCTGTGTGTAGATCTCTGAGTTGAGAATAACGTCTTTCTACGGACCACTGAGCATTGAGGTCATCTACTTGAATGGATATACAATATAGTACATAGGGAGTTGATGCGGTTACTAACGTATGACTAACTATTGTGATATCAAACATTTTCCGTTGGTTGTTGTTCGTGAATGTAAAAATTAGAAATGTAATGACACCAAACCAACTCCACCACGGGTGAGGAACGGATTTACAGATATACTACCAATAATATTATTTTGAATGGGGGCAATGGGAAGATGGCCAATTTCAATACCGATGCTTGCTCTCCACTCGCTCTCTCTTTTCCGTATGAAATGATGATTTGCAAAAATGGAATGATATGGCAGACCAATGACTTGTCAGGATTGTTTTTTTCTCTTTTTTTTATTGGACTCGGAGTTCAATTTGGTTCCTGATGGTTCATTCACACCATGTTGATTTCGTTCTCTGTGGTAGATGTTGCTCTTGCTGCAGAATTGTGGAAGGAAATAATTCGAAGGTCGTGTGTAATATTGGGTTCCTCGTCTGACATGTGTTGTGAGATAAATTTGAAATGTTTGGTCACCAGCAACAATGCAATGTCAAATTTAACCTTGAAGATGTAGGAACACTTGTCTTTGGCTGTGGTGTAACCTCCATAAAATACCAAACAATCACATTGTTCGTCATAGATCATGGCAGCACAATTCAGTGGAGGAAGTTCACATTGATAGGAAAGTTTCCAATGTTCTTGATTTTCTGAAGAATCTAAGGTATGTTTTGCACTCACTTCAATCGCTGCAAGTTTGACATTTAATCGTGTCCATCGTCTTTCAAATAGATCAAAAATCATACATTGAGATTTGGGATTGTACTCTCGATCACAACCTCCATAGGTCACTACAAATCGATCGTACACGATTGTTGTACAATGTCCAAACGTTGAAACTGGTGGATTGTCATCTCCTCTGAATGCAACAGATTGCCACTGTTTGTCACCAAAATCAAACAAACACATGTCATTCACAATTTCAAGACGAGAACTTCCTTGATCAAAAAATTCTCCACCAAAAACAATCATCCAATCTCTCGATTTACAATAAACAGCATTATGGTACGCTCTACTGGGTACTGTCTCGTGCTGTTGAATTCGAGTCCATTGCTCTGTATCACAGTCAAATTCAAACATGCCATTGGTTAAGGATGATCCTCCAAGATTGCCTGCATACACAACAATACTATTTGTACGTGATCGATAAATGGCTGCATGACCTCGAACAGGTGTCACAAATGACGAGTTTGTCGTCTCTGTCGAACGATGTCTAATTTGTTTCCAAGTCCAATTTTCAAGATTCAGGCAATATAATTTGTTAGAAACGAGAAAATTTGCTCGTTTTGAATCGTTAGAACTGCCTCCAAATATATATGCTTTCATATTTTTAGGATTAAAAGTAAAACTGTGATAGAATAGGCTAGGATCTGGTCTTTCATCTTCCGTATTGTATTTATGTATTGTATTTTCTCCGTAGAGCCAAATATTTAATCCACAATCGTAATAGGTCAATAAGGCATCTTCAGATTTTTTCAAACTTCTTCCCATATTCGATTTGTGACCTGACGGAATTTGTTTCTATATGGTGTGTCAGTGTTTGTGTTTATGAGCGTGTGTTTGTGTTGGATATCCATAATAATAATACGTATAAATATCAAATGATTATTTCATGTATTTTTGAAATCCGTGAGAAATATTATTTTCCAAAAGTAACCATTCAATTCAGAGCCAAGTGATGGCGGTTGATCACGATCGTGATGGTTCATCATTATATTTTGATGATTGAAAATTTCAACCGATCCATTTTAAATATTTTCATCCAAATTGAATTGAACGATTCCATTCAATAATAACAACAACAACAATTGCTACAAACCTTTCCACCAAACACCAAATACTTTTTCGATGTTATAGAATCACTCGAAATGCACTGAGGAATGACAATCATGGTATGAGACGATGCTCCGATGGGAGCATACTTGACACAAGAATCCGAAGATAAAATTGCAATATTTCCTTCATGTCCCATCGATGTAATATCGTCTTCAAATTTCTTCTCTTGTTTTACAATATACTTGACAAATCTTCGATTATAAATATCGAGAGACTTTTTGGTTCCGAACAAGTAGACGATTTGACCCTTTCGCACTGGTTCTAATAATTTCCATTCTTCGGGGTCGATCTCTGAAATAATCCTTCGACCTTTGGAAGTAGTAGTGCCTTGTAGATCATCATCGTCGCGAGGTAAGCCCTTTGGCACACTGGCTTTGCTGGATTTGTTGTTGCCCATTATTTTTTTATTGTGACACGGAACTAAAAAGGAAAATGACAAGCAGATTCTAGAAACGATTCATTAGATTCTAATGATCTATTGCTAAGAGAGCAGCAATAGATCATTTGAAAAATAGGTTGTTGTACAGTAAATCAGTAAATCGGAAAAGTGTGAGTTACTAAATAACTCGGTTATTCCATGTTCAACATTTTCTTTTTCAACAATTCAGCTCGATCAATCTTTTCAATGTAGTAATTTCGGTTGGTAATGAAATCAAAAGCATACGCTTGGACAGTGTGAACATGTAAATACAATTCTTGATCTAAGGTTTTTCCAGAGTGTGGGTTTCTCAAATCTAAAATACCCTTAATTGGAAAGTCAGAATTTGAGGCAACATTGTCATCAAAGAAAATTTGGAAACAGGAAGTGTCTTTTTCATCAACAAGAAATATCTTTCCAGCACTTGTTTTTTCATTGTTGACATTCCACCAATAATAGAAATCACGTATTAATCGTGTTTGACCATATTTTGAAACCTCTATAATATTCTTGTAAATGTTTTCAAATCCACTAATCACATGTTCTTTTTCTGAAAATGTCATTTGATCAATGGGTGCAAATTTAAGCATTTCTTGTTTGAATTCAAGAGAATTTTCAATCAAATGGCACGTGGTTTCATCATTTCTATAAATATGACCAACAGCATGATCTTGATCCATATCAATTTGTTTGTTTTTAAAAAATTCTCGTTCTTCATTACTCAATGGATAGTCAATGTGTTCACCTCTGCAAAATGTATTAATTTCCTTAATGACTGATGAAATATCTTTCAACGAACCATATGTTCGAATGATCAACTGAAAATCTCTCTTTCTCTTGAATAACTCCAACAGCACTTCAAAGAAAGCAGGAACAATATTGACATAGTCGCTTGCTTTTGCTGTTTCCAAAGTGATACCTTGTTGTTTTGAACTCTTTCTAATGAGTTCCTTCTTCAATCGTGCAATGTCATCTAGAAAGTCATCTGCCATTTTACACCGTGTAAAATTTTTCACCATTTTCGTACGCTCCTCTTTAATCCGTCCATTGATTCGTTTTCTCTCTTCCAATGGCACAGATTCGTCATGTTCTGGATAGGGATACAATACTTTTTCAATGTAATCGTAATAATTTATAATTTTCTTTCCAGATGGAATTTCCAATGATGAATTTTCTAAAAGGGCTTTGGCACTGCTGTAAAGTTTCCACTGAAGCACCACAAAATCTTTAGAATCATTGGTCTCGGAAACATATCCCCAAATGCTGGACATTACAATTTGATTAATGATATCATCCATGGTTTTTCCAGCTGCTTCATCAGATATGATGATGGTTTTATTGACATCAAAATGAAGAATGAGCCTTGGAGTGTGTTGTTGAGACATTTTTTTGTATTTTTGTTTTCAATTTAAAAAATTGGTTTTGGGATGCTGACAAGTTCACTTCAAACATTGTTGTTGACCTCATTCAATGTCATCATCATCGTCTTGCTTTCTTCGTTTGGTACTCGTTCTATCCATCAATGATGAAGAGGAAGGTGTAGCAGCGGAGGGTGTTGCCGAATTGTCTGTATCATTCGATAGATCAAAATCTGACTCTCCATAGTCTTGTGTGAATTTTACAAAGTGAGAAAGTTCATTGGGGTTGGTGGATGGTTTGATGGATGCTATGGAATCAAATACATCTTGGGCAGTAACTTTTGCAATTCTGAGTTTTTCTGTTTCTTGAATATCCAATAAATTCATTTTCTTAGCTCCAACATCCGTAGCTGAACATGGCTCTATGGTTCCTTCTTTGGTCTAGAGTATTTAAAACGATTGTTGACATTATTGAAAAACTATGTTTGGCACAGGTATATATTATAAGTATACAACTTACCCATCTAAAGTACTCAGATTTCATGGCCTCTCTTAATGGTTTCATTAAGGCATCACGGACAACTACGGAAATGTCAGATCCTGAATAATTACTTGTTGCCTTTGCGAATTGTTCCAAATCTTGCAGTGTTACATCTGACTCAACACCTTCAAGATTAATTCTGAATAAACTCTTTCGTTCGTTCTCTGCAGGAAGTGGAATGTAAATTCGCTTTTGGAATCTTCTTCTCAGAGCAGGATCAAGATCAAAAGGTCTATTCGTAGCAGCAATAACTACAACTCCATCAGAATGATTATCCATATCCAAAATTTCTTGCATTTTCAATAATAACTCAGTTTTCAGTCTGTTCATGCTTTCAGAGCTGCTACTGCTGCTACCAGAAAAACCATCTCTACTAGAACCTACTGCATCAATTTCATCAATAAATACTACTGCTGGTTGAGATTTCTTAGCCTCTTCAAAGAGAGTCTGAATATATAACGATTGTCAGCATTCATATGGAAAAGAATGTAAGAAAAAAAGAGAGGTTCAGAATGGAGCACAAGAGCTTACCTTTACAAGCTTTTCAGATTCTCCCATGAACTATTGGTAAAGTTTAGGACCATACAATTGTTTAAAAAATTAAACAAGAATTACTTACCTTTGAAACAATATCACTGGAGCTCACTGAGAAAAATGTTGCATCAATATTACTTGCTGCACATTTCACAAACATGGATTTACCTGTACCCGGAGGTCTAAATATTTGGTCAAGTGTGATAATGACAGTTGTCACATTTCATAGAAATGTAAAAATTCGAGGTACCATATTGTCATACTTACCCATATAACAAGATGGTTCGAATTGGTTTTCTTTCCTCTGTGAATAATTGAGGAAAACGTTTTGGTAATATAATTGCTTCATTGACAATGGTTTTTGGACCATCCATTCCAACAATTTCATCCCATGAAATATTAGGTTTCTCCCTTACTATAGAATTCTTAATTGAAGCTTCCAATTCTTGTTGTTCTGATTTCTGTTGTGAAGCTTGATCGATGGTTCTTTTCTTTGCACTATTTGGCAACACAGGTTTTGAATACAAGTGTTTTCTTGGAGAGGGTTTTTTCACTTTTGGAGGAGTTGAACTTTTTGTGGTTTTAGATGAGTTCACAATATTGGTTTTTACATTTTCTTTTTGTGGTGAAGATTGAGAGGTTTGTGCATTCGATGAGTGCTGTTCTTGTTGTTTCAATAATTTTTTAATTTGTTCCGCTCGTTCTAAATATTGCTTGGCATAGCCACGTGTGGTTTCCTTTGTTCGTTCTCCTTTTATATCTATTTGAAATTTTGTCGATTTAAAGGTGATCATCAAAATATATTGCATTTGATTAGTTAGAAACACAAAGCTGGAATTCCGATCGGAATTAATACTTTACATTTCAATCCAGTTAAGAAGTGCTTCACTCCTAGAGCATACTTTTCGAGAGCTTGCTCATATTTCTTTGCTCGGTCCAATGCAATGGCTTCTCCGATGATTTCTTTTCCTCGCTGCACAAAGTCGTTCATGTATGAGGACGTTATTTTTTTGTTCTGATTTTGGCGCCTGGATCGACCGTTACGACAACAATTTTTGGGTTTTGTTGATGTGGATCATAATTATTATTTGAAATTAATATTTGATTGAACAATCCTTATAGCCAATGTGTAATGACCTCTCTTCCACAGCCTCTAATAAACACCACTCGTGAAATGTCTCTTGTGAGACAATTCAAACACTCTACATATTGCAAGTGAGATAAACGAGGAGAAGGAAATGGTAAATTAATGAGAACTAGTTGTGAAGTGAGAGAATACTCGCGAATGAGTTGATTCAGTCGAGATGAGGTCAGGAGGAAATCGTCCAATTTTGGTTTTCTGTTGAGCTGTGGTTGAGCATTGATACTCGACAAATTAATTTCAACATTTTCACTCACACTGTTCATGGTGGATGAACTAAAAGTACTTGTTAATGAAGGTGGAGGTGGTACATTCGAATGGTGTGGCAGATGACTGGCGCTGCTGATAGTCCATTCATTCAAATTGCTTACTCCGTGTCCCGTGCTGGTGGTCTCTGGTGTGGTGGTCGAGGTGGATCTCTCTGTGGTTGTGCTTGATGCAAAGAGTGCATTTTCTTGAGGTTCCAAATACAAGACATGACATTCTGCCTCAATTCGAAGATAATATAAAATTTCTGAGACATGGTCTTTGATTGTGTTGACCGAGTCGCGATTATCCACAACAGAGAATATTCTCAGGGAGGTGTTTCTCCAGGCTTTGTGTCGATGTAGAAGAAATGAAACGAGTAATTCAAGCCCTCCTTCATAAATAATCCAATACAGATCCATGAAGCCACTCTCTTCTTCGACATTAAAGTCTCCTTTTGATATAATGACGGCCTTATTACAAATTTCAGCGTATTTGATAATTTCCACAAAGTGTCGAGCTGAGGTGCGATCTTTCACAGCTGGATATCCAAATACAATGGTGTTGGGAGTGAGAGGTCCTAATCCAGACGATTGTATGACATGCTTCACTCCATCTGAAAATGTTCTGGAGATCAAAATTTGAGGAAATCCAACAATGCCTTTTTCTTTCATTTTCATGGTAAGAGCTTGTTTTTCCTTTTGAGCTAATTTGAAAGTACTCCTCTTGACGTCTCCTTCTATTACTGCCGCTACAATACATAACCCTCTGCCCTTTTTGAGTTGAAATGCAATATTGAGTAAATCTGAGTGAACAATGGTGTTATCAGGCATGATTTTCACCAGGCACAGCAATTGAGGTCGCCAATTTTTGTTCAGTTGACCTCTCTCAAATTCATCCATTTCGGTTGTGGTTTTCATCCGTTTTTTTTTGTGTTTGACTGAAAGGTCATAACTTTCACATGAGTAGAGAGCATTAAGGGCACTTTGTAATTTGAGTCCATTCAATGCCTCTCCATAAGAAGAAGTCTCGTTTTTCACTTCAATGATCACATAAAAAAATAAACCAATGGCAAATGCAAGAAGAGCCCAGTACCACCTAAATAGGGTTTGTTGCATAATCGCACAATTCATTAATTTCATGAATTTGAATTAAATTGCGTGTGTGACTGTTGTTTGAAAACATACCCAATTAAAAACATAAATAATCCGCAGACAAACAATCCAATCAATCCTAAAGACCAATGAAATAGCTTCCAACGTGGTCTCCAATTAGGAGAAATACTTGCAATAATTGTGGCTAAATTTAAAAATCCAAAACATAGCAAGAGCAGCATGGCTATAAATGTTGAAATACTCTCTAAATTTCCAAGAAATAGTGGGAAAATTGCAAGAAAAGAAGAGAGAACTATTGCTCTACGTGGCTCTGAACATTCATTTCCTGAAAACCAACTGGATGAAACAAATGGAACAACGTTATCGTTCGCTAGAGCTTGCAAAATACGTGGAGCTGCAATAAGAGCCTGAAGACCTTCTCCAAGGATGGCTATCAACATACCAGCCTTGACAATGTACGTTCCTGTCATCGAAATACCAGTTCACAATTATTTTGAGAAATTACGGATATGACCTACCTATGGAAAGTCCAAAATCAGGAAAAGCAATAAGAGCAAAGTATTCAGAGCTGTGTTCTTTCATCATTTTTCTGTCACCTACAAAGCTCATCAAAATAAAAACTGCAATGTAAACAAAGGTAGTAGTGATGAGAGCGGCCATTGTGCCGACTGGAATGTTTCGTGAAAGATTTTTCAAATTACCGCTTCTATTAAGACCAGCTTTTTCCAAGCTCAAAATTATTGTTGCAACACTAATGAAAAAACAAACCTAAAAGTCCAACAATGGTCGGGAAAATGACGGCCATGACAGAGAAAAATCCAACATTTTGATCAAACTCAGGATGAAAATTTTGAGTAAAAGTTGCCCAACTTGCTGTGCCAATTTTGTATTGAGGTTTCACTGTCACAAAGCAGCCAATAACAAACAACAAAATAGTAATTCCAACAGCAACGATAAAAATGCTCTCTACCTTAACAGCAACTCGAATTCCAATCAATACAAATAAAAAAAGAAGCACTAGAAATCCCAAAGCTAGTATTATAACATCCCAGTACAAATTGTTTACATCTCTATCTGCAATAACAAAACCTGGATAAAAATCATGTACTGTTGTTAGCACTAGAGTTGCAGCACCAAATGAGTGCAATGATAATAAAAAGATGAATCCAATAAAGTATATAATTCCAACACTTCCAGAAAATTGATTACCTAACACTCGTGACATGATTGTAATAGGGCCTCCACTACGAATTAAACCATTAGTGACCACTGCACTCAAACTGTTCCACGTGAATACTGAGCACAATACTGAAATCACAACATAGAGAAGAGAATATGCAAGACCAGCATTTCCTAAAATCCAAGGCACCTTTTTTCAGAGTAGGCAAAAAGGTTAAATCATTTAGTAGAACTTTCAACAAACTTGAACTTACTTTGAGAAATAAAATAGTTCCCAACACTGCAGAGACACATGGAATGTACACACCATCTACAATTCCAAATTTTGGATGAGAAGATACTGGCTTCACAGTGATAACATCAAGATGTTCCGGTTTCTGCTTATTGAGCCCTTCCTCTGCAGTTGTAGATTTGGGAGGTGTCGTCGTGGGTGGTGGCGTCTGTTTTTCCTTACTTTTGAAATCACCAAATCCAAGCATGATTGAGGGCCTTCTCGATGATGCCGATGCAGCTAACATGTCAGTGGACGGTCTTTCTGCCGAAGTTGCAAGAATATCATTGAGAGTACTACTAGCTTTTTCATCTTGTAAGACGTTGACCATACTCGGTCTATTATAAAAAGATATCAACTCTCGATCAATACTGGTTTTCGGTTGGATGGCAGATATATTTAAGGTGGATTCGGTTCCGTGACGATTTGCTGAGAAGGAGCCATGTGACCGATCTTCAACGTCATGATGGTGATCATCAGCTTCATGGTGATCCATAACATGATGAGACACCACATGTTTAGAATCATCTCCAGTGTCCCATTTGTCCATTAATTCCTCAGTTCGAATACTGATAGTGTCTGCTTCGCTTGATAAATTCACATCCGATTTGTTATCAATATCATTTTCATATCCACCTTGTAAATGTTCAAAAAGATGAGTCTGTCTTTGTTGTTCATGTTCATCATTGACTAAATCCTCTTCATTCTTCCACCGCAAGGACTTTTTCTTTGGTCCTAAAGATGATTCAGTTTGTGAGGTTTGGGGAAGAGAGAAGGAACGTCTCATCTGCTTCCGCAATTTTTTCAACGGAGAGTTGCATTCTCGAACATGAATATGGTTATTTTTCAAAAAAAGCAATAGCATGCGTATTAGGGTCTTTGAAGATGTTCGAGAGAATACTCGAACTGGTCGAGTTTTTCTTCTTAAAAAAAATGCCTGAAGACGTGGACAAGCCTTTGAACGTTCTGGACATGTTCAAAAATTTGAACAAGATTGGAAAGCACAGGGTGAGAAATGCACTATTCGGAAGAATGAATAAATTGTCATTGGAAGCATTGGTGTGGGATGGATCTGTTCAAAATCATCATGATGAAAATCATTTTGAAATTACATGTGAATTGGAGAATCGAGAGGGTACCAATAATGATGATGAAATAATTTTAGATGCCAATCCGACACCTCCATTTGTGGCTCAAAAACAAGAAATTGTCAATCATGAAATGATGGACGAAGACATAGAGCCGATCATTGAAGTAGCGGAGGAATTTGAAGAGGATACTAACGTAATTTCAATTCTTTCAGATCCTCAACAGCAAATGGAAAATGATGAAACATTAACCAATCCAATTGATCCTTCTATACTTGCTACATGCTCTCATGAATATCCAAAAGAAAGCTCCAATTTCAAGGGATTCAAAGCAAGCGAGTTTCAAAATGCGATTTTGGATCATTGTGACAAGGTCAGAGAACATACAGGTCATAAAACTGGGCTTGTGGTGTTAGCTACCGGTCTTGGAAAAACGATTCTTGTCATTCTTGACATTGAGAGAGAACTGTCACGAATTAAGCAAAATGACTTGAAAAAATTCAAAATGCTCTTTCTAGTACACTCGAAGGTGATCCGAGATACTTCTTTTTCGAAATTCAAGATGCAATTTACGTCTGAATATCAGGATCTGGATAGTAGGTGGGATTTTAAAGACTCTGATTTCCTCAACATTACTGAAAATGAAAACCAAGCGAGTATTGAGGGCAAGTTGAAGAGAGCAAAATTTGTGTTCTGTCTATTCCAGTCGTTTGAGAAAATTAACTTGAAAGATTCTCAATTCACACATTGCGTGATTGACGAAGTACATCACGTAGTAGCCACCACCTATAATAAGGCGTTTAAATCACTCATGAAATTACCATCACTCAAATACATGCTGGGGTAAGTAGCAAAATATATGTTAACCAATAGTGAATCCAATTATGAACTTCATGTGAAAAAAGAATGACAGCAACACTCGTCCACAGAGAAGATCCCACAGGGGACAAACTCAAGGAAAAATTCAAAGGGATTGTATACGTTAATTTACCTTGGAGACTAGCTAAAACACTTGGATTCTTTCCTCCTGTAGAGTATTTGGAATATCTTCCCTATACCATCCAATCAAGCTTAGATATTTTAACCTATCAACAAATATTCAAAGAAGCATTTGATCCATATAACAATCCAAAACGTCAACTTCCAAACTTCATTGCTAAATTAGACAAAAGTCTACATCAATTAGGAATGAATACGGATGAGCAGGTGAAAAAAAAGCTCACACCTGAAAATATTACCAACGTTTTGATCCAATTCTTTACACAACAAATTAATGCTGGATTGCAGACCAAAAGAAAAACCATTATTGTAAGTTGTAGACCTTTTGGCATTCTAATGATGTGATGCACACAATCAATTTTTCAATAGTTTGCCAACTCATGCGAAACAGCAGACAAAATTTCAAAAATTATCAATGAAAAATCAACTCGCACATTGCAGCTAAAAGCATCTTCCATCCACTACAAGAAAGGAATCAAACAAACAAAGCAAATACTAGAGGATTTTTCCAACGGTAAGCTCAATGTGTTGGTGAATGTTATGATGGTCAGCGAGGGCTATGATGTCAAGGATGTTGATTGTCTAGTTTTGGCACGACAGACCGAGTCTGAAATTGTTTTTCTTCAACAAATTGGAAGGGCAATGAGAAGAAATACTGACAAGAGTGTCACCATTATTGACTTGGCTCTTAATTTGCGTAAACGTTGGAAAAGACTTTTCAATGATGACTTTCAAAATGAAGAGGAATTGAAAAAGATGGTTGTTGAGTTTTGGAATGTGGAAAATTTTGTGGGAGATCCTATAAATTTCCAGACGACCGAACAATAGCAGTTGTGATGGGAATAGGATTGTCGTACGATATATTTCACTTTCTATCCACATTTGTGCTTCTCTCTTTGAAAAATGGGTAGAGTCCATGGGTTCCTTTGAGAGTGATGGTTAAGGTCTTGCGTTGATAGAAGTTCAAACCAAATACTTCCATATTCTCAATAATGTCGTCAAGCAAATGAGCTCTCTCGACACCATTGTTGACTGACGTGTTATCTACATTGGTAAAGTGCACATGGAATCTAAAGAACGAAGGTAAATAGTGCACAAAAATTCTCAATTTTTCTCGTGGAATTCCAAACTTTTGCTCAATGACTTGACATCCCTTGTCACGAACATTTTTAAGCATTTTCAGATGCCTCTCTGTTGAGAGGTCACGAAGGGTTTTGATTTCATTGTTGAAACAGAATGCAATGCAATAGAGTTGATTTCTGTCAACCTTGTCATACTTCATATCTGGATGTAGCATGAAGCGTAAATCTTCCTCTGATTCTGTGTCCTCATAAATCATGTGCTCAACTTCACTCTGTTTTTGTAGCAAATTATCGACCCACTTTTCATGCTCCTTTGGAATTTTGTCAAGGAAAGGTCGGGTGACTTCCTTGTAGAGAGATGGAGTTTCTAGAAAGAGCTCATGACTTTGCATGGAGTATTTTATAATATCACTCTCGTCAGCAGGAAATATTCTAGAATGGTTTTTAAAATATTAAATCAAATTTTGAAAGCATGCACGTCATCATCGATTCCAATTCACACATTGACCAAACCTACATGCTCGTATTCAATAAATTGAAATGATCATTCTCCTGTACAGGCAAATTCAACATGTAATATTTATCATTCACAATCACTTGCTGTAAATCCTGTCCATTCGGTTGTTTGATCCGTGCAAGCCATTTCTTAATAGCCTCCTCGGAATCAATGGCGAACTGTGTTTTTTCCATTACTAATATCGTTCTCACGCCGTTTACATTTCCCAACAGAGAAATTACTTTTTGCTGAGCATTGTATCCCAATAATCGTTCCAACTTGAAATCATCAGCAATGGAAAATGGCAGTGTCGCGTGGTTGTTGTGGATATTCATTTTTTCATAATGTATTTTTGATGATTTTAGAGCGATGTAAGGATTTCGATGATGGTTGCCATCAAGATGACAAGTATGAGATTTTGTTTGCATGTATTCACTTGTTCGACACTGTTGCGAAATGCATTTCATCGAATCTTTCAAGGAATGAGGTAGCAACGCCTCATCGTTCACTTAAGGCATCAAACAAGGTCCTCTCACTAAATACAAACATTGACATATTTTATAATATCTTTGATAACATATAATAGATTGGAAAACTGTAAATCAAAATGACAACCAACAAATGCATCAAAATGACTCACACCTTTTCATGAGTCTCACATGTTATTTGAAACAAGCATTTCTTTTTCAGCTCGGTTTTAAAATTGAGAAATCCTGCCATACAAAGCAAACACAGTCTTTGCAAACGTCACATTTCACAAAAAACAGGCAACATCTGAAAAAAAATGTCATCGAGCAACAATCCTCCTGTGAACAACAGGTGGCCTCCGCAAAACAGCACGACCACTAGTACCACGACATCTCAAAGCAACTCTCCACCTCCTTTACCTTCTCGTCCCACAAAACCAACCCGAAGTATGTCAGCATTTCCCGGTTTGGATCAATCACTTAATTCCAACAATACTTGCTCTACAACGCAATCTCTTTCTATAAAGCGTCAATCAGAGCAGAGAGGTCACGTTATAAGCGGCGACAATCAATCATCACACGAACGAAATTCTTCGTCCTCATCGGTTTCACGAGCATCCATGACAAGCTCGACCGTAAAGAGTACCAACTTTTCTTCCATACGAAATCAAATAGCAAGTGCATTTCAAAACAATTCTTCAACATCAGCAACCTCCTTGTTGTCATTGCCTTCGTCAAGCAATAACGAGTCTTCTTCACTTGTGAAACCCAGTGCCATTCTCTCACCACGAAATAGCAATCACACTCAACCATCTGTGACATCCAATTCTTTCCATGGAAATTCATCTTCACATTCTGTAGCATCCACACAAGCATCATCCTCCTCCTCGATATTTCTCAAGAATACACAACAACAACAGAATCGAGATTTGATCACTCCGAATTCTACTACTACAAGTACTTCTTCTACAACCACTACTCGAGAGAATCGTCTTGTTCGATCGTCTTTGAATAGCAGTAGTAGTAATTTGGAAAATCATCAACACACACCACAAACAACCATGTGGCCCAAGCTCAGACCTACAAATTCCAATATCAACAACAACAACAATACTGTGATGGATTCATCATCATTGGGATCAGAAATGTCATCCTCCTCTCTCCATAAGAATCCATTGATCAAACAAGAAGAAGAGGAGAAGAAGACTGTATCACCTCCTCCCGTACCTCCTAAAACTCGTTTTGGCACCGTATTGTTGCCTTCCAACAGCTCTCTCCATTCATCATCCACTGGAACCAGTGTTTCATCATCATCATCGACGAGTACTTCCACTGCATCTTCACCATCCCATGCACAGAAAGAACAAAACAATCAGCTATCACCAAGGTCTGCGCCACTGGACAGCCACTCAGCCACACAAAAGGAAGATTTTCCAAGAACAACAACGACCAAAACCTCTCCGAGATCTCATCATTCTTCAACAACAGGTGGTCCAAATGATCATTCACAGCAATCACCATCGAGCAAGACTGTTTTCAATCATGCAAGCAAAGTATCAGAACAGCAAGAGCCACAAACCACCTCACCCTCATGGGTTTTAAATCGGAAAGGTCATTCTGATCATACTTCTCCTGTTTCATCGTCATCGTCATTTTCAAGACAATGGCCTCCTCAAAAGAACCAAGAAGAAGCCTCAACACCTACCACACCCACTACGCAACAAATGCATTCAATGGTGGAAAGTAACTCTTCTCCAACAAGCTCAGCACCAACGAATAAGGCTTTCTCGGCAGGTGTCAGTAATGGTAGTGGTGCAAGTCCAACAAATCGTTTAATGTGGAACACGAAAAAGCAACACTTTGATATGAATCAAGAACAACAACAGAAAAATGATTCAACCACGCCGTCAAAAAGTGTTGTTGGTAACAGCAGCAATGATGCTTCTCCGAGCACACCTCCACCGTTGCCTTCTTTGCTCCGAAAGCCTACGATGAAGATTGCAAGCTCTCCGGGTACTCTGGCAACAACAACAACACCTGGCATCAGTGCTTTGAACAATGTTTTGGAAAATCAGTCTTCTTCTCCTGTAACATTAGTAACAACTCCATCCTCTTTGGATTCTTCACCAACACCTTCATCACCTTCCTCGAGGTTTCAGTTTAAACCGCCACCTCCATCGGTTCCTTCTTTGTCTTTAAATGAAAGAGAAACACCACCGAAGACTTCTAAAAACAGTCTGGTGTCACCTAGATCAAACTCATTGCTGAATAAGGACTGTCTTGTCAACAATTCTGACTTTCTTCAATCAGAAACAACCAACCTCAGAAGTGATATTCAGAATTCGTCACAGACCATTCCATTTAAAAAACCTCCTCCATTGCAACCATCCAATTCTACTGGCTCTCTTTCAAGCAGTAGCGGCAGCAATAGTAACAGCCCAGTGCCACCAATACCTGAGAGGAAGCCATCATCAGCACGATTGTCACCTCGAGAATCAATTTATTCTACTGCAACATCAACAACAACATATTCTTTAGAAGAGAATTCTTCAAAATCAAACAATTCTCAAAAAAAGAAGGGTCTAGATCAAGATTCTTCCTCAACAAGTACACCATCAACAAGCCCTATTTCTACATCGTGTGACTCGTCAAATACATTATTTTCAATGCAAAAAATTGAAGGAATTATTATTAATAGCGCTAACGAACCAGAAGACACCTCGTCAGCGCATGACGTAGAGTCAGACGGTGAGGCCGACGACGATTTTGCTGAAGACCAAGAGTCTTTCGGAAGTTCAAAGAATTTATTTGATTTGGACTCTTTTACAGTTTCGAGCTTGGGAAAATTTAAATCAATGAATACTTCGAGCTATCACCGATCTAAAAAACCTCAAAGATCCAGAAGCAACGATTATGCTCAACAACCTCAGCAGAGACAGCAACAACAGCTGCAAGAACGTGTCACACTGGATCAAAACTTTGAAACCATTCTACCAAGCTATGTAATAGAAACTAAAATCAAACCGTGGTCTCAAACCGATAGTTCACTCTCACCGGAGGAGGAAACGGCTCTATCTCAAAACAAATATGCTCACCCAAATTTGCGTAACGCTTTCAAAGCTTTTAACGAGCCTTTCCGCATTATGAAATGCATAGAACCTCCATATTGTAGCATTCCTTTCAGACCTACATTTGATGATACATATGATACTGCCACAAGTATATCTTCTACAACTGATTCACGTTCTAGATCTAATTCTAATTCATATTTCAGACCTTCAACCGAAACGCCGGAGGACCTCGAAATCGAGGAGGAACAAAGTGGAGCTCAATCGTTTGGAGCATTTTTAGCCAAACTCAAAGAAGTGAATTCAAACGATGAATATGATGGCGCTTCTCCGAGAACTGTATTTTTAAGACAATCGAACAAGTATACGGTGGGAAGATCTCAGAAAGTGACAGAAGGATTTGATGAAATGGTACTTTCTGACAGGAAAAAGAGTCTGTTTGAATTTGTAAAGGCAACCATTGCAAAAAAGACAACAGATATTATTGAAAATATAGAACCAAAGAATGGAACAGTGATGACCTTGAAAGAAGTCGGTCTTGATCAAATCACTGAAAATATTACCTCAAAGACTCGTTTAGTGAGCTGTTTGAAACCAGATTACAAGTTTAAGCCACTAGACGCATCTCTTTGTCAACGATCGAATGATGTACCATATCCAGTTAAGAGAAAGACAAAATTCTTCTTACAATGTTCTAACTTGCGATTTTTGGATAACACACAAATGAAAGATCGTGAGCTGCTCTTCATGACCATAGCTCTCTATGACACGCATGCTGGAAGAAAAATTTCAGAAGACTATCACTTCCATTTAATGCCTAGTCATCAATTCATTGGTGTTTCGGAAACTATTAAGCGTGATTTATCATTGTACGACGCATCGCTTAATTCCATGTTTTCTACCAAGAAATTATTCTCAGTGAGCTATCCAAATGATCAGATTTATGTGGTTGCATTTGTGTACCGAATTCCAACATCGACTACAAAAGATGCTGCCAAAATGTACTCTAAAGATGCCAAGAATGTTGACAAGTGGTTTGAAAAGTATGAAGAATTCAAACCAAAACTTTGCAGACATCGACAACCATTCTTATTCAGCTTCGCTCCCTTGTTTGAGAAGGAGTTGATGGACATCAAAGGCAAGCAAGTAGACACTTTTAAACTTAGCAGCTCTAAAATAGATCTGAAACCATTTTATGAAATTGAGGGTGATTGGAAAAATCCTATGGACGTCATTACCACCATTCGCAACTCTTTGAAAGAAAAGAAAACTAAGAATAATCAAATCTCAGGTGTCATGACACTCAATGTAGAGCTATATTCAAATGCTAGCGCTCAAAGTAATTACGAAATTCAGCAACGAGTAACTCAACAACGACACAGACCCAGTAACATTCTTTCTAGAACTGATTCTGATAGCTCTCTTGGGTCAGGCTCTCCACTTAGCCACGCTTCTTCTAGAGCTGATTCAATGTTTGATCGTCAAAACGCACACGAAATGGAACAACTTTCGTATGATGTTATTCAAGAATTTCCTTTACTTTTTTCCAACTATCCTAATCTAGCTATTCAAAATACTCTATTTATTTATCCAATTGCATTTTCCATAGAGGGATCTAAATCTGCCAAGAATGTTTTTGTAGAAGTGTATTTTAGAAATAACGATGTAATTCCACCAGGAATTAATGACATCAATGATCCGTACTCTGAAAAACGGTTTATAACATGGCTCAAGAGAGAAAAAAGCCACTCTCTTCTCACAGCGCTTTCATATGACGAAAAACAACAACAATTGTTTGATGAGTTTAGGTTGGAGCTTCCACTGGTTCCAAACTACAAACACCACTTGTTGTTTGTTTTCTATCATATGGATATTGATAACAAACGATCGAAAAAACTCGAATATGCCAACCCAGCGAATGATGCACGTCAAGACTTTTTTGGAACCTCAGACAGAGCTGTTATAGGATACTCGTTCTTGCCTCTGACAAGAAGTGTTCAAAATGATAATCCGCACTACAAGATGGGAGAAAACATTGCATTTTGTAACAAAATATCAACAGAGCTCAACGTTTTCAAGAAAGATACATTTCTAAGCAATTATTTATCTGGAGAGGGTTTACGTGCCATCAAGAATGCAAAGCTTGTTGTGAAAACCAAGTTGGTCTCAACCTTATATCCAAGAGACAACTTTTTAACTCTTTTCTATTGTGTCATGACCGATTTGTACACGTTGCCTCTTTTCAAGACCAATGAGGTTTTAGGATATCTAGCAAACGAACTTTTACTGAGGTTTAATGAAATTGATTTTTCAGAGTTCATGCCTCATTTCCCAGTGGTCATGAACATGCTATTTGAACTGATGGGAAGAATACGAGAGTTGTCCTCAAGCTCTAAACTAGTGGACCGTATCGAACAAGACGCTCTTGATGCAGTCATTACTTGTTTGAGAGGAGCCTATGAATATACCAAACTCCACTCACGAGGCAACAAATTCTTCACAAGCTATATCAAGTATATTTTCGCTCCAGAGCAAAGTCTTTCCATGATATTGCCACACATTTTTATCAAACTGTTGCGATCTGCTTTAAGAGAAGGAGACTCAAGCCAAGATACGAGATATATCGACGAAAAATTTGGAAAAAAGAAATTTTCTACTGTCAAGAAATCTGTTTCCACCTCAGAAAAGAAAGAAGATGACCAACATTATGATATAATCAAGTTTTCTTGGTTTATATTTGATGCTATTGTAAAAAGTGTTGCACTTGATTGTGCCAATAATAGTGAAGCCACAGATTATCAAAGTAGTAACACCATGAATTACTTCAATTCAGAGCAAGACGAACTAGCATTTGTTGGACTGATTGAATCTGTAATGGACAACTTTAACAATTGTGTAAATAAGTTAATGCTAACAGAAGTAGCCAATAAGAACAATATTGGCTTGAATGGCAACAGAAATTTGGCGTTATTCATCCGAGATTTAATACCCATGTTACACCGAAGAAATATTGTCAAATTGTTGCAAAAATACTTTTCGTTTTTCAATGGCTCTGATGAAAAACAACTGAACTTGAAGATTGAGTTTATTGCTATTTTGAGCGATTATGAATACTGGATACCGCTTAACAGCCTCAGCTTGGAAGAGGGTAACTTTGGCATTAGACATTTTTCAAACTTGTTTTATCAGATTGTGGATACCAATAAGGACAAGCTTGTGAAGAAAATCTCCAAAGTCTTGCTTAATCATTTATGCAAGCTCGACTACGACTCTCGATACAATGATGATTCTGAGAAGGCACTTGTGTGTGAATTGTATCTAGGATTTGTAGATGCATTCTTTGAAAGAGATGCAAGTCTTCCATATCTTCAAAATGACGATCTCTATGTTGTGACCTCTTGTACAATTTTATGGATCATGAGAGGACTTTCACAGAGACGTCTCGTTGAGTGGTTTAAAGCACAACCATATTACAAGACTTCGAATATTCTCAACTTTTTAGATTCGTTCACAATTGCAATTAATAATCTGGACTACAATGCAAAAACACCCAAAGAAAGGGAGCTCAAAGATGACAGAACTCTAAGGACTGAAGTGATCCTTATTATTCACTACCTCATTTCTGTCATTACTTCACTCCACATTCCAGACTATGATCTCATCAAGGAATTGGAAATGCAAAGTGACAATATTGAACTACTCGCAAACATTCCACTCAACGATCCTAGTCTGTTGAGACAACGACAATTGGTTTCCGATTATGAATCTCTTAAAGTAACGTCACAACGACCAATTGTTAGTTTGTTCTTCCGCCAAGTGTGTAGACTGCTCATGAATGCCGTTCTTCAACTTACTCTTCGAAAAGAGCTTGAACTTTGTTATATCGTGTTTAGAGAATCTATTTTCCCACTCATTTGTGATTGTACGAGCCATTTGGTTCTCAGTGAACTCTACGACAATTCCATTCCAAAGAAAGAACGAGTTCCAATCGCTGAAAAAAGACGTATAGAGCAGAAATGGAGATGGTTACTTGGTGCTGTCATGTTACATGCAGGTTTTACTTCTGAAGAAGAAGAAAACGCATATCCAATCGTAAGAAAATGTTATGAACTTCTTTTGGCACCTTTCAAAAACAAGAAATTTGATGCCATACTTGAAGATAGTACTTCTGAAGAGGGCGATCTCATGCTCAATACCGATGACAACAATATCAAGGCCGGTACCTTTAAGAGACTTGTCGAAAGACTTTTGGATGTGAACACAAACAGCGTGGATAAGGAAGGCAATCGATTTGCTGACATTTTCCTTCTCACTTGCACGTCATTTGCATCTCCAATGTTACTCCTTCAACAAATTATTGAAATTTTCAAGAATACAGAAGATGCTGTAATTAAGTTGCGTGTGGAACAATTTATTAGCAAATGGGTGAGGTTTGGATTCCATGACTTTGACAATTTGTTAATTGCTCGATTGGTATCGTTCTTATCAAACATTTCAGCCGTGACACAAAAGAAGATCAAAAAGTACATTATCAAACACTTCCTACACGTGAAAATGGAGAATTATGGTGATCTCAATAACATTTCTCCAAACCCTCAAATACCAAAGAATATTCCAAAAGAAAAATTAGAAGAACCTGAAATGGATGTCAAGAAATGGAAGGAAGCCAAAAAATTCACAAAACAACTCGAAAATCCATTCAACTTGAAATTTGAGTTACTCGATTGGCCAAGCTTGGAAATTGCTCGACAACTCACACTCATTGAATCGAAACTCTTCAGAAAAATTGAAGCCAAAGAATTTTTCGGTAGTGCTTGGACCGATAAGGAATACAAACAAGAACTCGCTCCTACACTTTGTGCCATCACTGAAAGAACAAATAATATTAGCTTCTGGGTTAGAAATAAGATTTTGATGGAATCCAACTTGGAAGTTCGAAGAAAGATTATGAAAAAATTTGTGGATATTTTGAGAGAGTTGAAGGAACTTCGAAATTACACCTCCATGATTCAAATTACTTCAGCATTCAATTCTGCTGAAATTCACAGATTGAAAAAAACAAAAGAAGGTCTCAGTAAGCAAGATTTGGAACTCATTGAAGAATGTTCCAATTTAGTGAGCAACAATTCCAAATCATTGAGAGAGCAATTAGAACGAGAGGTTATTATTAATGGAGCACCTGCAGTTCCTGTGGTTGCTATTTACTTTACCGATTTGGTATTTATTGAAGATGGTAATCCTGACACATTTGAACACAAGATGAATAGAAATAAGAAGCTCATCAATTTCCAAAAAAGAAGACTCTACTACAATGCTGTGAACACCATCAAGACTTTACAAACCAAGTCTAAATATTCACTTCAACCTTTGCCCTATCTTCAATATATTTTGAAGGAAGAAATTTTGCAAAATCTCAAAACAGATGAAAAGATGCTATTCGATTTATCACTCAAAATTGAGCCAAGAACAAACAAATGAAATCTTTAATAAACAACCATTATTAAAACAGAATAAGGCTCCTCATCAAAATGTGTCATTTTCTTATTGTAAATTTAAAAAGCACGTTTGACATGAGATAAAGAAAACCGCCAATTTTAACGACTTACAGTTGGTCAACATCAATTTAAAATGCCTCAACTTCAAACAAGCTCTGCCACCATCACTCCACTCCGACTAGAGCTGAAACACACACCAACGACTACGCAATCGGTGGTCCAGGTCGACGGTACGCTCGGTTTAAAGGAATCGGAGCTACCACAAGAACAAAATACAAAGAATCCAGTCAACAAGACTGTAAACCAAGCAGGAAACACACAAATGCTACAAACGCAAGCCCGAAAGAATAATAATAATCCCTTGTATACAACTTCAAATTCAGTGTATGGAGGTAAAAAGGCCTCCGAAATTCATAGACCAAGCGAGTATTTCGGAAGCTCTCATGCATTCTCAAGAGAGTTTGTGGGTGGAATGTATCGAAACCACAGTTTAAACACAAATAGAACCAGAAACATTGCTGTTCCAGACCCTACTTTCGGATCTAACCATTTCCACGAACAATAAATGTTTGTGTGTGATTGGGAGCTCCTTTTTCAAGCATTATAATTCTTGTAACACGGTTTTGTAAGAGATTGTCTCGCTCAGCCAAAGATAATTGTGACTGCCTACAATTTTTATCCATTCATTTAAGAGTTTTACTTCTTCAAATAGCTCACAAAGTCTGAAGGACTATTTTCTGCCTTCAAAATATATTTTGGTTTGTAACTGTTCAGTAAACTCGTGTTGTAAATATAACAGCCTAGTTCAAGCATGAGGAAGAGCTCTTCCATCTTTCCTTGATCCTCCTTCAACTTGTTCCATCCTTGCCATGAGAATTTCTTCAATTCGTCAATAATAGGGCTCAAATCTATTGGCTCAACGCCTAATTCGTTCAACAATCTGGTAAGATCATCTCCTGAAGGCTTCTTAGAATATTTAGCTAATGCAGCATCAGCCTCCGATGATGACTTGGAAGAACCTGTAACATCCAAAGCAGCCAAAAAATTGGGCAAATCTGTTCTCACTTCCTTCAATCGAGCAAAACGAGAGAAGTGCTCCTTCAGTAATTCATACTTTTCCTTCAAAATGTCGTGCACCTTTTGACCATTAACAAATGCACTGTAAATTTCACGATCTTTGCCCCAGTCTGCGCTTGTGGCTCCAATCTTGTTCACATCGAATGCTTTCACATAGGCTCCAATAAAGTCAAATGGTGAAATGTGAGGTCCGTCTGAAAGAGCAGCATTTGTAGGACCATATTGTCGTTTCAATTCTCTGATTTCCAAAACGATTTTTTCAATTTCAATAGCTTGAGCAATCTTACGAAGTACTGTTTGATTGACACGATGTTCAACTTTGATAGCATTTCGTTTACCCTCTTGCTTTGGATCCAACAATTTGTCAAACTCAATTTCTGCTTCATATTCAGCCTCTCTGAGCAAAGACTCTTCAACATCAAGTCCCAACAACTTTCTTCTCTCAATTTCAAGTTTGGCAACAATTTTTCGGAGTTTTCTTCCTTGTCTGATATCATTCTCTCTCTGTGTGTCTCTTATTGTCTTCAGAATAGCAAGCGTATCATTCATGGAGAGCACCTCATTATTCTTGAGAGCAGCTTCCGAGAGTAATGTACATTCCCGTTGTTGAATTTCCACTTCTCTGCTATATTCTTCGTCCCACTTTTTGATGGCTTCATCTTCGGTGAGGCCCTCGTCCATCAATTGACGGACTCTCACAAGAGCATTATCTCTGAGTTTTCTCGCAAACCAGAAGGGAAGTGGAGCAAATCCAGACTTCATAATTTGCTTCTTGTGTTTGGACAACTTTTCAATCTTGACTTTCAATGAATCATCAGGGAATTTTATTTCCTTCAATTTTCCAATCTCGCAAGGGATACCATACATGGATGGTGGAGGTACTTTCAACATGGCTTGATAGACCAATGGAGGAATGTAGGCTCCTTTTCTTGACGCCAAACCTCTAAAGTGTCTCATCAACTCCACTCCGGCCAGCTTTGAATTTTGCGACATTTTTTATTCAATAAAAAAATTTATTGTGATGATGACGATGAATTTGTTAGGAAGGTTCTGTATACACAAAAAAACACGAGTGTAATAGTTTAATTATTTATTGATACAAACTACTAATATAATGAAATTGGGTTCCATTCAATCCCGCCAAATTGCTTACAAAAAAATTGCCATGATCAAAAATGCTTCTATGGATGGTGCTTCATCTTGTACAGCAAACAACAGAACTGATGAAACACAAAAAGGTTCTTTATTGTTATCGGGATTGAGTTTTTCGGAATTGGAGAATCAACTGGTACAATACATGCACAGCTCAACCAAAGTGCTTGCTTCCTTGCAGAGATTTGTGAGGAATAATTTGGAAGTGAAAAGATCAGCAAATTACAAATGCAAAAAAACAGATAATCCCAATATACTTTTAGATGTTCTCGATTTACATCGAGATCATGAGGAAATTGTTGTTCATTGCTTAAAAACATTGCGAATACTGGCGAGAAAGGTAAGGCAAGAATTTAATGATTTTCTTGCTCAAAAGCACTAAAATTCACAATGATTTTTACTTTCAGCAACAAAATAGAGAAAATATTTCAACAAGACTTATTCAAACACTATCAAGGATATTACAGGAAAATAAGGATCAAAACATGGAGCTTGCTTCAGAAGGATCCAATGGTGAGTGTTGTGACTTGCAGTGGAATTATTATAATTTTTTGTTTCGAACTATAGTCCTTCTCAACCTATGCTTTGAAGCCAGAAACGTTTCCTCCCTGACAAGCACCAACTGTGTGCCAGCACTCATGGATTTGTTGTCACAACAAGAAAATAAGGAGGTGCTAGTGGCAGCGTTGGGGGCGCTTCATAGCATTGTAAGTATCACATTTTCTTTCAAGATCATTTCGTGCTATCCCTTACCGATACCAAAACAGAGCTTTCAAGAAGTGGGAAAGAAAATGTTAATAGAATGCAATGCAATCGAAAAGTTATGCCCACTTTTGAAAGAAAACAACAAGAAGGTAAAGAAAAAAGCCATTGGAACCATTCATAATTTATCATCGGAACTTTCTGTTGTTCACATGATTAACAATTTACAACAAATACCATCCATCATTGACTTGTTAGAGTAAGTTAATCGTTGTTAAAACTGTAATTGACATGGGTGTTTATTGTGTCACCTTAACAGAGACACAAACCCTTCAATAGCATCGTCAGCTGCTGGATGTTTGCAAAATTTATCAAGAGATGATAGGGCTCGCGATGTTATTCAACAGCTCGAAGGACCTGCTCGATTGACAAACTTGATCTTCTCTACAGACAACACCATGGGTCAAGTGAGCTCTATAGGAGCTTTGGTAAATGTAAGTATCAGGTTACCTGATAAGAAAATATTAAACTGTACCTTAAAGATACTGGGACCTGACGCTCAACATGACGAAACGAAGAAAAAAGCTCTGAAAAAGATACTTGGCATGTGTTTGCTTGTAGGGCAACTAAAAGGCCTCTCGGTTGATCTGGAGAACATGGCAGATTTTTCTATTACTTCCCAAGATGACATTTCGTAATAAATTGTTATTTTGGCATGGAAAAAGATGAATGTTATGTCCAACAAAGGATGGTTCAATAGTTGAAAGGTGTTTGGTAGTTGACGCTTGTTATTTACTAAATTTACAATGCAGACTATCTAATTACTTCTTTTGTTCTTCTGCTTCCTTTGTTCTAGCTCGTCTCTTTTCTCTCTTTTTTCTAATTTCAGAATAGAGCTTTTCACGATATTCGTTGATTGAGTATTTCTTGTTGTCATCAAAGTAGAGAGAAATTGGTTTGTCACAAGTTGGTTCTTCAGCAGGGTTGTGGAAAAGAGCAACATATGGGTGTTTGAGAGCAGACTCGGCATCAATTCTCTTCTCAGGGTTGAATTGTAAAAGCTTTCCTAATAAATCTAAAGCATCTGCAGATGCCTTAGGGAACATTTCTTGCAAGGACTTTTGTTCAGTTTCAGGAATAGAGTCGAGCATGGAAGAAGCAAAAGCAGATTGAATTGCATCAATATCTTCTGGAGTTGGTGGACCTGTGACAGCAATAATTCTTTGCAATTGGTTCATGGTGGATGTTCCTGGGAACATTGGCTTTCCTCCGAGCAATTCTCCTAATATACATCCAACAGACCACAAGTCAACACCTTTGGTGTATTTTGTTGATCCCAACAACTATTCAAAAACGATATACATTGACTACTATTATAAATAATATTCAATAACTTACAATTTCTGGAGCACGATACCATCTGGTAGCCACATAGTCAGTCAACACAGGACCATGATCCTTGTCTGTTGAACTAATGCTTCGAGCAAGACCAAAGTCAGCCAATTTCATATGACATTCAGAGTTCAACAGCAAGTTTGATGGTTTGATATCTCTGTGAAGTAAATTAGCGCTGTGGATATACTTCAAAGTCTTCAACAATTGATAAATATTATATTGTTTGTGAATTTCCTCCAAAATGTTAGCTCTGATCACTGCGTGCAAATCAGTGTCCATAAATTCGAAAATCAAGTAAATATCATTATCATTGTCTGCCTTGAGTACGTTCAACAAGCGGACAATGTTATCATGATGCAAGTTTTGAAGAAGCATAATTTCACGATATGTACGTTGAGCATCGGTGGCATTCTGGAAAGCATCAAAGATTTTCTTCAAAGCAACTGTTTGTCTAGTCTTTTTATCAACAGCCTTCCACACAATACCATAGGCCTATTTTGTAGGGCACATGATGAAAATGATCATGGAAAGTTCATCGTCGTCATGATACGTTGTTTGGATGTTGTTGTATCAAAATGTATGTCGAATATAAAACAACAAAATCATGATGTTGTTGTAGTTTCGTGTTAGATCATCATGATGTTTCAACCATTAATTCCATCACATCACAGCAACGTAATAGTTGAAAAAGGATAATGTTGTTGTAGATGGGCGGCCAGTGCAAAAAGAAAACAGACCAACATGATTCAAACACGACAATAACAGCCATCATATGATGAGATCCGCAATTATATAATTATTGTTGTGGTTGTTGTATTGTTATCCATCATCATCAAAAGGCTCAATAATTCGTTGATACTTACACCTTTACCCAACTTGGGTCCAATTTCGTACTTTCTGAGGACGTGTTTATCAATTTCTTCGCTCATCTTGTTTTTACGGAGTAGGTGTTTCTTTGGGTGTTTTGTTGTTGCTTCTCAGGCACTAATGGGATAGCAATGGACTAACACACAATTTTTTTTAATGAACTAAAAATCGACACGAGACGAATTTGACATCTTTCACTGAGATGAAAAATCAGATTGGCAACGATCGTCCTTTTTTAAGGGTGCAAAGAGTTCGAGAGGGTTCTTTACAAAGTTTACATTTACTGAGTGAAAAATTCAATTCTTTTGTGTTTAACATGATCCAATTGCAAGTAGATGACGAATGATTCAAGCCAATAGATGATATCAATTTTTTCATACAAAAAGAGTCACGGCTACAACACAACTATGGATTACTACTTACGATGATTGTGCCTTCTCCATTTCATGTAGGAAATCATAAAATTGTTGGAGCGTCATTTCCACAAATACGTCACGTTTACCACCATCGTCAATCGTTAATTTGAGTTGTAAAAATGTAGATCCTACTTCATTGAGCTCACTGCTCGAAGCAGTCACGCCGAATCTCCAATCTAAATCCAACAATGGATGAATGGAGAGTGTTTGAGAGAATAATCCTCTACTCAGGGCAATGAAATATTTCTTCCATAGTTGACATGTCAATTGTGCTTTATCATCATCCAATCCGAGATTTTTACAATCTTGTTCAATAAATTCTGGTTTTAAATTGTTACCCAAAACACCTTGCAGGAAAACAGTAATAGATCGTATGAGATTTGCTAATTTTTGTGTTGATATTCCAGATGATTCCGATAGTGGATGTAAGGCTTCATGTAATTGTTGAACTGATGATAATTCGGAATCTCCCGACAGTAATCGAACACTGGCCATTACTAATTGTTTATATGTGTCCAATTCCACTTTTTGTAACGTTTCAAAATCGCTAGCAAGTTGAGCTGGTACAGTTTCCGCAAAATAATATTTCATCTTTCTGTGTTTGTGTGTTGTGGAAGGATGGTTCTTTTAGAGAATATTTTTTGAAGAAAGATTTTTATTCGAATCCGGATGATGATCATTCTTTGCAATGTTTGTGGATGAGAGCAAGCAAATGTAAAAATACTTTAGAACAGCGCTGTTGTTGTTGGTCTGATGATACAAGGAATATATTTACGTAGAAGAGAGAGAAAATTGGTGTGTTGCGGAATAATGGAGTAGTCTTTTCAACGACTCTCATCCCACAGCATGAGGAGTGTAATGTCATGTTCACAATGTGTTAATGAATTAGGCATTCAACTCTGCTTCCAATTCTGCCAACTCATCATCTACTTCCTTTGCAGTTTTAACTGGTTTCGAAGCAGTGGCCGTACCTTTTGTGAGTGGTCCTGTTGGCACTTTGGTTTGTTTCATGCCCAACATTTGTTTATCGAGCTCTTCTTGTTCCATCAGGTCTAATTCATCTTCCAATTCTCCTTCATCAATAATTTGACCTGTTCCGAGATCTTGAGCAAGTGCATCACCCAATTCGTTGGCTGTTGCCATCGTGTCTTGAATTTCATCCATGACGTCTTGTACTTTATCAATTCCTCCAGTCTCTTTAAAGACTTGTTTCATGGTCTTGGCTGCTTGTTGTTGTGCTTTCAAGGTCTCAATATCAGTTGCAGCATTTTCTAGCGTGAGTTTCATTTGCTCATTATTCATAATTTGTTGATCGAGACGTTGTACTTGTACTTCATATTGTTTTTTACGCTTTAAACACGTCATGGCAGAGGATTTGTCTCCCTTTTTCATAAATTCCTTGGCCTTTTCAGTTTCTTGTTCCATTTTCTTCTCTAACAACTTTTTCCTCTTTTCCAACAGAGTGATGGTTTGATCCATCTTTTCTATGGATTTATTTGTAGAGTCTTCGGTTTTTTGTGAGACTGAAATTTCCTTCTTCTTCTTTTTACCGAATAACCACGACATGATGAATGTGTATTGGAGTTCGAATATATTTCGTGATGATATACAATGTGCTGCTGAAATACCACAACGGTCAACAAAATGGGAGTTGAAAGCCTTGTTGTTGTTGTTGATCACAGGAATATTTTTTTGTTTTATTTTAAAATTTAAACGTGAATGCAAGCTGGCTTCTAATTGGAGGATTTAGAAAATGGGATTTCATCCAAGGAAATCATGTTCATTCACACCGTTCGCACAGTGTGGGTGACTTTGCCATGTCCTTTGTTTGACAAGAGAGTGTTCGGGCGGTGAGCTTAAAAGACATCTCTTTTCACTTCCAATTTCATTATCAACATGAGAAGTGATGAACTTGGAAATTTAATTCAAAAAAATGTCTCTTGATCCATTCACGAGTCGGCGTCATGATCCTCTATGTTCCGATGAATGGAATTGCATATTCCAATTCATCCCATCGAATGATTTTTCATTAATTATTTCACTTTTACAGGTCAACAAATTTCTACATTTTCATATTTTGGAAAAACTGAAAATTCAAAATCGATATATTCAAAAGAACACTGAACTCTATGCATTGGGAGGATCAATGGATATTAGGAGTACAAATTTGGTTCATGGGTTTATGGAGGCTGTAATACCTTTCAAAGCATTGCATTTAATTCCTACGGGTAAATCTTATACACATGAACAAATTATTCGATTATTGACCAACAACGTATGCATTGCTGTTTTTAGAAATATTGAAAAAACAAAACTATATACTGGACTCTCTGGATGTACTTGTATTCCATTCAATACGTGCCCGCAAGCTGAATGCTGTACATACAATTATGTGCCAATACATCGTTCATCCATGGATCATTCACACGCCTTATATTACATTACATGTAAAACAAATTTAATTTTGAGTCAAGAACAAGCAAGTGCGTTGGAAATGTATTCACACTTTTTCATGAGGAATGAGCATTGTAGTTCATGTTGTAGAAATTGTTGTTGTTATAATGCGAATTATGAAAATCATTCTGTCCCATTGAACATTCAGGCAAATCAAGAAGAAATTTTGGAAAGCGAAACTGTGATCAGTAATGAGAGACATTTTCATTTTGAGCATTTGTTTGAATTAATTGCGTATTCCGAGCCCAGAAATGCTACCAAAATAGTGCGTGTGAAACAGGATGGTAATTGCTTGCTAATGTAAATAGCCCTAGGCCAGGAAGAAATGGGGTTTAGCTTGAAAGCAACACCCCGTCAGAACGATTTGACAATTCCAAAAGCTCTTGTACTGGTTTCCAGGAGCTAGACGATTCTTCACATTGTTTCAAAGGACTCAACTCACAAACAACAGAAAATATGTAACAGAATAGTTGATTTATTCTCTTATTAATGTCGAAAGACAGCAATAGGAACTTTCTCCAAAAAAGATGTGATATGTACAATTACTTGAGATACTTTTCAACCACTAACTTGGCTTGCTCTGTCGAAAGTTTTTGAACTTCTTTGGATTCAACAGCTTGTGAACACATGGGGCACTTATTTCCAATAGTTTCAAGCATTTTGATAAAGAAGGAATGTTTTGACGAGAACTCGCATTGAGGACATTGACACCAATCATCCAGAGTCATGTGCATGCCTGAAGAAATACACATTGGCAAATTATTCATACAATGTTCACAATAGAGCGAAGAGTCAGGGACTTGGGCTGAGCAAATAGGACAAGGCGAAGCATTTTCTGGATCGTCTTCATACGCTTTTCGCTTTCTAACAAGTTGAACAATGGTCTTTTTCTTTTCTGCTGGAATAAGATTTTGATGCTCCGGTCGAACGAGAATGGTTGCATTCTCAAATGCTGACTTTTTCAAGCCAGACTTGTAACAAAGTAAAACTGAGGATGTAAGAATTGGGACAATGTGATGAGGGAATTTGCTAATGTTCTTTGTGATACGGAGAAGCATTCGAGACGCAATGGTTTGTTCTTGCATCTTTGACAAGTATTTCACAATGAGATAGGAATGTAAAAGGTTGAGGCTTTCTCTGAGTTCAAATTGTACGTGGTGTCCCTTCTTTTCGAGTTGCCTGACAGTGTCATACAAAATTGAGTGAGCAATTTGATAGTTTCCAATTTCTTGCTCTTGTTTTGCAATAACCAGTGCAGTACTTGCAGCTTGTTTAAAGTTACCAAGTGCCATGTATAATCTAAAAACGTGCTTGGGATCCTTTGGTACGTTATCGACCTGGCCCATTAAAAAGTCAATTAATGAATGGGTCAAGTTGTCATTCTTCGCTGCAGCTACTACATCAATAGCCTTATCAATAACTGATTCCATCTCTTTAGAGTCTTGCTTCAGTCTACTCGAGCATTGAACATATAACGTGAGAGCTGTGGCATACTCATCACACTTCAAGTAGTAATCAGCGGCCTTATCCAGAGCCACTTTCGATTCGTAGTATTTGGCAATGCTCAAGTAGTCAGATTTCTCTGCCTTATTTTCAATGATTTTTGCGTATGTGTCCATTTCATCATGTGTCTTGGCAATATCAAAGGCCTCGTCAACCTTTTCAGCCATGATGAGAAATTCAATAGCCGATCGGTAATTTCCTTTTTCCTTGCAATACGTAGCAATTAGGTTTGCTCCGTCTGTTGAGTTTGTCTTTTTCACCAATTCAATTGCCTTTGGAATATTGTTTAAGTAGCGTAGATTGATATTAATCACACTGTTAATGTCACCCGCTTTTTCATATGAATTAGCTGCTTCCTCATATTTTCCTTCAACTTCTTTAGCTTTGGCAAATTGAAGATGGAGCCTTGGATTCATAATATTCTTTGATTTCATGAGATTTGTAACTTTAGAATAACTCTTGTTTTGAATGTAAACTTCGGCAGCCTTTTCATACATGTCAGCCTCTTCATAGAGTGCTGCAGCATCGTCGAATTGAGAAAGTTCTTCAAATATTTGAGCACATTCCCTGCAAAGCTTCTTGTTCTTACTCTTCATTGCAAGCTCAAAACCTTTTCTGAGGTCTCCCAATCGAATGGTAATTCTACAAAGGCCTTCATTACACATTTGATTGTGAGCATTGTTTTCAGGGTTTGAATCCATAATAGCCCTTTGGTAGAGCTCATAGGCTTTTTGGAATTCTCCTTTTAATTCCAGTTGATTGGCGTATTCTCTTGAGATGAGAGGTATTTGTTTTGGATCAAGTGTTTGTGCTAACTGTAGAGCTCTATCCCAATTCATTAAATCTCTTCGCATTTCAAGAGCCTTAATGGGTTGAGTGGATTGAAGGAATTTGGATTCCGCGTCTGTAAAGTCTCCTGAAATCATTGCCAGGTTACCAATGATGAGATTGATTTCATCAAGATTAATGAGCTCGGAGAGAGCCATTACCATTGATGCATTTCCTTTGAGTCTGTACACTCTCAATGCAAGCTCCAATTCTAAATTGTCTATGGCAACGTCTTTGAGCTTATTCCAAAAATCTTCTAAATTCAGATCGAGAGCGTTGGACCATGCATCTTCCAATCTAAGAAGTGCAATGTTTTGAGTGAAGGCTCTCTTCTTATCTTCTTTGCTTTTCACTTCAATTTCTGAATGACTCGACAATCGAATATGAGCGATTGAACCATTTTTCATTTGGCAACACACTTTTCCATTATTAAGGAAGATTGGGGAGAAGCCTTCAGGTCTGGGTGTTTTTGAGGGAGTGTCACCATCTAATTTTACAACATATACCTTGGGACCCCAACGTGTTGTGTGACTGTACACATAAGTGGTGAATTTCTTACTGTCACATGCAACGAAAATATTCTGGTCAGCTTGATCCCACAGCACCTTGTCGACAGAACTTGGGAAGGATTCGATACCACAAAGAGAGTCATCGACAGGGCTATACAAAAATCCAGCATTTGTCTCATCAATAAATACAAGTCTCGTACCGATAATGTTTGTAAACACGGAGGCAATACCAACATCATGTCTAAATTCATTTACAGTCAACCAGTCGTCGAGCGAAAAGTAGTACAAAGCACCTCGAGATGTTGCATAAATAAGAAAATCTGGAGCCATGGTAAGAGTAGTGATGGAAGAGCCGTCATCCTTCTCAGGGAAGTGTTTCTCTTCTCGTCCTTTCCATTTTTCGTCCTGTACTGGATCTTCTATCAGATGCATTGTAATTTTTCCACCTGAAAGTACTGCAGCATAATCAAAACCAACACAGACTTTTTCGACAGTTCCCAAATACTCTCGTGTGGAAATAAGAGTGGCTTTTCCGTTTTCTATTCTATAGTACCACACTCTATTGTTCATTCCTACAGCAACGTGCTCTGGGCCAAGAGCCACAAAACTAGGTTCAATATCAATGCCAAATCGTGCTATTATTTTCTCGGTAACTTCATCCTTAATTATTAATTCTCTCAAAGATACAAGCATGAGGACGTTTTTTCCATGGCAATCATTTAAGGCAGGAATACTTGTCAAAAAGTTGTATAGATTGCCGTTGTTAGAGCTCACAGTTAAGATTTGTCCGTCTTCTGTCCATTCAGCTCTACTTAGCGCTCCATACTCATTGTCTAGCTCGTACTTGTCGATCACGTTCGTGTCAAATGCTGACAAATCAGATAAATCAAAAACTTTCACGCAGTTCTCACCAATAGATGCACCTTTTTTCAAGGCTTCACAACATGTCACAGATTTCAGCTCAGAATCGTGAACTTTGCATGAATTAACTTCCATACCAATCTCATCGGAATGAGTAGACGCAATAACAACATAACCTCGATCAAATCCAAGCAATAAATATCCATCTCCGAACGATTTGAATGAGATCATTCGACCATATTCGTCACTGAATCCCAACTCGGTTGGCTTTGATTCTGCCTCGTCGTCATAATCGTACATCCAAAAGTTTCCACCGACAATGGCTGCAACTGTTGTGTCTTTTGCATTTCTCTTTTTTACTCGCACAAATTCCATTCCTTTTGGTTCTGCTTTTGCTTGTTTTTGTTTGAGGGTGTCACCTCCAACATCACTGATGGTAACCTGTAAATCTTCAGAACCTAATGCAAGAACATTTTGTGAGTTCCACGAACCACATGTTATTTTCTTGGTATGTTTTCCTTTGATTGGAACATATTTGCTCAATTTCTTATTATAAATTAAGAGTGTACCTTTGACACTTCCGATTGCGAGATAAGGTCCAGCAGCAGCCCATCTCATAAAACTGAGCTCCTTTGTATTCGTTTCAATGCTTTCTTCTTTCTTTGTATTGATATGAAATAGAGGAATTTTACTCGAGCCTTCTTGCATGATTGCGAGCGTTTCATCGGAATAATCCCAATCCAATGCAAGTACTCTTCCTGGATCTTCCAATGAAATTTGATGGAAAAGATTTCCTTGTCGATCAAATATTTGAACACGCCTGTATGAGCCGACACATGCTAAATAGTTTCCGCTTTTTTGCCAGCTAAACACAACAGGTCCTTTACCATTGGATTCTTGTGATACAGTGAAGAGTTGTTTCTGTTGTGGTTATATTTTGGTGTCATACAACAATTGAATATATCCAAACAAATGGTTGCATTGTTATGGATGATCATTCAAAAATCCGATAATGATGGTATACAACAGCGTCATGATCGTTTGACAAACGCGTAAACTTGTTGGGACTTACCATTTTTTTTCTGATAAAGATTTTGTACTGCACTGGCGGGAAGAAGGGAAAGAAACATGTAATTCCCCTTAGAATCAAAATCGGTATCACACCACTTTCATGGCATGTTGGAACCTGAAATTGGAGGATCCTGCCACGATTTCATTCCCTTAATAGCAAACTGAGGGTTTGTGCTAATGACATGCTATTATTATTGAAAATGTATCCCACACAAAAGCAGACATGAAGAAGAACATCAACATACCGTCACAAAATCTACAAGTGATTCTTCATCGTGAAAATTCTCAGTATCCAGAGCACAATTCAACAACAAGGTCTGAACAGCATAGGTTTCATACGCCACGTTCGGTTTGAGAGCGTTCATTATTTTCTGAAAGACTCTTGGCAGTTGATTCACACGAATGCATGTGGCAGCACTCAACTCGTCTTCATCGTCATACACGCGTGCCTCTGGATCTTCGTCTTGTTTTTTCTTTTTTCGTCGTCGAGGCTTGTTCAATTCAGCCTCTCCATCTTCATCGTCTGAATTTTGTTCATTGTAATTAATTTCCTTTCGTGAGCTTCTTCGTGAAAGCGTTCGTTTGAGAGATGATGAAGCCGATTCAATGCAGAGCGATGAGTCATCATGTGTTGTAGGTGTTGCAGCATTCAGAAGAGATGATGATTTATCTCCAGTATTGTTCCCATCAACGGTATTAGGAGATGGTACAGAGGATGAAAATGTTGGATGTTGGATGCTATCCATCATGATTAATAAACTATCATCATGCACCGAACATGTATCGGAATTGTCATCATCTTTACGATGATAGGGATTGATGAACAGGGTTCGCTTTCCATCATCCAAAAATTCAATAGTTGAAGGTGATTTGCTGCTGTTGTTGACATGAAGAGGAGTATCCACGTTGTTGTTGCTGTTACGTTTACCCGGAAGTCTTTGCTTCTTGGCGAGATTGTTTTTCCCTCGTTTTGGTGGCATTTTTATTTGATCTAAAATTCAAATTCAAATTAGGCCAAGGAGAGCTTTGGATCCATAGCAGCACAATGATGTGAATGCAGACAGTTAGAGCTCTCGTTTCGATCAAACAGCGTGAATGATGATGCTTCATTTGGTCATCCAAAAATATATCTTACAGAGCCTTAATGAACAAAAAAGAAAATTCCATAACTTGCAGTGATCACATTGAGAGAGTTTATCTTCTTCCACCTCTTCGAGCACCTCTGGAACTACTTCTGTTAGATCCGCTACTGGATCTACGAGAGGAGGTTCTTCTTGGAGAGGATGCAGATCGGCGTGTGGTGTTTCCTCTTCTTGTTCCCGAAGATGTTCTTCCTCCTCTTGTGGATCTTCTTGAGGAAGCATTTCTACGAGAAGAGCTTCTAGAGTTTCCTCTTCTATTTCCTCCTCTTCTTGAATTTCCGGATCTGGCAGAACTTCGACGACTACCACTTCCTCTACTGTTGGTATTTCTTCTTGAACCACCTCTTCTTGATGAGTTACCTCCACGTCTTGATGAATTTCCTCGTCTGTTATTACCTCCACGTCTTGATGAACTTCTCGAGTTTCCTCCTCTCGTATTTTCATTATTACGTCCCCATCTTCCTGGCAAACCTGGTAATGAGAAACCAAATGATTTTCCAGTAACAGCAGCCTTCAAATTAGAAGCTCCATTCCAAAAACCACTCACAGCATTGTACTTGGTCTTCCAATCGCCTCGTTTGAAATTTCTATAACCAGTCTTGGCAGCACGTCCAATGGTGCGAGCCTTTTCACGCCAATTTCCACTTCGGACGTATCGAGTGGCTGTTTTCAAGGAGGATTTGAGTGCAGAAAAGTTTCTTGGTAGACGAACGTTACGGGCCAAACCGACAGCGTTGAGTCCTGCTTTAATGGAAGTCACTCCACCAATGACATTGTTGACAACATTTAAGGTTTTTCTCACAGCTATGAGTTTGTTTGTTTGTTTGTTTGTTGGTAGGTGTAAATTCAAAAAAAAGTGTCAACGAAAATCACTCTCACACAAATACTCACCTTGGAATGGCTTTGATTTCACAACAGGAGCAATCTTTTGAGCCACACGTTTCTCAATAGGCGCAATCTTATCTCGGGAAAAGTTTGAAATCGAAGTTCCTGTTTTACGAGCCACATTGGCAGCACCCTTCAATCCCACACGATCCAAAGCGTTAGCTGCTTTGCCGCTAATGAAATTTCCAACCTTTGAAATCTTTTCATGATACGTTCCAATGTTATTGGCCACATTCATGGCAGTTCCAGCAACACGCAAAGCAATAGTGACCCATTCAGAATCTGCCTCTTCGACTTCCTCTTGAAGATCTTGGAGAAGAGACGCAGTTTCAGCAGCTTCGGAATTTGGAGTTTGAGGTGTGGATTCTTGAGGTTGCTCTTGTTGTTGGACGTATTGAGAGAGTTGATTCTTCAACAAGTCCATTCTGGGATGACTCGATTTCTTGGTCAAGTATTTGACAATCTTCAACAAGACTTTCTTAAAGTCGGAAATTTCTTGAGAAGTGTTCTCGTCGACTGTAATTTGATCATAGAGCTGTATACACGCAGCATGTTGGTGTCGTATTGTGGAAATATCGATTTAATCGTTCCAATGTTTTTAAAGTATACGCGACATGATGGGAAAACAAGTCATCATATCGTACATGTGAAAAATAACAATGACAGTTCAATAATAACAATCATCATCATGCTATCGTTAACGACAAGAATCATAAAAAACATACATCCTTCACTTGTGCTGCAAATGTTAAATACTCTTGGGCCAATTCAACTTCTTCCTCTCCAGAAATTGCTGATTTCAATGAAGAAACAATGTCGGCATCAGCAACTCCTGTGGCATTGGGTAAAAAGAAGTTGATTGCCTTCAAACCTTCGAATTCCACACTGTTTGATCTATGACGCTCGGTGGCATTGGCAAGGCTTGCGATAAGAAGGGTTGTCAACACTAACAGACTAGCAACGAGCACGCCACTTGTCAATCTTCCCTTAGTATGAGACATTTTTTCAAACGATGAAAATTCTCGAGAAGGAGAAATTGCTCGGTCTTTTTAAAGCAAGGCATTTTGCGAATCTCTCTCCTCACACAGCGGTTATCATAATCGAAGGAGGGCAATAATGGCAAAAATAGTGGTACAAATTGATGGCGTGCGCATGTAGAGTTGTTTACTTTCGAAACTTTATCATAAAGCCATCTGGTAACTTCCACAGTTATTTTAATCAATGGGCAATGGACAATATATTTGTCCAAAGATGAGAACAACCACAAGCATTGTCCTTTTTCTAAAAAGTAAACTGTAACGTTGACAGTAGCAGTGATTCAATTTGGTAAGGTTGCATTCACTTGTCCTTCGATCCATCGATTGAGAGAATCACCACAACTCTTAATCAGCTCCCTTGTAGTACGAACAATACTGTGGCAAGTGACAAACGAGTAAGGGCATTCAATATGCTGAACCAAACCTCCATCAATATCTATTTGTGCCACCAAGTCTACTGCTGGCTTTACACTCACACTATAGCTGTCAATGTTGTTTTGAGTGATATCGAATTTCATTCGGGAGAGCATGACACCTGGTCCTGAGAAAGTAACAGCTTGAACAGCATTACGGCTGCCAACGATTTTTGCAAGGCCACCACCTAATGTTTGCAAGAATGAAGAGGGTGAACGTGGGGGATAAATGGAAAAATTCAATTAATAAATACGGTTTGTTGTCATGTTTTGGGGACTTTTTGAAAAGAGTACTTACCCAAACTATGTCCACACAAAATGATATTTCTATCTTTCTTTGCATTTGCCACATAATCATCCAAAATTTGATAATAATATCTTTATGTTGAATCAGTATATAAAGAAAGGATTAAAATCTTAATAAACTAATTGTTCAACTGACATACCTTGTTTCTCCCAGGGTTGCATTTGGATTTTGTTGGACCATGGTCAATTTTTCCATTTGAGAGACATACCACACAATATTTGTGAGCAGTGAATGTGGCCATACGGCGAATGGACCCACAGCTGCAGCGATCTGTAATAGACCTGCTTCTTTCCAAACATCAAAATCTTGAACAACATCTCGTGGAATCGTGGTTCCTCGTACCGATATGATGGACAAATTCTTGGATGGTACATAGAGGTCAAAGAAGTTGATGGTTTCATTCTCTCGATGTCTCACATAACATCCTTTACATGATGGGAACCAAGTATGCAAGTCATGTGAAAAGTAAGGATCAATTTCGTATGATAAGGCACTCAACAGCGCAAAATCGACAATGCTATAGCCATGCCATGAATTTGAACAAATATCAAATTGTTTGACTGTTTCATTGGGATGATATCCAGCACGGCTCCAATATAAATCATCGCTACCAGCAGAAGCATTCAAACCTCCCAACACAAATACTGCTCCCAAAATGAATAAAAAGACAATGAAGCAAGCAAATAAACTGTCAGCTGCATCAATGTCCACACGCATGAATAACACAAACGAAATGAGAAGGAGGAGTACAATGAGGCAAACACCTGAAATCCATCCAATAAAGTAGAAGGTGAAAATAATAAGTAATATCAAGGAAATCATGATCGAAACTTGGAAATATAAAACAGTAAGAAATCTGAAAAAGGTGGACTCGTGCTCACTATTGAAAATTCCATGAATTGTGTGTCAGTTTCACTCATGTGGTATCAAACATAAATTTGTGAAAAACTTACCAATGATAGTGAGGTGGAATGTCATTTCGGTAGTAACTTGATTTTTGAGATAAATGCTTAAATGTCAAGCTCGAAACAGAAGTTCTCTGAAGGGGTGGAGTGGCCATAGGAATTTCCTCAATGCCTACTTGGCTACTCTTGGGTGATTGAGAAATAATGTGAATGGGCTCAGAGGCATTGGTGGTTTTTGAAGTGAGGGCAGGAATGTCCTCGGTAGGTTCATTATACAAGTCCTTCATGAATGCAGTGCTTTCAGACTCTGAGGCATGCTCGCTTTTTAGAGAGGTTCTTCCAAAGCAAGTTAATATCTTGTCCCACCATTTGTGTAAATTAAATCGCAAGACTTGGAAAATATAAACGAGTAAACAGAAGGTCCAAGGAATGAAAAACGTCAAATACGTTTCAGTAAATTTGAAAGTAATACATAATGCAATGACCACAGTGAATGTAAACATTAAAAATTTGGATGCCTTGTAAATGACGTGTGGAGAGTGATAAAAGACCTCTTCAACAAACGTGATATACTTATCCAGCCAGGCAACAATTCTGAAACGTTCCTTGTTTTGAACCTTCTTTTCGTTGAACTTCCAGCATGAGATGAGCTTATCTTTTGAAGGCATGTGAACAGGAATGTAAAAGTATCTCTCAGAGAAGGTGTTCACAACAAGACACACGAGAACCACTGTTGCAATTAAAAATACTTCAGAGAGGTGAAATACTCCTAATAAACAAATGACTAGAACCATCAGCACAAAAGTTAATAAAGCCCAAAAGTAGCTCATTTTCAAGCTCATTTTTCGCTTGTCTCTGTCCTCATCATCGTTTGAGCGTAGCCGAATACACTTTTTCAACTTGTAATAAATTGCTGTACAGGAAGGAAACTTGATTCCTGCCAAACAACAATACCAAGCCAAAATTACCCACACGTTTCGTTCCTTCTCAATTTCATATAGTTTTTCGCTTTGATAAGACGCTTCGTCTTCATCTTGGTCTTCATCCTGATATTTTCTATTGTATGCACTCGAGTTGACTGCGATGTTCATGTCACGAGATGATGGACTCACATCGAGCATAACCTTGTCACTTATATATTCAAAATCGGATTTAGAGCTTAGGGAACTGGACGATCTTGGACGAGTGATAGTATTTTGTTCTTGGCTAGCCTCAATATTTTCTAGATTCAGTTGTGCCGTTCCATAACTAGCGTTTACAGCTACTTTTGTTATTGATAATTTTCGAACTTTTCGTTCCGTATTTCCATATTCTGTGGCTCTCAATTTTTCGAAGAAATCTCTTCTTCCAACAATAAACATGATTAATCTTTTCCAATTCTCAATCAAGCTTCCAATCCACCAAGTAATAACAAATATGAAACTGAACAAAAATCCAGAAGTTATGAAATTCTGAAAAGCGACAGAAAAATTGGATAAAAACTCTGTCGTTGGGGTAACAAAGAGCGTAAGAACTGCAATTAAAACAGGCACTAATTCAAGAAATAGAATTAATAGTGCCTGAAAGGAAATGTCAATCCATCGAGGAGCCTCTCCACACGGACAGCATGGGAACGAGTGTATAAAGGATCTAAATTTTGTTGTAATGTGCATGTACTGATCTTTTGACCAAATACTGTAATTTCAAATAATAATGTTAAATATTAAATAATCAAACAGACAATTATCATCATTAAAAAATTATTCAATATTAAACAATTTTGTTTCAAAAGGAGCGTACTTACATTCTCACCAGTTGAACACATTTAGCAATGATGAGAGAAAAAACAAAACAAGAAACCCCAATCATTCCGATAACTGAAAATTGAATACAAATTCTTCCAGTGTATGAATAGACTTGTCTTGTGTCGACATAGTGAAACACATAGAATAATTGAAGTCCGAAAGAAATTCCTTCCAAGAGCACTGTTCATTCATTCACATCAAACAATAATTTAAAATTTCATGATCCGTATGTCCATATACCTACCCAAAAAAGCAGTAAGTCCAACATTGTACGTCAAGTACATTCTACGTAACAACATAAACCATGATCGGTGCAACTGTTGAATCAACATTGTTGTTGTTTCATAAATAATTTGTGATATATGGGAATATAGGTAGAAATTAAAACTGTTCAGTGGAGGATTGACGATCAAAATTATCTTCCAAAGACACGCTCGGGTCTAAGCAAAGCTCACACTCGAAAAAAAGCTTCTAAATGATTTTTTTCAATAACCACAATAGCTTGGGAGAAGATTTTTTTGTTGTGATTTGTGAGTTTTGAACACAAAATGAAAGTGAAATTGAATTCAGGTTGACCTGATGAAAAATTGGTGTTGCTGATGAGACAACTTTGGGTGACGGGACAACATGAGCATTCCACTATTTCGCATCTAAAATTTCTAATACCTTTACTGGCTGATTTACACCATTCCTTCCATCAGTTTTAGTCCAACTTTAAATATTCCATTTCTTCAAATGAGGTTTCAGAAGTTTGACTGACTTGTATCAAAGGATTCTCCTGTTTTGACGAAGTTTGAATGTGGAAAATGGAGTACATGAAAGCTTTCAAGTCGTTTTTTTCCTTAGTTGTTTGTTGAGAATTCAATTTCTTGAGAATAGACTTTCGTTTTCGCTTCATGAGTCGAGTTCCTTCCTCGAGTTGTTCATTAGAATACTGTTTGAATGCAAATACTTTCCACCTTAATCTTTTGAAATTTGCAATCCTTTCAGGTACTCTTAACAGACACAAAAACGCCACCACAATGATAATCATTGGAAAATGTTTTAAAATTTGAGTGACAAAACCTAGACCAGGTTGCAAAATGTCAAAATCCAAAATTCCAACTACATAAAAGAACGCCACACCGTCATCACTCTTAATTTCAATAAGCTGTAAAAAATTATAACATAGCGAAGGAACAGCTCTACAAATTAAGGAGGCAGAAAAATAGAGAGAATACGTGTCGGTATTGTATGGAATCATTTTAAATATGGTCCATAGCTTTGTTTTAAACATTCCAGCTAGCATCAAAAATGAAATGCAAACAATCATTGTGAGTGAAACAATTTGTGTTGCTGCTCTATTGCCACGAAGGCGATCAATAATTTCAAAAAATATTGAAGAACCTCGCTCATCTACAAGCATAGCTATTGTGGGCGTCAATTCGCTCCATAGAATAATCAATCCAAAAACACCCAATAACAGTGCCACAGTTTTTAAAAATAGCCAATGAATGTATCGATAGTAATAGTAGAGAAATCGATTTACAATTGGTCCGTGTGTTGAAAACTCAGAAATAATTGTCTTTTGGTGAAAAGGATGATTTGATGGATAGGTGCAGCAACGAATAACGTCTACATTGATATACGACCAAATAATCTAAGGCAATGAAATAGGCTTACCTTGGTAATAAAAAGTTTCCTTGAGCTTTTGATCCCATTCATATTTCTTCGAGCGGTATTCTCTCGAGGCTCTTTGAATCTCACTATGCATTTTCACGCAAGTAGAGCGTGTACATGTCTTGTTCTTGCTCTGTTCAGGACAAATTCTCATCTGGGATCCAACATCTAAAAACTTGTCAAATGTTTGTTTGTTGTAATCGCTGCACTCAATGATGTGAAGGCTATTGACTTTCTTGTTCAAGCTTGGAAATTCTTGCAAGATGCGATCACATGTTTGTGTCATTTGATTCAAATACCATATGAACTTGTGTTGGGAATCTACAATCTTTGACACTTCCTTGACAACAACAATCATTTCTACTAAGGCTCTTTCTTCCTTTTTAAGCTTGGCTCTTTTTTCGGGAGCTTCGATACAGTTCCATTTGATTGTTCTTTCAATATTTGTTTTCCTCCAGAGTGTTCTTGGTGCTTTGACAATTCCATAGCCCAAGAACAGAGACAACAGCACCAAACCAGCAAAGTTTGAAAGTGAAACAGCAACACTGACTAGGAAAGAAAAAGTTAAAAGAGAAACGTCCCTAATAGCAAGATAAATAACAAATACTACAATACATGCTCCTGCTACAAGTCCCATAATCAAATACGTTACTATGTTCGATAAGATAGCCCTTAGAATCTTTCCAATAAAAGAAAATTCTCCAGTGTATGCATAGCTCTGTAATATTGGAAGAATGATCCATGAAAGAATCTGTAAACTCCAGTAAATGATATTCCAGCAATATACTAGCGATTCATCAGGTAATACTCCAGGTGAGGACAATGCAATACTGACATCCAAGGTTATAAGGGATACTGCTGTGAATAAAAGCGTATAATTCAAATACAATGGAATGTAGAGGAAAAATGATACATATTTTCGACTTTGAAACGTGTAGAACCAAATGACCAGAAATGCCAATACAGCCGCAGCCACTATTGAAACTGCAAGAGAAATGTAAAAAAACCATTCATCTGTGGCATGAACTCTCTCGGAATATGTTGCATTAAGGCTAGTATTGAAAACGAACGGTATTCCCGAAATGTTGTTGAGAGCCCATTCATCGTAAGAGGACTCATTCATAGTTATTGAAAAAGGAAATGTATTCATGGAATCTACTATTGTTGTGTTAGCTCGGCTTGGAGTACATTCATATCACCATCGGATACCTCCTTTCCCAACTTGAATATTTTTTTAATCAGAATCATAGAATAATGTGTTGGTACTGATTCGTGCGTTTTTTACATGCTGTGATTTATATGTAAACCATTATAATGCGTTGTATCGTTTACATCAAAATAATAAATTCTAGATATTCTTGATGAAGACAATTTCATTGTTCCTAGTGCTGACATTTTTTCACAATTAAAAAATGTCAAGCTCTGATGTCAAGCATGCACCCTACCGGACCAAGAAACAAGTGAAAGGTCTTTCTCTTTCAAAATTCAAACAACAACAACATGTGAAAATCATGATTATTGGTAATGGCAATGTCGGTAAAACTTGTCTATGCACAAGACTCTCTCAACAACGATTTCCGGGTGGTTCCATTGATGAATACGTTCCTGTCACTGTTGATCCTTGCACTCAAACGGTCCATTTTCCTTCATTGAGTCAGCAACACAGTGATCCCTTCACGGTTGAACTCATTGATACTGCAGGGGGCGAGTATTATGACACAGTTCGAGAACAAACCTATGCTCAAGTAGATTTAATACTTGTTGCGTATAACTGTGTGGATTCAAATTCTTTGCAAAATGTAAGCTATACATGGCTTCCTGAAGCAAGAAAACACGCTCCTCAAACTCCAATCATTCTCGTTTCAACTAAAATTGATTTGAGACACAATCAAGACATCCTTTCACGAAAAATGAAAATCATCTCTTTCGAAGAAGGAGAAGAGCTTGCAAAACACTCGCACTGTCTCACTTTTTTAGAGACTTCTGCATTGAGGGATGAAGGATGCAATGATTTTCTGGAAATTTGTGTCAAGGCCATCATGCTTTCCAAGAGGACTCAATCTTGCTTACTTCAATAGAACCTTAGCAGCGTGAAACATCCAACAACAACCAGGCCCTAACCATGAAAAAACCAACAACATCAACAACCATTACCTTTGAACGACCAAAAACGTCAAAAAACGTTGCTTGCAAAAAAAAAAATGATGCAAATCTCTCGTAAACGAAGAGATTCGCTGGGAGGTGCTGGCTCTGATTTGATGGTGGTTCTTGACCGAACATCATCATTCAGCAACGGTGCTAATCAGCATAATAGTTTTCTTCAACAACGGCATGAACAACAGCAACAGACACATCGGTGTGCCAACACTAACGGCATGGATAAGGAAAATAAGGAAAACTCTTCAAATAATAATAATATGATGATGATTGATAGAAGGGATCAAGTGGATATTAGTATGATTTCAGTGCGGACTGATGAGGATAGCCACACCATGAACATTACGGAAACAACATGCATTGAGGGAGCCAATATTGAAAATGACAGCCCCTCGACAGATCATGACGAAGATTATGATAGAGACAGTGTGTTGATGTTGGACAGTGATGAAGAGGCATATAACAATGATGATTCTGACCTCATGCAACATAATAAGGTAAAAATATTTCCGTTCCTTGTCGACGACACGGTATCATCACCCTCAAAAAAGAAACATAAGAAGAAATCAAAATCATCATCATCGCAACAACAACAGCAGCAGGAACATTTTCATGGTCGAGATGATCCATCGAGTAGAATAATTTCAAAGCAGCTGGAAAAATCCTCTCGCATCAAGCCACGAGTTGAACTTGGAAGAATTAGCCCCTCTCCTTTTAGCGTCGTAAGCTCTCCTCCTCCCATTCTTCGAAAAAGTCCAGTCCCTCCAATTGACACCTTTCACAACAGCTCTTTTATGAACAAAAAAACGAATCAAGAATCAAAATCCAATCTATTGTCAAGTTTGGAGAAGGCTCTTTTTGTCAAGCTACCTCAACAAAGTCCACTGATACAGCATCAACATAGTCTCTCAACAACCATCAAAACCAATGAAAGTCCCCTTAAACAGAGACCACTTTCAATGAAACTAGGTAGAAGCTCATCGTCGAACAAGACAAAATCTGACACTTCCAAGAGACCTCAATCTTCCTCCTCCTCAATCTCTCAAAAACATGTAAATATTTTGAGTCATCCAAAAGAACCACTACCTGAGGATTACGTGGGTTCTACAATGTGCTCTGTGAGCTCCAAAATACAAGCCAAACACAAGGAACATTTCACACTCTCCACTAATCCAATTTTGATTGTAGCCAACCGAAGTCACTATCAAGAAAAAGTTAAAGGAACATCCCTAAATCACCAAAAACCCTCCTCTGAGAAACAGCAACTTCCTCCCACAGTAAGAAATATCATCCGTGAATCGTCGACACCATCTTCTCATTCTCTCTCTTCCTCACTTCACGTTCCTCAACCACCAAAGAAAAAACGTTTGAGTCCTGCAGATTTAGGTTTTTCGTATGACAAGAGTGTAGATTTGGATCGAGAGTTACCTGCCTCATGCTCCTTAAATACTAAAAAAGTAATCATGCAAACTCTCATCAATTCATGGATTGGTATAGGTTCTCCACTTACAGATGACTTACGAAAACCATTGAATGCTAAACCCAGTAAGATTATTTCCACCAACACAGAAGAACGTAGGAAAGAAATTCTCAAACTGATGTACAAGGATCGACAAGCGAGTGTTCAAGCAAAGCTAAGTAGTAAGAGCAAGGACAAGAACAAGTTGTCTTGAACATGACCAATAATTTCTGCTCAAACAGAAGAACATGACCTGAACAGATCAAAAACGGGAACGAGTCAGCTAAACCCATATTCCAATGTGATATGAGTTCCACGTTCATTCATATTCGATTCCAGACACAAGCTCTCGATCTTTACATCAGCATATTCCACCCATACATGTGCCCTTACTGAATTCGAATCCATGTTACAAATATTTCTCTCGAGTTCTACAACTTTATCGAGTTTAGTGCAAATTAAATACATAATACATTTCTTTAAAAAGATGTCACATCAAATAAAATCCAATCGCTCGCAATTATTTTCATTTCTTGCTCAATTTCTTCTCTGTTACGATATAGAATTCCTTTTACCTTATTGTTAGGTAATTTGTTTTGGAGAGCGGATTGAAACTGCCGCAATAGTAGTCGAACAACACTTTAGATGCAGATCGATTAATAATGAAAAACCTATTGTCGTATCTTTGAACAATAAACCCTGATCGTAATCAACACCAGCAGTTGAGCGAGGCCTTCCTTCATAGTGCGCCAGAGTGAAAAGGCCTTCTAATGTTTTGTTAAACGCATTCAGGTCTTCTTTGGTGAGAGAAGTAATTAAGGTTCTTAATTTCTCTTTATAGAAATCTTGCCGTCCAATTTCAAATGTGTTGATAAACTCATCAGTAACGGTTGTGTTGTTTCCATTAACGAACATCCTTGCCAGTAATATTAATTCCTTTGTCATTCTTCCGGTAGCGATTCCAATTCTCATGTCGTTCTCGTCTAAGCCGAAGTCTTTTATGAGTACTTTGAATTCTGTTTCTGTTGGAGGAACTATTCTAACCAACTTGTCTTCAGGTAAACCAGACACAAAAGCACAATGTGCACTGCCACAATAAATGGTAATTGTATTGTTTCCTAAAGTGTTCCCTTTCCAATTCGATTTTATACACGTCAATGTTGTTATATTGTTTAAATAGCTCGTTGTGTTCGTCCAATAAATAGAAAAAGTGTTGGTTAGAGCTCATTATTTCACTACAGTACCGAACAATGTCACTACTCGAGCTCATTTCTCTGATTTCTTTGTTAGAAAGAATGTCATAGTTATAGTAAAATAAAAGAGAGAGTAAATACTTGTTTGCTGCTTTCGATCCTCCTTTCCAATACTCGCTCACCCATATTTTGCATTTTGGAATGTAAAGAAGAGGTGTTGAGTTAACCACAGCATAGAATGCTAATAGATACATTGTGTAAGATTTAGAAACTCCATGAGGGCCAGACAGAACAAATCCTTCCTGTTCCCTCTTAATTACAGTTTTCAAAACAATGAATCGTTGACGTGTTAAAAGGTATGGCATTGCTGGATTGAAGTCTTTTGGTAAGTAGTCACTGCCAAGAGATCCAAGAGATGGCAGAGGAATGTTCGTTCCAATCATTTCTTCCAGTCTTTTCAAGTTATTATCATTGGTCAAATTTCGAAGATATTCATAGTTGGGATCCGTTCGTGCTAACCTTATTTCTTTGCATTCTTGATAGCTCAAGTCATAAAGAGCGACCATCAACGTGTTGTTGACCCAATTTACCACACCTGAACATATTTCAGAAATTAACGGGTCCACCATTCCGTTCTTGTCTTTGTTTTGCAGCAACGAAATAGCCTTGTCTACGTCATGTCGCTTAATGTTCTCAACAATGTTGGAAAGAGAAGTTCCATCAAAGCCATTGTCCTGTAACACCTTTGCATTTACAGCAGATAACGACGCCCCGCCCTCCCTATCTTCCAAAATCAACAAAGAAGCAACCTTTTCAGGCGTCCATTTCTTGTAATTGTTGAGCGAGGGAGCCACTGTGTTTGGTTGTAGATCACAAGAAGCAATGGGTTGCGTTGACCTGTTGTGCTCAAGATGAAAATCACCAACAACAGCGTTGGACCTCTTCTTCTTTGCATTTGGTTCGGTGTTTTTGGTTGAAGTTCCATCTTCATTTTGGATGTATGTGTCCTTTTTGATTTCATCCACCTTTCTCTTGAGCTCCGATGAATGGACCTTGTCCGAACTCTCCAACTTTTTCTCAACTGAAGATTCAAAGAATAAAATGCACAGTTTATTTGTGCGATGTTTTTGTCATCCAAATGTCTCATATTCTTTTATCGTGAACTTTCAGAAATATTACTAGTCTTTCATGATTTCACTGTTACGATTGCTTGATATTTATGAAATGCATTCTTTTCTTGAAGGAATAGAATGTCTTTTGATGAAACCATCACGTTCTGCGTTGTTTTTTATTTCTTTCTTTCAAGAGGACTGTTTGCACTGATGTTTGAGAAGTTCGGACAAGGCCCAATCTTTTATTTCTTCTTGAGAAGAAGAATGAACTGTTTCCGAGTAGCGTGTGGGAGGCGGCATGAAGGTCTGTATTTTTTTTGTTCTGATTAGAGGCTTGAGTCATGAGCTGGTTTGGATCGACTTTTCTGTTACATATCTGGTTTGCAACAAAGAATAGCTTATACGAATCGTGTATAGTAATTCAAGGTGATAGGGAAGCCTCGAGAACAAACCACGAAGTGTTTTTATTAAGGCGCAAAAAAAAATGAATAATCGCTTGAAAGAATTGAGGGTAAGGCTTTTAATATTCGGGTTGGTCGCATAATAAATTGGTATCGCTTTGAATGCTAAACAATATTTTGGATGATTATTTCTACTGTAACGTTCATGATGAAACAACACTCGTTCCCAAACTAATTTTAACTTTAATCCAAAATATATTTTAATACTCAAACAACGATAGAAAAAAGCACAAGGCCGAGCCGATGATCTAGACGACATTGCTCTCCAAGAGAAGTACGAATTTGGTGATTTAGAGCATGCTGAAGGTGGTTACGCAGGTGGCAGACTGATTCCAAAGGAAAGTGAGTTCGTTTCCGACTTTTTGAATCAAGTAACCGAGATCAAAATCCGTATAAACAAAATCGATGAGAACGCCACGCTCATGGAAAAGACATATAATAGCATCATTGCAGAGGTGAAAAAGGAATCAAACACAAAGGCGTTCAAACAAAAAGTTACGGCAATTGCTGATGACATTGATGCAGATATGAGGTTTGTTAAGCAAAATTTAGAGGAAATGGCTCAAACCAACAAGAAACTCGAAGAATTTTCAGCCGAGAGAAGAATGAGAGAAAATCAACAAGCATCTCTTACACAAAGCTTTTTTTCAGTGGTTCAAAGATACAATGGCATTCAAGCAGCTTGCAAAGCCAGATACAAAGACGATCTTTTGAGAAATTTGCGTAACATTTATTCTGAAGAAGAAAAATCAGACGAAGAACTGAACGAGATGATCGAAACTGGGCAAATTCAAGAAGGAAATCTCTATGGAAAGTATTTACTCAAAAATTCTGCACAAAACACCATCAAGGCAACCTATTCCGAAATTAAGGAAACTCATGAAGACCTTAAACGACTGGAATTGTCCATGAACGAGTTACAAGACATGTTTCGTGACCTGCATACTCTAATATTGATGCAACAAGATCTTATTGACAATATTGAAGACAACGTATTGAGAAGCATTGATTACACAGAGAAGGGAGTTCAAAACATCAAGACAGCCAAGAAAATCGGGGACAAGACAAGAAATGCTAAATGTGTACTGTTAGTGATTGTGGTGGTGATTGCTATTGTGGTCATTCTCATAGCCGCTGGTGTCATTGCCATTGCCGTTCCACTTGGTGTGTTAAAGAAATAATGTGAATGTTTTTCATTGCCTTTTTCAAACTGGTCATGAGATGGAATGTAATCACCGTCATCCCGCAACAGAAATCAAGAATCGTCCTGTAGACATGTAAATAAAATTTTCCCAATTCTCCCATCTCGATTAGTCCAAAAGAAAGCCTGCCACATGAAAAGGCAATGCAGGTATTTGAAATGTCATGAAAAAATGCATAGCCCACACCATCATCAACATTTTCACTCTTCCCAAACCACCATCAACACCACACAACCATCACCATTCCAACAACAACACGGGTCGTATTCACAACAAGAGACGAGTGGTGGCAATGTAGGAAACGGAAATTATCAAGCCCAATCATTTGCAGCAACTTCTCAACAACCACAACCGCAGCACAATCTCTACACAACCTCCTCACACATCACAGTGACTCAAGCTTCACCCCCACAACCATCCTCATCATCATCCTCTTTTGTGGCTCCGGTTCTCATCAACGGTGTCGTTTTGAATCCCGTGTCGTCCTCCTCGGGATTACCTCCTCCCACTCATCCATCCAACCACACAACACTTCCTCATAACAACAACAACAACAATATGAACAGTAACAGCAATAACAACACCACTCCTGCTTTAAATTCTCCTTCCTCTCCAGAGCTCGCTCAACAAGGCACGATGAATTCAGTATCATCACAACCACCACCATCTAGTAACTATCTACCTCCCAATTCCATAGTATATCATTCACCCGTTGCACTCTATCCCATTGCATGCTCCAGTTGTCGAAAGCAACATAAAAAGGTATGTATTCAGAATTCCAAAAAATATTTTACATTCCATCTTTTTCTAATTTTTATTATTGTTTTTAAAAATCATCAAAAAAGTGCGACCGAAAAATTCCAAGTTGTGATCGTTGCATTCAGAAAGGGCTTACCTGCACGTATAAGGAATCGAAACGAATTTCAACAACAACGAATGCTTCTTCGGTATCAGCAAATGATTCTCCTTCGGAAGGAACACAACAGGCTGCTGCCGTAAATGCAAAAAAACGAAATTCAAGAAAACGGAAAAAGAATCAAATTTCATCGTTGGACATGCATCAAGTTGTTGGATCACTGGTTCAGAATCCCTCACAATCAGAGGAAAGAAATGCTACTTCTCCTCGTTTCTCATCATCGAATCACTCGGGTACTGCATCGAGTCGTCATCTCATTTCTCAAAACCTTAATTCTCACAAATTCTATGAAGAAGGACTTTCAAAAAGACAAGTCATTGATTGTTATTATAGTTTTGCTTGTGATGGGTTTCCACTCATGGATCGAGAGGATATGGAACAATGTCCTGAAAATTATTTGGATTATTTGACAAGACCTTCCGATCATTCTATTTTGGGAGAATTGAATCAAGATGAAATGGAATGCCCTGAAGGTCAACAAGCAAATTCAAATTTCAAACATTTACAAGAATTGGTTGCTTTATTTTTGAGTGTAAAGGCCGTGTGTGAAATGAGATGTGGCATGACAGAAGTTGCTGAAAAGAGTGCAAAACTCGCTCGAAATGCAATTTGTAATTATTTTGATCAACATGAACGCTTTCTGGTAGCAACTACATTTTCACACTTGTCTCAGTATGAGATTCTCAATTCACGAATTACGAATGCGAAATTTTATTTGCAATTTGTTGCTTTTTATTTACAAAATCGATTTGTACAGACTGCAGAATGTGATACCAATGATTCTTCCACATCAACAACCACGGCGGCAACTATCAACAGTAATGATTCCACGAATTCATCTCATCAAGCATCTTCTTCTTTAACGAACAGCAACAATGGCAATACAATCAATCATCACACACCTGCTGAACACGACATGAGTCAATGTCGACATTGTCTCTCCAAAATGACACAATACGAAAAGAATTTGGAAAATAATAGACAATACATTGATCAAAGTATTTTATCTATGGGTGGAGGACTTTCAAATTTTCAATCATTTGTGGATGGAAATGGACAACGCAATGCAGCCAAATCATTTTTTGATCTCTCTTTTACAGAGGGTGGATTTTTAAGAGAAATTCCTCGATATTTCACCATGTTTACTGGATTGAAATTTCCACCTCAATGGATTACATCATTGAATCAAGAAATTTCACACAAGAATTGTTATGATATTTTAAAATTATTGGACATGATCTTTACATTTGTAAAACAACATATTAAGGAAAAGTTATCCAATACTACCCCTAGTAACAATGGAACCACCTCTCCCAGTGCAACATTGAATTTTGATTCGTCAATGAATTCAAAAATTACGAGTGGTCATGGTAGCTCTCCAACAACAACGACGACGAGTTCAAGCAGTCCAAGTACGAATACGACAACGACTCCAACTCCTTGTTTCTTTCAAGGAAATTCTCAATGTCTATCTCTCTATGAACACATGTTAGACATTGTTCTCAATGGAATCAAAATTCGAATTCTCTCCAAATTAGGAAATCATCACAGTGCCACAAGTAGAGAAATTATTGAACAATCAGCATATAATATTACCATGTCGACACAACATGATCTATTTCCATTGTTTCTGCCATATCTTGTTCCATTCATTTCAGCAGCTGCATTGGTCCATTTAAGAATTGTGAAAATGATTTTGAATAATAACCAACATGGAGAATTTTTCAATCCACAACAGCAACAACAACAACCAAACGATCATTCTATGAATAGACCAAACAATGAAACATCAACCACTCCGACCATGAACGCTTATTCACCACAATCCTCACAATTAGAACGAAGAAGAATGTTCGAAGAGTTACTGGAACATTCACAAATGCACACTCAACACTTTCATCAACAACTTCACAAGATTGAACTGAATGGAGGAAGTATTCCATCTACCAACAACAACAACAACAACATGAACAGCACGACTCCTCACAACATACCTTCCATGACTCTTCATTACGAAGAGATTCTCCGAAAAGATTTAAGAGCCATGCACATTTTAGCTCGTCGTTTCAAACTCGTGAGTACTCAATACAGTAAACTCTTGAGAGAGATGGAAGAAACTTTGAATCAATTGGATATGATGAAACAACAACAACAACAACAATCAATTCCTCAATCCTCACACACTTCTCCTCAAGTACCTTACTCGAAAAAAATACCTCCTCAACGACTGCAGACGCAACCGCAGACGCAACCACTGAGTTCTCAACCCAAAACGTTGGAAGGATCATCGCCTCGGTCTGCCTCCTCGACTCACTCGGCCACCAACTTACCTGCACAGTTTATTCCTTCGTTTCTTCATCATAATCCTCATGGTGGTGCAACGGGAGCTTCATCCACTTCTACTGCACCATTACAGAGTGGTAGAGGTACAGTCCTTAATGGTCTCCAATCGTTTACTCCTCAACCATCTTCCTTAGATGGGCAAATACCACAACCCTTGGAGTTGATCATGATGGCAAATAATAATAATGAGGCTTTATCGTCTTCTAACATGATGAACAACAGTAGTTCGAACCATCAAGGACCAAATTTGAATCAATATTTCAACCCAATGTTGGGCCATAACTCTCAACACATGCAGAATTTAATGATGAATATGATCATGATGGGAGGAAGTATGGTTCCTGGACTCTCTAGCGCCTCAACTCCGAACATGGGAATGAACAATCCAACTAGCACCAATTTTGGAATGTCATCATCGATGAGTACCAACAACATGATGTCAATGCCTTCCTATGACCCTAATAGTAGCCTTCGTGTAGCTCAACCCTCTTTGTCAAATTGGAATTCTTCCTCGATGGAGGGTATGGTGATCACTCCGAACAGTATAGGTAACAACAGCAATAGTAAGGCATCTTCACCTCAATCTTCGACAGTGTTTGATCCGTTCCTGACTGAGGAGGATTTGGACATGATCTTTTCATTGAATCATTTCAACAGTCATGTAGTCGACCTGTCACAAAGTTCAGGTCCTGTCAACGCGTATGCGAAAATGGATATTGCAACCATGCATGCCTTATTGGATCAGCATTTGCAAAATAATACTAATTCTACCTTTCCACCAAATCAAAATGAAAGAAATATGTAATTAAAAAATCTTGTCACAAACAAGCAATCAATTTGTAATGAAAAAAACTTGTCACAAACAAGAAATCAATTTGTTGACTTTATTCCCTTACTACAAACAGGTTCAAACAAAAAACACACTCAAGGAGTCACCCTCACACAGCGATCGTTCCATCATGTAAAATTCATCCAAATCCAAAAGTACAAGGTTTTGAAATCGGTCCATCGAAGTAATTTTCATACATATCACAATTGGAGAGGAAACTGGCAAATAACAGCGTTGGTCTTCTGGCATGGTACCAGCCATTTCCTGGAATGATTCTGATGCAATATCATCCGAAGTTGAGGTGGATGACTTCTTTCGAGTTGTCGTTGTCAGATTCGTGCTATCCAGCACTGGTTGCTTGGTGTACAAAAGTTCTGACAGCCGGCTCACTAATTGACTCTTCAGAGTATTGAGTGCATGTTTTCCTTGCAATGCAGCTGACACTTGATTTGGAGTGTCATGTTGTTGTTCTACTGTGGTCGTACCCATAGCACTATTCTCACCATTGTTGTCATTGTTACTACTGCTACCACTTGTAAGACTTGTAGGAGTGACATCTTCCATCATTATGGATGAGCTGCTACTGTTACAAAGGACCATCATTTGTTCATCAGCAGCACCTGTGCTTGCTGGAACACTCAACACTGGCAATTCAAAATCCTTCAAATCGAGCCTCAAAGCAGTCGTATAATAGTGTCGTACTCTGAACCTTGTCGAATCCATTCGAGAATGATTGTTGCTGGAATGAAGTGGCAAATTCAATAATTCACTTTTACATGAATCGTGCTGATCATGTCGTCGTCGTGCATGATTCTCCATTAAATTTGTTGTTGTTGTTGCACTATCAAAACACACGCCATACATTAATTGTTTTTGAATGGCCAATTGTTGATCATTAAATTCTCGAATCACATCTTGAAGAATTTCACAATGATTAAAACCATCTTCCATGATGAGCTTTGTTAACATGCTGACTTGTTGTTGCTGATTTCTACTATTCGAATTGTCCTGAGGCACAGTGACAATGGATGTTTGATGCTCCACAGAGATTTCCTCCGTGTTGGTTCTTGTTTTTACATTCCATTCTTCTTCTTCTTCATGTTGTTGTTGTTGTTGTGCTTGTACATTCCATTCCAACACTTGATAAAATTGAACAATGATGGAAATTTCATCATTCGAAATGTGATTTCTTTTCGACTTTTCCAATAACCAATCCGTATGGTTGTTGAAATGATGAGTTTTCACTCGTTTGTTATGAACGAGGGTCGTCATCGTTTCACCTCCATTTCCTACCTCTTCCACTACTGCTGTTCCTTCTTCTACTTGTCCTCGATGAGTTCCATGATGATTCACAGACGAAGAAGAAGGTGAGCTCGAATGACTCGAAGAAACCAATGAAGGAGGTCTTCTCTTTTTCAATCCACTATGAACTCCTCCTCCGAAGGATGATGAATTTTGTTTTGTGGAAACTGGAGAACCTGAATACGATGAGGAATAATCATTTTGAATGGCTGTGACACGATTATTTTGTAAGGGAGTTTGAGGAGAACTAGATATAGCTTGTGGACTCGTCGATGCATGTTTACCTCCTCCGAGATCTCGTGACATGTTTTTTCGTGACGACGATGACTTTTGAGGATCATACAATCCACGTTGATATCTCCATTGCTTGTTGTAACATGTTGCACACACAGGTCCTGGTGTAATACTTTCAGAATTTTGAGGAAATGTACTTCGATAAGATTCAATATTTCCTTCATGAATGGAATAATTTTTCTTAAAGGAAACTTCACTGTCGGATCTGCCACAACAATTGCAAATCGTGGGTGACACCGCCGCCGCATTGGGATCATCCATGGAAAGATTCATCTTGGATTGAGTAATGACTTGTTTGGAACCATCCAACATTGTGGTCATGGTTATGATTTTACTTTTCGAGGAGATGGCCTTTTTTTGTGATGCATTGAATTGATGAGGAGAGTGTTGAGTTGTAGTCATAGTCGTAGAAGAAGGAAGTGGAGGAGGAGGAGGAGGATTGGAAGTGGTGGTGGTCATGCATGCCATCGTTGTTGGAGAATTGAGTACATAGGTTGGAGCTCCAACGTTGGAATGGTGATGTGAAGATGGAATCATCATGGTCGTTTGGACGGGAGAGCAAGTAGTATTTGGTAAATGCTGTTGTTGAGAAAATTGTTGTTGTTGTTGAACTGCTGCTGTTACTGCTGCTGGATTCATCATCATGGTATTAAGGTTGTTGTTGTTGTGAGGTGGTGGTGGTACTTGTTGATGAGTCATTTGCATTCCATAAGTGTTCATGAATGATGATGCTGCACTTGTGTGATAGGGATTTGTGGTTGTGACCTGATGATGATGAATATTGGAAAATTGTTGTTGTTGAGAATCCACCATGCTAGCAGGATGAAACACATGATGAGACAAATTGGTCGTCGTCGTTTGGACGGGAGAGGATAAATCATTGGAATGATATGAATTCATGGGTTTGATCAATGAAAGTGCTGCTGCTGCTGTGGAATGAACAGCTGCTGCATTGACGACTTGTTCTAATGGATTCATGAGTTGAGAATGTTGTTGATTCTGGTTCTGATGTTGATTCTGATGTTGATTCTGATGTTGTGAATGATGAACAACTGCAGCAGCATCGGTGGCTTCTACCATTATTGGAGTGGATGATGAATTGGTGTGTTGATTTCCAATGGTGGTTGAAGTACTCGTAGTAGTAGGATCATAGGCAACGTCAAAATAATTGAAACAATTCAATCCTTTTTCTCCTTTCCAACCATGATGCTGGAGAGGTGATGGTACATGAGATGGTTGGGTTTGTCCAGCATGCTGAGTTTGGGTTGAAGAATGATGATGATGATTGGAATGATGAATTTGTAAGCTTAATTGAGAATCTGAGGTGACATTTTGAGAGGATTGTGCATTTGGATTCGTTAACGAATCCATCAATCCAGTGGTGTCCATGGTTGCATTGGTGTTGTTATTGTTGTTGTTATTATTATGATTCAAATGAGTCGATGACGACGACGTGTGTGAGTGATCATGTGTAGAATTTGATTGCAGTAAAGAAAATAAATGATCATCAAATCGAACATAATCATTTGAATTTGAAAAATTATTTAAGGCATGATGATGATGAACTAATTGAGAGGCTGAGTGGTGATGATGATGAATAGGTTGTGTTGCATTCAAAATGTGATGATGAGAGGTACTAGCATGTGTGTCAATGCCTTGCTGTTGATTTGTGACAAGATAGTTATGGGCATGCACAGCAGATGCACCTCCATTGGAATGATCGTTTCGAACTCCAACAACATTCAATAGCAAATCATAGGAGGTGTCTTGAGGTTGACTTGTTCCATCTTCATGATGCAATGAATGATGATATGAACCTTCAGTTGTGTGTACCATGTAAGAATCGGTTGGAGTTGAATGCGAAGGTATTGCATTGGTTGAACCACTTGTGCCTGTTGCATGTCCACTGTAATCCTGTGTTAAATTGTTTGACAAGTGACTTGCTTGTATTTCTATAAATGGATGGCTCCCTGAGTGGCCATATGGATATGAGCTCTGTAACTGCTGCTGTCTAAACAATTCTTGTAACACTTGAGTATTCTCGCTATTGTTATTGCCATTATTTGTAACTGATGTTGTAATATTATTTGAATTTGAGTCAGAAAACAGCAATCCACTTGTACTACTCGATGAACCTCCTCCTCCATTACACTCTTGTGGATTAATCGAGGGCGAAGATGACGAAATATGATGATTCAAATTATTATTATTATTACTACCACTATTATTAATATTCAAATTATTGGAATTAATAATATTAGCGGACAAGGCAGGCGATGATGCATGTGGAGAACTGGTACTTTCAACCATCGATGTACAATTGTGTGAATGAGTGGATGTTTGATTATTTGTAGTTGTTGTTGTTGTCGAAGTAGTAGTTGGAGCATGTAGGACTAGTCCACTACCAATCGCTGCTGAGTGATGATGATGTAAAAGATGACTCGTGGTTGTGGTCGACGATTGATGATAAAAAGGGTGATGCGGTGATGTGGTTGTTGTTGGTGTGTTTGAATAGAGAGAATGATGGTGTGAATTTAAAGGTTCATAGTTGGTTGGTGTCGTTGTTGTAGTATTGGTTGTGGTAATTTGTTGAGGTCGAAGTAGTGTGCTGCTATCGTCATCAATATTGTTAGGTTCATGATCCACCACCACTACGGCATAATGTTGAGATGGGTGATGGTTCATGGCTGATTTTTGAGCCGTGTGTGCCTTCTTCCTATGGGTGTGTTAAATTTATTTGATGATGACTCCCGAAGGAAAGGTTCAATGGATTAACGTGCTCACACGCCTTCTTCCAGGTGACAATAATGAAGTTAACGCTTGACAGTCGCTCTTCTTCTGGTTGCAATGTGCAAGTAGTAGTAGTGTTCGATTGTGTGTTCTCTTTTTTGTTGTTGTTGTCACACTTGTGACAGCATCATTCTTGTGGAGGGTGGGAAGACTGGATGTGGCAATGGTTGGCTGCAGTCGTCCATCTCACACACAAAGATTCTGATACTTCACATGTCAAATCGCCCTTTACATTGTCAAAATCAGAACGGAAATGCAAACAAGGAAAAGAATGAAATTTTCAGAATAAATGGAAATTTCCAGAAAATAACACAAACATTTTCATGGTTACCCCACATCTTGGTAGCCATCGTGAGCTTAGTCCGTTCACATGGAAAGAAGTGTGTATGAATAGCAGCTCCTAGAGTTATAAGAATGTCAACGAAACTTTCATCGGACACAAACCCAATTCAATCATTCTAATTTATCCTAATCTGAATCGGAAGCGTACATATTTTGCAAACCAGATAGAGCTATCTTTTGCTCTGAATTATTCTTTTTAGGCTTGTTTTTGGTATGGTCGTTGTGAGAAAGTTCAAGTTGTGGTTTGGTGTTTGTATCTGTGTCTTCGTGACGATTAGTCGCATGACGATCGGTCATGGTTGCATATTTTCGCTTTTTCAATTCTTGTGCTAACGATTGCACGACTCCAGGTTGATGGATTCGTTTCAACATTGATTTCATGTGTGCATTGTGACGATTGGTAGAGTTGTTGTTATTGCTGAATATTGAGCTGTCCTGTGCATTTCTTCCTTGTAATGTGTTACTCTTCTTGACATGACGAGAGGATATTTCTTGCTTGGCAATGATACCATCTTCCAACGTCTCCTCGGGAAGTACACTTTTCAGAGTATTTTCATTGACATAGAATGAACCCACTCGTTTTGACAGTTCCTCACAAGTCTTCTTCTCGGATTTTCTCAATTTACGATGAGCATTTCGCAACCTCGAATTACATTCAAAATCATTACCGCTTCGTGTTTGATTCATTTTGATAATCGATTGCAAAATAGGAATGGCATGTTCTGATTTTTCCAAGTCCTCTTGTTCATGTTGCATTTTCTCCATGGCATCCTTATTAGCAAAATCCTCATCACCAATAATGTACATTTCTTGTTGTTCATCAACAGTACCTGATGAATTGCCCAACAATGAAGATGATGAGGCTTGAACGTTGAGCAGAGGTTGAGTTTTCCATTTCAAGCCTTGCTCACAAACGTAGGTTGCATGTTGAGGATCTGTTTTAATGATAATCTTTCCAGAACATTCATAACATTTCATTTCAAACGTATAAATTGGCGTTGATAAATAGGTTTCTCCATCTTTTTGAGATTTTCTAGCATTGAATCGTGTACTCCGAGCAATATCCCTTTCATTACTCAGCCGTACCACCTATGTTTTGTAAACTCTTGGATGAACTTGTAAAATTCAAAAAATTGAAAAAGGTCCCTCACGGTCCGACTGTGTCGAACTAGGAAGTGTGAAAGATGATTTCCCACTTCCCAAATTTAATGTTTGTTGTCAACATAAAACAAACGCAGTTGGTACCTTGGTTTGGTGTTAGCCGCACCTACAGTAAAGCAACTACTTCCTTCCAGCTCCATTTCAATTCAATACGAATTCACCAAGCTTTTAAACTCGGGCTGAACCTGAAGACGCGCGTTAGCACTGAACTACAGGAAGCGGATGAGAGCATGGTGTTGGAGACATGGTTGGCATTAAAAAAAAGTTTTTAGGTGTGACTTGTGTCAGATTATCGAAGCCAGTCTTTTAGACTCGGGGCTGAACCTGAAGAAGCGCGTTAGCACTTGACCGCAGGAAACCAATGAGAGCACTAGCTTGAGGGAATCTGACACACGTCACAGAATAAATGTATATCAATTTATATTCCTTGCAAACTTCTTGTTGCATTCTTCTCAAACATTTGATTTTTTCTTTTTTTTGATTTCTCTATTAATCTATGTGATGTCATTGATTTCTTCCTTTTCTTGGATTCCTTGGTTTCGGCTGATGAATTATTGTTCGTAGAACTGTTCAGTTTTTTAACGCTCAGCAGATTCCTTCAATGTTTTAATATGATATTGTTGCGTAATTCTTTAAAGTTCCGCAGCTCATCTTGTGACAGTATGATGATTTGTTGCTCCGATGATTTTGTTTGTTGAATTTCATCCGAAGGTAGTTGTTGTGATTGTTGTGGTAAAGTAGTATGATTATTATTAATTATTTGTGATGATTGCTATGATAACACAACCGAGGTGAGACGTTAATTTTGTTGTGGCCCGCTTATTTTTTCGTTAATTTGACAAACAATTCGCAGGGAATGTGCTTGGGACCAACGGAAGAGTGAGCAACACCATCGTGAATGGTTGTACACAAATCCTCTGATAGATCTATCTCGAATTTCCCTTGGTTGTAAGATATCACTTGAGAACGGGCCGCGAATGGTTGCACACAAACCCTCTCATCCGCGTCGTGCTGCCATTCTTGTTTTAGCGTGACTCACGAAATACAAAAATAGGCGTGGGAACTTTATATTTTATTTTTAAATTTGCTGCTTTTTGATTGGATGCAGGAAAGAGATATTTGTTTCACAATTCGTACAAATTCCATCATAGGGTAATTCGAATCGGATCACAAGAGATCCTTCTGTTTTTAATTTACTCGCTCGTTTTCGGAGTGGATGAGAATTACGATACTTGTTGATTGAAGAATGTTTTTTAGGATCAAAATCACTCGGATAATACTTGTTGGTTGCCCTTCGTTCAGCCATTTTTTAATAATTGTTAAACATTTACGTTTGATTTTAATTAATGATTTTTAAAAGAGAACAACCCGTAAAGACCTTTGTAACTTCAATCATTAATGGTCATCATCGTGACACTGTTGTTGTGCTGCAGCTGTGGACGATCTTGATGATTCTTGCTTTGCAAGCACTGGAGGTTGTTGAGGTGGAATATGACCGTACACCTTCTTTCGTTGAACCAGTTGGTGAGCAATGTACAGTCTGAAAGTATTGGCTGGTGGAGAATTCTTAATGACACTAAATTGAGTACTTTCATATTGTTTGATGAGGTATGGGAATGCGATAAAGTAAGTGTCAGCAAATGCCTTCAGCTGTAATCCATAGGTCAGAATTCTGTTCAAAGTAGATCCCAAAAATACAGATTCAGGTGAGATGGACATGATCTTATTTCTTGCAAAGTCACTCTTGGATGGATCAAATAAGTAGGTGGCAATTGGTGCTAACAAAAAGTCTGTAACAAAGAATAAGGAAGCTGCACGATACATGGTCCATCTAATGAATGGAACAGGTGCTCCGTGAGCAATCCAACGATATCTAAGCCATCCCATCATGAATGGGATCATGAAGAGATACAGAACATTTCCTATCGCTTCCTTAGGTCCCATTTCATATTTACGATACATGACTTCTTTTAGTCCTGCTTTGTGAAGTGGAGAGACGTCAATTGGATTGAGTACTTTCGCTCTATTCATGAATGCATTTTGAGATTGTTCAAAGGATTGTAAAACGAGAGCCAACTCTGCACGAACTTCCTCATTCGGAGCATTTTCAGAGAGGAATTTAAGACTTGTCACAAATTCAGAATCTTGAGAAACAATTGCCTTATCTAAGCTTGCTCTTTTTTCATCGTTTGTATAATCTTCCTCTGTAGCAGAGTTGACACGCTTCATTTGGTTAGTAGCCAAATTTTGCACAATTTCCAAACTCATCTTGTGGAAATACTATTCAAAATAATAAGAAACAATCTAATATTACTCATTAAAACTCACCTTGGGTTGAGCAATTTGGAGGCCAAAGATCAAGAACTCACGATCTTTATCAGTGATCCATTCATTATTCTCACTGTATAATTTGATGAGCAACTTGACAATGGGATTCAACAACTTGTTCAGTGGAATTCTCTTCTCTTGCATCATTTCATAGCCAAGTTTAAGTAATTTATCATTAAGCATTTCTATTGCTTTCTTATCTTTAACCATGTATTCAATACATTTGCTATCGTATCGTGCACATTTCTCGAGAGTCGTCAGAGAATGCAATAAAATGAAAGGGTGCTCTGATTTTTGTAATAATTCAAACAACTTGTCAATGACTCCACTCTTCAAGTAGTATTGAGTTAAGCTCTCATCAGATTCCAAATTTTTATCAAGGAAGGAAAGAATTTCATCCATTTCTTGGATATATTGATTATGGAATGCAATTTTATCGGCTCCTCTGTCATGAGTGGCAAATATTGACTCAATATCTGGTCTTGCATTCAATAACTCTTTCACAATGTCATCCAAGAGAAATATTGTTCCGTAGTGATTGATAATCTGCAGAGAAATAAGTAAAAGAGCAGCAAACACCGCCAATTTAAAGAATTGTGGTTTCTTTCCAGCAATTCTCATGAACACTCTTGGTTGGCCAATTTTTCCATATTCTTGTGGCATTGGAGCTACCTTGTTGAAAATTTGCTCCACTTGTTGTGGGAGCGGAAAGTTATTCTCATCAGCAAATTGATTCACTTTTTCTTTTTCACTTTCCGAGAGTGGTTTTTCAAATATGTTTGTTTTGTATGCATTGGTAATTTTCTCTACATTTTCCGAGTTCATACTATTCGCTCCCTCTTTTCCTGATCGTTCTTGTTGCATCTTTTCTGCTGCTTTCTTAGGCCAAAAGGCATAGCCCATACTTCGGAATGATGACGATGGATTCATCCCGAGCCATAACAAATGTTGTTTGTTGGTATGAATATTAAGACCACTCGGATTGAGTAATCGGATCATCATGTGATGAAGGTGTTGTTGCTTTGCTGAGGGTCGTTTGAACATTTTTTTTTAATATTTACGGATGAAAATGGAAATTTCAAGGTTGAAATTGTTAATTCGTGAAGGGTATCAATGCATCACTTGGAATGATTAACACCAAGGTATGAAAGGGCTTAAAAGACGTTCTAGGTATTGTTTTTTTCGTATAGAATGACCAAAGCTTTGAGAATTGAAGGAGAAGCGGCCTTTGAAAGTCGGCGATTCGTTCAAATTCTTCATCACATTCAATTTAGATGTTCTGACACATCAATACAGGTTCTTGTGTGAATTCTATTCGTCAATCAATAGCACATTATCAGTGTACACATATTTAAAGAGAGAGTCATCAAAAACCAATGAATTTCACACATGGTTCAATTTGTCAGAGGACTCACTTGAACCTAATGCTTGTTTTGAATGAATATCATACACGAGCGCCCAATTTCGATATTGTTGCAACATTTGTAAACGAGAGTAGGTATCCCACATGTTGTAAATGGTCTCTGTCATTAATAATTGCCAAATATTCTCCACATCTGAATCGACATGTTCTCCACGAACGGTAAACTCCTTCTCCTTTTTGCTTTCAATCACACGTAATAATTCATAAAATCTCAACTTGTTTCTGTGTTGCATGTTGACTTCATATAAGGAATATTGTCGAATGAATTTGTCTTCAATGTCTTTAAATTGACTCAAAGTGGCTCGCCCTGTTGTCTTAATTTCAATTAATCGCTCAAACAGGTAATAATTTTCAATGGAGCTCTCAGCCATGCTGTATTCTTTGAAAAGAAGTGCAAACTCTGCATTGGTTGTCAAAATATATTCAAAAACTCCTTGTTCTTGCTCAATGCTGGAACGAGCTTGCTTATGTCTCGACCGAAGAATGCTGTTGTAAAGTTCAATGATCATGGCGAATCCACCCGAAGTGAACAATAACCAAATGGCAATGAGCATTCGAATAATGTTGCTACCGACTTGAGTTTGGTTGGCTGGTGTGATAGCGAGGAAGAGAATGGCCAGAAAGACTTGTAATAGAAAGGCAAGCATATCAATTCGAATGTGAAATGGGTCATCGAAGAATAAATATCTTCGAAAGCCTGTATGGATGTTGAAAGAATTTTCACACACGTTTGTCAAAATGTTTCAAAAAACCAAATTGTTCACATTGTGATTAAGGTAGTCATTAAATTATATTTCACCACACGTATATTCACACACTTTTCAACTTACCCTTTTCCTTAATGAGTTTTCGATTCACCAGCAAGTCAACCACGCTGTATAACACTCCCAAGCAACATCCCAGTCCAGTTAAAATTGCAAAAAATACATTATTAATAAATACGACATTATTCAAGTCAAAGATGGCAGCAAACATGGAAGGGAGTACAAACAATACCATGAAAAACAAAGGAATGGTAGTAACAAGAGTCCATCCTACCTTCTCGGAAGCGAGCCACTTGAAAAATGTCAACCTTCTTCCATCTGCATTCTTGATCAACTTGTACAAATTCTTAATAAATAAAAAACGAAAAACAACCAAAACATAAACTGCAATGGCATATCCTGAAAATAGAATGGAAACAGGGACAAGTACGGAACGACACGTGTTTTTACACAGTGACGACCATAACACTTCGGTCGCGAAAACACAGAAAGGTGCAATATATGGAATGAGTAAACGTTTTCGTAATGCAGGTTTCTTGTACATGCCAAATGCAAAAAACACAATGTAAAAAATAAGGCATGGAATGGCATATGCGAATAGCATAATGTCTCCATTATCAATATTCTCTGCAAGACAGAGACGAGTTCCACAAAAATGGCAAGTTGAATTCCAAAGTAAACTTGTAGCATTTTGGATGGATAAGGGTGTCAGTAATTGTGCATATAGAGTTTCAGAAACCAAACTGGAGAGTAGAGATTGATCCATACTCAATTGAATTCCTCCTTGTAATTGTTCAATGAGACGAATTTCATTCGCTGTGAAATTTAACACTCCATGTACTCGATCCAAAATGTACATGTCATGCATTCGACTCAAATTACACGATGTGAATTGTGAAAAATCCATTCGTGTCATGGCCACGTCAAGAAAGGGTTTGCTGTTTGGGAGTACGCTTTGAGAGGAAGAATAGACCAATACTTCACTTGGAAAAAGTGGAATGGGTGTGAAATCTCCTGGATGATACATGACAGCATTTGCATCCTCAACAGCACTCGCAGCACCTTGAAATAGACCTTTCCTTGTCACCACTGCATTCACTCGAACATATAAAGCAAAATCGTAACTGTTCAATAATAAGGCATCTCCAAATTCTAAAGAAGATCCAGCCATACAATCCGGATATAAATTTGATCTTGGTTCCATTACAAAATATTCATCGATTAATTTCTTGTCATATTCTGCAGTGATGAGAGTCCATATTTTGTGACATGGATATAATTGAGGACATAAAATTTTGAATTTTCGTTGTTTCGAATTCGATGGGGAGGTTGGATTTCCGGCGCCAGTGTACACTTTCCAAAAATCTTGAGAGTTGGTTTGAATAAATGTCACTAAATCGTTCAGAGAGTGAATTTGTGTGAATTTTTTCCAAACAAATATTGAATAATAATTAAATCCTCCCACAACGACAGCATGACTCGAGTTGGTCAGTTCTGTGACACTCACTTGTCGTACTAATTGATTAAGATTTGATTGTTGTTGTTGAGAATTTTTTGAAGTAGATGTTCGAATGATGACATTCGACAGGTTAGTAGAACTGTCATTATCATGCCACCATTGTCGTTGATGACCTGTATTGACCTCTGTAATATCACTAGCCATGACCATTTTAAAATTATGTGAAATGTCATAATAACCAATCATTTCAATAAATAATATTAAAAGTATAATGAAAAGTAATTTCCATCGAACATGAGACTTTTCACAATCTCCGATTTGTTGGTATGTTGTTGATGAGTCATTGTTGTCGCAAACATGTGATTTTTCATTTCTGCTGTGTCGAAACATCATCAACTCCAAGTGCAGGAGTGTTTGATTTTTGGTATCGTGTTGGGAATGATCAACATTGTTCGTTGATGACGTTGTGGGTTTGTTGCCATTCAAAAGTATGTGTTCTTTACACGATGTCGTTGGTTGAATAGGAATGGCAGATACACACGGAGAGGTTGGTGGTTGTTCGTTCCCAACGATCTTTGTGTCGTCCATTAGTTGTTGTGGGCTGGATGATGTCCGATGTCAAGAATGACGTCTTTTTTTGAAGCAATTGATGACTTTTGAATACAACAACTGGTTGGAGAAAACGAACAACAACAACAATAGTAGTGGTGACTGGGTATTTTGTTCTTGGCATCACAATGTTTATGTCGCAAGGTAGAGCGCGCTCAAGATCTATTTTGAGAGATGACATTTTGTGTCGCAGTTTTGGTCCTCATGAAGAAAGTGGCATTGGTCGAATGATTTTGTCGTTTTTGAAAACGTCATTCTTCCAACAACAAAGACGAGAGCAATGACTTGCTTCAAAAAAACAATTCTTGTCAATAAATATATTAAGGGTTTGCAATCCATCACACAAATACACTAAATGCCTTAAAACTTAAATCCTCCTCTTCGATTCTGACCTGTTGGTATATATTCATACGTGACATAGGTTGTTCTTGTGCCATCACTAGCAATTTTCGTGACTACTTTTTTCACTCGTTGATATCCTTCTCTATAGCCACCACTCGATGATTCTTCATATGAAGTTGTTTGCTCTTGATTGAAACCAAATGCTGATTTCAACTTGTCAAACATGCCTGAAAAAACTCCCCCCTTATTCCCATTGTCACTGTTTGAAGATGATTGAGAATTTGCGTTTTGTTGTTTCTTGGAAGCTTTCTTTTGATGATGAGGAAAACCAAAATGAAAGTGAAATCCACCAAAATCATCATCCTCTTCCTCATTACTATCGTCATCAAAGAAAGATCCGAATGGATTGAAACGAAATTGTTGTCCTGAAGTAGAACTACCACTGTCATCGGAAGAGGCTGCTCCTTCTCCGAAATGAAAATGTTTAAACAAATCGGAAAGATCATGAAATTGATGAAAGTGATGGCCACTACTCTCATGACTTGAATCATCAGAGTTGGAATCATGATAAAATCCTCGTGAATAAGCTTGTCGTTTGTTTTCATCGGAAAGTACTTCATAGGCTTGACAAATCCGAACATATTTTTCTTTGAGAACTTTTTGTTCTGATTCTGGTTTGTTTCGGTTTCTATCTGGATGGTATTCGAGAGAGAGTCTATGGTGTTATTCGTATTTATGAATGATTTAAATTATTTGTAAAAAGTATTTGAAATGATTTATATCGGGATTACAAAATTAATCCATGAAAATTCAAATACCGCCACTGAGAACTACTTACTTTCGATACGCAGATTTAATATCTCTATGAGAACATGATGGATTTAATCCCAATATTTCGTAAAAACCTTTTGGATCATTCCGAGATGCTGCATGCACCGAATATGATGAACATAAATAACAGTTGACTAATACAATGATGATTACTATTTGCAGAACAATCAAACTATTAATTGATCGAAAGGAGGTAGCTGCACTGCTACTATTCTTCTCTTTTCCGAATAATGTAAATAAATTCATGAAAGCTTTTCGTCTTTTGTAATGTACAAAAATATTTTTTTTATCATCTCAGACACGTGTTCGGAAATATTACCTTAGACTTTCAATTTATAATTGGGAAGTAGAAATTTTCGGTTACTTACCTCATTGATGATAAGATCCACATTGCCTCTCCTGTGAAATATTCGAATTCTTCTCGAGTCGCCTTTAACAAGAGGATGGTAAAAAATTCTCTAAAAAAATATCCCACAAAGCAACACACGATTTATTGGCGAATTTTTTCCAAGCGTACGAATTGATCGAAAAGTCTCGTTGTTGCAGCAATTCCGAAAACTCAAACCACCCACTCACATCTGCGTGATGATAACTTTATTTTCATTATCACCTTTCGGGACTGAATGTCTAGTACTTGAAGCATAAAAAGCAAGCTGACGGAGTGTTGAGGTTGTTATTTGCAATATTTCTATTTGTGGTCCTTTATTGAAGACATTTTTTAAAAAATTATCGTAATTGCCTCTTGCGAGATTATTCTGTCACGATCAATGTTCAACTTTAAAGCAAATTCAGATCTGACAACACCAAGCAATTCTACAGACACGATTGCTATTCAAATGCTAAATTATTGTATTCAGAACGGAGAAGATGTCACCCTTCAATCATGCTTGGATTATTTAAAATATTTTAAAAATAATTTGGAAACAGCGCTCTTATTTATGATCAAGTATCCAAAAGAGATGCATGAAAAAACAGGAATGAGTATTCACTTGGCTCGAAACATACTTGAAGACTCTGAATTTAATCTGCTATTGTGTCAATCTAGGGTAGAGTTGGTGCTGAAACTAATTCATGAAAGTGGCCTTAATTTTGAATTTTCGTACCAATGTCTTGTCGAGTTCAATTGGAATTACCCTAATGCACTGTTGAGAGTGAATAACATGAAAAATAATGGAGAAATTCCAGAGAGAGGTTTTTTACGATCGTCAAATGCAGAAGCATCAAACACTTTTTTGACGACTAGTACCAAGCAAGAAGTACCTGTCAATGCCCAATTTGTAGCTCCATCTGCTTTCAACACGTTAAATTCAACATTTATTGCCGCTGAAACAGTGGGCTCTTCATTTATCAAGCACGAAACAAACACGTTACCAAGACATAATATTGAAACAAAACAAGAGTCAAGCACTGTATCAAAAAAGAAAACAAAGAATGCACATGAAAAATCAGTGTCGATTTGCCAACACCCTGGATGCTCCAATCCAGTCGAAAAGAACAGAAAGAAATACTGTGAATATCATGCCGCACGACCTTTGAAAATTAAGGCCATGGAAGTTGATTTTGTCAAGTGTGTATATGAAGGTTGCACAAACCCTGTAGAAAAGGGTAGAAAGAAGTATTGTAAGGAACATGGATATTCAAAAAATAAATAGAAATTTATAATTGTCATTGCTAAACGATCAATGAGCAAGGTGTAAATCAATGAATGAAACGCCTTTGTAACGTATTAATAATACAATTTTTCCCTAAATGCCTGTGTTATTAAGGGATGATATCAATGACACGTCAATGGAATGTCAACACTATCTTCTGGACGAAAATTGATTATGCTTATTGTTTTCTTCACTGCTGCTATTGCTGATATTATCTATGTGATTTGAGCGAACAAATTGATGATCCCTTACACCATTGACAGGAGGCGACAGTTGATGATGAGGATGATTTGGTTGGTGATGCATCACCCCAGGAGGAAACGCATGCGGTTCATAAAAAGGCATTGGATAGAAGGAGGTCGATGTGGATGGACTTCCTTTTGGACCATATCGGTCGTCCACAATGTGATGAGTAGGGCGGTGATGAGGATGCAATGGGGGCGGTGGAGTGTTGTAAATAGGTGGTACAACAGAAGCAGCTGGAGGTGGAATGGAATGAGGTGGTCGATCCATATGATTCCTTAGGGCCACATGGGCATGATGGGTTGTTCCAGCATTGGGATGAACATATGGAACCATCGCTCTACCATTTCCATTAAAATAAGCATTGGTTGGCATGTCGATGGCGCTTGTCGGTGGACTGACTGCAGAGTTTGGATTATTCATTGATTCGTCAACATAGAATGGCATGGAGCGTCGTGAAGATGCCGTTCTCATGTCATACGGAGCATATCTGTGATTGAGGTGAGATTTCCTTTGTGAGCTAGCTCCATTGCCTTGTTGTGAGTGATTAAGGGTTCCATCCGTGTCAAAATGTTCTGGTAAGGGTTGATTTGTTGTCGTTGAAGAAGAGTGATGACTTGTGGATGAGTAGGAGGATCGATGCAGTGGACCTCGCCCACCTCGAGCAGATTGCTGACAATTGGCGAGTTCCATTTCTCTTTCACGCTGTTTTGTAAAAGAAAAGCTTCCTTTTGGCATGGCACGACGGACGTCATGAGCAGGAAATTCCTTACATAAAACTCCGGAATAAAAATCATCCAATGCTCGATTCACGGACTCTTCTTCAGAGTATGTAATAAAAGCAAAAGGTGTTCTTCTGTTCAGGATTAATTGTAAATCTTCAATGGTACCATATTTTGAAAAATAGTCTTGAACCGCTTGTTTTGTCACTTGAGGTTGAAGACCTCCAACAAAAATTCTTCTCTTTTTATCGAAAGAGCATGTTTCCTTTTTGGCTGGAAATGAGTCCATTAAATTTTGGTCATCAACATTTGAACTTAAAGTTGATGGTTGTAATGTTTGCAAGGTTTGTGGTTGCTGTTGTTGATGATGAGATGGTTGGGAAGCTAGAGAGCTAGCTTGAGATGTTACTGCACTACTAGTAGCAGTTGGACTCTGTTCACTGAAATTGCCTTGAGCTGCCTGACAATCAATGCGATGGGTTCCCATTGTGAATGGGTGTTCTTTGTGGTCGTTTAGAACCTTTCTAGCAATAGACTCCTCTGAGAATGTCACAAACCCAAATCCTCTTGATCTACCATCCCACTTTTTCATAATGACGCAGTGAATGACAGGGCCATAATTGTTTGGTGGTAGAGAGAAAAAATCCATGAGATCTTGTTCAGTGGTGCTTTCTTTAAGGCCACCCACAAATATTCTCTTATTAATACTCGATGGATGATCTAGATGGCTTGATGGAAGAAGAGCAGTATTATTCGTGTTAAGGTGGCTCGATTGTAATGAATTAGACGTGGGATTGTTTATCGATTGTTGATGATGGTTGGAATGGAACAGAGAAGAGGGATCCTTGTTTGAGGAGTGATGGTTATTGGCATCTTCTGGATGAGGTGTGTGAAAACATTGACTATTGTTGGAAGAATAAAGGTGATGAGAAATTGTGTGGTGTTGTTGTTGCTGTGGAGTAGAATGATTGTTTGGAGTATTTGAACTAGAGCTTAAAGATGCAGGAGATGGCTGATCGTTTTCGATGGTGCTTGACAATGACGATGAAGATTTTTTGATTCTTGGGAGAGGAGGAAGAACGGAAGCTGTGGTTATTGGTTTGACCTGATCGGTAGCGGCAAGGGAGTGTGATTTGTGGTGTGTTGAGCTCTTTGATGAAGCAGCAGTGGTAGTGGTGGTATCATTAACTTCCTTCTTTCTCTTCTTGTTTGACGAGAGTGATGACGAAGGTGAGGGCGTTGTGGTGGGATTTGGTTCTCTTCTCCCTGATTCTTGTAATTTCACATGCGAACTGCTAGTCGTAACAACAGCACCACCAACGTGTTTGTCTTTCAATGTGTCTGCGTTGTGCGTGTGATTACCATTGTTGCTGTTCTCAGAGCCGCCACCATTATGACTCGAGGAAGGTTGTGATTGTTGTTGGTGAGCTCTCTTCTTGTATTGATGATACAAATGAAGAGGATCATTTAAGAGTATGGATCGATCAGCTACAATTACATCAATATGAGAGTTGTTATTGGCCGTCTCTTCGTGTGGAGGATTTGGTTGTTGTTGTTGATGAAGGTGGAGGAGTGAATTATTTGTAACGGTCAAATGATTTCGAGTGGCAGTACAAGCAGCACTGTTGGTGTCGATAGAGGAGAGAGTGGTGGAAGTGGTTGTGATGGATGTAATATGATGATTACCTAGGGATGATGACGAGGAGAGTTGTTGTTTAGTGGCTGTGCTAGTTGTACATTGCTGTTGTTGGTGGATGAGGGAGTAGTGGGAAGAAAGCTTTTTCATGATGATGAGAAAAGGAGGATTGTTGAATGAACAGATTAAAACTATTGTAATAATGATGACGATGATAAAACTGATTTTGTGTGTATGATGATGATGATTCTATGGTTTGATAGAATCACACTCACTTGTTGTTGGACTTTCCAAAGATAACAAATAATATTTGGATTTGGTGATGATGATAGTACTCGACTAGTAGTGGCAATGTTTGCGATGTTGTTACAATATCAACACTCAAAAAACCAGAAGTGATGATAACTAAGCTAATTACGCTATGATACTAATCCCAATGTCGTTCTTTCAAAGAATGATGATAACGCTCCTTTGATTTTCCACTATCAACGATTTCATCAAAGATTAAAAAACGATCCACAACAATCGTCAGTGATGATGATTTCTCTCCTTCCTTCTTCCTTTGCAAAACAAACACTCGCGTTGTTGTTGTTGTGCAGAAGAAGGGGTTGTTGGACCGACCCAAAGGCAATTGCACGGAGTAAACGAATTTTTTGGTGTGGGTAAGCCAAGACTGTGCGTTGGTCCATGCCCATAAGAGAACGTTGAGGGCAAGTAAGGGTGTTCGACGTCGAACGGTAACCACATTTAACTGTTCGCTAGAACGATGATCATCGGAATAAAAACAATGTTCAACGAGGTTGTGATTCAGTATTATCTTCATGCTTTGATACGATTTGCCAGATTGATCTCTAGTATTGAACATAAATATTAGTGGCCCGATGTTGTGTCGATGAGATATCATGATGACATTAGATCTACACGAACAGCTCTTTGGCTTGAATATTTTTCGAAGCTCGTTCCTTGTGCATATGCTAATGTTTTTCGATCCATCTAAAATTCCAAGAGACGATGGAAATAAGATTTTCCAGATTTTTCCGGAAACATTAATGGTCATTGCTATTTTGATTTTTAAATATTGACCGAATCTGAATTAATAATTACAACCAAACAAAAACACATCAAGTCATCCTTCACATGCCCAGAAACAACAAGCACATTTCACATCATCTCACTGCTGAGGATGATGACAACACCTCAGCACCTGCTTCCACTGAGACCGTTCACACAGGCGTTCAACACAAACTCCTCTCTTCATCCATTCCTCTCGTCTTTCAAAAATCAACACGGATTAAAGGAAAGAACAAGTATTGGCAATTTTTCATCTCTTCCACACCAGCCCATCACATGTCCGATTCTGACAATGATCACGAACAACAACAACAAACTCATGAAACACAACAACACTTTTCAAATTCCTTCTATATTTTCTCTCGATATGGCACTACGACTTTACATCCACAAACACATCACATTCGAACCACGAAAGGTATTTCCTATCAAAAAGAATTTCCTTCCGAATTACAAGCTCAGAAAGAATTATTAATTCGAATTCATGGTAAACTCAAGGAAGGATATCAATGGGTCTATGAGAGAAAGAAACGAAAATTTCCAATGGAAACACTTGTGAATTTGGTCAATGATCAAATTCAGCATCAATTCGAACTGTTTCAAGAATTGTCTCGAGCTCTTTTAAAATCACAACGTAATCAACAACAACAAATCCCTCGATCGAATTCAGAATCATTGAGTGAAACACATCTTCCTCAACATTTGAGAAACATTTCACTTCCAAGAGTGAGCTCACCCAAACGATTGACTTGTCATGTAATGCATCAATTGGGTTTAACCCCAACTAGGAATACCCCTAATTTACCAACATTGAATCGAAAGTCACCAGTGAAGCGAAAGAAGGTGCCATCTTCTTCATCTAGCCATTGCTCAGATAAGGTTCCAATTATTGAATTTTCTTCAGAGAGTGAGGATGAAATGGAAGATGATGATGATGCTAGGTCATTGCATTCTTCACCTCCAAGAGTCGCAAGACGAAGAAGAACAAGTAGTACTACTTCTCCAAGATCTTTGAAAAACACTAAGAGAAATTCATCAATGAAAAGAACACACAAAGAAGTGAATTCTTGTTCATCCAGTAGTGAATCTGAACAGCATTCCGAAGAAGAAGAAACAATAACGTTATTGGCTCCTTCTCATGAAAGAACCAACAAGAAACAAAGTAAGGTTTCTCCTCAAAAGAAAAAAACAAAACGTAATGAGAAGGAACCATCCTCTTATCTGGGAGAAGATCAATTCTCAGAAGAAACATCTGCACACATTCCAACCATTCTTTTGACTCCAATCAAGAACAAGAACTCACAATCTTCTGTTGCTACTACAAGTACAATCACCCCTCTAAGACTCTCTCCAATTCCATACCGATCCCGAAGAGTAGATTCTCAACAACAAGCCTCCACGACATGGACCTCGCAAGAAGAAGGTCTCGATCATGATTCTTCAGATGATGATGACGATGAACACGATAATCATGAATTCTATGGACAAATTATTCCAACAACTCCCGAGAGATTTAAATCTACGGACACTCCTGTTGGGGAGAATGAGGCTCCTACCAGTTCCAATGTTACTCGACCACTTTCAGATATTGATTCTGGAAGTGATCGAGAAGATTCCATGCTTGAACATTTATCATTTGGAGGTTTTGGAGAAGATATGCAAGACATTTCATATTCCTCTACTAATATAGATCACACATCTTCGGCCTTGGTTCAAGAACTGGAAGAAAAGATTAAAAAACTCTCTCAAACAATCACAATAGAAACAGAACGAGCAAATGCATTGGATTTGGAAAAGAATTATTTGGAGAAGGAAATGTATCAATTAGTGGAATTGCATCAAAATACACTTTCAGAGAAGGACAGAAAGCATGAAGAGGAAATTTCATCATTGAAATTACGAATTGAGGAATTGAGCCATTTTGCTGAAGCACGACAAGAGGAGCTATTGCGAAAAGAAGAAGCATTGAGGGAATTGGAAAAGAAACTGGAGGAAGAAAGAATTCAATTGAATCAACAACGTGAAATGACAGAAAGTATGTCACAAGATTTATCGTACCGTCTTGAGCAGGTTCGAAATAGAGAATCACTATTGGAAATGAGGGAAAAGGAATTACAAGAGAAGATGAAACAGCTCGAGAGCGAACAAATACTTTTGAATATTGAAAGAAGTTCATTACGTGAGCAAGTGAATACTTTCGAGACAGAGAAAGTCAGTTTCATGCAAGATATGGAGCATAAGAATACAATGTTTGAAAAAGAAGTGACAATTCGATTCCAAAATCAGCAACAAGAACTCGAAGTTGAGCGGCAACGACTTTCAAGTGAACATCAAGAAAACATGCAACGGTTAAATCAAGAAAAAGAAACACTGAGAGCTAATCAAATGGAATTTGAACTTACAAAATCATCCAACCGTGAATGGTATGAATCCAAGCGCAGAGAAATTGCTGAAAAGGAATCTGAAATTGAAAACAAGCGCTATCAATTGGAAAAACAACTCGAGTCTCTGACCGATCGTGAATATTCTCTACATTTACAAAAACAACAGCATGAAGAGCTTATTTTCAAGAGAAATTCTGATCTCGATATTAGAGAGAACTCTTTCCAAACAGAAAAGGAAAAATTCGAAAAAGAACGTCACGCTTTCAATCAACTTTTCGAAAAGAGAATGCAGTATGAGAATCGTTGTCAACAGTTAGGACTGGCTCTCTCTCAAAAACATACAGAATTTCAATCAGCCCTGTCCATATGGCTCTCTGCATTGAACAATTCTGAGGAAACTGTTGACGACAACCAAAATGATCCAAGAATGTTATTCTCTGGAGCAAATTTAGATAGTGATGTGTAGAGTTACATTGTAAACAGCTTGACACTGATTTGAAAAGTTTTTTTAAACATCCCTTTATTTGATAGCAATGATGCCTTAACATCCTCGCTTGAGAGCAAAAAAAATACAGGATCAAAGTTGTTCTCTCGTTCCATCTCTCTCATTATCGGAATATACATTCATGTATCAAGATCTACTTTATGAACAAGATAACAAAGGAAATGACAAACAAGAGAGTATTACTCACAGTGATAATTCTGTGGTCCAAGAAAGTATTACGTGTCCATGTTATTTAGTTGCCGCAAAAACTTATTTCCCTATTCTTTTTAAATATTTCAAAAGAGATGATCCTTTGGTAGTTTGGGCCAAAGCAGTTGCAAGGGAAGATTCACCAAAAGAGAAAACATTTGAATCAGCTGATGATCTTGTTGAAAATTTGATGCATATTGTACATTGTTTTGCATATAAGGACGATTTTTATTTATTGTACCCTGAACAAAATCGTACTGAAGCGGTGGTCAAGCTTAGAAATTACATAAGGTTCATATTTAGCAAAATTTCCACTTCATATACTCGTCAAGATATATCTGCAACACATCTATTAAGCGCATCATTAAGAAAAGAACTTATTTCTTCAGAAAGCTCCTCCTCCAATGATGGTAATAGTGACCAAGATGAAGACTGGAATTACTCTGAGCTACTTCCCTCATCTTTTTACGAGCAATACGAACAATTCTCTGTGGACTCCTTCAATCAAGACCCAACCCTGAGGGACTACAAGATCTATATAGAGCATTAAAACGCTCACGAAAGAGCAATGAACTGTTTCAGTTCAAGATTACAAATTCCCGAAGAAAAGAGTATAATTTCCACAACAAATTGTTCGCTGAGTATTTGCAAGATTGCATTGAAAAAGGAATGAGTTTGAATTCAAGTCTCTTATTCTTGAACGACTTTATTAACAGTTGGAAAAGAAGAAATGTCACACTTTCTTCAGAACTACATATGAAGGTTTTCCAGCACGATTGGATTTCGAAAATGTTTAGCGATTTTGGGAGAACTGTGAAAAAAAATTACAAGATGTCCTTAAATGAAGATTCTTCAAAATACTGTCGACCAGACATGCTTGTTGAGGACGACGCTGTTTGTATGGAATGTAAATTAATGAATGTTCTCAATTGTGAAAGCGATGTTCGGAAAGCAACGCTTCTTCCCCTTAGAATGATGCAAGAACGAGATTTGTCGAGAGGGTTAGGTCTTCTTGCAGATTCCAAATATGTGTATTCCTTTTTTATAGAGCTTGATAATGATAGTAATTATTACAAGTGGATATACTGCCATCGTTTTGAAATGGATCAATTGTATGACCGATGTTTATTATTCTTCATTTTGCTTCGGTTTTTGATCCAACGAAGCGGAAATAAGGTCTTGCAAGCTGAATATAATAGATTAAAAGCTCTTGCAACAACTTGGGAGAATGAGAAAAAAGGTAATGATTCAAGTGCTACAATTGTTTCAACTCAAAGCAAGGGTCGCCCCACAGGAAGTGTATCATCCTCAAACCATTCGTCAACTCAACGATCAATCCACTCAAACACAATATCCACAACACAAGCACAACAGAAAAAGAAACTATTATTCAAGAAACACATTAAGGACAGGACTGAACGAATTTTAAATGACGTTTCAAATTTTCACAACATCCACAGCCATTAAGAAAAATGGTTCACTATACCATGTTTCTTCTCGTCACCAAGGATTGTAAAATCATTAATGCAATGAATGAAGCTGAAATTGCCAAAACTTTTGGAACCTTTTCTTTGGATCTCTTTGAAAACACGTTCATGCATAATGTACACACTTTGTTGACAAAGGTAGTGATGAAGAATGATGCAAATTCTTGAGGAGAGGAATTTTCCGGGATTGAAAGAGAGGATTGTTTTGCTGCTCTTACTTCTTGATGATGATCCTTAAGAACAATTTCTGCAGCTACGGATGTGGAAGCACTGGAAGAAGTGTTTGGTTTCGACTGTTTTCTTCCAAAATACGAAACGTCGTAAACTGCAAGAATGCGAAATACACCAAATACAAGACCAATGACAAGAGTTGCTAACGCTATCCATGACATGGGTCGAAAATATTGGTACCATGCCATTAACAGAGTTTTTGAGAAAGAACCAACACTTATGAGTTGCTTTGAGAGAGTGGACGGCATGGTGGTTGCAGATAGGACTTGAGTAGTTTGTTGTTGTTGTTCTTGTTATTGGATTTGAACCAATTTCTTGAAAACACTGTTTTCGTGCCATGTCATCAATTTCATTCCTTTCTAAACTTTGTTTCTTTTTGAAATGACCTTCCACAAATTTTGATATGAAATGAACAACATTGATCAAAAAAACAATAGATGCTTACTGCCATGTTTGCCCATAGTTTGGTGTTGATGGATTCTGTTTGTTGTTTCAGAACTTCTTAAAAAGGTGTTTTTGATAGTTCATCACCACAAAAAATGGTTGCAAACCATCCAGACCTTCCGACCAACTCGGTAACGGCCACAAAGAGCTCCACATCTTGGAATACAACAAACACAACGACAAATTCGGAATTATCTTCGACTTCTTTTGAAAATCTACAGGATGATACTCATTCATCAATAGCCTCCACCTCCACAGCAACAACAACTCGTTCTCCCACTACAACATCGTCATCAACAACGTCCGAAGAAGCAGATGCGGACTTGCAAATTGTTCTCCAACATCAAAGTTATCATTCAAAAATAGGAACGCTTTTAGCTGTAATGCCCATTGTTTTTGGAATTGCCTTCTGTTGGGAGAGAGGCCTATATCCCTTCTTAATATCCACATTTATAGAGCATTGTGTTCATTATACGACCAATTATTTCATTAATGGGGTGAAATCAATAAGGAGTTTTTCGACCGTGAATACTATTCGGGTGTGCATGGTTGCAGCGTTTCACATGTCGCTGCAGGTGCATTATGGTCCCTTTGTGGCTCTTCATGTTTTTACAGTGTACAAGATTGTTATTACTACCATGATGTGGTATTTCGATATGAGGTTTATTTTGCTTAATGGCTCGATACATGTCATTAGTGCAGTTCTAGGAAAGTACATTGCTTTGGTCAACGAGATGCACACGTTGAGTGATTTGGAAATCATGTTTGCCTACCGATCCGTATTTGAGGTTTTTGTTTTGCTGACAACTGTCCTCATCTCGTCACTTTTATTTTCACAACACATGAATCAAACCAATGAACAATACACCAAACAGCAAATAGAAATCACAAAGGAAAGAGTTCGAAGTACAGAAAAAACGAAATTTATTGCCAACTTGAGTCACGAAGCACGGAATCCATTACATGGCATTCTTGGCAGTTTACAACTACTACGGCACAATGTTTTGGGAAAGGATGAAAAATGTGAACATGGATGTGAGCACTGTCTTCTTCAAAATAATTCAACCTCAGAGCTTGTTCAGGATATTGAGGAAAATTCGAAAACTCTACTTCATATCTTATCGTCTTCGTTGCATATGAGTAATTTAGAACTAGGGAAAATCAATTTAAAATTGGAGCCCTTTAACATTATGTGCTTGGTAGAGTCTATTACTTCAGTGTTTTCGCAGCTGGCACTTGAAAAACAATTAACTCTTCATTCGTTTTTTGATGTTCAAAATGTACCAATTTACTTGAAAGGAGATTCCACGAGAATAAGCCAGATTGTCATGAACTTGGTTTCCAATTCCATCAAATACACCTCTAAAGGCTTTGTTAAACTTACCTGTGAATTAGCATCAGAGAAGGACCTGAACAAATATAATGATTCTCATCCAAAGGTTTCAAAGAAAGGAGATATTGTCTACATCAAGATAGAATGTCAAGACACAGGTCGTGGTATTCCAGAATCCCAATTACAAAATATTTTTCAGCCTTATAACATGATTGAAGAAACGACTCTTTCAAAGAAACCTGAAGAGTTCGAACGTTACTTTAAGCAGTCTGAGCATATTACTGGAGGGAGCAGTCTTTTGATTCACACGAATAGAAATGGCTTAGGACTGAGTATATCGAAATTCATTATTGAAAAGATGAATGGTACGATAACTGTCAGTAGCAAAGAGAATGAAGGCACAACGTTTACCGTCATCTTGCCTTTACAGAAATTTGTTGGTGAAATATCAGAGAAAGCAGCAGTCAATCCAGATAATATTCAGGAAATTTTACATTACGAAGCTGACTCTTCTCAAAAGATTAAGGTCCTAATTTTTGACTTGGATCCATGTTTTCGTCAAGTGTTACAGAAATATGCACAATTGTTCAAGAGAGTTGACAGTATTGAACAATATGCGGACTTTGAAGAGTTTGATCGCAAGCGTTATTTGGCAACCCAAGATGACGAAAAACAACAACGTTCAGGGGACTCTTGTTGCAACACCTTAATCGTGTGTATGGAACAGTATTACGAACAATTGAGCAATTTCTTTCAAACGAAACAGAATGGACAGGTTGTGGTAGTTCCTGCTGTTCCTAGAGGTCGCAATAGGATGTTCGAAAAGATCAAATACTTGTCAAAACCAATCAAATTTGCAGATCTATTTGATATCATTTCGGATCCACGATTCTCCAAATCTTCTCTTCTTCAAACTGCGCCATCCTCTATCATCAAAACACCTCGGAAAAGTATTGTTGAACTCGATTCTCAAACTGCTGCCTCTTTAGCTTCACACATGAACATGGAATTTGACGATGAAGTATTGTCAAAGCCGGTCTTAGTTGTTGATGACAATGGGGTCAATCGAAAAATACTCTCTAAAATGCTTCGAATTATGGGCTTTACAGACATTGATTTAGCATGTGACGGAATGGAGTGCTTCAACATGTTTAAAAAGAAGAATTATTGTTTGATATTATTAGATTGTGTCATGCCTATTTTGAGGTAAGTTTGTTGGTCTTGATGAAATTGGTATAGAAAAATTTCAAACCTTACATCAACCTTAACAGTGGAAAAGAAGCATGCGAAATGATTCGAAAATATGAAAAGCAAAACGAGCTTGAGCATGGTGCCAATTTCACTCGTTTACCAATTGTTGCTGTGACTGCCAACACGTGGGAAACGAAGGAGGTTCTACTCGCTCAAGGTTTCGATAGTGTCATGTACAAACCTATTGCAATGGAACAATTGAAAGTAGAAATGCTCAAAGTGTTGTCCCATGCAGAGAACTCGTCCTTACAACAGGAGTGATGTCCTCATGATTTCGAATGGATTTACAATTGGAAAGAGAGGAACGTTCGAGACAAAATTTACAGAAAAAGATTCAAAACATTGTTTACTGATGAAAAATTTGGTTCGGATATGAAGAGAAGTAACAAGTTGGAGATAACGCATACCTAGATCATAAAAGTGAGACTTCATCATTCAAAAGATTCTTCACTGACATCATCAGTCTTTCAAAATTACGGGATAATCTCCCTCCTTTCAACAACGATAAAAACGTCTTGTGCAAATTCAAATTTATTATTATTATTAATATTTACGACAACAACAACAACAACAACCGACAAGCCATAAACGCTTGCCAGTTGCGCAAGAGCAACATTAATATTCATCCTCCTGATCATTGATTCCCGATTTCAAAAGACTTTAATTTTCATCATGACCAACAACAACAAGCAAAGATCGACAAGCAGCATGGCATCTCGGCCGTCGCCTCAACCCGACTCTTCTCATCACAATTCAAGAATTAGTTCGGCCATTACAGCACACAGCTCGAGAAATGTTTCTCTTGCTGCTACTTCACGAATGAATTCTGCAATCACTATCGGTGCACCGTCATTGGAAAACAACAACGAGATGTCTACTGGATCACTTCCTCCCCTCAAACAACCACCACCACATGTAGCAAAACGAACAAGCAGAACCAAGATGACCATAACGCCCACACCTACACCTCCACCTAGGCAGCATTCGGAAGACGCAGCATCTGGTTGCCTTAAGGAAATTAATTGGGCTCGTAAAAAGAAAAAACGACTGAAACCAATTAGCTCTTTTATTGACGAGCAAGTTGAACAATTCAAACTCAATGAAAGTATTCAAGCTGACAATGAGGCAAATACATGTTTCATGACGGAAATGCATATCACTTCACCGGATAAATCAAAAACCCGCACCACTCATACCCACAATTCAAATGAGCTCTTTGTGGAAGATCCGTTTGATGCTTCGGAGAGAAATAAGGATGTCAAGAGCGCCATAAGTAACACAATCAAACGAGTGAACCAAGCCAAAGAAAAACGCTACGAGTACTGGAAAAATCCCAATGACAACAGTTTTGTTGGCTCCCCTCTGCTGAATAAGTTTCCATTTCATGAGCTGGAGTCCAGTAATTTTCGATTATTATTTAGCAAATCTAAAGAATTTGATTCAAAACCAGAATTCACTAGAGAACGATTGGAGAAGGTTTTTGCTCCCTTTAAAATTTATCAGAGCAGCAAAACTAATTTAACATCTGACATTTCGCTTTTAAATAATGTTGAAGAACATGGCGAAAATCAGCAAGAGACTAGTGCGAAAAAAGTAGCACCTAAAATGGTGGCTGACAAAAAATTTGAGGAAAGAATTGATGACGAATTAAGGAAGAGTGACATACAGTTTAAGGACCTTTTTCAAAAAGCTCATCATGTTGTTGCTAGTGGAAGAGTTCAAGGTGGATCGTTACAAAATCCGTTTGGAGACATTTATTCTAGTTATTTCAAACAACATCAATCAGAATATGGTCAAAAGAAATTGAAGCCAATCACAAAATTTGTGAACTCTGACAACTGGCGAAATGAGTTTTTAGGATCTCAGATTTATAGTCAACAATATTTATTAACTGCCTTGGATGAACGATTTGGAAATAGACTTTCTGTACTGCAATCTCGTCAGAGCTTGGAAAAAATTGCTGCCGTATCCATGAAACGATCAGAAAAATATGCAGTCTGTGGATTGAATGAACCTCAAATGAGAAAACCAACGGATACTTCATTGGACTCGATGTGGGACAAACTGAATCACACATTGGAGATCACGAAAAGCAAGTTTTATCACTCTGTACTTTTTTATAGAAGATTATTATTTCACTTAGAGACGATCAAAGTTCCCACCTCTGAGAATGAATATCTCATAAAACTATTGGAATCCATAAGGAAACATATTATCGAACACCCAACAGATGATTTAACTAAGGAGGGAATTTTCTTCAATAACATTAAGCCGTTGGTACAAGAAATGAGCAAACTCGACTCTAGAACTTCAACCAGTAACTTACTCAAAACCTCCAGACTTGATAGTTTCTTTGGAAATCGTGAGACTGTGCGAGTCATTTTATTCTTCATCGCAGAGTTGAACATTAATAGCGAAGATTTATTTACAAATTTTTTACATCGGCTTCGTCTCAAACACAGCAAGGCCATGGATGAACTCAGAATCAAGCTCAAGGAACGAGAAGCTCAACAACAAAAACTAATCCGAAAAGTGGAATTATTTCAAGTGGAGGGAGCTGACAAGAACTTTATCAGAGCTATGGTATTGGCTTTGCAGCCTCAATCATTTCTGGCTGGTGCTATAATTGTCAAAAAAGGTGATATTGGTAATGAAATGTATTTTATTTTGAAAGGAGTCGTAGAAGTTGTCACTGAAGATTCTGAACCCAAAATTATTGCGTCTCTCGATGAAGGCAAGTTCTTTGGAGAGGTCAGTGTTGTATTAGATCAAACAAGAATGGCTACAGTTCGAGCTGGGACCGATTGTGATCTCTTTGTTCTCAATAAGGATGCCTTGAAGCGAATTGAGGAAGAATTCCCTGAACCTGTCGAAAAAATCAGAGAAAAAGCCATAGAACGATTGAACGCTGCCAACAAGTAGTTCCTTGAAGTGGAAACGGGTGAAGATCAATGATTTTCTTGCGTGTGACTATTAGTAACAATCTATTAGGACTCATATTTTGAACATGAGTATTGATACCTTTTGTTTTGATACACCACATACTCAACTACAGTTTATCTCCTGAAATTCTCATTTATTAGATATGTGTTAGTTCCGACCATTTAGTAGTATCTTTTGCGCCGTTATTTACAAATATAGTTTCGGATCGCCATTTTGATTCAGAAACAAGACTGCCGCTAGTGTCACAACACGTTTGTAAAGAACATAACAGCACATTACTGAGAAAATTTGGTGAAGGCTTGTTAACCCTTCTTCTCAACATACAAAAACAATAGAACAACATCAACACACCCATCAGCTCCACCAAATTTACTGGAGATGTCCTTCCGTAATCTATTTGATTCTGATACAACGTTGCAACTGGTGAACCTCTATTTGAATGACACGTCCGTAAAGGAGTCCAACTATGCGATTGCTAGCCTCGGGATTAGTAGTTTCTTCCTCATCTCTTTCATGGTTTATGTGACGGCGTTCATTGGATTCTGGCTGACAGAACGATTTCGAAACGCTTGCACGGATTGTACAAAAAAAGAAGAAGAATCCAATGAGGTGAATGGAATATCCAAACCACAAGTGGATGAGATGACATACTCTTCCACAAACACTCCCAATACGCCATATTACAGTGGACTGAAAAAGAGTCACACTTCTGATGGCATGAAGACTTCAAAAATTAATCGAAATCAAAAGATAATGTTTATTCTGGTGTTAGTGCTGGTTGTGGTTCAATGTTTTGCCTTAACAAGTCGTATGATCAGTGATAGCATGAATCTTACCATGAAAGAAATGTCACTCAGTGAACGTAAGTTTAATTTGCATGATTGAACCATCCAAATTCTTAATCCTCAATTCACTGCAGTGAATGAAAGTACTGTCATTGCATTTTATGTATTTAGTTGTGCAGAGTTAGGATTAACATTTGGGAACATGATCACAACTGTCATGATCATGTGTTTTGTTCAACATGTATTGTAAGTACAGGTTGATAGATTGCAATCTTAATAATGACTGACATGACCATGCAGTTTAATTACATGTCACAAAGTGAAGGCGATTTCTGACAAGACATTTAGAGGATTGAATATTTCATTGAATATTTTCAATGTCATTTACTTTCTTCTCTCGAGTGGAATTATTATTACCATCTCCATTGGCTTGTTCCTTTTAAAGCTTAATATTGGTAGAGATTTCCTTCTCACCATCTACATTATGTGTTTTGTAATTAACAGCTCCATGATTATTTTGGAAACTGTATTATTCAACATTTTTGGTTACCTTGTCATTCGAACCATCAATAGACAGAGTACAAAAACTCAAAGAGATCAAAACAAGCTGTGTGCAAAGAGAAAACACTTTGCCAAACTCATTGTTCTGCAAGGAGCTTTATCCTTTTGTGCTCTGTTGCAGTTATTGGCTGTCATATTCCAATCCAGTGCAAAGGCCTCAAAAACTCATGGACTAGAATTGGCCTATTACTTTGTGAACTCGTTTGGTATTTTGAGTTTTGCTGTGGTTGTTCTTCTTCTTTATAATCCTTTATTCAATTATCCTGCAAATAAGATGAAATTTGAGGATGTAGCAGATTACGTGAAGGAAATGCTACAAATTGAACCCACAACCCCAACATCACCTTACTCTCCTAAAAACAGTGCAAGAACAGACTCGGCACGAAATGCCAATAATTTCCTTGAGGTGCCAGGAGCCAGCGGTCAATATTTGAGTGTTCATTCAGAGTCATTTGGTGGATCCTCTTCCTCATTAGACATTTCCACAAGTTGTGACAGCAGCAGTCAAAACATGGAGGAAGTACACGATTTGAAGATTGTGGATGTAAGGATTGAAGAAGTCAAAAAAATGTCTGAGTCAACCACACAAATTTTTGATTCACAACAATAAATAAGAGATAGTTAAATAGGTACAGATCAAGGAAAGTGTTAGTCTTTATTCTTCCCTTAAGAGGACTCTCAACGGTGTGGTTCTTGAGTAAGAACGCTGGTTGTGAAAGTTGTGGAATCACTTTGGGTTTTATTTGAACAACTCGGATTGTTGCAATTCTTTAACTTCATTTCGTAACCTCGACAAGGTCATTGGATAATTATTGTTCTTATTGATTTGTTGCTTCTCTTTGGTGACCAAGTTGGTTGGTGCCTTTCCCATGTAGGCAGCTGCTGTACGTTGTGCAAATTCCTCTTCAGAATCCGACAATTGCACAGGTGAATTTGAATTCGCTGCCAGTAATTTCTTGTCCACATTGCCAAACCTATAAATCTTAGCGTCACTTCCAATGAGATTAACCTCTCCATCGACAGCTGGTTCTCCATTCGTGGTTGGGGTTGGTCCTCCTTCATTTCTAAATTCTAATGCACTTATGGATCGTTGTGTTAATTTGTCAATAATCGTGAGTGCATTGAGAGTTTGTTGTGTGAGTGGTCGTGAATCACCAGAATTACCTTTGTTAGTTCTATTCTTTGCCAACATTTTAGCTCCAAAATTTGAATTGCCATAGAGTTGAGGCATTCTTTCCTTATTGGGAGATGTTATTCGATTGTTAATGTCGAGTGGATCGTCAGTGGTCGATTTGGATTTTCGTTGTTGCATTGAACCATTTTCTTCTCTCAACGATCCTGAAGGGAAATTGTTAGTTGAAAAACCGAGTGGGGAACCTTGTCGAAAATTCATGAAATTTGCAGGTGGATTCTCTTTGAATTGTTGAAGATCCTTATCGAGTTTGGCATACATGGACATGATGAAATCATAGTCAGATTTGATCTTTTCCAACTCTTTTGAATTTGCCTTAAATCCAAGTAAGTGATACACATCTTTTTTATCCATCTTGGCATTGATTTTATCTTCCAACTCCTTTTTTGTGTTGTAAATATTGACTGTGAATTCCTCTCTCATGTCTTGTTTCAGGGTGACAATACGGTGTTGAAGAGTTTCTTTCAAACTGTCGACATAATCTTTCAATTCGTTCACTTTGGTTTGAATTTTTGTTAAAGTTAAATCTCCTTGTAGTCGCATGGGAGCATTCAAATCGGAAAAACTTGCAGAATTTTGATCTATTAAGCTGTTAGGAGAATCAGTGGTTTCAGTGAGAGGTGTGAGTTGGGTCGTTGGGGTTTCAGGAGTTGCTTCGTCTTGTAGAGACGTTATTCGCTTGTTAATGATGAGAGGTTGTTGTTGTTCCTCGGATTTAGGTTCCTTATTTTCGGTGGTGGTTGCAGTTGGAGTTGACGCGTCGCCTTCATTATTTACACGAGTTGATGAAGAATTGTCACCACTATTGGGCGTCTCTGCAGTTGATTTTCGTTTGGCTTTAGAAGATTTTCTCTTCTTCTTGGCTGCATTTTCTGATTTTTTTATAATTTCAGCACCTTCAGTGTCACCTTCATCCACATTGATTTCATTATCTCCGAAAGCAGTATTTCCCTTATTAAGAGATTGATTAATTCTTGGTTGATATTAAAAGAATTCATAAAAAAAGGCACAACTCTTTTGGCAAAATAATTACCTACCTTGACAATCGATTTTGCAATTTTTTGAAATTGTCAGCATATTCTCGTACCGAGTCCTCTAACTTGATGGTTCTATATTCAAGTCGGTCGACTAATTGTTGAACAGAGGTGACCTTTCTGTCGCCTTTGTTCGTTGTGTCTATCATGGATTTGAAGTGATCTGCCATGGTAATGTCTATTTGTCGAATCTTTTCTGCATACTTTGTTTTATGTTCTATAATTTCTGCTGTTATTGATGAAACCTCTCTATCAACAACAGATTTGACACTGGTTTGAATATCTTTCTTGACACAATCCAAAATTAAATCTTGATTTTCTTTGAGAGAGTCACCAATAGAACCCTTAATATCATCTTTTAAATTATTAATTTGCTTTCGGAGTTCTGTTTGAGTGACAAACGACTGTTCAAGAGCTGCAATTCGTACAGAATTGTTTGACGATGTGTCTAGAATTTCTTTTAAAACCAGAATCAAGTTACTGAGATTGATGTTCGTATGAACATTGATGAGGTTTTCCAGCAAGAGTGAAGCATTTCCAGTCTCGGATGGCATGGATTAATTTACAATGTTTTGTATCTGATTCTGAAAATAAAGACGTGTTTTGTGAATCAAAAGTAATTTCATAAATAGTACGTGATGATGATTCCGATATCGGATCTGTCGACAACAGTTGTTTTGAAATTTCAACGTTAATCAATGATTGCACCACTCGTTTGTAACGTTGTTCAGATTGAACACTTTGAGAATGAACAAAATTCCTCTCCGGCACTGATGTCAGTTGATCCAACCACAGTAAAGAATTCGTTTAAAAGAATATTTTTCAGACAATTATTATAATTTACGCGGTTTGAATTTTACAGTTTTTTCGGTTGTGTACCGAGAGAGATAGATGCTCGTGATCCTGTCATTCATAAACTCTGAAATCGAGAAGAGATTTTATTTGACTTGTTTCTTACCAACCTTATCTGAGGCAGTTTGCTTTTGCTCTGGATATTGTTGTTTAATTTCTTCCCATGTCTTGTTGCTATCAATGAGATTGGTGAGCACAGAGACCACTTCATTCATTGGCACAATGACTTGCTCACACGAGTCACGTTCTCTGATTGTGACAGTGTCGTCGCTCACGCTGCCATCGTCAACAGTGACGGCAAATGGAATACCAATATCATCGGCACGAGCGTATCTCTTACCAATGTTTTGATTGGCAGTGTCAACACGGTAGCTGATACCATTTCTTGAGAGTAGTTTTTGGAGCTTGGCAACAACTGGTTCGTACTCTGAATTTTGTAACTTTGGTAAAACGACAACCTTGTAGGGAGCAATCACTGGTGGAAGTGACAAGACGCATCTTTGCAGTTTGTCTTCATCCGTGTGTTCTTGCTTTGGTCTCACCCAGTAGCTATGTTCGAGGAGACAATAAATAATACGACCAATACCAAAGGATGGTTCAATAACTGCAGGATTGTAGTGTGTACCTTGAATCTTGTTCTCACGCTTTGGGAATGAAATCAAATCACTTGTAAGTTCAACATCTCGGTCTAGTTCAGGCACACGGATAGTAATCTTACCAGTCTGGTCCAATTCACGTTGAAGTTCAAGCTTCTTTTCATCAGGAAGCGAAGTCAAATATTCAATGACTGGTTCTTGATCCTTTTTCAAAATCTTACCAATCTTTTGCTTGACTGGTTCAACGGCAATATATTCTTCAATAATTGGCTTGTCAAATGTTTCGTATGCAACAAGTTCGTTCTTGGAATGCTCAGAGTGGCGTTCCAAATCGTAGCAAGATCTATTGGCAATACCGACCACTTCAATCCAACCATAAGATGTCAACAATTCGCAATCCCAACAGTCACGAGCATAGTGAGCCATTTCGTTGGCCAAATGTTGACGGAATCTAATGGCACCTGGCAAAACTCCGCATTGATCCATGAACATTTTAACTCTAGCAATATAATAAGCGTGTGTGAAACTGGTGAGCCATTTCTTTTCCAATGCTTCTTCAATTGTCATTTCAATTGGTGATAAACCTTGAGTTTGGTTTTCACGTGAGAAGAATGGCACTCTGATGTGCTTAACTTGTTCCAATTTTGGATGCACATCTCGTTCTGGGTTCAAGAAGTGTTCAATTTCTGCCAATGTGAATTCTCTTACTCTGAGCAAACCAGATCTTGGAGAAATTTCATTTCTGAAAGCTTGACCAATTTGAGCGGAAGCAAAAGGCATTTGTTTACCGTTGTATTCAAGTAAACGCTTGAAATTGACAAAAATACCTTGTGCTGTCTCTGGACGAAGGTAACCCTTCACTTTACCAGTTGGACCAATTGGTGTCGAGAACATCAAATTGAATGGATATGCCTCTGATAACTCGTTACCAGTTGTTGGACTCTTGATGCCATATTTTTTGATCAATTCATCGAGACCCTTTCCATCATAGTCGTCAATCTTCTTCTTGACCAAATGGTATTCTTCAGCAGTTTCCTGAGACAAGTTTGGGTTCTTCTCTAACTGAGTGTCAATGAATTCACCGACGAGCTTGTCAGCACGGAAGCATTCATTTGTGAGCACATCCTTGACCATCCAGTCAGCAAATCGTTGTACGTGTCCGGAAGCAATAAAAACAGGCTCTACAGTCAATGAACTGCAATCGACCTCGAGCATATTTTCTTCAATGACAAAGTGTTTTCGCCACAGGTCCAAAAGGTTGGCTTTGATGGCACAAGCTGGTGGACCATAATCATACAAACCAGCCACACCACCATAAATTTCAAAGGAAGGAACAACAAAGAATCTTCTTGTGAGCAATTCGTTAAATTCCTCGGGGTCAATGTGAAGCTTGTCCGGATTTGCTCTATTCCATTCTTTGGTGATTTGACTAATTTCTGTGTTCAAATCATCAATTTCCTTTCCCTTTTTCTTGATCGCATCCTTGTCTATAGGATTTTGGTTCTTTAATACGGTAATTTCATCCTTCAAGGTTGCCATCAACAATTTCTTTTCGTGGAGTTTCTTACCAATTTGTTCGTAGGCTTCCTTGGTTGAGGTTTTACCTCTAGCTTTGCTCGAAGCCGATGATGTGCTGCTGTTAATCATTTTTTTTTGGATTTGAAAAAAAGCGATGACGGAATTTTACAATTTAATTCAAAGGGCAACGGTGTGTGCAAAGTTTGATGTGCAGAATCTTGAACGATTATTATTAGAGACAAGTTGAATGAAAACGCACATGTTCATTAAGCCATTACGTTAAACGGATAATGTCTTTTTGGATGCAATCCACAACTATTTTTTCTTCTTTTTCTTGTTCTTCTTGTTGGTTTTGCTTGGAGATGCAGAAGGTGATGCAGTGACGGAGACATGAGCATCAGCGACGGGTGGCTTTGAACATGTATCATGAGCAGTTAACTGAAGAGTTTCAAGTGTTGATGAGGTCTGAGTGTGTTGCTCGGCCGAGCATATCTTTGACTGTTGTTCCAACAACTGCTTGACTTCCTTCACTGTTTCTGCTTGGGTAGCAAGAACAATTGCAAGTTCATCGTACACCTTAATTTGCTGCTCGGTGAGTTCATGAAACATGAGCTTGTACTTGGTCACGTCAAGTGCATCCTGCTTTGAAAGCATGCTTTGCTCCATCAAGACCTTTTCGTCTGGCTCCAGTTCTATAACTTGTGGAATATTCAATTTGAACACTTGGGTACTCTTCTCTGCTATTTCTTCCATACTACTCTTTTGCAAAGAAATTGTCAATACACCTTGTTGATTTTGGAACAAGTGATTTCTTCCTCCAAGTATTAAGAGTTGATTAGAGTTAACAAGGCAAGAACAATGTCCAAACCGAACTGAGTCCTTTGTATGTGATAATGAGTGCTTCCATTGTTTCCATACTCCATCTTCCAAGTTGAATGAAAGCAGATCGTTAGTTGGTCCTCCTTGTGACCATCCTCCATAAAAATATATCACATTTTCGTGAAGCACAGCCGAATGCATTTCTCTACCTTTTGGTTTGATTCCCTCGTCATTAGGCTTAATGAGGCCCCACTGCCTTTTGTCCACGTTAAACTGCCACAATTGACCACTGTACAACGAGCCTTCTGTTTTTCCTCCGAAGACATAAAGATTGGAATTTCCATCAAAAACCATGGTGTGGCCACGTAATGGAGGAGGTTTCAGATTACTTTCCTGGAAGTCCAATTCAACTACATTCCATGTACAACTTTCCCGATCGAATACAATCAAATCGTCTAGCAATTTAGTGTCGTTATTGTCTGTCATCATTTCTCCACCAAAGATATAGATTTTGCTTCCTACACTCGCAGCCGCGTGTTGCCTTCTTCCCCGAATTTCATGTATATTCGATGCCTGTACAATTTCCCATTTCATATCATTCACATCAAGAGCGTACAGAGTATTTCCATAACCATTCGTTCGCATATTGTCAAGCCCTCCGAACAAAAATAGTTCCTTCTTGTCCCCGACCTTAATCAGGGACAAGGAGTGACCTTCAACTTTTGGTGGCAAGTCATGCATACGTGGGAGTGTCTTCCATGAAACTTGTTTAAATTGTTGAAGGTGAGGGTCCAGAACATGAAAAACATTCGAAAGCAAGCCATTATTATTTTCACCCCCATACATATAAACGAGTTCCTCATCTTGTATCAATGACATGAGAAAGTATTCGGGGCCTTCTCCAACGTTGCTCATTGTACTGATAATGGGCCGTTCATCTCCTGAAACGTTATTGCTTAAATGAAGAGATGAACTTTCTTCGTTGAGGGAAACATTGCCTGTGAGGGATGATGTCTCCTGATCGAGGGTAGCCATTTTTTTCTCTGTAAACTGCAAGGCTGTAACGCCTTTAAATCACCACAATTGAATCTGGAGCATCTTTTAAAGCTTTCCATTCAATGATTATTGAGTAGAATTTTGTCCGATGTGTTTATTGACACCTCACATTACTTTGGCACGGAATGTTGTCTTTAACCTTGACTTGACAATATTAGGTTCGGTGGATAGGACCGCCTATAGACCGTGAATTTTTTGGCGATAAAGGTCTTTGAGCCAAAGTCCAAGACGTCCATTTGTGCCCTGGTTGGTTTGGTTTTGAAGGCGTGTGGAGGGACCTTGTGTAATGAACACCCACTATTAGAGCTGAGTCCTCAAAAACGGCTAACTCTCCTCTGTAATCGAGGAACGACTGTGTAATTTCCCAAGATCATCTCTCATTCATCCTCAAGGAATGATTCTTAATGAACTGAACGGAGAATTGATGGTTCATGGTGCGACTCATCCAATCATCAAGCTCTAGTGTTTAAATGACCTCTATTCCAGAGCCTCAGAAATAATGTTTGGGATTGGTTAAGAGTCATCTCCAAATATTTCAAGTCACAACAACTCTCACAACGAAAGGGTCCACATCTCCGATTCAGTCCCTGCACATCTATCGTTTTAAATGTTCTATCTGTAGTTGTAAAATAAGCTCTGTATTGCAAAAAGAGAGATGCTGAGGGCCCTCGGCTCTTGATGCCTTATTTAATAGTTCGTTGATATTGTGTAACCATCACTATTGTATACAGGTGGTACAGAAATGGTTACACAATATCAACGAACTATTAAATAAGGCATCAAGTTCAATGTCTTTAAATGTTATCATGGCAAGTATTACCGCTCAATCATGGACATTTGATGGGTTACTTTACATTTATAACCAGCATCATGAAAAACGTAACATGGATAAAATTTACCTCAAAATTCAGCACAACAGTTTCCTCAAGTATTAAGACAAAAAAATTATTCGAATGAAGTCCACTTGCGCCACTCTTGTTTCACTTCTCATCCTTGCAACCGATGATGGTTTCTGCAACTCGTATACGAGAGAAAACCTTTATCAATTCAAGAAAGATTGGTCTAGGAGTCTTAACAGGACCAGAAAGTTTTGCTTGGGATTTAGTGGACCAAGATATCCTCTACACTGGTATTGCTGATGGAAGTATTCGAAGAGTAAATGTCACCTCTGGAGAATCCACAGTATTTGCTTACAGCGTTCCATCTTTGAATGCCACAACAAGAGCGACATGTGGACTCAGTGTATGGAACGAACCTATTTGTGGTCGAGTGTTAGGTCTTACCTTTGACCATGATCGTAATTTAATTGTTGCTGATGCTTATAAGGGAATTTTACGTATTTCATTCAATAATCCTTCACAGGTTCAAGTGTTGGTCAATTCATATCAAGGAGTGCCAATCAAGATGGTTAATTCTGTCGTCGTCATGCCCGATGGAAAGACCATTTACTTTACAGATTCGTCGTTGGCTTTTTCGAGAATGCAATTTGTAAGCATTGTGTTGGCCAACAGTGCCGATTCAAGATTATTCAAATTCCATGTTGAAACTGGTGAGTTGCAATTGGTCATTTCTGATTTACGATTTGGAAATGGAATTGCATTGTCATCGGATCATTCCTTCCTTGTCATTAATGAATGTTCTGAACGAAGAATTAGAAAATATTACTTGACTGGTCGCAAAGCTGGAACCAATGTTGTCTTTGTAGAAGATATTGGTGGATATCCTGATAATATTAAGACTGATGAAGATGGAAACTTTTTGGTTGGATTGTATGCTGAAACCAATGCTGATGTCACTGCTGTGCAATCTTCAATCAATATTAAGAATATCTTTTTAAAACATGTTCCTCCATTGACGGCACTGAATATGGTTCCAGTCATGGGATTGGTTAAAAAGTTGGATAGACATGGAAGAGTCATCTCTGTTTATGTGGATAGAACTGCTACGTTTGTTTCTCAAGTTTCTGAGGCTGATGTTCATGAGGGAAAGATGTATCTTGGGTCAGTCTTGCTTCCATGGTTGACGGTTGTGGATTTGTCCACTGATTTGCAATTGAATTAAATCGTAGATGTGTATTTCAATAAATTATTATCTGTTATTGAGAAACTTGTTCAAGATACTTCTTTTCATGCTACGTAGAATCGATGAACGAGTTGTTTCTTTGATGATAAGCCTTTGGAAGAAAAAGTTCTTGAAGACACAATTAAGGATTTGGAATCCTAGGAAGATTCTCTAATTGAACTTGTTAAATGATAATATTGTTCGTAACGATGATCTGGACATGAAACATGGATAACATTGAGTACGAGCTATTCAAATTGTATGAGGCTTTGGAAAATTTACAATATAGCCTCCTCACAGCATGAACAGAGATAGAGAACTCTTGCTCAACATTTGGTCGTTACGTTTCATTTTCCCGATCCAAAAGAAAATTCGTTCTCGCGGTGACCGTTTTCATTTCACCACGCTTGATCACGTTATATCTGTGGTACACACGAGAGAGTTTTACCCTTAATTTCCGAAATATATTAGGGCACCTGCTACTATACGAGGGTGGTAGAGAAATCATCTGACGCAAAGCTCATTGATTTTCTAGATCCTCTCTTACCTTTCATCTTCTTCTTGTATTTTATCCATCATCAGTGGTGTATCATCATCTTACATATCCTCATTGAATTTGTCTCGTAACACCTCCTCCTAACAATAATAATAATAATAATTGGTTGAAAATGTTAGCCAAAGATCAGCTCTATTATTTTGTAGACATTCAAGAGCACACATACGATTTAAAAACTCTAAGCAATACATTCTTTCCTCACAGTAATATCAATTTGTTAAATATACCGTCGAGTCTGGGAGTGAGGCCGAAACAAGTAGAATCCTTAATCAATGAGGGTGTTCATAATGCACTGGAGAGGCCTGTTCCCGAGACTTTCTTTTGTGGCCTCCTGAAGAAACCTCTCAGCAAACGAGATCATTATATGGAAGCTTTCCTTAATTTACTTCCTCAAGTGGCTACAGTTATTCGAGAAGGAAGAGAAATCGAGATTGATACTCAGCATATCGTATATGGAGATTTGATCATACTCAAGGAGGGAGAAACGTGCCCTGCCGATTGTAGAATTATATGGATTCAGGACGAATTGTTGGTCGATGTCTCAGTCATTCGAGGTAAGGCATCGGAGCCAGTGTCTTGCACCACGTACCTGACCGATACACTGCCGTTGAAAACACACAATCTCATATTCGCAGGAAGTAAAATCTTGAAAGGGAAAGGTATTGGTCTTGCCATTGCAGTGGGAGAGAGACGTGTACAGATTCGAATTGTCGATTATGTTCTGGGAAAGGAGATGGGAGTGAAAATTGTTCAGCCCACTTCCGTACCACTCGTGAGACCTCAATCACAGCCCAATCTCAAACGAACCTCCTTTACATCCGATCGGTCGGATACGAGTGTGTCGAGTGCAGGCGGTGTGATACGGAGAGGTTCATTCAGTGGTGAACGGAAATCGATGGAGAGAAGATCATCCATGGATCGAAAACCATTGGATCGAAAGTCCATGGATCGACGGTCGGTGAAGGAGCAAGGTTCTGCACAGACCTATAGTAGACGATCCTCGTCTTTTTCAAAGGTACCTTACATTTCGTCATCATCTTCGCCCTCAAAGATTACTTCACCAAGAAACAAGAGTCTCTTCCAACCAACAACACCCACCAGATTTTAAGTGTCGATTCAATCGCAATAAACTTTAAGGTTCCATTCTCTCAATGGAATTTGAAAATATTAGAACTTTTGAAAAAGTAACCATGGTCGTATTTTTGACTCTCATTTTTGTTGTTGTTTTGGACATTAAAGAGAGAGAATCATAATGACATAACTCTTATTTACATATATTGTGTACTCAACAATTATTGAAAACCAGTGAGAGAAAATTATTCTTGCTTTGTAGTGGCAACAAACAAGTAATAAGGCACACGTACAATTCCACAAGTGAGACTAGAAACGAGAGGAATTCTTGCCATATTTTCCTCAACATGAACACTGTCAAAATGATTTTCCAGGTATGGCAAATGGTCAGCATTCACAGAGAGTTGAAGTCCCCAATTCAACAACAAAGGCCACAAGGCACGAGTGATGAGACTGTGTTGTCTTGCTCCAGCTTCTGGCTTTCTTCTTGAAACATACAAGTCAGCAACACCCAAAACACCATTCTCTTCCTTCAACACATTAGTCTTAATATTTTCCAACAATTCAATCCAATTCAATGAAGTTGTTGAGTTTGTCAATGAATAGCTCAAAGTGACAATATCAGCTTTCAAATTATTTGGCAATCGGTAGGAGACTGGATCTTGTTCCACGACTTGAACCAAATCATCACTCAAATTCAAAGTGGCAGCTTGTTGTTGAGCCTTCTCTAAAGCCTTCTTGGATGTTGCAATCAAGTAAATCTTGTTAAAACTACTCTTCAAATTGCCATCACGACACTTGTTGGCCATCAAGGAGAGATCGGATTGAGCACCATAATCAACCCAAACAAGTTTCTTAGAGGTATTGTTATTTTTAGCTTCCTCGAAGACAGTACTCAGCAAGACATCCAATCCGTTTCTTCCAATGACGTTTTGGCTGACCCATGATGATACAGTACACAATGTTTGATCCACACTGCTGAAATCTTCAATTCGCAAATTCTTCTTGACGCGTTCATATTGTTCTTTCAATAATTTCAACCAACTCTGGACAAGATCATTCTTCAGGAGCTTTCCGATCACCCAATCGTTGTAGGCTAACTGTAACTGTTCCTTGATGGTTTTATTTCCTGCCAATACAGGAGCAATGATCGTGTTGTAAAAGAGTTGTAATTGTGTGAGTACAACCACGGCATAGGAAGCCAAAAGTGTATACAAGGCAGATTGGATCACTCTCTGGACCAATGAATTTTCTTTAACCTTGGCCACTAACTGATGGTTCTGTATGTAATGAATGAATGAATTGAGAGCTTCCATTGAGTAGGAGCTGAGAGAATTTTTGTAAAATGGAGAGAGTTGAGAAAAAGGCTTAGTATGGACCTCTGTTGAGCGAGTGTGCGATTGGTGTAATAATTGGTTTTTTTTGACTCGATGAATTCTTTTGGCTTGGGTTTGAAATAGCAAACGCCGTTTTTAAAGATAAATGTTCGAACAGGAATTTTGCTCAATTCCAGGCGAGACCGCAAAAGTGCTAAAAAAAAGCGAAAAGAAAGTCCCGAAGGAAAATTTCAACAAAGTGCTCGAGAGAAAGTGCCGACCACAACCATTGAAATTTTAAAGTTGACTTCAAAAGTGTCTCTTGGAAAATTTTCCAAGCTTTTTATTAGGCGTACACGTGTGGAATATAATTTAATCTACGAAGAAAAGAGAGGACTGCATAGAGATGATTAACAGGAGAATTTTTACTCGCAAATAAATTGTACAACACGTATGTGACCACTCGTACATGGAGAGATCTCTCAAGAGAGGAACTGTAAAGAATAAAGGCTGATCTGCCAAGGAGAATTCTATTTGCTCATGGAACCACTGATCTTTAGGTTTGTTTGTAAAAAAACCTAGAACAGTGCCCAATACCCAATCATGAACGCAAGAATCATGTCGTCAAAGGGCATATCCACAAATTCAACTTTTTTTGGGCATATTCATTACTTTTTCGAGATCTCTAACCGCTAACTACTGCTGTCAAAAGCACGCACAATGAAAACTACATTATTTGAGGCGGGAAAGCTTCAAAAAAAAATATTATGACTACAAATGACCCTCATCATCAGGAGCAGTCCGTAGTTGACGGACCACCACCTCAACAGGTACCCAAGAAACGAAAAGGAAAAAAGATAAAGAAACCATTCCGTCAACGAGTAAAGATTGGATGGGGGAAAACAGAGCGTAAAGATAAGATTAATTATGGAATTACTATGGGTCTTTCAATAGCGTCGGCCCTATGCAATTTTATTATTTGCATTTGGGCCTTTGCTGTTTTCGGAGTAACCAAGGCCGATAGTCATCGCATTGGAAACACAAAAGCATGTCTATTTACCTACGTGAACAACATTTTTGCAACACTTGCAGTAATGGAATTGGCAAGTGGTCTCATTTCTGCTGCCCATGTGGGATCGTTTATATTTGAAATAGTTTGGTACGCCTCCAAAATTAAGGAAAAAGGAAGCCCAATATCTACGACTGTACTTCTCGGAAAAGGACTTCTCTCCCTAATCATGCTCCTTGCTTTCATAACTTATTGCGTCTATGCTTTTTCCCTCAGTTGCCCTTCTACTGATCTCATTCCTGGATTCCAAGCAATTACAATATCCTTTGCTGTTGGTTATGCTGTATTTTGGGTGTTAGGCACTGTTCTAGGTTTTCTCACCTTCCACTTCAATTACAATCTAGTTCAATATCTGAAGGAGGCTATTGTTGGAGATGATGATGACGACGAATCTGACGAAGAGGAGGATGAAGATGCCATCATGGAGGAGGAAATGAAGAAACAGTGAAACCTCAATGTACAGACTCAGATGGGACAGCTCTAGTATTCCACTAAGCCTTTTCCACAATATTTAAATATTTCATTCATTCATATTAAAACTAAGAATTTATTATTGCTTCTTTGACTGAGTTGGTCTCTTATGTCTTCGTTCAATCGATTGAATGAGCATTCTGAGCTTATTGGCCCGAGTGATAGAAATCTTTTCGTGAGCAATCTTCTTGATGGCCTCGGTGTTGTTCTTTCTGAAAAAGTTCTGTCCATACATACCAAAGTCTCTAAAGTTATTCTGAATGGTGGCATGCACGGAGAGATCTTGCAACATTTGTTGGTACGATTCATTGTTCTCCGTGTGACGATTTAATTTTTGTGTTTCCTTCTCAACAATGATTTGAGCTGTTTGTAAGGGTAAGAGAGGAAATAAAAAGGAATGTTTTTTCGAATATTTAGCAAAAGGATTAAAATCTTCGGAAGGTAGCGTTGATGGATCTTTTACGAAACGAAGGGATTGAAGAGCAGACTTGTCTTTCATCAATTTTGCAGTTTCTTCAGCATTGTCTCGTTCCGTCATCATGGGTGTCTCTTCTAATTCTTCAATGTCTTCTTCCTCATCGGAATCTTTAAACGTTTCAGAAAGTTTGAAAAATCCACTAGTGCCTACGGAGGTATTGTTGGTATTTGAACTTGTTGGTTGAAAGAGATTGGATGCCAGAAAATTTGATTTTGAAGATGATGAGGTCAGAGATTGTTGATCCGATGAGTCGGAAGTTAAAGCAAATGCAAAGGAATCGACTGTTGTTGTTTGTGAATGATTATTTGTTTCATCATCACTTGATTCTTGTTTTTTCGGATTTGTTTTAACCTTCTTTTTGTCTTGTTTTTGAGAATTTGTGGTTGATGCTGTTTGGGTCTCTGCATTTTCTTCTTGTGGATGCGTTTGTTGTGAAAGTTTTCGTTTTGGCATTTTTTTATTGAATTACTAATTTTGTTTGTGGCTGAAGAAAAACCAATTCACAAATTCTATTGAATGGCATCATGATTGTATTCGAATCATCAATTATTTGAAATGATGATTACTTTAGAGAATCGCTCAGTAAATATTCTACAATACGAAAACCAGTCATGGACGAACTTGGTTCAAGCTCAATAAATGTTGCTTCTGGAATGTGAGATCGAATGTCATCTTGAATGTCAATAATTTCTCTCTAAGATTTGAAATGTTCAAAAAGAATTTGCGTCAATTTGAACCATTTCACAAATGTCACTTTCGTCATTATTGACATGAACAAACTTACCTCCATAGCTTTGGTAACATCTTCAGTATACCAATTCAACAATTTCATTAATTCTTTCACATCCTTGCTCCTTTTGATAAATTCTTTTTCATATCCTAGCTCTTTGAGCACTTTACAAAAATAGTAACCATTGAAATCAACCTCAATGGTCACGCTGAAACTAGTTGGACTGAGCCACTGCGATTGAATAGCATACACAGCTTCAATAGATTCTCTCTTCATTAAAATGTCTCGAATTTTTGCCTCCATTTTGCTGTCAATACTTCGTCCAATAAGATAATTCCTGTTGAGTTGGATGAGCGAAAGTGAAACAAGTCCTAACAATCCTCCAATGGCCAATGATGCAACGCTGTCATAGATTAAATTATCTGTATAAATGGACATTCCAATTCCTGCAAATGCAATCACTACACCGAGACAGGCAGCTATTTTCAGAACAGACAAGTTGGTCGCAGAAAATATTAAACAGTGCAATGAAAAACAATGATATGTACAAGATATAAAAATGTCACTTGGAAATTCCCATGAAATCTCTCAAACTTACCCAAATCTTCTAATAATACAGCTAAAACCATAGGGTCTTGAATAGATTTCATGTATTGAAAGATACCCATGTCTTTTGGTTTTTCTTCTCTCAAATCCTTAACGACGCTCAACAAGACACCTCCATCAATGATAAATGATATCAAAAGTACAATTGGTGTGACTAGACCATAATGACACATCATGGTTGTGACCATTTGATCGGGTAAAAACGAATTCAAAATCATGTAACTCCATGAATCTTTTTCAATCATGTCACTTGTAGGAACTAGGACATTGTGATGATGGTCAGTGCCGTTAGTAGTATCAGTAACTTTGGGATGTGTTTGATGGGAGGGTGGATGAATAAGTGTTTGAATACCATTATACATGACCGAAAATGAACCAATCCACCAAATTCCCAACGCTGAAACGAGCGAATAAAAGTAACGGGCTCGTCCATATCCATACTGATACTTTTGATCCGGAGTTTTAGCTGATTGCTTAATACCTAAATATAACAATCCTTGATTGAGACTATCTATTAGAGAGTGGCATGTTTCAGCCAAGAGTGTGGCACTACCTGATGTAATATATGCTGCAAATTTAATTGCTGTAATGAACGTATTTCCTGCAATTGCTTTTACCACAGCGTTTCTACTTATTTTCTGTGGATCATAATCCTCTTTTTTCGTGTTCTGATGTTTATTATCAGAACCACTACTACTTGCTGATGTTTGCTTCAAACATGTTGAAAACAATCTCTTTTGGGAAAATAAATTATGACTACTACTCTCATGATGATTCATTTTCAATGAATATTTGTCGTTGAAAATACTCATAGTCCTCGTCGTGGTCGTACCCATGGCACTACAACTATTACTATTTCTTTTCAGAAGAAACAGAGACCATGATGAACGAATCGGAGCAGCTTGAGCCTTTGGATGTTCAAGCAAGCTCCGCCAAAGCCAACTTTTCATTTTTTTGATTTTTTCACTTCTTTTTTCGGGTTCTTCGTCATGGTGCCTTGTTCTAATGATGATGATGATCGGTCCACTCATTCAATCATGACGATGGAAATTCTTCAAGCCATCATCTCAGAGATGAGAGAACATGAAAATTGAAAACACGTGTTTTTTAGAAAGAAAAAAATTCTAATCTTGATTGAACTTATCGTTCTTCATCATCGGATCAACTTCAGAAAATGTCTTCAAGTATATTAACCACCATAGTCATTCCTGCCTATAAAGAAGCAGCCAATTTGAAAGAATTGGTTACCCGAATTTATAACGCCATGGGAGAACGAGGAAAGAAATCAGCCTCGCTTGGTATGAGTCGGGAACGTACCGAAGTCATTGTTGTGGATGATAATTCAAAAGACGGAAGTGAAGAGATCATCAATGATTTAGCAAAAGATTCAACGAATTTTCCAAATTTAAGAATTATTGTTCGTACCAATGAAAAGGGACTGAGTAGTGCAGTGTTGAGAGGATTCAACGAAGCAAAAGGCGATTATTTAATGTGTATGGATGCCGATTTGCAACATCCACCTGAAGATGTGCCCATCATGTTTGAATATTTATTGAAAGAAGGAACACAGGTTCCAGAATTTGTTCTCGGAACTCGATACGGCAGTGGTGAGATGAGAGTGGATAGTAATTGGCCATTATATCGTCGAGTGATTTCAAAAGGAGCCCGATCGTTGGCACGTCCTTTAACACCACTCTCAGATCCCATGTCTGGATTCTTTGCATTACCAAAAACGGTCTATCAAAGAGCTATTCAAAATAAGGTGAATCCTATTGGATTTAAGATTGCTCTTGAATTGTTTGTTAAGGCAGGCGTGAAGAGACATGCCGAGCATGCATTTGCATTTGGTGTGAGACTTCATGGTTACAGTAAGCTTTCCTCAAAGGTCATTATTCACTACTTGCAACATTTATATGATTTGTATCAGTATAGATATCCTTTCATGTTGCATTTGGTGGCATTGTTTTTAATTTTGTTGGCCATCTTTGTGTTTTCTAGATTATTCTCCAAAAAGTAAAGTGAGATTGATCACTCCTGTATTTATTGACAGATTTGTGATTCATGTGCAGAGATCGCTGGTGAAAATGAACGGTTGTTAATTCGATGCATTTGTTTAACATGTCCAAAAACCATTACTGCTGCATTCCAGTTGTGACGAATAATATGACCATCTTTCTGATTGTGAATTATCGCTGATTTTGTCTTGTTCTTGCAAAGAGAGAGAAATACACAACTCAAATTCCATCCAAAAAGTCCAAAAATTCAACCTTATCCATCGTCGTTCCATTAATGTTACAGCTCGCCTTCTCCAAATGTGATGAAAATTCTTCAAACCATGATCGTTGAGGATAAATCATTGAGTTTTGTTCCAAGCATTGAAGTAGGCAGAAAATGTCATCCACTTGACCAAAAGATGTCGTGCCATGTTTCGTGCGTTCATTGAGATGCTTGGTAAAACCTTTGGAGATGGATTTCGCTCGACTCTTGATAAACTTTTTGAAAAACATGTCATTGTCAATGGCCATTTTCATGTCACCAAACAAAATGTAAGTGAGTTTACATTTTTGAGGCCCCTCACTTTTAAAAATGTATGAATACATGATATCTACAAGTATACGTTCCTTATTCTTCCGTTTTTCTTCAAATTCTGCTGATTTTGCAAGATTAATGTAACAATTTGTAATTCGATCGTGAAGTAATGTTTGTACAAAAATAATTTCTCGATTCTTTGAGAATTTTCCTAAATTATAACTTTCACTCGAGTAAGCCATGGAGAGTGGTTTCTTGGGACCGGCACATGCTTCCACTTTGTACGTTTCAAAATCTCCAACAGTCATTGGATCTGATTTTAATTTGGCTCTGAAATTTTGTGATGAATATTGACAACAGGTTGTCATTGAAATATTTCATAATATATCTCATAATAAATATTCAAATAAATAATAATAATCAATAACTTACTGTCGATCCACAATGACCTTATAACTATCTTCAACCGAGAATGGTAATGAAATCTCTACTTTGGCCAATTTAAAACTTGTATTCTCTTTTTCTTCTCCAATGAGAAACTTCTTACTGGATGTAAACACTTGATACGAGGTCACCAAGTCCTTTTCCACATGGAGAGACTTTTCAGTCACCTTTTCCCAACTGTCATCTTTACACAGCATGATAATAAAATAAATATCCTTGTCAGTAATGGAGGGAGAAATGAAATCCTTGGCCTTGTATCGAATATCAATTTCATAACCTAGTTTGATATTAATTGCAATTTTCTTTGTGAAATCTTCACCTTTTGAAAGAAGAAAGTTTTTAGCTTCTGCACTCTTTTTGAATTTTGGAAAATGTTCCATAGCCAAATCCTTGTAAATGAAATATTCCACATGGTCAAAGATTTGACACAATTTCACTAGAATATCATTGAATTGATTCTTATCTTCAATGTGACCTAAACATTTGACAAACAATGAAGATTCATATTCCAAATTATTGTTAGAACAAGCAGAGAGATGTTGTGGATCATTGGACGGAGGCGGTGTCGATGACGACGATGCACTCGATTTTGTATCTTCGATATATTCTAAAATTTCAGCTTGACAATTTCCTTCTTCTTGAGGTGTTTCTACAATGACTGTTGGCAATTTAATTACATCTTGATCCAATTCCAAACTTAACATTTCACTTTCAAATGCCTCACTTTTAAACAATTGTTTCGTCAAACTCATACTATGCACTCGAACATTGCCAAACGTTTTCAGTACTGAACTAATCAAATGCCATCGCTTGTCTAGAGAGGTTGTGACCTCCGATGACACATTCAATTGATATTTGGATTCCTTTTCCATATAATTCGAAATCATTTCTTTTGCCATTCGATACAATTCAGCGACTGTCTTTTTATGAGAATTCAATGAAAAACTCGATGAAAAACTACTCTGAAGATTCTCTGTTTGAATCTCTGGACGAATGGACATGGTCGTTGGATTATAAATTCCCTTCCTTTTTTCCTTAAATTTCCACATGTCTCTCAAAAAGGAAACTGTCTCAGGAATTGCAAACCGTTGAATGTAATTGAGAAATACTTCTCGACTCTCATGAATTTCCATGACTTCGACCAGTTGTAATTCATATTCATCGGGATTAAAGAGTGGTTGTTGTTGTTGTTGAGAAGGCAATAATGAAGGATTGGTTGAGGAGATTGTTGTTGTTGCTGGATCGAATGGAGAAGAAAGAAGATCATTCTCACTTCCAGTTGTTGTTGTTGTTGTCATGGTGGTTGTGGTTATATCGGAGAGAGTACTACCAGAACCACGAGGAGATCGAGGTGACTTTTTCATCAGAACGGAACTTGTCATGTGGTTGTTGTTATTGTGGAGTGAGAACAACTACTCAAAGATTGATGATGATCACGTTGATGATGATGTGTCAATTCACAAGTTGATGATGTGTCAATTCAGATAATGGCGATGATGATGATGATTGTTTTTTCAAAAAACGACAACGTGATGATGCCAAGCGAAAGGAAACGATTCGACCTTGAGTATGTCCTCTGATTTGTGGAGTTGTTATATTTTGGCACCTTACACCTTACACTTAGTGTCAGTGCTGTTTGCATTTGACACTTGAGTGCCAAATGAATGAAGTGTGATTTGTATTTGACACTTGAGTGTAAGGTGCTATTTGTATTTGACACTTGAGTGTAAGGTGCGAAATGGATGTTGATTGAAATGGAGGTACTAGTTTGTGAACCTAACCATTCTACTTCGTGTTCATATAAAAAGGTCAATAACGAATCTATCAAACAAAAAAAAGGCATGATTTAATCTCATGCATCTACTTTCCTTACGTATGTTAGCTTGGACCTTCGTATGAAAGGAGTTAGGAGGCACAAAAGATGATATGTTCCTTTCATTCACGATGATAGACTCAGCCGTTAAGAAGTATGACTACGAAACAAAAAGTGATTCCAGTTCCCTTAATTGTACCCTTCTGATTGCTTCAGCTTGACTTTTGCTGTTACCGTCATTCCCAAATCACTCAAATTCGATTACATCAGCCAACAACAGTGTTGAGCACCATTCTCTTGTTCTTCTCACCGTTTTTGTAACAATTGAACAAAAGTACATGTCACTATGAAGAAAAGCTGGCAAGTTTCACTCCCCTGTTGAACCAAATGAAAATGTTTTCCTGTACTGCAAGTGTTTTTCCTCAACATAAATCGTCTCTCAAGTTCATTCAGCAAGCTCTGACATCCTGTTCGACAACTTCATCTCAATCTCTTTCAACGCCGTGTTGTATGGCGCAACATCAACTCAGAAAACAGGTGCTGAACGGTGGAACATTATTTGAACCACTGCCTCACAACGCTTCACCTTAGAAAATGAGCGTGAGTCTATTCTTCCCTCCATAAACTAAATTTCGTAGATGATCATTTGGTATTGTCGTTGTCAGACGAATTGTCCAAAAATTGCGTTCGTGATGCTGTTTCCTATACTCGATGATGATTGTGTAGTGAAGAGAATTTTGAGGCCCGTTGCTCACAACCGTGAAGAGGTTTGTAATTTCAAAATAATATTTAAAGTAAATAAATTAAAAAATATACAGGTGCTGATGACACTCGGCACTCAAGTGTCAGGTGCTGTTTGCATTTGGCACTCCAGTGTTAAGTGCTATTTGTATCTCCTTTTTGGGACTACCTGCCATTGCAAACGGCACTAAAGTGTAAGGTGTAAGGTGCTAAAAGGTATGTCCTCCGGGTTGGCTGTGGCCACTAACGGTTGTATCGTGTCCTTGCCCAACGAGATTTCCAGTCGAGTTTTCCTGTATCCATCGAAGACACGCATCTTTCCATGCAAAATCCATGTCCGTTTCCTTATTGGGGAGCAGTCTCGTATTAGGAGGAAGAACACAGTTCCCTGTGGATGCAGATGGATCACATTGTATACCACGATTTGCACTTTTAACGTTTTGCATCATGTTCATATTTGGCAATTCGTTGGTAATGGACCTGTGGCTTGAAACAGTCCTGTCATCCATGATAACCTCTCGTGTATTCTGAGGTAAGAATGTTTGATTTTGTAATGTAGATAATTGCTGTAGCTCTTCGACCAACGAAGAAGAATCCAGGATCAAGGATGATTGCGTTGGAAGTTGTATTTGAGAAGATAGTTCCTCAAATCTTGGATTATCTTCACCATGCCCATTAGTTGTTTTGAAGTGTTTCTTTGGTCGTTCTGATTCCATGTGAATGGCCTTGGTGGTGGACGGAAGAGATGCTTGGTCCTCCTCTTTTCCTTTCGAAACCACTGATTGGATCAAGTGTGGTTGTTGTGGATGTAGTGGTTGTGGATTATGTGGCGCCACAGGACATGACTGGTGTTCATCTAATGATTGTTTTCGTTTCTTTTGCGTTTTTGGAAGTTCTAAAGACAAATCACTGGTGCGAAACTTTTGTTGGAATTGTTTACAAATCTTCATGGCTTGGGAATGCTCTTCTTGTTGAGGACGTGAATTGGAGCATGTTGTTGTGTTTTCAAAACGTAACAATTGAACACCTGGACCTGAATGGAGATCTAATTCGAAATAATTTTGTTTGAATGCATGAGTGTTAATTTCCTGTCGAAGTTTTTTAGGTTGTTTCAAGTGCATGCTGGAGAGCGGTGAGGATTGCCGGAGATTTCCTGGTGTGGATGAATCAACAGCAGATTCTGTCTTGTTGTTGTTTATCATGATCGAGGTGTTTCAAATTTTTTTAAAGATTGATCGTTTTCGAACAGAAATTGCATTTTTGCTGAATTTGTGAAAAAATGAACCCATGAGAGAAAAGAGTAATGGTCCATATATGGACGAAAGATTCGAATATATTAATCATGTATTGTACTTGAGTAAGTTGAAGAAGTGTTTAATTGTTCTGTTTTTGATGAGTCGCTCAAAAAGAAACTGTTGTTGAGGGATGATGTTTTGTGATATTTCCATATGGAGAAGTTCAACGAGCTATGGGGATCCACGCCTTGATGAATTTCCTTTTCAAGCTTAAACCTCATCAATTCTTGTTTAAGTTTTCTTGATCATTCTTATGTGCTTGTTGTTCTGTTAATTCCTTTTGAATGGTTCCTCATGGACGGAGCATAGATACATTAAAAAATTCATCATCCACTGATCGAAGGCTGAGTTCGGTACGTTGCTTGGTTTCGGGTTTGAGATAAGAATCATGTTTTTCATTGCACTCGATTGAGGATGATCAATGGAATCATTAGTGGAAGGTTGGTTCATCCATGAGAAATTTGCCATGCCGGGCGGTGGTGGTGAGAGGATTGGTTTTGTCTTGGAATCCCTGCAGCTGCTTACATGATCCATAACGATCTTGGTGTTTTGAATGTGCTCGTCCTCTGTAAGGGTTGTTGTTGTACAACGATATGAATCTGCAGAAACAGTTGGAAAAGAATGTTCATGATGAGAAGAGAGCAGGTTGCTGTTTGGAAAACACGTCTTGCTCAAGCGTTTGGACTTTTTCATGGGATTGGAAGATGGAGTAATATTCGAAGGCACTCTTGCTCCAGCACCAATCATTGCAACTCCATCATCTTCTTCAAGGCTCTTTCTCTTTTTGGGATTATTGATGGATAGATCCGAAGCTCTCAAACGTTGTTGATACAATAGAAAAGAAGGTTTTGATTGATTCTCGTTACATGAAGGAACTCGTTCTCTCAGAACTGTCATTGAGTTTGATTGGACATTCATCTCAAAATAATTTTGTTTGAAGGCTTGTGTATTCAAGTGTCTTGGAAGTCTCTTCCGAAAAGGTAGTTGAGCTGTGATACCGTTCGTCTCATCCTTGGAGAGAAAGGCTTCGGGACGTTCATAGGTGTGGCTATTCATTGGTGTACCTTTTTCATCAAATTGGAAATGTTCAAATAGATCAAAAAACCAAGTTCTTCAAGTGAAAATCTCTCTTTAAAAGGATCTAAGAACAAATCAAGGCCTGGATCATTAATTTGGATTCTAGCTCACGAAGTTCATCCTTGGTTCTTTCAATTGATTTTTTGAAAATGTCATTTCAATTCTTTGAGAGACAGTGAATCACTAGATGACAATAATTCTTCCACAACAGTGGTAAATTTTTGGAAATTAAAAATTCAAAACTTAGTCAACCAACCTTTTTTAATGTTCCCTTTTACTACCGAATTTTATTGTGAGTCTACAATGATTAAAACTGTGCATGCTCATAGTAGATTCAAAATTTTGACGTTTTCCATGTCAAAGATGTATTATACGACCACTGCAACACACTCACAAAACAGAGTAGTTGGTGATCGTCGACATCTAATTCAAGATATCTTACATTTTCAGTCCAGGCTCCAAGGTTATCTTAATCAATTTTCCTTAATTGGAGAATTGAGTAAAGAATAGTTCTCAGGAAATGTTTCTCATTCCCTCTTCCCAACCTTCAAAAAAGAACATTTCCATTTTCATTTCAGTTTCGAAAGGGATATAAAAACAATTCGATGACACAACACTACTCTTAATCATCCAAAAAACAAAAAACACAATGAAATTCACACTGTGTATTCTTGTAGCTCTCGTGGTACTCTGTATCGCTTCCTTAGCAAATGCTCAATACGGTAATGCTTATAATGGTGCCTATGGTTATCAAGGAGGATTAGGTTCGAATTATGGAGTGGCTGGTGGAAATTACAACTCGTATGCAAGAAATACACAAATGTACAGCAATCAGGTTGCAGCTGTGAATTATCAACCTTATGCTGCGTATGCCAGTGCCTATCGAGGACCTTATTACTATGGACAAAATTATGGTAATTACTATTCCATGCCATTCTGGGGATATGGTGGTTATCCATATTATGGAGGTTATCGATGGTATTAAACGCATCATGTTTGCCTTGATTGGTGTGACGTACAGTGAAAAGTATTGATAATCTAGATTTTGTGCGATCGAATGACATTTCATGTAAAGATCATGATGGACGTAACGAGAACAACGTTACCAAGTGATCACCATTGTGAAATCTACTTTGTGAAGGACCAAAGATAATAAACTCTTCGTGAAGTTTAGTGAATACAGGTCCAATGACGATGATTCGGCGACCTATCATAAGCACGCCGACATACGCCTCAATGAAATCGGCCAAAAGATTGTAATTTCTCCCCTCCTGTCGGATGATCGGTCGAAGGGAGAAGAAAGAAAAAACCAATTCGCTGTTCAATATAACTTGAAGACGATTCATCAAAAAACCAATGTTTAATTACTTCGCTCCTTGACGTTGTTTGAAAAAACCATTAATTGCTTGTCCTTGTATTACTCTCTCTTCAACCATGAAGAATGGAAAGATGGTGCCCAATCGACTTGCAAGCACACATCCTTATTTTCACCAGGACGAGCCAAATGCACTCGTTCAAATTCCAAGGTAGCAGCAGAGGGACGAGCGTCTTGAAACTTTTTGCCTTGTTGTCCTTCCTGGGCCTTAAGATTAATGTATGAGCCGACGCTCAAGAGAGCAGTACCAACAATCCAAGTTTGTGGTTTGTAGACTGAAATTCAATTTCATTAGTATCCGATACGCTCCAGTCATTGGACAAGATGAATCACTTACAGAAATATTGGAAGCAGGTCTTGTATTGGGACATGATGAGGGTAAAACGATCACACAATGATATATTTTTTTTAATTAAGGTAGGAGCTGTAAAATGTACAAAAAAGGCAATGTCTGTGGTGTGGTTTTGTTTTTGTATTCAATGTACATCTTTTAGTTTGAAATGTCTCAGAGCTCTCGAACATATTACCATAGTCTCATTTAACATGCATTAACAGTGTTGTCACAACTTCCTACTGTCAGTAACTAAAACAGTCACGACGTTTATTCTTGCTTCTTCTCCTGATTCGATGATTGTTGTTGTTGAGGAGCCACACTCCAAATCATCTTAATCAAAGCACATAATTCATTACTCTCATCTCTACACTCAGCCACGACTCGAAACGAAGGTCTCTCTCTGTACATTTCCATTTGACTCAACTCCAAAGGAACCACATCTCGACACGTTCCACGAATCAGTCCACGCGATTTCTTATAATATTCTGCACAAATTTCCACTGGAATGGCTCGCAACTTTCTCGGAGCAATTTGATTGGTCACTTGCAAACCACAAACCAAATCTCCCAAATTGACCAATGCAGCTGCATGGATGGAATTGAAAGGATTTTTCATGGAGGCTTTTTCAGTGATACGGACCACTGTTTCGTGTTCATCCATGCTTTCAATGATGGGACGAATATTATCGGTATAGGGAGCCATAAATCCGATTAATCGGCTCATGTAGTAATCGGCGAGGAAGGTTCGTCCAATGAATGGTAATGCATGAATGGTTTCATAGATTTTGAGAGGTCTAGCTTTCGAGACTCGTAGAACTGGAATAATGTAAAGGAAGGCGAAAACACTCAGCACAAGAACAAGCACGATGAGAAATACGAACAGGAGAGTTTGGAGCATTTTTTTTTGTAAACTTGGCGTCAAGCAACTGTCACTGTCACTTGAGGACATATTTTCCTAGGACCGGGATCCTTTGTGTGGTCATTTGTGAACTCGTTCCACTTGTGTCACAATTATCTGAACAACACTAGGCCCTAGTTCTTCTTTTTTGGATCTACAATCTCAATAGGTGTCATTTCAGAGGCTTTTTTGCCATCCTTGTTTGTGACAGAGGTATTGGTTAAAGGAGTCAGCACATCGATCAAGAATTGAGTACGATGTGCACCGAACAGTGCTGTTTCTCCGTTCTTGTTGGTGAGATTGAAAATCGTATTTCGTTTCACCTTTTTCAAGTATTGAATCAAATCAGTGGCCAAATATTCCTTATTTTCATGTTGCTTCTTCACTCTGGCCTTTGTGAATTGTGTGTTTGTGCAAAGTAAATGCAAGAGAGAGTCTCCAGTATCCGCGTTTTGGTGGGTGGCCCAAGGAGACAATATTTCTGTTTCAAGATCACTTTTCATAAAGATCTTCTTGGGTCTTCTATTCACAGAGGTTTCTCCGGACACAAAATATGCTGTTAAAAATACAAATCCATGCAAGAAGCATAACTCTAAAAGCGAGGTCTTGTTTTCCGGTATTGGAGTCGGAGGTTGGATAAATAACATTTTGTTTGTCTCAAGTGTTCGATGCACATGTAGAAACCAATTACTACGTTGTTGAACAGTTGTCACAGGGCGCGCTGTTGGTGCTGTTTTGGGTTTCTCACCACACACAGTGAACATCTTGTTAAACAGGTTACACTTCTCTTCCAAAGTCGTTTCATGAGCAATGAAATAATCCTCAAACAAATCAATGCAATTTTGTTCAAACTGCTTTTCATCAAATATTTCGCACTTTTGAATATATCCACACAAAACATGCACAATTTCGTCCAATGTTGGTTTCACAGCATCGCTCTTGCTCGTTATGAACGAGTAACAAAAATCATATTGATGTTTCTGAAGACCTTCCTCAAAATGAGCTCGTTTAAATTGTAGAGAGCATTCTGAGCTAATGAAACCAGCCAATTCCATGTTAAAAGCCTTGCATGCAATATCTAATAAATCGTCTCCATTCTTGGTTTTTGCAGTTATCATTTGTTGGAATTCGTCATTGGTGATAAGGCCATCTTTAAAATTTGGAAGCAATTGATACTGCAACAAATCTTTGCGTTCATGCTTGCAGCAAAGCTGAAGAATATTGAGTGGGCCCAGATCAGTATCGTAGTAGGAGTATTTGGCTAGTTTAGGGCAAATTTGAGAATAGTGAGGTTGTCTATACCAGGTATAATGAAGACGAGGAACATTGAATATTTCTTCTAAAAAGAGCATAAATTGATTACCTGGAATACCAGACAATAAAGCAAAATATAAAAAGTCAATAGCGGACACTCCATCTTCAAGAGTGAATACTTTGTCTAAAACACTCTTATCCAGTACTGGAGGTGTTCCAAAAAATAGAGCACCAATAGGAGAATTCTCAAAGCCATCCATCAAATATGTTATTAAACAGGAGAGGGCGTTTGCTTTAACTCCAAGCAAATTTTGATCTTCAAATTCATTGTCTTGAAATTGAAATGGAGCACTCAAGAGTTCATAAATATCTTTGTCTTGGCTAATTATTTTCAGTAATCGAAAGATATAACTCTCAGTGTGACGAGTAGTTGCAACCAATAATTGTACCAAGAATAGCGAAAGATTGTGGGAAAGGTTTCCTTGTTTCATGAGCTCAGAATCCATGCTTTGAATGGCGTCCAATACATTACATCCATCACCTACCATCAACAAAATAATTGCAAGGTTCCCTGAAAGGTCGACTGGTGAATAATAGTGCATTCCAGAACTTGGAATATTCGGTTTGAGGTCCTCAAGCCAATACGTAAGAGCAGTCTTTCCATTCTTATCCTTATGATTCAGCATTGACTTGTCCATGGCTTGCATTAATTTATGGAGCGTAGATGGTCTAACAAGCTGATGTCCAATCGAATGCATGTAAAATAGCGGTGTTTTTCCAAAGGTATCAACAGCGTTTGCATTGACACCGTAACTAATGAGGGTTTCAATAACAGGTTGGTTTTTCTTCTCGGCAAACATGTGTAACAAATTTTGATCATTGTTGTAGGTGTCGTTGAGAGGTATTCCGTTGGTGTTAAATATCTTGCTCACTTCTTCAATAAAATCAATCGATAATTCTCCTTGTAAAGTGCACAGTGATTGAAGAGGAGTGTGTCCTTCATTGTTTTTCATATTTAAATATTCTTTAGGTATTACTTTAAATAAATCTAGCGCAAGGTTAAAGCAAATCTCAGTTTTCAATTTGACAACTTACAGGACGAAGGTATCAAGTGGCAGAAATTATTGCCTGTCTCTGCAAAAACATAATTCAATTCACAACCACATCTATGTAAGCGTTCTACCAGAGAAGTTACGTAACCACTTGGCTCTCTTACTTTCTTTAAATAGGAAGCAAGCACATTCATATTGTGAACAAAACAACCATTTTCATCTTTGGTAACTATTCCTTCACTGTTGCCAAGTGTGATCAAATTTGGAACAAGTTTGCATAAATATGAAACTAAACCTGGAGTATAAGGGTTGCTGATGAGAACTGTGACCAATGGATTCCATTCCCCTTCAAATAGAAGTGGAAATTTAGCCTGTTCAAATATGGCTTTAGCCATCTTTTCATCGGCAATATTTTTCAAAATCTTGTCAGTTATAACATAAGCTACAGTATCGGCATTAGGGAATGCCACTTTAAATAACTCGTTTTCAATAATAAAGTCAAGCAAATTGTGATTGCACAAAATTCCTCGTCGCTCGAAATATTCTTCATAAGGTAAGAGAGCTTTGTAATTACTTGCCAACTGTTTCTTGTACTTGTTCAAAAAGAATTCCAACATTTCTTGCGTATATTGATAAGAGTCTAGAGTAAAGAAATCTATTGCTTCGAATGAAAATTTCTCCTCTTCCACCAGATACTTGATTTCCTTTAGTGTTTCCGTACCATTATCTCCATACTTGATGCTATGTTTGATTCTGAGATGTTGCTGATTACTATTCAAATAACTCAGGACATAGGGAAAAGAAGTACGATCTGACCTTCTGCGATAATATTGATAGCCAAGTGTTATATTTCTCACATTCAGTAAATCCATGGACAGTAAGAAATCGTTGCTGCGAAGTCCTGATACATGCAAGTACAAAGGAGAGAAGGGTCTGTAATTGAATAATTCCATACGTTCAAGCTGTGGGAAGTATTTCAAAAATCGAGTTGGTACTCTTAATTGACGTGACTCAAATATCGGAAAACACATTGATGTGATATTTGGAAAAACTAAAGAAATATATCGAATGGAATCCCCGTATTTTCTTTTCGCGTTTGGGTTGTACCAAGGATACTTGTAACCAATGCTGTCAGTGAATTCATTTCTCTTAACTAAATCAATGGACTCGACATTTGGACAGACATTGTGATATAAATCGTCAAGCCATTGTTGACATACTCCTCGTAACGTTAAATAAAAAGGAAAAGGAGGAATGTACTGCAAAATCATGTGAAAAACAGGCCTGGGCAAATAACAATCAAACTTTGGTAAATAAAAAAAATCCTTGTTCCCAATCGAGACGTTTCGATTTTCCACTGTGTAAATGAAAGGTGAAGTTGATTTAAGTGAAGATTTCATTGTGACTCATCCATTCGTTTTGAAATGATGAAAAAACCAACTTACCTTCTATTGTCAATGATCGATTTCATTGAACTGTTCACAGATCCATCTCCCTCTGCACCGCCATCATCATCCTCTTCGTCATCCTCCATTTTGTCTTCAAAGTGATTTTCTGCATCGTCATGATCTACCATCATGCCATCACCATTGTTGATACAGCGATCACTTTCATCATCGTCATCTCCGAGGCTTCTCTTATTCTGTCTTCTGTAGATTTAATTTCCAGTGTTTTTGTATTCCAGCAGTACTTGTTTTCTTCTTTTTCTTTCTTCCTCCCTTCTTTTTGGGTGGGTTCTTTCTCTTCTTAGAGTCGTC